TTTTACAATATATACATCCACATTCCCTTTTTTGATCAATAATTTAAAAACTCTAAGATAACCATAATTAGGATTTACCTCTTACAAACCATTTTTTACAGATTTCATATACCAATCACTTGTTTGTATCAGAAAGTTAGTGTCCTCCAACAATTTCAAATAACTGATTATTTGACTAGATAGCCCAGTAATATTATTACTAAAATTAAAAAAAATTATAATATTAAAATATTATACAAACAAATACCTAAGTATATAATAATAATACCTAATAATAAATAATTAAGGTAAGGTTCTCATCGAAATAATTTATATTTATCAGCGACTTGATTATAATATTATTGGAGAATTGGTCAAATTCAATTCTATTGAATTCAAGTTCTATTTAAATTATCACAATTCTACTTGAGTAAATTTAGTATTATGTAAAGACACAAAGTTGGTGCATTGCGTTTGTTGCACAGATGTCAAATAATGAAAAAATATGAATGTTTATGTTTAGTTATTTATATAATTATTTACGATTGATATATGACTGAAGAAGACATATTATATCTAGTGCATTTATAGTACAATAGTACAATAGTACAATAGTAATAATACTTAATAGAACTAGACACTTATATAGTCAACATAGTCTAAGCTTTAAAAATAATATGTATTTAGTGGATGCTAATTATAAGATTCACAGATATAAGGTTCAGTTGCTTATTAGACTCAAAATGGTCTGGAACAAGACCCAAGCTCATTATAAAAAAATTTGGTTATAAGACTCACCACTTTGGCTATAGGACTCAAATCTACGAAATAATTAAGTTTTGAAAAGTTACATAGTTGTGGTGGTTATTACTGGTTTTGATTCATGCTTTATAATATGTATGATTAAGTTAGGTACAACAAATATTATTTGTATTCGCAATTACTGTTATTGTAGTGTAAAGTATACATTCCCATTTACTTGGCACAACTATTCTAATTATATTCTTATTATAAAGTTATTGTTACAATCCAGGTTTTAAACAACCCTTATTTATTAATTCATAAGTAATATTAAAGTAGGTTAAAGTAAAAGAAAATTAATAAATAATTAAAATGTTTGTTTTTTTGTTCCCACTTCGCGATTAAGATTCAGTCAGTTATAAGAATCACTTTGTCCCAAAGTGAGTTATGTAAGTGGCGTCCACTCAGTAGTAGTTCTCAATAAAATTTAATTTTTAATTTTTTAAGATCTAAAGAAAAAGAACTTCAATTAAAAACTGAGCAAATTCTAATTCCTTATTACACTTACTTATTACTACTAAATCTCTGACTAAATCCTTTGTAATTTTTAATATTGATCAATTAATATTTAGTTTTGTAAACAATCATCTTGCACTCAATCTCATCTAAAAAAAAAAATGCAAAAATAATATTAATAATACAAATATATAAATATTAAAATACTTATTTAATTTATTTATATTTATAAAATATAAATTGTCAATTAGTATGTTTATATGATTGTGTTAAAACAATTTGAAATTAAATCACTATGAAAATAAAACTTATTCTAATCATGTGAACACTTTAAACTAATTTAAAAATATCAAACCATTTTCAATATTAAAATTAGGTAGTTAAAGAAATTGAAACCGTTTTAAGCGTTTAATATGGAAATATAAAAGCGTTTTTATTGAAACCTAATTAAACCTTATCAGTTTTTTTGCGTTAAATATTTAAATGTCTAATTATTATTTCCATATTATACATTATTAGTTATCACAATTAATAATTAAATTACATTATTCAGTCATTTCACACTTATTTGTGAATTTAGCAAATTGATATTACTAGTATTATTATTACAGAGTTATGGCATTATATGCATATTTTTAGTCTTGATTTCGTAATAAAGAAAAATAACTAAAATTTTTTGTAATACACGAAAATATAATCATAATTTAATCTATTAATTAAGTTATAATATTATCCAAAAAGTAATGTAAGTTCACAAACATGATTTAAGATTACAATTACAAAATATACTATCAATTGCTCAGATAAATGTTATTATATCTCTCTAAAATTAAAAATTAACATCCCTTACCTAGTTATCTAGAAAAAGGGAGTTTTACAACAGAATGGAAAACAGAAGAAAAAAAATATGTATTTAATAAGGAAGCAATTACAAAAGATACCTGAATTGTTATTGAACTTCTTAGCTATAAATGAACAAACAGTAAATAATACATTATTTTACATTCTAGTTGAAAACCAAATTATAACAGACAATAATATCAATTACAAAACAAATTCAGATAATAAATTAGTTTCTAATAAACAAATCAAGTAGGTATTAAATGTATCAAGGTAATTTTTTTTAAATAATAATAATTATTATTTCAAGATAAGCTGAGCATAAAAATTATTTATATTCCAGATACTTTTACTAGGGCAGTGCTTGGAAGTATTATTACTAAATATATTCATTTTGAACATTGTAATATGCATTTAAAATACTCAAATAAGCACTACAAATATATTATTTTTAATAGAAATTTTTGATTTTTTTTTTTTTTTTAATTTTACAAACTTAAAATATTTTATTAAAATACATGAATATTATAATATTATAATATTTTATTGTAATATTGACAATGTTTCAAATTGTAAAACTTTCAATATAAAATAATAATTATTACCTATTAAAATCTAATTTAATAATTTTTTAACAACACTATGGTTGATGACAGTCCACAGAATAGATCAACAAAAGGTCATCTGAAAATGATAAGAAAACTAATGTAAAAATATATGATAAATTTCTAAAATTTAATTTCAATACCTAGAAATCTGCATTTATTTATTTACATTATTTAAATTTGTAATATTTTAATATACTTTTATATATTAAATTGTAAAATTGCTTTAACTAGGGGGGTCTCTATGTTTGACAATTTAACACATGGTTTATTATAAGTTATACTTGTGATAAAAAAAAAAAAAAATGTTTAATAAAGTAGTTATTTGTATAAAAGGGATTTTTGATCAAATTGTTACAAAAAATTACAACATTTAAAAATTAAAATTAAAACAGAACTTCATTTAGAATCCAATTGTTTAGAAATGGTTTATTATAGTGTACATACCTATCTTAATTAAATATTTATGTATCCAATCTTTTTAACTTCCCCCCTACAACAGTGAAAAACCCATATAATAATGTTTTAGTTGAATATTCTATTTTAACAGTTTATTGAATGTTTTTGGCTGAGGTAACAATACAAAAGAAAACTGCAATCTAGATTTAATAAGGGTTTCAGGCTGAGCTTGTTGATGGACTTAGTGGTGAAGAGTGTGCAGAGGTCCAACAGTGATAAATTATTAAATAATAAATTACTTGTGGTTCTACAGAATAGATTATAATATTGTAATGATTTAAAATATTTTATTATTCAAAAATTCAAAATGAAGTAATCAAATAGAGTAGTCAGTAATCGATTTAACATCACTATTTAAATTAAGATTCATATTGACAATGAATGAGAAAAATTATTGATCACCATACCCTATTATGTTCTTTAATTTATCTATAGTGCATCAACTATCAAATTTTGTTTAAACAAAAATCACTATTAATCCAACTATTAAATAAAAATAATTTAAAACATCATATTCGAGACCTTATGTTAATTCAAGCACTCTATAATAACATTGACTATAAATCACATGAAACTATCAAATTAAATATACTATATCTATTATGAGACGTGAATATCACATGAAATGAAAATAGTTAGAAAAATAAAATATATAATATTAAATATTATTATCATAAATGAGATAGTGTAACAATTGCATTGCAACAAACAATCCGGAAATGAGGAAAGTGCTAAGCCATCTTAGATGCCAAAAGAAATTTTCTAATATAAAAAACGAACACCGATGCAATTGGTGCCATCACAAATGAATTAAGGAACATCATAGTATGACGGGAGCCAAAAATATTTCTTACAGCTTTCCTCGTAAAATGAGAACGCAAGAAAAGGTTTATTCCTTATACTTTTTTTTCTGTACAATGTACAAAGATGTAAAAAATATAATTATCTATCTAAGGCTTATTTTATACTACCAATAAAAAAATGCATACCTACTTGATATTATTAATTTTAGTTTGAATTGACAAATAAATTTATAAAGTTAAAATATCATGAGAGTCTAGCATTTTGTTTAACAATATAAGAAAAAGAGTTTATTTTGTTGTAAAAATGATTTATTTTTGATTCTGAGTACCTAAGATAAAAAAAGATATTAGATTTATACAAAGATTTTTTTTTTCTAGTTATAAAACACTGCTTGATTTTTGTTGTGCAATATCTATAAATGTATATTCTTACCTGAGTACTTTATTTGAAATATTTTTAAAAATAAACTTTAGACTAAAGAGAAACTAAAGAGAGGTTTTCAAACATATCATCAATTTACATTAAAAAGAAACATATCAAACAATATTTATCTTGTTAATATTAAATACTTTTGCAGAAAAAAGTCTAAATAAAACTTAATTTTATAATTTGTTTGTAATTCTTAGTTCTTACTGTCTTGTTAGTTCTTGTGCATACCGTTAAAAAATATAAAACCAGCATCAAAATATTTATTTTTATTTACATTGAATTATTTTCAATTTAAATATTTATCTATATTATGATACTTATATATTATGACATATCTACATGTGCTTTTATTATAATATGCAAATTAAAATGTTTGCGTTTTATTTTACGAAATATTTTTACTGGACGTGTTGATTATGATTGAATACAAAATTAATAGGTAGACATTTATTGATTTGGTTGTACGTATGCCTCTAAATGACCTTATGCTTTTAAGGGAGAGCTACATCACAACGGCACCCATGAGTGTATGCTAGGTATGTATATTACCTATGTACTATGCGCCCACGTAAACAATGTTGTTAGTACTATAGCCGATGCTCCTTCTACATAAAGCTTGTGACCAACATGTCATTAACAAAACGCGAGACGTGCCATATACGTGATAACGTATCCACTGGAGAAGTCCCTAAAAACGATACAAAAACACGAAAGAAAAAGCCTAAAAAAGCGTGTAAACGATTAGGCGTAATGAAGCGAAACCAAATCGCAAAATTAAAGAACGCGGTTAAGAAAAAATGTAAAGTGTTTAAAGTCGTGCGCAAAAATACACAAAACCGGGTCACACGATCAAGCGTACCCCCGGAACACGAAAATGTCGGAAATTTCCCGTTCAAAGATGGTAGACGATATAGAAAAGACGACGGCTAAACTGACGGGTGACAACGGTCGGCAGTGTTACCAGTATTTAAAAATGGAATTACTGAATACAGCTTGTGTATAGAGTCTTCAAAGTTTGTGTTTTTCCATGAAATTTACCGTACTACAACCACTTATTTCTCAAATCACGAGCGCTAAAAGAGGCGAGCGTTTTTATCGGAAAACGCCGAATGGCTGCAAGATGGCAGCCCAATGCACTTATCATATTTTTACCATCTGTATGTATTTATGAGATTATCAAATATCAGTATTATTAATATCCATGAAAACATGTTCATATTGTTAATACCTACTCGTTTATATCTTTATGTATACGTATATTTATTTTTGGAAAGAAAGGGATGTTGGAACTACAGATCTGAAAAGTTTTCGTTCTATATATTTATATTTTATGTATTAATCATTAATATTACATTTTTTTTATATTTAAAATTTATTAATTACATAAATAATTAATCTCTAAATACAGATATTGTATAAATACAATATATTGTAACTATTAAAAAAATGTTAATAATATTAATTAAATGAATTAAATTATAATACAATTGTTTAAATTGATATTGTGAAATAGTAATGGCCCATTTCAAATTATGTTTCAATTGTAAATGTAGAACAGTAAAGGATGTTGTATACAACATATTATGTATACTTAGTCCAACACAGCAGAAATTTTTTTTTCATATATCCATATTATATTACCATTTCAAATTTCTACTTTGCTGAGATTTTTTCACTGATTTTTAAATTTATTTTTCTAGTCTGTAGACCCGTTTTTTCCATAAGTCACATAATACCATTTTTGTTGCGTTTTTGATTTACTTTTCTACGGTGTCATCGCCAAAACTTTTGAGCCACTTTTGATCTTTTAAGGAATTTTAATGTTTGGGAGTTTTTTTTACTGTAATTCGGTTTTAAATACACGTAATTCAGATTTTAGAATTAATTTAGTTAATTAATTCGAATTGTTGAGTGTTTTATTTATTTTGGTAAGTTGAATTCCCATTGAGATTAAAAAATAATAAGCAATTATTAAAACAAATACAAACGCATACAAATTTGTTTTATTATTTTTAGTAAATAAGATAAGTGAACGGAACCAGTAATATACAACCTCCGCATTAGGTCTAGCTGACATGACAGTCAGTTAGACAATTTCTATGTATCTGAAATATACCTGTTATAGCCTTTAGGTACCCATAGTAAATTAGTGATGTAAAATTACCGGTTATTTAATTTTAGATTAAAGATCTCGGTAAATTATAAGCATTAACAAAATTAATTTATCTATAGGTACCAAATTTAATAAAAAAAAGTATTATAGTTATGAAAATTATGAAATACCTCTATACAAAACTATATACCAGAGCTGTGGAAAAATTGTTTCTCTATTTATTATCTTATGCAATGCATTGTAAATTGTAATTTGTTTTTAATCTTATCTGTAGACAAGTTTAATATTAAATAACTTTTATTAAAGCTATACAAGACCAAATTACAAAACAAGCATTATTTATCAGTTTGACCACGGACCAATCAGCCTTAGTATGAACATTAACAATTATTAGTTATTTGAATAAAGTAATTAAAAATTAATTACACGTAAACCGGTAAAGTAATTTATATGTATTACTTCCCGTTAAATTACTTACTTTATTTTACTATTAATGGTATTACCGATTTACATTTATTTATAAATAATATTTTTTTTTTAAAAATGTATTTCAAATTATTTGAATATAATATATAAGTACACGTACCATGTTATATAATTAAAAAAGATGAGTTCCTTGGTGCTTCAAAAATGTATTTATTATTTAAAAAAAATAGTTTTTTACATATTAAAACGAGCTTTCATTTTACGATACCAAAATTTATTACGAGTATAAAAGTGGTTAAGTCCAAGTTTTTCTATCTCCAGGCAGTACTTCAACCCTTAGTGGGTCAAGTTTGATTATGAAGGTGTACGACGTGACTTTAGTATTCATCTTGACTCAGAAAATCGGTACCTATTAAGAATTTATATAAGAATTTATACACCAACAATTTGTCGGTAAACAATAATAACAATTTAATATATTTGAATTTTAGTAAAAAATATATATATTTAGGACCTACATATTTTTTTTATATTTTTTAGTATATTCAGGCATATTTACTGCGGATATAAATATAAACTGTTTTTACCGCTTATTTAAAATGATAATATATATGAACCTCCCTCCCTTTGGAAAGTTTATTTTAATCATTTTTGCTATTAATTTAACTAAATAATATACATTTTATAATAATTTCGTTCCTTTTAAAAATTATTTGGGGGCAGTTAGTTGAAGAACCTGCCTTTTGGTTCTGTTTATACTAATTTTCGTTTTTTATATATGTACCATCACATTAAAAATACTTGTACTCGTATTTTAACAGATAGTTACGTGTTGGTGTGGTTTACAATTATTAAAAGTAGCGACTATCGAAACGATCCAAACAACATCTTCTAAAAGTGCATTCAAATACTTATCCAAATAATATTATTACAATAATTAGGTTTATCGATTTTTGTACTTGTATTTTGTGAAGTATCTAATTGCAATAAGTACGGTTTTCAGAACTATGACTATGAACGCTCAGACTGCTCAGAGGTTAGATCGATTTGCAACAAAGAACACAATGAAAAACAATCATATATAGCTAGTTCATACTTATACATAGGCTTTTTAATTATTTTTCACCGACCATTGAATCGGTTTCCAATATTAGGTTAAGTACCTCATCGAACATTGAATTGGCTCCCAAGTAAAAAAATATGAAATTGGCTCCCAAACGGTTCCAGAATTACCTACCATAAACCTTTTCAAATTAGATTAAAACGATTCAAATCTACTACATTTTAACAATTTTGATGATCTATAAAATGTAATATTTTTATTTTAATATAAAATTAAATTGTTATTTCGAACAATTTTTACAACCAATGGATTTATAAAATACACCTTTAGAGAAAATGCAATATGTAAAAACGTTGATTACCTGATTTGAGAACCAATTCAATAGCTCCGCATTTTTCTTAAAAAAAAAACTTTTCTTTTAAAAATTCTCTAATTTGATTTAAATTGGTACATATGTTTTTTTCTTTTTGCAATTTTTAATTTTAAAACATTTTGTTTATTATTATATATTTATCGGTGAAATATATTTGCGATTTGATTGTATTTCAACGTGATAAATAAAATATATAGTGTTCTCACAGCAGATAATTTTATTTTGACATTTAATTTCACAGATAATACAACTTTAATGGTCAGCATTATGTTTATTTAATAGTTTTATTACCATATCAATACTATTGGAGAGTACATATAGGTAGGTATATAAAATTATTGATGTACAACTTTTGAAAAGAGATTCATGATTATTTATACGCTCGCATAAAAAATATACCTGTTATAGTTGGTACACCATAATGATATACAGGTATAAAATGACCAAATAACGTGAATCATCGGTTGTATCCATATTTTTTCATTTCTAAACATTAAAACAATTATATTGTTATTATCAAAATAATACAATATTATACAAATAATAATGTAGGTAACAGACCATAGACGTTTAATAAAAAAAAGGGCTGATATTAGGGATGGGTGAATACTTGAAGAAATTTAATTTATATCTGCAACCAACGATAAACTATTGTTACAAAAAACGATTCGGAGCGAAGTTCGGTTATACATGTTTTACGATTTTCGTCAAAATTTGATGTTAAAATTCTTATAAAACAAACATATATTTATGTATATATACTAGACTACACTCAACTTTTTATTTTTGAACACTGAGTACAACTTATAATGAACTTCCTGTTGAATTTTTAAGTAATAATTTTTGGTCAAATAATTTTATTCGCAGAGTACTTACCAAATAAAAATTAAGTAAAAACTCACAAAATTAAAATGTCTATAAAAGCTTAAAAATAGCTTAAACGTTAATAAAATTTAATCACGTCTAGAAAATTAAAATATAAGTTTTCTATCAAAATTGTAGGTCTTTACAAATATTTTTACTTGAATTACAACAAAAAACAAAAAAAAATAATAATATTATTTAATAGCATTATTTTTGTAAATTTGGTAGTTCTTAATGCGTTTTTTTTTTTTTTTTGATTTTGCTTTATTGAAAAATAAAAACTGATTTTCTTCGTGAGCATCTAGATTCAAAATGCTACAAAAAAGTCACTAGGAATTGTTGATTAATAAATATTTCTGATAGAAAACATAGTTTACAAAAATTAAAAACAATGCAATCGTTAACGCCGTGACGCGCAATAAATATTTGCCATTTTACTCATAGTTTTATTTTCGGGTTTTCCCAATTATTATGAAAACCTTTTGAAACAGCAAAAAATGCACCAACTACATACAGTTTTATTTCGGTAAAGGTGCTGCACTTGATACATCGAACTATCGGAGCAAGTTTTCTTTTTAAAAAGTTGTTTATAGACAAAAGAAAAAAGGATACATCTTAGTGAAACCAATAGATTCTTCGTTAAATTTGTTGATTGAAAATGTTATAATTTAAAAATATTCTCTAAAAATCCATTGTCTTTACAAGAAAATATATATTATTTACCTACCTTCAAAATACTGTTGTTTATTTAAAAATTCATCTACACAAGTCATCGGATTAAACTCCAAAGTACCATTAAAATATTTCGGCAGAATATTTGGATTTAGATGTTTATGCAATGAGTTAAAATTATTTCCATGAAAATGCACCTTGGAAAAAATAAAACTTTTTTAGTATTTACTTTGAAAGTAATACTGAATAAAATAATGGGAGGAAAAAAATACTAACCCGACATCGTATTTTTTCTTTTAAAAACGGTTTAATGATCGAATATATAGTGTATAAGTATAATGGCTCATTGATAAAATGGAATCCTTGAAATCTTAATGGGAAACTGTCCTGTAAAAAAAATATATTAAAATAAAGATAGGTAGTGATAATATATAGGATTAGGTATGTATTGTATTTTTTTTTATTTAAATAATATCAGAAAATTGCTTTTATCCTTAATAAACTGTAATTATACGCATACGATTGTAGTACAAACAAAAAATATTCTCAACAAATAATGTGAAAAATTAGATTTGATTCTATTACAGTCATATATTTAATCAATGGCGGTTGAAGAAATTTAATTGTGAGCGAGGGGAGAGGGAAGGATTTATATTTATTGGCTAAAAATGTTGGCATTAGAGCTGATTCTAGAATTTATTCTAGATTCATTTAGGGCTTAGATGAATTATAATCTATTAACAGAACAAAATATTAATTGATAACAAAAGATAATACATATGTATTTACAAAACATCAGGGCCTATTTTTTTGTGTACTACGCCACATCGTGTATAATACCAAATGTGTTGTGTGTAGTACGAAAGTATTAAATGTGTAATACGGAATTATAAAATGTGTAGAGAGTTTTAATATAATATTTCTAAACTATGTTTTGTTGTTATAGTATTTTTTTAATGTTTAACAAATTTAGATTAAATACATTCAAATAAATATCTCAAAGAGATTGATCAAATACAAAGTACAAGGTATGGGAGCGAATTTTTTTTTGTGACAATGGATTTACGGCCGAAACTAAAAAGTGTGTAATACGAAATATTACAAAAATTAGGCACTGCAAAACATCCATTGAAATATTTACTATGCCTATCTATTGTATTTGTATATAAATATTAATGAAACGAACAAATAAAGTTTTATTATTCATTCAAATGAGGATGATTAAACCCCCACAGAAAAATTATGCATTTATCTCACGTGTTTGTTTAAGAAAAATAAATCATAAATACAATGAATTAACTTGGGTTGGCCCGTGATAAAAATAACGACTCTGAATAATATTATTTGTAGTTTGTATATATTTTAACTACTTATCAGTATATTAGTTATTTGCTGTATGGCTTACTTGTACAACTTCGGCTGATTTTTTAGCATAATAAGGCGATAAATATTGATAGTGTTTCAACCATTCAAATCCGGTAAAGTCGGCAATAGCAACCATACCGGCGAGTTGAGTTTCGTGTTTCTCAGAGACTATTTCGAGCATCATCAAGTTCATCTTAAAAACGTCTTCGATAGTAATTCCGGGTGAAATATTTTCTATAAAAAATGACAAAAATATGGTTTACTATGTATTTGAATACTTATCTACAGACTCGATAACTTTCAATTTTCCTTAAACCCCACAAAAATCCAAAACATATATGTAGATATAATTGTATGAGTATATGAGTGTTTACGAATTATTTTTATGTCACGTATACGTCGTAATCAAAATAAATTTAAAATTATTCCTTATAAATATACAAATTACGATTTTAGAAATGATTAATCTAGATGATTCAATTAACTATCATAGATAACTTATTTCTCATTTATCTAGATAAGAAAGAATATACAAATATACATTATCTAAATAAAACATGAAACACAAAAATGGTTACAAACAAAATATTAACATTCAAAATTTTATTAAAACTGCTATTTACTTAATCTAAAAACATATATTTCACGTCCTTGTTGATCTCGATAAGGTAACATAAAAATTGTCCCACTTTCCAAAAGAACTTTACTCTTAGTCGGTCCGGTTAAGTCGAATAATGCCGGACTCCTTTCTTTTACCTCGTAATAATTTTGTATCTTGAAATAAAATTAAAAATAAATAACTAAATTAATGTGTTAATTAGTTTCGTAATAATCTTTTTTTTTAGATTCTGAGTGGAACGAGGAATGTATTGGATTTTAAAATGATGTTTATTTTTTTTATGTGAACACTTCTACTACCAGAAAGCATACTCAGATTATCAAGTAAAGCACTTTTTTTGAAAGGAAATTTTCTCTGGGTAGTACTTTAAAGTGGTATTTTTTTAAATTCTCGTTAATATTCGAGACAATGAGGAAAACCTCGGTATTTAGGTTAAAAAGGATTGGAAGATTAACAATAAGGTTATCATTGGAAACCGTTTTTATTTATTTTTGTTATTATTAAGTTTTATTATTTTAATCTTTTTTAAACAGTCATTGTTGTCATGGCGACGCACATTGTTGTAATCGTTTTACCATAATATGATATATACTATGTATTGTATTGTTGACAATACAACACTATCTACTGAACTCCGCTCAGAATCATTTTTTTGTTAGCAATGGTTTATCGTTTCTTATAGATGTACATTAAATTTCCATCTGTATTCTACCTTACCAACTTCCTACCAACAACAGTAGCTGCACCCAGTTGCGAGGTATGTCTGTCCTTTTTTTAACTCGCCAATTAAAATAGTAATTACTTTTATATTTTTTAAATTTGTATATTGCAAGTAACTTTTGATTGCAAAGTTATTATACTCACCAATTTAAACGCTTTATTTACGTTGTATTTTCTAGCTCTCAAAAATTTGAGCAAAAACGCATCGTCCATCCTGGATTTTAACAAAGTATCGCCTTTAAAAAAATTCAAAAGATTCATATTTAAAAAAAATTAGTGCTTTTTTTGAAAAACAACCTCATTGAACATTTCTATCCGAAATTTATGGTAAAAATATATTTATATATATATATATATATAGAAAGAGAGAGAGAGACGTCAAATTTAATAGAATTATTAATTTTTTTGCTTAAAAAATATATGTCTGGTATAAATACCTATACAATTATTTATTTCTGGACTATTAGACTCGGAATATTGGTCGTCGGTAACAAAATTATTCACCGTAGAATTAATAAATACATAGTTATATTCATTTTTTTCACATACCTTTAACTAACATCCGTAATTCTTCAACGGCTAATTGCGGATTTGCTGGCTCATTTATTTCGCTTTGTTCTTTGCATTGCCAATCAGAAAAATTAATTTGATTTCTCAACATCTTTTTTCTTGATTTCCTATTCAGTTCCACAAACCTAGGAAAATTCTGTACTGGAAATAATATAATATTATGACATGCAAGGACATTCAAGAAGAGAAAAATGCAAATATAAACTGATTTTCATAAAATATGTTTGAAAAATGTACAAATTATAGACTGCATTTATTTAACAGGAAATTGATACAAATCTGTAAATTTATAAAAAAAAAACCACGATGGTATTGTGTAATTTTGATTGGTATTATTATTAGTATTATGTATTATTTTGATGTATATCGAAGCATGACGATTAAAAAAAATAATAATACTAGCAATTTTCGTAACATAGGTATACTATATCTATATATTGGTAACCTATACGATACATTAAAGTACAAGTTTATTTTATGATTTAGAAAATATAAACTAAAATCATTGAAAATAATGATTTTCGACCACTGGTATTGTATATTTTATTGTATCGTGTTTCAACCCCTAAAAAAAAAAGAGTAATGTAACATTTTAGAGCTACTAATTCTTTTAATGGCTTAATTTTCTGAAAAGCAAATTCCGAAGAAAATTAATACTTTCCAAGATAATGAGTGTCTTGCGTTTTGTTAATCACACTGTAGGTATAGTATTTGGTTTTTTTTTTACTTTTATTTAAAACCACAGATATGTAAACAATCTAGATAGCCGGCTCTCGTATATCTAATATAACAAAATACGAAGTTCGCCACCATATTCTGAAAGTGTAAACAAGTGATGTGATAAGAATATGATAAATTGAAAACTATTATTGAAACTCCAAAAATTAAAAAAAAAAAAAAAACAACAATACAAAAGTACTGAAATCAAATTTAATTTACTTTTTAAATAGGTTTTTGCTGAAATTATGTAATATAATACACAATGATGGTTGTTTATTGCTGTGTGAACGGGTGTTTTAACCGATGATAGACTGGGAGCAAAATTAATTTATTCGAATATTCATCGAATGCTTGAATTTTTTTATTTTATATAGATTTCCTTTAAAAAATTAAGTATTAAATGCATTGTGAATGAATGTAATTAATCAAAAAGGATTTTCACTATCAAAATCGTATATATAGTGATCCTATTAAGTTAATTGATTTTATGGCATACGGGCCTTTCGATTTTTCTTAATGAAATTCCATCCAAAAAAAAAAAAGCCTAATACAACAGAAGACTGTACCTTAGGTGTCTTTAGGTCAGTGGCATGCGTAGTGAAAAGGAGGTTAGGGTTTATATCCCCCTTATTGGCTTAAAAATACAAAAAAATTATTTGTAATCTAATATCAAAATGTATATATTTCAGTCAAGTTACGGGAAAAAGCTTGATGTATTGATTAGAAATTGGTTTTTATTAGTCTAGTTGGATAAAGAAGACGATTTTACGATTTTTATTTACTACATCCCTTCCCGTTGAAAACTATTGGGCACGCTACTGCCTTAGGTATTTTATTTTTAAACACATCGTTTGTATTCAAATATACTCAATACTCATTATATATTTAGGTATTACAATACGACTACACAGATTCGATGTATTCAGTATTTTGGTATTCCGGGAAAAACAATCCCAACTACAAATGTCGAAGAAATATTCTTTTCAGAATAATCTAGTTGTTGTAAAGAATCGTTCGTTAGCTGTAAACACTTCTTTATTTGTAAATAAATGTATTATTTCACCAGACGAATTGTTATAAAAACACTTAGAAAAGCTTGAAAACCATTATTTAAAGTAAAAGTGAAAAGTATAAATGAGTATATAATGAGTAGGTATATCGGTGCCCATGTATATTTTTGCATTACTGTTATTTTCACTTTTTTTGCTTAACAATTTAGACATTTCCCTTTAAACCTTTTGTTTATGCAGGAATACATAAACAAAATGTCACATTGATATTAATTATTGTGAAACTTCGAACAAATCGAAGGGCGAACTAGATTTTGCGAGTAATGTTTAAAACTGAAAATAAATGTTATGATATTTAGTTTGTTTATATATCTTTATATAAAATACAGTGGTGAATACAAAGAAAATTAATATCAATCTCCGGAGTCTATGGCACGTGTTGTTTGCAGTTAGTTGAGAAATAACTAATATAAACTTTCTCATATCCCAAAAGTGCTATACTTTTTGATAAATAAAGGCAATTATAAAGAACTGTTGAGCTTATAGGCGTTTCTAGGATTAATTTAACTAGGTCGTTCCGAAGTTTTCTTATCGTTCAAACGAGGGAAGTTATACAGCCTAAGTTACACTCTCGTTTAATTAAATTCGCAGACATAAACCAAACGAATACATTAAACTTATCGAATTTACTCGATGACATTATTTGACGGTATTCCAACATATTGTAACAACCACTAAAACTGATATAATTAATATTAAACACTCTAAAATATTTTCCTCCATCCACCACAGTTAAACTTACTTTAACAAAAAAAAAATACATTAAATATATATAATGGGTACTTATATAATTTATAGATTATACGCTATTATATTAATTTAATTTAAATATAATATGTATTTAATTAGTTATAATATTTGATATACAATTTAATAGATAAAATATTATTCACTCCATTACCTTAACGATAACTTATAATTATGTAGGTACGTATAATTTAAATGTGTATACAATTCCTTTTACACACATAAACTTAAGTAGTATTTATAACGCCTTAAATATGTTCAAATTACTATTTAAAATTTTAAAACTATTAATTTTGTAAATAAATTACGAACAAATGTTAAATAATAATTGTAAACATTTTTTCGCGCACTTCTTTGATTTCTAAAATGTCTACATATCGAATCAAATGTACAATAAGTTTTGCAATATTATGGTTTTGTTTTATACATTATAATTATAATTTAATCGCAAATAATCTAAATACATAAATAAATAAATAAACGAATGCGTCGCCTGGAGTATTATAACATGTGAATTGTACGACCGGTTCTGAATTGAAAATTAATCTATTAATTAATTATCTAGTATGTATCAACTATTTTATTTATTTTTTTTTTATTGTATTGTGTTAAATATTCTATTTTTTAGATTTTAAATAGTTACTTGAAGGACAATTAATTCGATTGTCTTTATTATGATTATTTTATTCCTATACAATTACATTTTTATAACGGTTATAAAACAATTTTATTGCTTATAATTACACATACATGTATATAATATATATATATATGACAATGCTCTTATTCGATTACAAAACTTTCGTTTATTTCTACAACAAAAACTTATAGATAGTAATAGTACTGCGTAAACGCAGAACTAACAAGAAACTGACCGGTTTGGACTATAGACTCCACAATAGTGATATAATGCGTTAATCGTTATCACTATTATCAACAGAAACCGTTATTGCGTACATATCCCGGTTTTCCATCATTCTTTTTCGGTTTTCCACCGTTGTTAAAAAATGACAAGGAAAATTACTTCCACAGTGCACTAATTTGATCCAAAATGCCTCAAGAGAGTCCCTATAAAGTTATCAATGGGAGCAAAAATTTGTGGTCAAAAAGTTGTCTACAGACGGGAAAATGATTTTGGCTTCGTCATTTTTTTTGATTTTTCCAGGGATTTTCATAATAAATGGGAAAAACTGGGATAAACCGTACGAAAAACGGAAATATTTACGGACTGTATTATTTTTAAATCATGAACATATAAAAACCTTTTAAAACACATACAACCGAACTCCGCTCAGAACCCGATCCCCAAACATCATCCTCGCCTACACCCGTTGACCTCATACTATTCTCAAACGCATCCAACCACCCCTTTTCTATACCCCTCCTTCCTCCTACGATTATTTTCATTACAATTTATACTGCTTCTAATTTCTCTCCCCTAATGACATGCTCAAACCATCTTAGTCTATTCTTTAATTTTGTCCACTATCAAAACCACAACTAAGCTATCTCTTATGGACTCATTCTGTAATTATCAAAATCGTTTTTTCGTTAGCAATAGTTTATCGTTGCTTATACATTAAATTACCTATAATAGTGGCTGCATCCGTCTCCATTATCCTAGGGCGTATTTTTATTATTTGCCTGACATAAAGTAGGCATTTAGTTAAACATCTAAATGTCTAGGCGGATATTAAACTCGCATAAAAATTAAATTCTTTGACTATTTGCCTGTAGGCATTTTGTAAAATGTCTAATTTGACTATATGCTTACGACATATATATATATATTTTTAAAAAATTTAAAAAATTCAGAAGTCAATTACACAGTTAAGCTAAATACCTTCTCGGTGATATACTCTATTAAAGAACCACATGAGGTATGACGATTGGATAAATAATTTATGAGATTACCCCGGACATAAAAAAAGACCTGTTATTTTTTTTTAAAAATATAAGTAAGGATATATGTATTTTGATCAATAAAATTATTATTATTATTATTTATAATAATCATTTTTGTTTATATTCTAAAAATAAAAAAATTAATATGATTAAAGTGTTTATATAAATATTTTTAAAAACATATACTTTTATATTAATATTGCTATAAATAAGTATGATTAATTTTTTTATCCATAAACTCGTGTGTAATTTAAAATACGCCCTAGCAAAATATACTACCAAATGCGTTATTAAAATTATTATGTGTTTAGTATTATTATCGTATAGATTATAATATATCATATTGTTTGCTTGACAAATAGTAATATTATAATTATTATATGAATATCGTATGGTGTTTTTTTTTGTTTAGGTAAACAATTATTATTATGAGTAAATGGTATTAAATTATGTAACAAAAAACATCAAATAATATATTTGTTAAAGTGTTACAATTAAATTACACAAATATAGACTTGTCAAACAAAATTCAACTGTACGATGGATCTGTTGGTAAATTGTTGGACACCAAAATTTTTAGACTTCGTTTAATATTGAAATATGATTATACAGGTGATCCATGGTAGTACGAGTACGGCACTGTTGGTATGCAGTAGATGTGCGGGGTCTTGTGTCAACGTTTGTGATAGCAGTTTTCATTACTACTCAATACTGAAATTCGTAACGCACTTATACACGAAATAATGGCTAATAATGTTATTAGTAAAAAAGCCCCGACGAAGCCAAAAATGATTTGTTTAATATTTACCTACTACAAAAACTACAATCATACATTCTTATAATAACCGATATGGATAAATTAATTACAAGTAATATACTCAAATTATTATTGAAAAACTCCCAGTTCAAATATACAATATAACATGCTATTTGGTACGTACAACATGAGTATACTATTTTATACTATTCTATATAGGGTTTTTTAAGCAATAAATTAGAAAAATAAGATAAATATAAAATATATATATATATATATAGATAAATAGACTTCCAACAAAAGAAGGAAATAAGCAATAATATCTGTAAAACATGTTTTTGAATAACTAACTAATTATTTTTGCAATATTCATTTTTTTTAAATGTGTTATATCAATTTACAATGGAGCTTTAAGCCAAGCCTACTTTACAATATTTATAAAATAATTTCCTTGAGAAGCCAAGAACTGTATTTTTCCCTGGGGCTTTTTATTCTTATGTGATTTTTGGTCAAGGGCATTTTCTCCTAGTGATTTATTATCTTCAATTTCTAATAATAGTTATCAAAGTGGGTAGATATGAACTATTCAAGTTTTAAGCAAGCGAAACAATCAGAAAATTGTGAATTTCCGATCTATTTATAATCTGTAACACTGCCGTTTATAGACATTTACTTTTACAACTAATAATAATTTATAATTCAGATTAAAAATCGAATTTCGCTTTCCCCCTCCTGAAAAATGAGCTGAATACGCCCCCGTTGCAATATCTACTAAAATACAATATATAATACGATTCATTGAATTATCCTACCAAAAATTATTATTATTATTTGTATACTACCGTAAATATTCCGTATACAGATTCGGAACAGTACAAACATTTAAAAAAAAGTGTTTTCTTTGATCAGGATAGGATAGGATATCAAATTGTAATTTTACTACCACAAAAATCCCTCAACTTAAGCCAGATCAGTTAAATTAGATTTTCCTGTGACTTACATTTTAGATTTTAAGGATAGCTTAGTTTTTTTCTCATTTTAAACATTTTCTTTTTTTTCTTTTGAGGTCTGCTTGTGAGAAGAGTATAGTTTCAACAAAATAGTGCAACTACACACACAACACACAAGTTCGTGTTTTAATGGCTGTTTCATAAGTTTCCAGGCATATCTGCATATATAATAAAATTCACTGGCCTCCTCGCCTCACTCCCAAGATTTAAGCTTATGAGTTATGTGACTTCTTTGTGCGAAGATATCTCAAGTTCCGAGCATTATTTGACAAGCCAGACTACCTTAAACATCCTAAAATCACAGGTTCTTCAAAACGGTCTTAAAGATCTCTAAATAAAAGTCCAGGAGGAAAAATGTCGAATTCCACATCGGGTATTAACAAATTTAATCAAGTGAAATCGATCGATTACATCTTATTCTGAAAATACACAATGCTCTAGGTTCCGTGACATCACATCAACTAAACTTTCTATTCTGGCAGAAAAATAAAGCCCGCCCCTTCCTCATCCATCTCTAAGGTCAACCACTCGACCGGTCAATTAAAAAACATACCGTTTGTTGTGCGTATAGTCAAAATCAAACTTAAAAAACTGTATCCATGATAACAGCCACAGGTTATTTACATACGTGTCCTCCATTCCCACATTAGAATTTTCCAAATTTTTTTCGGTAAATATTTATAATGTAATTAACATATCGGCAATGTCGACATGCTAACTTTTGTAATTTGCATGCGTTTTAATTAGCGATCATTCTAAATCAGAGCGAAATTGCTGGTATAAAAGTTGTCTATAGAAAAAAAAATCGTAATGTCTTACTAATATATTTTGTCCATTTTCCCGTTTTTCTCCGTTTTTCATGATTTTTCCTATAAATTGGGAAAACTTCTGGAAAATTCGAAAAATTATCTCCCTAAATTACCTTACCTGTCAGATTTCCTTTCAGAGAAAGTGTTATTATTTTAAATCGGAGCAAAAGGACTGGTAGAAAAGTAGTACACAGAAAAAAAAGCCATAATATTTTTTTCTAATACCTACATTTCGTACATTTTTTGTTTATCCGACATTTTATCCCGGTTTTTTCCAGAAATGATGAAAACCACATGAACAATCAAAAAATGACCTCCTTAAATTACCATCTGGATAACATTCCCTTTTAGAAATGATGCCATGCGTATATGCGAGATTTCTGGTAGAATTTGGGTATACAGGATAAAAAAAAATAAACATCTTAGTAAAACTACTACATTCTTCGCTACACTTAGAATCTAAAAATGATTTTTTTTTTATGTGTGTGTGTGTTTAGAGGATAAAAATAAAAATTCAATTTTTTTCTAAATCGATGTCCCCCTCGACCAAATAAAAAAAAAATATCGAAGAAATTTAATATTAACAGCGCTAGAAAAGTCCGTCGAACTTGGTGGGACAAACTGCATATATTATAAATTGGACAACAGCTAAAATTGAGTGAATCTCAAAAATGCCCGGGCAAAAAGCGAAGTGTCCACGATACTTAGACATAACGTAATAAAACATCGTCTTTCGGCTTTTACCCGGACTAACCTCGTAGGGACCAACCTCATTTGGGCAAAACTGTAACGTTAATACATTTTCATTTTTTACAGTAGATAGGTATATTTTGTTTCAATATCACCTATGAATAAGGATACAATAAAAAATTATTGTTTCAATATAGTTTAATATGATTATATAAATTGAAATAATAATAAATTTAATCAGACTCGGATTGAGGGGGAAATAGAGGGGGCCATGGCCCCAGACTCCTAAATATCGTAATATTGTGATCCCCTGGTTTTGGCTGGTAGTACTGTATAAACACCAATATTTTGAATATGTTTACGGCCCTTTAAAATTGTTTGGCCCCAGGCACAAAAGCATCTTAACCCGGGCTTAAATTGAATAAATAATAATATATACAATGATAGTAAGTATAATGTTGATTTTAAGAATTTTATTTTAATATTCTAAAAATATGTCTGATATATTGAATTAACAAGTTATTCAAAGTTATAAAATAAAAAATTAATATTATATACTATTAGATTTATCGACATAAATATATGTTTGTTTATTTATTTGTTACAATATTAGATTTGAAACTATAAATAATATTGTGTTATTTACACTTTCATCGCCTTGTTGTACACTTAGTTTTGCGAAAACAAAAAACAAATCCTTATTCCCAATTAATGCGTTTTTAATACTAGCTGTCCTCAATGGTATTTCGATATTCCTGACATCTTCGCTAGTTATAAATTGGCCTTTGCACAGAAAGAATATTTTATATTATCACTATATGCCGAAAACCGGATATTTCATTTTGAAGGACCGATTGATTATTTGATTAGTGAGGAGAGCGAGTATCGTAATACGGTATTAACACGGTAATCTATCTACCCATCTATTCTATTTACTTTGAAAAATTATGATTTAGGTACGTTACAGTTTCGCCCAAATACGGTTGGCCACTACTAGGTTTGTCCGGGAACAAGCCGAAATATGACGTTTTGCCCAACTATCGTGGACACTTCACGTTTTGCCCGGGCATTTCCGAGATTTACCCGGTCTCGGCTTTTGCCCGTGACAAAACGTATACCGTGTAAAATAATATAACGTATAATACCTCGCTTGTAAACTAAATCGACTGTAGTACAAAACGATTATAATACAACAATAATATACTTACGTACGATATAACGTGCCCCTCTTCTTCAGACGCGATCGCTTAATTGACCCTTTCAATAATATAATCCTGATTACACTGAATCCGCTCTCTGTGTATACCTATATATTATTGTTGTATCCATCCAGTCTCGTCGTTGTGTATATTTTATACGTACATATATTTATACATTTATATTAGCGACTACCGGTATAATGTTCTCACCCCGGCGCACTGTCAATGGATTATGAATAAAAACGCGCGGGCCCGTTGAACTCAGCGACCGCGATGGTCTTTCTGTAATTGAGCTGTACGATCATTCGTCGCTCTCTTGTTCTAGACGTCGCATCGCATCACAAATCCCGTAGTCCGCGTAAACTGTAAATCAAAAAACATAACACGACATATAATAATATTATTATAGGCTTACACTTATCTATTATTAACGACTGTAGCGCCACGAAAAACCGCCATGCACGAAATTATATCGTTTATAAGCGCAATGGTGTTGTTCGTAATTATTTTATGGACATCGTCGTTCAAGTTTTGCATGTGCAGCAACGACAACAAGAATAATGATACCGCGGTGGCGGCAGATTGCGATTTTACCGAAAGGTTCGTACACAGGTCCTTTTTTTATTTTTATTATTATTATTTTTTTTAGAGAATAATTATACTATAAACAATAACCTGAACTACCTAAGATAGTTAATATTGTGTATTGTGTATCTGTATAATATTATAATAAAGTTACGACGAGATCGTCACGGTCAGCGTCCAAGAACCGGTGTACGTGATAACGTATAAATGGTGTTTGGATATTCCGCCCAGGTGCCCGGATAACAAACAAGACTATAGAACCGTGCACAAAAACATTGTAAATATAATAATCATTTATAGCATTTATAATCAATTATATAATAATTAAAGGCGGACAAAAGATCGTTTCATCATTTTATTGTAGGCGTCTATCGAATTTCCTGTTTTTTTTTTTCTTTTCATTCCAGACTATACCCAAAACCCGCACGGTGAAGAGATGCTGCAAAAATCAAATTCAACTGTACGAAAACTGCGTTGAATATTGTACCGAAGATCAATGTCCGAATATACAATGTACGCCAGGTACGGATATGTGCAAATGCAAGTCCGGGTTTAAAGGTCATTTGTGTAGACAAAGTAAGTATAGTATAGATGGCTGCTCGAAATATTTTGCTTGAATTATTGTTCAAAAAATAATAATAACAATACGAATAAAATCACTGTCCAAACGAAATTCCGTAGCCAATACAGATATCTATGTTACTCATTATAGATTATAGATAGCGTAGCGATTGGTTTTTACTGTGATATGTGTTTTTTTATTTTTATTAATATGTTTCGTGTGCGTAAGTAACTTTGCTACTAGAAAGTTTGCATCGGAGTATCATATGTAACATTTTTTCTGAAAGGTAGTTTTATCAAGTTGGAACATTGAGTAAATCGTTATTTTTATATTCTAGGGGCTTTTAAAAATAATTTGGAAAACCCCAAATAAAATTATAGGTAAAGGTTGACGTGAGGTACATTTTAAGTCGTGGTGCAGTGGTACATTATAATTAGTGGCAAAAAAAATAATCGAATGTTATATTAGTATATATATATATATAGTATAGGTATACGTAAATATTTAAAACATGTATAATCAAACTTCGCTCCAGTTCATTTTTCGTTAATAATGGGTTTGTTGTCACGTACGTAGCTGTAAATTAAATAACTTCGTATGTATTCTACCTCCTCAACTAGGTACCCTCATACAACAGTGACCAGTATCAGATTTTTTATCATTATATCCGTATAGGCTTAAGAATATAGCAAAATTTAATCTATTGAAAATATGAAGTATAATTTTTGCAGATGAGCTTTTTTTTTGTTTTGTTTTTTAGATTCTGAACAAAGCGAGGAATGTATAGGTTTTACAATTTTATTTTATTTTTTTTTTGTACCTATGAGCAAATTGTTTACCCTAAATCTTGGTCCAACCAAAACGTAACAGGAGACCTTTTTTTGTTGCATTTTGATTTTAGATGGTGCATTGAGGAAGTTAATTTTTGAAATTGTCATTAATATTCGAGATAATGAAGACCAACTGGTTAATTAGATTGAAAAAGATGAAAAAATTAAAAATGAGGTTGTCATTGATAACTGTTTTTATTTATTTTTTGTTTTTTTTTTTTATTTTAATAATTTTTTAAACAATCGCTGTTGTGAAAACGCACATTGTCTTAAAAGCAATATTATTCTCTAAATTTTTTTCCATACTAGGTACAAAAACTACCAGAAATCTTACTTCGTTTTTAGGTATAACACCTTTTTTGAAAGAAAATGTTTATGGTAATTTTATAAATTTCCAAGAGGTTTTCATATTAAATGTGAAAAACGGGAAAAAATGTAAGAAAAATCACGCTTTAAATATTTTCAATTTTGTTTTTTTGTTGTACCACAGTTTAAAATGTTTTGAAATTTAAACAAAAACGATTAATCGTTGCATACCAAATTAGATTAAATTCTCCTCTATATCCTACTTTCCCAATTTCTCTCCTGCTACGGTGGCCCACCCATAGTGCAAAGTATGTCCGTTTTTTTTAGATATTTGTTTGTAACTATAATATGTATAATATAATATTAGATTCTGAAATTAATTGTTTAGAACATCGAACATTTAAAACAAATCATATATCAGAAATAACAATATTTTAGTTTTAAATACCTAGCAGCGTAGCAGTGGTAAATACATATTTCCCCCTCTTTATGTAGCACTCATCTGTAATTAAAAAAAAACAAAACAAATATAATAACTTAACATTTAGAAATAATTGCTCTATACGTATTTGTTTACCTAATAATTCAATGATTACACCGAAACAATTTTTCTTTTGTTAAATTTGTTTTTTATTTTAATCGTAAAAATAATTATACTTAAAAAAATGTTATAATTAATACATGCTATAGTTCATCTATCTTCTATATGCATAACTTTACTTACAGCAGTGACGACTGTTGTTTTAACAGAATATTACGCAATATCATATTGCATACATTGTAAGCAATGTAATAAATTTCGATCTCTTGACAAAGTTGTGATAAAAAAAAGTTAAAAGGAAATTAATTTTAAATAGATGATTAAAACGGTGAATAATTTATTATAATCTTAATATTAAATAATATGATTTTTCTTTGAAATGTTAATGTAAACAGTTGTGAGAAGTGAACAAAAACCACTCTCCTTAGTATTTAATGTAGTATTTATTGTTTAGCTAGACAGGTACATTATTGTAATATTATATTACACGAGGCAATTATTTGTTAATGGAGTATATTAAATGGAAAATATTTGTAGTTTATTGATAAATGTTTGGCATGTTAAGTATGCAATCAAAATGGGGACTTACTCATTCATTATCATGCGGAGATGAAAATTAATTTTCAAAATTATCGACACAAATATAGTATCTATTCGTAAACATATATCAGTAATATAAGAACCATTAAATGATATTAATTTACCTATGTGTATCTAAATAAGTTGTATTCGGTATATACCTATAGTTTTTTGTTTTCTACAAAATTAATTTAGTTTTTTTTTAAGTTACATTAAGTAGATACCTATAAAATTTAAATAAAACTGATATCATAGTTGACTCGTATATAAAGTTTATTGATTATTATTTATTAGATAAATGAAAAAAAATAACAATAAATAAATAAATTAGTATAGTACAAGTATCATAATATACAGGGTTTTTATTATTTACCAGCAATTATTTCTGAGTATATACCTATTTAAGACATATAGATATATGGAGTAGAGGTAAAAAATTAAAAATGGTTTTAAAATAAAGATTAAACGATTCTATAATGATAAGAAAACACAGAAATCAAATTTATTTAAAATTCTCCGAGATAATTGCTTGTAAATAATAAAAAAATCACCCTGTATGTACACAAAAGTTTGAGTATTATAAGTATTATAAATATGATACTTTTATAAAAAAAAACCAGAAATAAGTAAATTAAATATAGAAAAGGTCTTGAACTTATTTTATTAACTTGCATCCATTAAAGGTTATTAAAGTTAACTTTATAATTTTATAATCAAATTAAATTTCAATACAAACAATTTGTTTTAAATTTTATTATAATACATGTTTAATGTAAAACACTATGAGTGACCCGTATTGGCACCGAACCTATAACCCAATAGGGGCAGTCACCCCCTTTTTTCAGTGGGTGGTGATCGGTTGGTCATAACAAAGGGGCGACTATTAAAATTCACAGGGTATAAGTTTATGAAAGAAAATAATTTTAATCTTGATGATTGATATAAACACAGTTAAATACATTTAGGTACTGTGATATATTCATTATTAAAGTAGGTATGTCTTATTTACATACATAATACTAAGAACAATTTATTCATTATATCAATTTATTGCAATTAGTAATTTCGTTTAAAACAAGAGTCATGAATCTTAAACGTTTTTGAAGAACAGAGGGGGCATTGGCCCCCCCTTGGTTCTCCCATGGTTGGTGGGTACACAAACTAATTTTGCCCTCCCAAATTAATTTAAATTCGGCGCCACTGGTGACCAGTATTAAAATTTAGATTTTTTCATTAACTATATACGTATCTGCATACAGCATATGCAATACAATTATTTGTGTATTAAATTGGCCGGTTTTGCATAGATACTTCTGAATTATGATACAGGTGTTTCATCAAATGTGCTTTTTTTTTTTTCGGAATTATCGTTTTGAAAAATCAACAGTTAATTTAAATTCGTGTAACATAATTTTTACAGCGTAAATAACCGATATAATTTTTTTCAGAAATTGTTAATATTATATTTTTATTGTTAAAATATTGAGTTGAGAGTAGTGTACTCATGACATACTCATGACAAAAAAAAAACAGTCATAATTAAAAGTTACTTTGTTTCCAAATTGCATTGGTATAATATTATGTATCCAGGTAATTATAAAATATCTACGTCAATAATTTCCCCATACTGTCTGTGTTTTATTATAATTCATCGCTATAAATAATTACAAACAAATAATTGGTCAACATTTGTGTAATTTATTGTTGAGAATGTTTAAATAATAATATTAAAATAAGATACTTATAAAACATCATAATGCTTCAATTATTAATTCTAACCTAATTAATATACTTAACATAATATATAGATACGTAATAATAATAAGTAATATTCAAAAACAAAATTATGGAGGTTTATCTACTTTACAATAATATTGATTTTTCTCATAAACGTATTTTTATAGAATAAACTAATTAATAAATATACTAAGAAAGCTCTGATCCATAAGTTAATAACTTTAAAATGATTCCGTGTAGAAACACTGGCAAGTATAAGTGCATTAATCCGATTATATTATATATATATAAAATTACTTACACAAACATTGTATTAAAAGCTTAATAAAAGCTTTTGATTGTTTTAAGCCCTTATATTATAATCATAAGAAACATTTTGTAATTTCGCTTATAAAATTATTATTTTATTCAGTATTATAGAAACTTACATAAGACGACGACGTGTCGTGTTTAATATTAATCAAATTATTATGTTATACCTTACATAATTTTTTCGTCCACGTGAAAAAGTTTCTAACAGTAGATAAGTATAAGTTGTATGTATTTAGTTTATTTTACTTTTATGAATAATCAAAATCTGCGCTACTTTCACTTAAATCCCAAACGCCTTTATCGACTTAACTAAATAAACCTCATAAATTACACTTTTTACGAACATAATTTTAATTGAATTTATCAAGTATATAACTAAAACATAATACTAATAAGTAATAGGTATACATAATATAATTTTAAATTTGTGTTGGCAGTGCTGTAGAACAGCTAATACGGAGGAAGTGGTATCATTGTTGACACAACGAATTGTTATTAAAAAAGAAAGATTCCATTAAATTTCAGGAATGTAAGCATACGGATTTTGAATGGATAGCATCTCACGGACATTAATTTCAAGACTTGAGATTTTCAACTTTTAGACGCTTAACGAATAGCATATTATAATATAGTTGCTGTTTTTTTAAAAAAAAAACTTGAAAATGCATTTCTTTACTTTCGAAAGAGCTTGGCATTTAATATGTTCTTGTTTTCCTAATATGTTTTACCAACCAGTAACCGTGTGTGTTTATCAAAACGATTATATTTCAGGGTGTGACGTCGGCCATTGGGGCGCTGGCTGTAAGAACGTTTGCCATAGAGCATGCTCTGATTGCGACCACCGTACTGGGTGTTGTTACACAGCGATCAGCGGAGGCCGTACTCCTATCGTGGGACTGAAGTTCTGCGTCAAGAAACCTGCCGAAATTGTTTCGATCCCCACCGGACGACACGAGCCCGGCAAAACTGAATCAAAAGGTAATTCTTGGGTACAGAAACCGGTAATAGAGCAGGTGACCCTGCAAGTAAAATTGAACTCGACCGAAACAACGACACAGGGTCCACCGAAGATGCCGGAGACCCGATTTACGGAGATGTCGGCGGAAGGGATATTAGTGGTGGAAGAACCTGCAGTGACATCCATCCAACAAACACCGAAGACACGTACTGACAGCGATGGATTCGTCGGCACGGTAACCACGATGCAAGTGACCGTGTACAAGTACGACGAACTGGTAACGAAACTCATTTGGATATCTGTCATGACCGTGGTGTCCATCGCCATGGTGTTCGTAACCATGTTCGTTATTTTCTTCAATTGTTACGGAGTGTCCAAATTGGATCACCACAAATCTCGGAATCAACGGAATCTGACGTCTATTTTGAAAAATGATGGTAAAAACGACAGTACTTAGAGTACTGTTTATTTTTAAAATGCCTTTTTTAAAAATATATTTTTACCAATCCCAATATGCATAATTAGATGACCAAAGCAGAAATCTGATATATTTTATTTGTAAGGTGAGGAGTTGATATTACAACATTGTTTCTCGCCGATTAGATAACGGTTTCCGGTTTGATTTTATCGGTAACGAGAACAATAAGATGATTATAAATTAGTGGCTATACAAGTGGGTTTACAACAAATCGATGTGGAAGGAAGAAGATGAAGAAATAGATCGTAAAGAAGATAGTTGAATATGATTGAAAGTGAAGAAAGAACTATTGGCGTATGCGTATATAATGCGAGTTAGTGAGACCGTTTTAAGTTTGAGATTTAGAATCAAGTTGGTCGATGCTAAATAGTCGGGAAAAGAGACGGCGGAGAAACAAAAAATTGTTGTAATATGAATATTTAAATAACATTTTACATTAAAACACTTTTCATAATTTTGGACTCTAAATATGTTAGCTAAAATCTAATTTGTATTACCTAGATTTTCAAACGTGTTGGATTTATCGGTACAGGGGGGTTTAAAAATTAATATTTTTAATATTCCGTTACCATATTCAATGTCGTTTTTGAACTTATATTTTCACACTCAAATTATTATTTATTTATTTATTTACAGATACATATAAACAAAACTTAAGTCACATACCGCCAGATAGATATACAAAGGCCCCAGTTTTACATGCATGTAAGCTAATATTTTTAATTATTTTTAATAAAATTAAATTTGTTAAGGAATTATTTACAATACAATTACTCTACGAGACACTATAAATTAATTAAAATACTTATATTATTATATAAAATAACCTCATGGTAATTTTACTTTATTTTCGTTTAAATGTTATTGCACAGATATTTAAATTAAACAGTTCATGATTGTTTTAACAAGGTAGTTAAAATTTTGTTGAAAATGATATTCATTATTCGTTATTTATATTTTAGTTAATGGATCCGTTTTCTAACACTTTACACTATCTGTTCAAGAATATACATAAAACTTTTCTGATTTTTCATTTCTGCGATACTAAATTAACAAAAAACATACCATCAGTGTTGTAGGTACGTAAATTGCAATGAATAAAATAATTATTCGACACTTTTGGTACATTTTAATTATTTAAAAAGTTTCACATTAGTTAAACATGATAGCTACCTAGATCAAACATTTTGTTATTATTCCTACTATAATATATGTGACATGTGTAGATATAACTATAGCTAAATTGCAATAGTAAATCACAACAAATATAATTTATTTATATCAGATTAATTGTATTCAATATCCAATCAGTTTCATTCTATCATTTGGCACATTGTCGAAACGTGAATAATTTGATAAATAATTTATTTGATATTATTTAAATTAATTTCTAGCTAATATCAATACTGACTTTCCAATTCACCCAGAGACATTTTGTCCAGTTTTCTCAGCTCCTCATTACACAGGTAAGAATTAAATTCATAATAATTTATATAATATTTATTTATTGCTAAATTTGCAAATATTAAAATCTTCATAATAATATAATATAAGAAAAATAGAAAAACTATGAAACCTACCTATAAATTAAAAAAAAAAAAAAAACACATTTTCAAAAAAAAGCATGCTGGAATTTATAAATCTATTTGTCTGCTTATGAAAAAAATTGAGGAGGGGTGATTTTCAGCCCTAGGACTGCTTATAGTAAACTACTGTGTCCAATGTTAATTTTCTTTCAAAAATAGTTCCTTTCTTATAACTGTAAACGGATGTTTCATCATCACAGTATATTTTATAACATGATAATTTTCTACGCTAACAATAATAGATGACTCAAAGTCAATTTATTCTATCGGATATAATAATAAAACTGTTGTTAAGTTAGAACCATGAAGATTATAAAACTGAAGTTACGAATCTGCCTCGTCAAATTGAAAATTAAATTCGTATATTATTCAGGGCCGGTAGCGTTAAGTGGTATAATAACTTACTAATAATAATATTTTTTTGATTTTACGGATAATGGTAAGTAAAATTGCGGGTAAAATTGAAATGCCAATGTCAAATAATACAGACTTATCAAAAATATATACTTACACTAATTCTGAATTTATGAAATAATATAATTTTTTTTCCCCTAAACCTCGGTGTGTATATTTATTTATACTTCCGTATGTATTATATATTTGTATAGTCAATATTCCTACTATGAAATATTATATTTATCACACACGAAATATACTTGAGTAAGATTAATACTGAAATATGACAAATATAGTGTGTACAAATGTTTAGATTTTAAACCCGTGTAATTTATTATTATTTGATCTCGTAGATGAAACTGTAGATGACGAGCATAAAGAAGAACTATGTTATATAATATTAAAATGTTAAAATCGATTAGAAGTAAAATAATCTGTCATTTACGGTTATGATGGTTTATAGCAGTTGTATGTTTTACACTTGAACATTGAGAAATAAAATTTAAAATTAAACAGTGATTAGGTACTTTACGAAAATCAGACTTATTTTTCTCCCTCATTCATACAAACAATAATTCGAATGTCCATATATTTTTGAAAACTCCAAATTATAGAACATCACATTATAATTATAATAATGAGAGTATTTTATATTCATGTATACTAAAGTATAATTTGAACTTCCAATTTTTTTCAGTCTGTTCTCGGCTCAATAATTCGAGGGAATATTTCTTTGTTTAAACTTCTACAAAAAAATATCTCAAAATTCGATAAAATTATATTATTACAGCTAGATAAAATAAGTGTTTCCAAAAATTGTTTTTTATTTAATTTGTTTTGAAATTGATAACATCACTTATATCAAAACCGTATGTCTCAGCCAATAAGACATGAGAATAAATTAGAGATAAATGTTGTTTTTAAATATTTTTGTACAAAAACTGTGTACTGTTGCATTATAACTAGCATAAGTGGTTATTTGTGGGATGTGTATAAAAAAAGTCAATCACAATTTAAATTCAAATATCCTTATATCGTAACACTGAATCGATCGGGATCCGTTTAAAGTAGAATAAGGCTAAAATCGCAAATTTTAATTACATTACGAACAATAATTTTTCTCATATCAATCAAGTGTACAACTTCGACTTGGTACCTCCAAGGCCATTTGTATACAGTTACAATGAATAATTGCTTTAACTTATTGAACAGATGAATAATGTTATAAACTATATAGATTATAGGTAGATACATAGTAAAAGTTCGAATTGAAAATAATAAGTGTGGATATTACGAAATACTTTTGTTTTACAGGACTTTTGTCCCCGGCCGAAATAATTTTAATTTAAAATTAATTAATTAAAATGAATGATTTTAAAAACAATATACAATATATTAGATAGCCAATATGTATGAATAATAATTGTAAATCGCACAATATAATTTTAATAATAAGAATAAGTCGATAAATAAACCGATACTCGATGTCGAATTTATTGGCACCTATAGGTTTTTTTAAAACCGATTTTTGATCCGATATTTTGAGAGAAAAATATCTTTAACGGAAATATCAACTCGTGGTTTTTGATTTCAAATGTCTCATTTCGGGTGTCAGTTTTATATCAAAAGCATGCATTGGAATTTTGGATATTGGTAAAAATTATTATCGGTCCATCACTAATTAATAATACATTTTTATTATATTTTTGATATGTAATTTTTCAGGTGGTTCGGCAATATATGATTCCCCTCAACCGCTATACGAAATTCTGTGTTAAATATGAAAAATATAACAATAGTTAATTAATTAGTCACATATAGTTGAAAATATTAATAATTCAATAAACTATTAATCGTTAATATATTATATCATAACTATCTTATGAGACAATAAAATATAACTACATATTATTATATTTTTGTTTAAATTTGTATTAATTCAAATTTAATATTTATTATGCTTACCCATAATAATTACTATATGCATAGTAAACTTGTTATAACATTTTTTACAGATATTAAATGAAAATAAAAGAAAGTTTTATTATTTATGTCCTAAAATAAAAACATAATATATTCCTTAACTAATTTTAATTTTTTAGAACAGATTATTTTCTATTTCTATTTCTTTTTAGTATAACTTTTAGATATATACAGGGGCATCATTGCTCAAAAAATATTAATCAATAAGCATATTTTACAGATAGAGTAAATAGTTATAGGTTTATAATATGCTCATATAAAATTATAAAAAGCCAATAAGGAAAACAAAAACAAAATAATTCTAATTTTTTTCATAAAATATTATTTATAAGAAAAAAAATATATCGTGGTAGTCGTTTTCTCTATTTTTTTTTCTTGTCAGTACCAAGATAAAAATAATAATCCTTACGTCTATAGGTAGTATAAAACCACAATAGATGTGTCAAATCCACAAAATGCAATTATCGTATAATTATTATTATAAAGAACATGCACATTATATCGCATAACTCTTCAGTTAATATTTTGAAGTGCCTTCGTTAAAATATCCCATCACTGTAATATTATTATGACGTTAATATATAGGTGACGTGTATTATAATATTATTTGTTAGGGTTAGAAAATACGCCTACCTAGCTGCTACTATATTATTCATAATATTTCATAATACAATTTTAGCTTTATACTGGTATTTAAAATTAATTAATCGAATCAGCTATATAACAACATGTTTTTTCTTATATACACGATCTATTAATCTATTTACCGCATATATGAAGTATAAATTAATTTGAAAGCGTTTTTATAAACCGTTCAAGTAACCTACATACCGAAGTTCAATAACAATATGGGTAAGAATAAATCTCGAAGATAGTTATAGCCGAACGAGTGGAGAATATAAAAAAATACAAAATATATTTCGAATGGAAAATATGAAAATATATTAAAATCTTGGAATATTAATGCATTATGAAATTTTAATAAATAATTACAAAAATATACAAATTTATTTACTGTGTGGGATGGAAGCGGAGCATATTATGCAAATATTATATTTAATCAGATTAAAATTCAAAAGCATTGCATTTTGTACGACTATGTAACCAGTGGCATACCCAGGAATATTTAATGGAAAGGGATGTAGCAATTATTAATCATAAATAAATTGTATAATTTTCTTCTTTACTCTATATAGGAATTAAAAATCTGGATTTAAAAGACCAATAAAATTTGTAATCAATAAATCAAGCTATTCCTTGTAACTTGGCTATAAATATTATATACATTTCTAGATCAAATTTCTAAATAAATGATCATCATTTTTGTGCAAAAAAACCAATTGGAGAGGGGGTTTATGACACTTAACCTCTTTCCCCCTCCACATGTCACCGATTACACCATAAATTAATTATTTTGTTTTATTTTATTATAGGTTTTTACCATAATTCAATAAACAAATTAATATAGTTTCCGAAAATACATCTTCTGCATAACAATAAGCTTGTGATGGAAATATTGAAACATCGTGTTTAACATAAGAATGTAAAACTAATTTTGATATCAACTAATGAATTATACACTGATAGAACTCACAAAACTAAGATGAGTAGATAAAAACACACAAACACTGTGTTAACAGTTTACAATTTACTATTAAAACTTTAGGTTAAATTACACACTTAATAACCGTTGTAATAAAAAATGTATATACTAACAAATATATTTGTTGATTCGTATAATTATTTCTATGCTAATTTCATATGCGAATGGTCTAACATAAACCTTATTGAAAATTGTATTATCAGAATCAGGAAAACTAATATTCGTTTCAAAACCATAGCCTTTTTCGTTTCGTTTCGACGCCTAAAAATAATAACGTGTACACTGCACATACCAATGTAATAAGTGCCTATATCAAAATTCATGGTTAAAATAATAATAATTTCTCTACAAAAAATAAATAAATAACATTGAAACATGGCATGTCAAACATAATGATGTAATAGTAATGCTACTGTACGACGTTTATACTGACCAATTACATTATTTTTATTTATTAATATATAAAACCGGATGATATAATCAGTTCGGATTATTGACCTCGTTACGACTTACAATAATATACTTTAGTTCAAACTGCACTCGTTCCAATAAAACGTAAATGCCCTGTTAATATAATAAAAGAAGAAATGAAAAATAAAATACGCTCGGAATCTAAAATGATTATTTACGTTTCAACGATGGTCTGCACATTTTATTTAAAGTACCTAACAATATTATTATTATTAACTGTAAAAAAAAAAAAAAAAAAAACTATCCTGATATTATAAAAGGTCATATTTTACATAATATTGTTAAAAAGTATCAAAATAGTCTCGGGTGAGTTTCTTTACAACAATTGTAATAAAATTACAATTACCTTTCTAAAATGCATAGTAACATATGACACTTTTTCATTATTTCGAGTTTGTGTGCAATATTGTTTACTTCTGAAACTAGAAACTTGTTTTATTACTATTGAAATTACTTTTTTTGTGACTCTCGCGGGCTCGTATTTCAGTAAAAATATACATGTTTTTTTTAAACTATTCAGTTTACATTTTTACAAACAATATAGGTACCTGATGAAATGTATCTTAATATTATAAAATATATGGTTGAGAAATTTTTAACAGTAATATGAATTATATCTAAAAATTAGAGGTCTCGATTTAAAACGTGAATTATACGTACGTGAACACAAAGTCTGTGTACCCTAAATGAAAAATTCGTATTCACGTATAATCAATACACGTGAATTTATAATAGCTTTGTTCACATGTTTTAGTGTTAGAAATTCATATACAAATATACAAAATATTCAAAATAAATAGGTAAATGTAAAACTTTCGAATTATTATTTTAAATTTTTGTGGGTTGTAATAAATACGTAGCTAGGCAATATCCATTTTGGTTGTATAAAATATGAGCACTAACTATACAACACATGATGTAACCTCTACCAGCTGTCTATTTATTTAAATATTTTCAAATAATTCAAAAATTAATATTTGTTTGAAATGTTGGTACTAAATTATACATCAAATATCAATGACATTTTGTATATATATATACCAACAGGTTTAATAATATATTATTATGCGTAGGTTCCCAACCTATATTTTCGATAGGTTTATAGTTTAATATTTCGTTCCATATATGTATAATATATATATATATGAAAACCCATTATAAGGTTTACATCAACAAAAGTAAAAAAAAAAAAATTACATATTTTAATATGTATGTCGTGTAACCTAGACATTCGTATAAAATATTATACCTACATTAAAATGTTAAATTATATATTTTATGTATTTTTTCCCCTAACCAAACATAATTATAATATTGTAACCTCACAAATGTTGGAACAAATCTAGTTTAGGGCCCAAGCTCATTTTGCAAAATGTGTGTTTTTGCCTGTACATTAAGAATCTAAAAAAAAACCTTCGTTTGGAAGTTATGGAAGAAAACTTCATGAAGTTCGGGTTTCCATTTTACGTATTTCTTAGTAAGACTTTAACATTTTAAAATGTTTTTTTTTAATTTTCTAAAATGTGTGTTTTTTAATGTTTAACCTATTGGTATAATCAAAACTTACCTATCATACTTAACTTTAAAGTTATTGTACATAAAGCATTTTGGGTGCACCTAGAGACCTGGTGGGGTTACTCGTTCGCTGAGTTCACTCGGATTATTTTAATCGAAAATAACACTCGATTTGTTGTGGACAATTAATCCGGGTAGGTAATAGGTTTTTTCTATAACCTACCCGAGCCAGATCTAAGCCAGATAGACTTATTCTGACTCCAATAAAAAAACTTTGTAACCAAATTTCAATAACTACAAATCATAATAATAATAAAAAAATATCTATTTTCGACCATATTTTTGATTAGTTTCAAAAATGCTATTTTCCAAATGTTTATGTACAATAACTTCAAAAGTAAGTATGATAGACAAGTTTTGATTATATCTATGGGTTCAGCATTGAAAAACACACATTTTGAAGAACGATCGGCACCCATTGTGGCGTGTTCCGTCGTCCCGTTGGTGGGACTACCATCGTACGTGGTGTACGCGTCAAAAGTTAGACGGATTTACCTTGCGGCCGCCGTCTGTGTCTTTCGTGCCAGACTTCCGCCATTTTCACCGTTATGTATCGTCTTTTTCGTACGGCATGTAAACCATTACGATGACGGTTGTCCCAGTTTTCCACCGACGGAGGATTTTACCCTGGACAGATATTTTGGTGATAAATGATCCTGAGAGTGATCCCCGAGTCAACTCCTTCTCTGACCAATATTTGCGAGGACCAGCGGGCCGCCTTCAGCGTCAAGTTGCCGGCATTGGTGCAGCAGTGTTTATTGTAAATATTATCATATTATTGTCTTTTAGATTTAACTATGTATTTTTTTTTCTTATCAATTATACATACATAACTTATAGTGTTAGTTAAAGTGTACCCCTTTTCTTTCTCGTTTCTGTAATGTAACTGATTATTGTTATTTAATAGACGGTGCTTTGAGCCCGTCATCAATTTATAAAATACTACGTGTTTTTCTATCATTGTAAAAGAGTTTAATCTAACCTAAATATTGCACTTCCTTCCTGTGATCGGCATTGCGGCTGATTGTCTATAATAGACAAGTAGGGTTAACTTAATTTTTTAGTAAAGTTTTTAAGTGTAGCTAAATCGATCAACTTCACCTCTGGGGAGTCTGTAGTAGTTCGTGTTACAATATACATAATACATATACTTACCTAACTATATATTATATATATAATATTATTCTATACATTTTAATTGTATATATTTTTTAGTCTAAATAAAGCATTGGCATATTAACTATCATTAGGTCCCCCTCCCCAAAAAAAAATCCATCCGAAATAGGTTTTTGCAACCTTGAAAATTTCCCAGCAACGTTTAGCTAGATTTGTATTAAAAATTTAATTATGAGGTCGTATTGTTTTATTTAACGATACGATTTTACAATAGTTCCTGCAGTAAATTTTATATACTCATTGAAGTAATATATACCTACTCGTATTTTATTACCTACACTCAAACAAGCCTTGTTGAGGTTATAATTTAAAATTTTTAACAAATTGCAAAATCTTTTCATAATAAAGACAAACCAAAGACAATCATTTTAATACCGAAATGGTCTTAATTAAAGAAAACAATCGCTTTGCTACACAAAATAACGATACTTACCCATGCATAATGTAATAATATAATATTAAGTTATAGAGTGTTTATAAAAACAAAAACATCAAAGAGTACTTACCTATATGAGATACCCAATATAAAAAGAACGAAACATTTTCATATAAAAATAATATAGATTTCTATGATTTATTATTGACTCTTTGTACGAAGAAAAAAAAATATAAATAACACTGTGGGTATTGTTTTATTACAATCAATATAATGTGTATCCTGCGTAGTACTCTATTTTGTATATCGTTTTTTCTCTACCGCTAGAAGTTTACTCTCCAGAAATTTATCGAGTAACATAACGTCGTATAAGTACATTGCGGTAATTTTTTTTGTTATAATTTATCAATATAAGTAAAAAAAAAAAAATTGTCAACAAACCCGAGAACATTTGATGTATTATGTATTAATATATCGCCTCACCCGCTGGTAAATTGAGTTTGAGACCACTGGTATTCTTTTAAAGAAGGTGGTATACTACGTTAAATATATTGTATGAACTATAAATAGTATATAAAAACAGGTGAGAAGTTGGGAAGGTAAGATACATAAGGTTATTTCATTTATATCTGTATTCAACGATAAACCATTGCTTGACGAAAGACGATTCCGAACGCAGTTCGGTAATACATAATTTGAAGTGCCGTAATTTTTTTTTTCGCGATTTTCGTTTAAATTTGATTTCAAAACGCTTGTAAAAAATAAAGTTATTCGATGATTTTGGAAATTTTACCACGTCTAGGTAAGTCTAATATAAGTATTATTTCCAAGTTTCAAGTCTCTACGTGTATTTATAACCGAATTACCGCAAAAGACTCTCAAAAATTAAAATTCCTTAGAAGCTCAAAATTGGCTCAAAAGTTTTGGCAATGACACTATAAGAAAGTAAATCAAAAAGGTAAAAAAAAAGGTATAATGCAATTTTTTGATTAAATTATTTTTTCTGGTCGTCTTTATGGTGTTTTTATAAAATAATGAACTACTAAAATTGTACGTTTTCTTACGTATTTTCTCACTTAAGTGCTTTTATTTAAAAAATGGCATCGAAAATCAAAAAATGACCTTTTATAGTACAATCTAAACAACTTGAGATTTCAGAAAAGTTGCTACAAGTAACAATTGAAGCAAGTTTACTAGGAAAACAGACTAGACTACAGACTAGAAAAAGAAAAAAGAGAACATCTTAGTAAAACTAATAGCTCCCTCGCTACGCTCGGAATCTCAAAGTAAACAGCATTGTAAAAGTCAATCCAAAAAAATTGTGTATAATGCTCCACGAAGATATACCCATATTGTAATATCTCCTGAGATATTCGTAAAAAAAAATAATCAAATTCTGTATTTTTATATTACTCGCAAAAATAAGGATTACAAACAAATATATTTGAATTACAATTTTATGAGATGAGGAAAAAAAAACAAATGAAAAGAAGCATTTGGAAAAAATATACTTATTTTACACATTATAATAATATAAAAAGTAATATTATTGGTGAGTACTACATATTATATAGTAGCCTACATCATCTATATGGTACTGTAGTACCGAACACTATTATTGTCTACACACTATAATATATTCAATGGTAATATTTCAAACGTCACAAAAATAATTATCGAAGCAAGTTATTGAAATCTGCAGTCCATAATCGAAATCAAATGTAACAAAAATTATTACTATTGTGGCGTAAGTACAAAATATACTCAAATCAACTTGAAATAAATGCTATAGCATATGTACTCGTATAGCGTACGCCGGACGTCGATTGTAGATAACCAAAATTATCGATAATAATCATATTGAAAATTTCTTAAACACTGTAGCACATCATATACGTTTTAAATAAATACATTTTTTTTCATAGGTACCTAGATATTTTTTATATTCTATGTGTGTATATCATTTTTTTTTTTTTTTTAATTTATTACAAATATTTTATTATTGTATCTATGCATAATGTAATGTATTATAATTTCAAATGACTTATTATATAATATATAAATAATAGTATAATATACCTATTGATCTTCAAAAATAAATAAATTTAAATTATAACTCGGATAAATCCAAATTTTTTTATTTTGAAACAAAAATATTTATGGAATTTATTTTTTCCAATATATGGTATAACCATATGTTTATTTTAAGTTGATTTTATACATTTTGTACTTACACTACTATAAAAGTAATTTTTGTTACTTTCGATTATGGACTGCAGATTTCGATAACTCGCTCCAATAGTTATTTTTGTGAAATCATTTAAAAAATCGTCATTGATTACGATTGATCGTCATGATTCTAATCACCCTTATTCTCAACAAATATCTAGGATTGAACGTATTCTATTAAATAAACATAATTATCAACCCAAGCTCAATATTATTATTATCTATAAAGTAACCAAGAGAAATAATTTCAATTGAAACTCTAATACAAATTCATAAACGTATCAAAGAAAAAATAAAATACAACTCGCCGAATAATGTTCACTATTGTAATATGAAATATCAAAACAATATGTCTAACAAATTCAATAAAATTCTGAACAATAATACAAATAATGTAAAAATCGCTTTTAAGACTGATAATAATTTAAACAAACATATAAACAACAGAATTAAAAACTTCTCTCTTCTTTTAAAAATGCTGGTAAATAAATAATTAAATGTAACTGTAATAAATTTTATATAATTAAGACAAATAAACATTTTAAAATAAGATATTAAGAACTGCACATTTCTGAAATAAAATTAAAAAATACTGCCTCTAATTCAAATTTCGCTAAACATGTTTTTAAAAAATAACCATAATATAAGTTTTGATATTAATACAGACTTCGAAATATGAAATACCCAAAATAACATTTACATTAATTCGGTTTTAGAAGAATTACACATAGACAATGAAATTAAAAAAAATAATTTTAATACTTAATATTTTAAATGTTCAAACCGATTTTAAAAATAGCAATAGTCAATACATTTTAGATAATAAATAATAACCAAACAATTTATATTTATTATATATTTCGATACCTTTTATACAAGATACCTCTTTAAACTTATTTTTAGTATATTCAACAGTTTTAGTGAAATCATATTAACATAAGTCCTTGATTTTCTAAGCTCTTATTATAGCTGTTATTAAAATTTCATAATCCAATAATCCATAAACAATTTATTATCAATTGACCGATAGGTCAACGATAGTCGATACAGGTATAGGTAAATAAAAATTTAAAAATAATCGAAATGTGAATATATCCTTAGTTAAATATTATAGTATTTTTTTTTAAAAATGCTAAAATATGTATAATAATTAAAGATCTTCTGAATGTACAAACATATTATGCAATATCAAATTGTGATTACTAACACATTCAGTTAAGATTCAAGTGTATATCTTACCTAGCCACTTTTTAATGTAATAAATAAAAATATGCAAGTGCATTATATAATAATTCCGCGGCTTCTTATAAGTATCTATAACAATACCATTGAATTGGAAATTTTGAATCTATCTAGCTTATTAAAAGGTAGGCGGTAAAATAAAATTATTTCCCCGTTTTTCCAAATTTATTAATGGTGTTCGGAATAACCGATAACCGATTTATTTAACATTGAAATAGATACACGCCGTCGTTTAGAAAGGTACCAATAAAAATTAAAAATCGGTAAGTGGCAAAATTATACATTTTTAAATAACGCGTGTGTTTTTTCTTAATAAACCAATAAAATGTGTACACACTTTTAAAAATTCAATTAGGTATTTGAAAGGAAAAATCCAAGATAACATTACAATTGCGTTACAATTGAGTTTTAAAATTTAAAAAATGTTTAGGTATGCCTATGCACATAATATGATAACATACTAGATTATACACTATTATTATTGCAGATAGTATTATTTGCTAGTTTTCACTTCATATCATTATACTTTATAGAGTATACCTTACAACAGTTAAAATAATTTCTGTATCCAACGTAATTGTATTTATTCTAATGTGACTGAAAAGTAGATATGCAATTTTATTTTCATTATACATGCAGCGTATAACATCTCACCCCCCCAAAAAAAAAAAAATTGTCGTCAAAAGATGTTAATAATCAATTCAATAAATATTATTCAGGTATAGATTTGCCAATTATAGTTAAATATTGTGAATAATATGGAACGTCTGTTGTTGAATATCGAGCGAAATCCGAATAACGAAAACGTCAATTATTGTAACACAATATCATTTTAATACCCTTGTTTGTCTAAGCTTAAAAATATTAAGGTGAATACGCCACCACTGGACGTCGACTGATGTAGGTCAACCTGACCGACTTGCAGCAATGACGTGGACGAATCCTTATTAAGCTGCACGTATTGTACGGCATATATATATACGCGATTCGATTAAACGGTGCGGGCATATACCCAATACAATATTGTTTTAAGAGGCTAAAAGACAAAATCCATTCGCCGTCGTTCCCGGCCGTCACGGCCGTGTAGGATTTTAAAAACGTCCGTGAAACTTGACCACAACTATTATTATTATTATTATTATTATTATTATTATTATTATGTACAATAGACGGATTCACGTTGATTATATTTTAATCGTATGCACAATAATGTTGCATTATAGTTCTTAAACCGCGGCTTTGTTTCCGAGTCGTTACGGGGTCGTATATCGTAGGTACCCGCATATAGACCCCGGGGGCTGGACGTCAAAATAATGTCGTTTAGGTATTATATAGGTACCTAACTATTCCCGGACGGGTTCGGAATAATAATATTATTACAGGTAGCCAGGTTAAGTCAGGCAGATAACACGAATTACACGCAATGGCGAATTAAGGCTCCGGGGCTGGATCAGTGAGGATCGACGGAGCAACATATTGGAATTCCGTTCGTTTATTGGAGACAATTTTCATTTATTTTTGCTCAGGCATACCTATATCTAATTTAAATAGTCTAAATAATCAAAAAATATTTTTGAACGTTTATCAAGTCGTATAAGTTTGTACCGATATCTCCTGCGACGGACATCCACAAATAAGGTGTTTATGAAGTCGATAAAGTATTCGAACGAATGATTCATATTTTTCTTTGAAGGACAACAAATTGGTCTTTGTTGCAGGAACGAGAAAAAGAACTAGTATCCTTCCTTCGACCGAGCCCGGAATTAGTTCCGTTTTAACAACGTGTACGCGGAACGATTACTTTTTAAAAGGAACATTCCAAGCACCGTCAATTATTCTATTAAACGAACATCCCGTATGCCTATACGTACATAGACGGACGGGGGGGGGCCCTTTACATAATCCGCGGGCGCACCCCCTCACCGTAATATCCCCGGGCTTGGAGACAACGATTTCGCGCCGTTCGTCGGCCGCACGAAGGTTCGACTAAAGCTCCCGGCCGAGACCCTTTTGGCGCGCGCCCTCTATGAACGGCGCCCGGAACAGCGGCCGCGAGTCCCGCGGACAGCCGGCGGTCGGGTCGCCACCGGGGCCCCGGGGCGGCGTCGCCGTAGCCGTCGTTACCCAGGATATCGATCGGGCGGCGGCTGGAGGTAATCGTAGTAATAATAATAATAATAATAATAACAATGATATTATTAAACACTCGCTGATAAGACACCGGCCTCCCGCGCCCGACCACACGGAACCCCCCCCCTCCCCCGCCGGCGGGGTCGGTATTTTATTTTATTCGTCTTCCCCTTTCGCGTCAGTACGCGCCACCGCGACCGCGTGCTTTAAGGCGGCTGGTATACAACACGTCCGACCCGTCGTCCACACCGTCGTGCCGGCCGTATCGTCGCGTCGTTGTAAATTATAAATGTCGCTGTAATCGCCGTGTGAATATTTCATCGCCGCGTCCGTTATTTCCGTTTATCGACGCGTGTTACGGTGGCCGCGTGCTTTCAGTAAGGCCACGGGCCGTCGGCGACGTACCTAAACGCGTTCTACACACGTCATAATAATAATAATAATAATAATAATATAATATCATAAGCCGGCCGCGTGTAACACAATCGAATAATCGTATTAATAAAAACCGCCGAGGCGCCCGTACGTAACGCGCGGAGCAGGTACTCAGGACGCGGACGACGATTATTATTATTGCTATTTACGTACGTCACCGGGTATAATTACACCGCGGTCCGTGCGGCGATAACATTGTACGCGTTCGGACTTTCGTAGTAACGACTAGTCGTCGGCGGGCAGTCGGCCAACGGAATCGGCAAGACTCCGAAACTATGCGACGACGGTGAGTGTAATATTAAGTAGACGGGCACCGGGACGATGAACATTTTCGTACGCCGTTTCCCGTGCCCCCCACCAGCCGACACACGGTAAATATTATCCGTCCTCGTAGTGATTACAACTTCGGCGAGGGTCCGCGGATCGGCTGCGGGTCCGGTCCGACGATACGGGGGCAGGGCCTAGGGCCCGGGCCCGGCCCTAGCAGCCGTAACGCACATTTCACCTCGCCGTGTTTACGTCAATACGAATTTTTTATTCGCAGTTTGGTTCCGTGATGTTTCCCTTCAAAAAACCAATACAATACCTGTGTGTAATGGATACGTATGTTAGTAATGCACTCGTCAATCGTTTTATTACATTAAGTGTATTCTAAAACCAATGGCAGTAGCGCAATTACAGTGAACTCCGAATGCATTGTATTTTCGTAAACCCGAGCGGTCGTTCGTACATTTAAATGACTTGCGAGTTTTCGAGTCGCGGCGCCGTGAAAAATGTAAGACACTATGCCGTATATGTGACCGATGAAAAACTCCTGTTGAAAAATTTAACGAACAACAGCGCGCATATTCACCGGCGATTGCGAGCTTACATGTCAAGCGCAGACTGCACTCGGACAGAGTGCGGTGTACAGAATATCCCGTCCGCCGAACGTCGATTATCGTCCAAATTATTTTAAGCGTGAGAATTTATAGAAATCGCACGTTTTCAAGTTTTTAGGGCTTATAAACAGAAATCACTTAACAATAATTATACGTAGACGACCCATAATAGTAGTCCGTTGAGCCACAATAATAGAATTGTTGGTTCGATAGTTTTCTTCCTCTACGCGTTTTGGTGATCCGTTTGAAACACTGCATAGGTACGCCATTATATTTTCGCACGTGTAAATGCATTTCTAGTCAGATTAGGTACCCGGAACCTACTCACGCGGATACTTAATTGAATTCAAACCGTAAAAACAAACATTAATAACTGGGGCATGCGTATGATTATAAGAACTGCATAATTTTGACCGTGTCTCTTTTCTCTATTCTATTTATAACTCGGTGAGCTAAAAATCTGTTCCATAACCCAATGGCATAATTTGTGATATTAGTTTAAATAGAGGCTATCAGAAAACACGTGTTTGGTAATAAAAACGACCGGATTTTTTTACGCTGTGCCATAAAAAATTATAATATTGTTCGCTTGGTGGTATTCTCTATTTGAATGTTTTTTCTCAATAAGTAACCCTCACCCAATATTTTTTATTTAAAAACGATATTTTAGCGGGTACCTAAAATGTTCCGATTTTTTCACGTAGTACAATAAAATATGTGAATTTTTCTGTTTATTTGAACAATTTTTCTAGATCAACAGACCTTATAAAAATTCGACAAGATATTATGACGACATTTCCGTTTGGCTCGCGTCGATTTCCGGGTTACCATGGCTACACGGGGAAAACAAGCGTAATACCTACTAATTACTATACAACTACCGGATTACCGAGCTTGGTTAGAAATCGTTTATTTATTCAAACGATTTTTCAGTCGCTTCAGTATAATAACACCGAGTGTGAATTACATCATTCCGTATCGTTAACCATCCGAACTTCCCTCCCGCAACGTTGGCGGTTTCTCGTCGTTGTCGGTAATTTCCCTCAGACACTGCGCAGGCCTACCGTTGAGTTCGTTAATTAAAACTCCCTGAAATGTCCGGCCAGTATTAGCGCGGTTGTGCAACGCGTTTAGCGTTTCGCGTAGTTCGCACATTTTGACGGGAAAGGAAAATAGAAACCGTAGACATTCGATCGGGTAAACCCGCCGGGCCTACTCGGGCCAGTCGCGCGGTCGATTAACACGCGGACTACGTAGGTACGCGAAACGCGTACGCGCCGTGCGTGCGCTGCACCCGGGCGTACGGCATCCGATTCAATCGAGCGGCAGGTACTCGCGTACGGAATCGTCGCAATAAACCTATTATCACGGCGCCGCGGCCGTTGGCAAGCGAGTCCCGCCGCTCGTGACAACAACAAACGCGCGACAATCCGGTGATAACGCCGATAGCGATAATAGCAATGCGACTCGCGCACCATTCGTCGTTATTCACCGTGCGTACGCAGAGCTGCCGTCCCGTCGGCGTAACCGTTACTACTCGCGATTTTACGAATGCTGGAAACCGACCGCGTTGGTATTAACAATCGTTTCCGTTCGATTCCGACGTTTTGCCGCCGTAGTGCAAGTCCGATGTACGTACCCACCTGCGTACGCTTCCGTCGCCGTCGTCGCATTCATTTAGACACGGTCGTACGGGAATATCGTTTCTACGTGTTTTTGTTGTGGTTTTTTTTTTTTTTTTTTCACGCGTTTTGAATAATTATATTCATTAACATTAATCGTATTCTTGTAGAAATTGCTGCTGCCTGGTCAATTTTGAAAACCGAATGAAAATCCGGACAATGTCCTGTTAACGTATACTCAATCGCCGTCGTGTCTCCGTATCGTATGCAAATACTACAAGTGAGTAACGAGCTAATTATTACAGTTCAACAATATTGCCATTGCGCCGTACACATTATATTTTAGGAAACGTACTTTTCGTCTTTTTTTTTTTTTTTAAACGCTCATGCTCTACCCACCGATTGTACCTTTGTGGCCTTGTGTCGTATTCGTAAAATTTATATTATCATCATATACAAACATTTCTTGTCGTTATCACCGAACATTAATCTCCCCATTACATTTTGAACATATTATGTAGCTTCTTTATCAATATTTAAATACCGAGTTATTGGAGTTCAGATAATATATTTGCACAATCAGTGCCATAAATACACATTAAAACAAATAAACATCAGACATGCCCGACTAACCCACTTAATCTTAAAAAAGTTTTCATATTATCAATAAAATGGAAGTTATGCAATCTTGTTAAAAATTCGAACTTGAAAACGCCAAAATGTGGCAAACTAATAATTTGACAAGGATTTATATTGCGTATGACTACCTACATAAAAAATGCACGAATGCTATAAAATCCAAGGTCTGATAATCTTGTTTTAAGAAACCCACCATTACCTACTGTAACTACTATTTTCTCTCCCACACTGCACGAATATGCACGAATTATATTTCTGAACCTTGTGTCAGTAGGCATGATTATATTCGTTTTTTTCGCATTATAAATACTGTTCAATAATCGTATATCTTGTGAATTTTCATACTTATACCTATAGATGTAAGTATTGGTCATAATTATTATGTCCGATGTTTAATTAAAATAAATACTTAGTGGTTGTGGCCCCCATTAAAATTATTAAATAGGCGGGATTAAATAACCTTACCTAATATAATAATAATTACAGGTAGGTACCCATATTATGTTTATTTTTAATTATTAGCTAAACAGAATAGTCCTGTTCAATGTCACGTTTAGCTATCAAATTATTATTCAAAACCATTGCCCCATTACAAACTTTATTGGCTTTTTTATTTTTGGTAGGCCTCTAAAATGCAATAACAAAATATTATTTATTAGTTACATTAATTTTCTTATGTGTATATTATTAATATATTATTATCATCTTCTAAGATTTTGAATAAGAAATTATTAAAATTTAAAGTTTTCTAGTGGTAATACTATTTTTATTTTGTATTCTTATTTTTTCAAAATTATATTCAATGTATTTTCTGTAAATTTAATTTTTTCCCTTAACATATTTTTCTGTGTTTTGTGCATATTTTTGTATTTTCATTACATATAAATCTGTTCCTACCTATTAATAATTTTTGTTTTTTTTTTACTGGTTAATCAATCATAATAAAATCTATACCTACCCAATAATATTCAAGGTTATCATTTGTTTTTTAAATTTTAAAATGTTTTCATAGTTATATTTTTGAAATAAATAAATAAATTAATATCAATTCACAATTAGCGTATTAAATAAAACGATTATAATAATAATAAAAAAAAAAAATAGGTATATAAAATGAGATATGAAGTGTTTAAATTTAAATAGATTAATACCTATATTAATTACCTATAAACTAGTTATCTACCTACTTACCTACCTAATTTCTTGATATACCTAATTATTTTCGTATAAAACATACAGTTTAGGATGTATACGTATTACTTTATTACTGTTATCTTTTTTCTTTTTAAGTATGTTATACGAATAATTAAACTAGAATTTAACCATAGAAAAAAATAACTAAACTAAATTATTCATTATAGTATATTGTATTCTATGAGTAATATTCACACATACTACACACTACCTACAATATTCTGACCTACACATTTCATAAGGTATTAATTGCTTATTATTGCTGTCTGAATTTCATAGATGATAAGTATTACAGATAAAATTGACGGTAGTTAGGTTTTGTATATTTATATCCCATGAATAGTTTATTTAATTTTAATTTTGATGATATAATCGATACAAACCTTTAAAAGTGCAAAGTCCAATTATTTATGTTTAAGCTGTAGTTTATAAAAAAAATGTATTACTATAAATTCCGTCTGGCATTAAATACACATCCAGACTAAAAAATTATATTATTTTGTGTTTAATTTATTTTTTATTTTGTACAATATAATTTTGTTTTTCAGTATGGAAAATGCTTATCTATTGTCAACTTTTCAAACAATTTCTTTCATATACGATGTTATAACATATCCAGTGTATTTTATACTGCAACAACCTTGGGTTAAAAAAGCAAAATCCAGGCAATTAAAAGTAAGATTGATTATTTACGATTATTAATTATTGTACTTGCTTAATTCTACTTTTTTGTTTTAATTATAAAAATTTTTGTTTATTTCAGTCTAATATTAGTAAAATAGATGATAACACAATCCTCATCAAAACATTAAGCGAACCTACTGTCAATCATCTTACTCTTGTTAAAGATAAAATAGATACATTACAAAAGGTATTTAAATATGCCGTTAATAAATATACAGATTCTTATTGCCTTGGAACTAGGGAAGTACTTGCCGAGGAAGATGAGTTACAACCTAATGGTAGAGTTTTCAAAAAAGTAAGTAAATTAAATATTGTTAAAAACATTGTATTATTATTTATGTAGTCAGTATATAAAATATTGATGATTTTTACGAATTGTGTAACTAGGCTAAACAAAAAAATACTTAATTTTAAATTTATATATGTCTTTAAATAGTTTACGATTCAATTTGTCCTAACATTGACATTGAAATATTTTAGTAATTATTATTATTAGTTTTGTTCAGTGGTTCCCAGCTTCTATTATTTTACGCCCCCTTTGTAGCTTTTTAAAAATCTCATCCACTTACCCCTTTCTGTTTTAACAAACATGATGAGTAAAAAATAAGGTTTCAAGGTCTCGATAAGCAAACACATTTTATCAAAAATGTCAATTGCTTCCCTATCACCTCTACTCTTAGATCATATTTGTTCGGAAAGGTTTTGTCTGTATGGTAACATCCCACACTCAGGTTTTTTATTTATTCTATATTTACTGTATGTATTATGTGTATATAGTGTATAGGTGTCCACATTCTGCATTCTAACTTTTTAGCTGACTGTACAACAGGCGTGCCCCCGAAGGGGAGGGCGATCGCCCCCCATTGTGATGTTCTTTTTTGTTATACAAAATACCCATAATTCTTAAGTATAAATAAGTACAAATTCAACTGGTTCCAAATGCCAGAAAAATAATTCCAGATCTTGGAAATACTTTGAAACAAGAATGAAACACTTCTCATTTATACATTTCAATAAATATTCAAGGTTGAGATTTATGGAAAATTAAGTAGGAACAATCAGTCTGCAAAGATATAATAAAATAATAGTTAAAAATATTCATAGAAACTTGAAATTTAAACATAAAACTTATATTTGCCTTTTCTTAGTGTGGTCAAATATTTGAGCAATTTACAGGCATTTTAATTTTGTGAATTTTGTACATAATTTTTATTAGGTAGGTACTCTATGGATAAAATTGTTAGACCAAACAGAAATGCTTGAGAATTCAACATGAAGTTTATTAAAAGTACTACTTTGTGGTAAAAAAAATTTGAGCAGAGGCTAACTGGCTTAACACTTGAATATTCATCGAAATGAAAATATTATTGAACAAGCCGCTTGTGAAACGCTGCTTAAAATAAAAGTATTTTGTAATTGGTCGTCTTACTTTTATTAATATTATTTATATAAAATCATATTATCATTATTTTAATTATTATTTATTTAATGTGAAAAAAATTTATTTAAATTTTAAATTGTACTGTTTTACTACATTTGTACAATATATCTGAAGTCATTTAAATTGAAATGGCATTATTAGAGACATAAAAGTTTTGAATTTTTGTTGACCAAAGCTGTGGTATTCAAGAGTAAAAATCATTCACCACCACCCTCCCCCATCCATAGTCAAGGTTTGGAGACGTCTCTGGGTTTTGTTTTTAAAAAAGATATTTACCTATAGTTAAGGTTTTTTTTTTTATTTTTCTGATTAAAATCAAAAGAAATTTGAATTTTAAAAAACATTAGGTATTTTTATAAATTAATAAAAAAAAAAATGTCAAAAAAGGAGATATATTTCCCGGATCTCCTAGCATAAATACGCCACTGATTTAGAAAGTCAAATAATTTTTACCTGCATAAAATAAATAATATAATATTGGTATTCAAAGAAAATTTTAGCAAATAAAATTGAAATTAATCAAAATCTTGAATGCTATATAAATATTTTTCCATTGTTAAAAAAAATTCTAAATCAAAAATAAAATTCTAACATTTTTTGATTCCATCTGAATGTAAATAATTTATAATCTTTACTTTTATTTTATCACTATGTAATTCTCTATAGTATTCGCCTGTCATGCGGGAAACTGGGGGTTTGATTCCCCACTGGGGAGGACATTTTTTTTTTTCTAAATAATATTTAGGTTTAGTGCGTAGTGAGGGGTCAATTTATTTTTCTATTTTGTGTATTATTATTTTTTTAAATTATTTAATATTTTTGGCACGCTGAGGTGTTACTGAGTTCATTATTTTAAATCTGGATGCACATATACTAATTTGAAAATTAGTACACGAAATGCCATGGTTTTTATGATTTACTTTAAAATTTGAGCTTTTAAGGCTTATAAAAAAATATTATATAGATTTTTTTTTATCAACCAAGTTAAGACATGTATTTTATGGGGTGTAGTGAGAGCAATTTCATCCTTCAAAATTTTGTATCATAATTTATCTTCTAATTATTGTTGCGATTCTGAGCGAAGTTAGGTGAAAGTAATTAAGTGATGATATTAGTTATAATACACCACTCAATTGTATTATTATTATTTTTTATTGGATAAGAAAATCCACAATCTTTACAATTTGTACAATAAGTATGTTTGATAAGTTCAAATAAATCTCAATAATAATTAATTGAATGACTAAGATGGCAGGCAACACCCAGCTAATCAAATTTTCAAGTATTTTTAAAACCTAAAAATTTGTATTGATATCAAATCAGAAAAAATAAAAAAAAATAATGAAAACAAAAATATGAAAAATAAGAACAAGAATTATTGTGTCATTGGGCTTAACTTTTTGTCTATTAACAATAAGACAAATTAGTTATAAAACTATTAGTATTTAATTTGTTTTACTGAAATAAATTTAAGTATCTCATAATAGTAGAACTTTTATATTCCTTGTTTGTTTAGTCTTAAAAAAATATCTTAACATAATATTTAAAAAAATAATACATTGGTCCTTTTAAAATCCAAAATTATGATTAATCAATTTAAATTGTTCATAAGAAAACATTACTTTAAGGTAATTATTTGTTTATATAAATAATATTAAATAAATATTTATTTTTTGTAGTATGTCATGGGTGATTACAAATGGATGTCGTTTAAAGATGTAGATGAAGCATCAGATAATTTTGGGAATGCATTAATTTCTCTGGGCCAAAAACACAAGGAAAATATAGCAATATTTGCTGAAACAAGAGCAGAATGGATGGTTGCTATACAAGGATGTTTTAAACAAAATATACCTGGTAAAAATAATAAATAATACAAAAATTAATAAAATATTTTACCATATTTTATTACAAAAAAAGTTGCTTTAATCATTTATTTTAATCTCTTAAAACCTTATAGCTGAATATTTTTTTAATTTTTAATGCATATATATTTTATTTTAAATTGTTTTAGTTATACTTACAATATAATCACCTTGTATAATATAAATTTTTTATCATATAAATTATTATATGTTTCACTTTTGTAAATTAATAAATAATTATAATAATGGTATGATTTAATATTATTTTTGTAGTGGTTACATTATATGCTACTCTTGGGGAAGAAGCTATAGCTCATGGTATTAATGAAACTGAAGTGACTATTGTAATTACTTCACATGATTTATTGCCAAAATTTAAAAATATTTTACTGCTCACTCCCAAAGTAAAAACATTGATATACATGGAGGATCAATTAGCAAAAACCAATGTAAGTGGATATAAAGAGGACGTAGAAATAATATCCTTCAAATCTATCTTAAAAAAAGGGTCTGAATTCAAAGTTACTGGTAAATATTTAAATTATTTATTTATAATTTTAAATAAAGTAATTTTGAATTATATTTTCAGAAAGCAATTTACCAGTATCTAGTGACATAGCTATCATAATGTATACTAGTGGATCCACAGGTATTCCAAAAGGTGTCAATTTATCTCATACAAATCTTATAGCAACGCTCAAAGCATTCACAGACGCTATTATAATCGACTATAAGAAAGATGTTTTTATGGGATATTTACCTTTGGCTCATGTGTTTGAACTTCTTGGAGGCAATTATAAAAAATTTTTGTCTATCTTAAAATCAAAATATTTTTAATCTTTGTTTAATAATATTCAATATAATTATTTTTAAATGTGTAAGAAGTAGGTATCATTTACCTATTTTATTTTTTATTATAGAACTTGCTTGTTTATTGTGTGGAATTAGAATAGGATATTCTACACCATTGACGATGATCGATACATCTAGTAAAATTAAACGAGGTACAAAAGGTGACGCAGCAATATTAAAACCAACTATTATGACTGCAGTGCCAGTATGTATTTAATTTGACATTATTATTTACCCAAAAAATTGAAAATAGTGTTTGTATAACTTTTATGATTTTGTATATTATAGCTTATATTAGATCGTATTTACAAAGGAATAAACGAAAAACTTTCTCATGGGACACCATTACAAAAAACTTTATTCAAATTTGCCTTTGAATACAAAAAGAAATGGATGGACCGTGGATTTCAAACTCCTTTGTTGAATAAGTAATACAATTATTTTAATTGTTATTTGTAATACTTACATTTTATTATTTTTAATCCAGGTTGGTATTTAAGAAAACTGGTGAGTTATTGGGTGGCCGTATTCGTTTTATTTTATGTGGTGGTGCACCTTTATCACCAGAGACACATACTCTTATCAAAATTTGTCTTTGTGAGACAGTACAACAAGGTTATGGATTAACAGAAACTAGTTCTTGTGGCTGTGCAATGAGTAGTTAGTATGCACATATAAGCATATTTTACTGTGATAGTAATATTTGTTTATTTAATTATAATAATACATATATTTAGCAGTATTGATTTTTACAAATTTTCCTAATCACTTATCACTAAGGACAAAATCCTTGTTTTGATAAGTGAGTGTCTAGAGGAAAAGGAAAATTAAAAATAATAGAATAATTATATTAATGATAATATAATTTAAAGTTGAATGATAATACATAACACAATACATAAAATATAAATAACATAATTTATATTATTGACAAAAACCTTCACAGAATTTCTTTACTAACAATTTATAATTTACTAATTATTGACAATTTTGTTATTATTGGGACCTTTTTATATAGTCTTAAAACATATGATCAGATGGCTGATAATTTTTTATTGTGTTTATTTCGGGAAATATTAGATTTTTAGAACTCATTTTACAGCTAAGAACAATTGCTTGTAATAATTACATTTAATATGTAAATATGTGATATAATGCAATTTTTTGTAGTATAATTTCTATACAGTTAATATTTTTGCTTCTAAGTTGTTTACTAGGATACAGACTAGGTATAGGAATAATAATTTTTGAGATTTATTCTTTACTGACTGTATGCAGATTATATATATTTGTATTGCTACTTCTCACATCGTTAAACCATATTCAATTATTGATTGAGACAAGGCAGTGGTTATTTTTGTGAGTGTACTCTTAAAAAGTGCTTTGCCATATTATAAAGCTTGTCAATTAAGGCATTTTCAGATTTAATTCCAAAATATGCATGGTCTATCCTAAATATTGGTCTAATGTAACTTGTAAATATTTTTTCTGAATAAATCTGTTTATTGCACAATTGCATTGTAAAATGGATTCATATTTTGAGTCTTGGGCTTTTAATGTAAAGATATTGGAAGATGCGTTTATTGAATTTCAAAAAGTTATAAAAACAGTTTTGTTATTATTTAATGTTAAGCTATTGTTAGAAGGCCAGTTTTGATACCTTTTTAAATGTTTTTCTGTTATTTTCATTATAGTCTCCCATGTACCAGTCACAATGCTGTATCCTCTGCATATAATATAGGCTACCTTCAATTTTCAGATTAAATATTCCCACAATATATAGAATTAATAATAAATGGAATAGTTACTGTACTCTTATGGTCATTAATTTGTTCTTACCTTTTATATTGTCTATTTTAATTCTATCAGTTATATTTTCTAAATAATATTTAAATAGTATTACAGCTTTGATTTAATACCAATTTTTTAATTATTATTAATTAATAAAATAATAAAGTAAAAACAAAATTAATCAAATGGTTAATACTCATAAATAAATATATAAATAAAAGATTTTAATTTTAATATATAGATTTTAATTTATATATTTATTTACTTTATTTATTATTAACTAACAGAAGATGACATGTCCACGGGTCGAGTTGGAGCACCATTAACAGTCAACGATTTCATGTTGGTGAGTTGGGAAGAAGGTAGCTACAGAATAACAGATAAACCCTATCCTAGGGGTGAACTAATTATAGGTTAGTTTTGAAATGAATATTTATTCTTGTATTAGAGATTTTTAATAATCATATCTTTTTGTCTTAGGTGGTGATAACATATCTTCTGGATATTATAAAAATGACCAAAAAACAAAAGAAGAATTTTTCGAAAAAGATGGTAAAATTTGGTTTAAAACTGGAGATATTGGACAACTAGAAACGGATGGTGCCATTAAAATTATTGGTTAATATTAATACTTCTGTTATTTAACTACTTAAGACAATACACAGTAACAATTAAATGTAAAACTTATATGTTATAGATCGTAAAAAAGATTTAGTTAAACTACAAGGTGGTGAGTATGTGTCTTTAGGTAAAGTGGAATCACAACTTAAAACTTGTCCAGTAGTTGACAACATATGCATTTATGGAAATCCATTTAATATTTACACAATTGCATTAGTTGTTCCTAACAGACAACACTTGATAAGTATGGCTAAAAAATTAAATATTGAAAATCCAAATGAAATAAGTCCTGAAATTTTATATGAGAATAAAGATTTAAAAAAATCAGTTCTAGATGAATTAACCGCTTATGGTAAAAAAAGTACGTACTATTAATATTTTTTTTCATAATATATTTTGTGTTAATGTTTGTTATTAATTTTAGATAAACTTGAACGATTTGAAATACCTACAGCCATTACACTATGTACTGATGTTTGGACACCGGATAATAATCTGGTGACTGCAGCTTTTAAAATAAAACGAAGAGAAATTTATGATAAATACAAAGCAGAAATTGATAGTTTATATCAATCATGAAACATTTAAAGAACATAAAAAGAAGTCAAACACTGTTTGATACTACTTTTAGAATATTGAGTATTATTATACTAAAAGCAATTATTGTATTAGTTTATTAGTAGGTTCACATTAATACAAATATTATATTGTTATACATTTACAAATTTCATTTTGATACAAAACTTTTTGATTGCTCCTTGTTTAAATATAATATGAATTATAATATTATCAATGGTTGTTAATTAATTGTTGTCTGTGACTTCAATTGTTTTCTTGTTAATATTACTATCAAAGCATTGATATTTTATTTGATTTGATTGTTCAACATTTTGGAATTGTTTATGGTTACGTAAAATACAATTTTTTCTACGCTCTGAAAATATAACATATAATATTATATTTTATACATGTAAATTATTTTTATTAATATATTTAGTAATTAAAATTAGTTACCAATTTTTATTAAAAACTAAATTATTTAGTAATAATAAATAACAAAATAATTTGTTTGTAGTATATAGTATGATTTATTTTTGTATTATAAAATTACTTTTGCTATTACTCAATGTATGGTAGTAGTCACTAAAGTTGACTAAAGCAGCTTTCCTATTAGTGTTTTTCAATTGACACAGTAGATGAAACTGAGGACTATGGCATCCGTTTTTCAATATTTATAAATTGGATTTCTCCCACATACACAGTACGACTTGCACGCATTAATATGCAGACCAACAGAAGATTTAAAATATTTTTGTATGCCACTTTCTTTGTTTTTTTAAATAAAGATTTGCTATTTTAATCATTGATTTAGTGGGAGAGCTGCCTAAGTTATGACTCATAATTTTCATCATGTAAATATTTTATCAAATTTATAATTTATAAGTAGTAATAGTTTTTATACACTTTAGGGAATTTTTAACATTCAAGTGTATGTTAATTTTTAAATTTTTTACAGTAGCAAAAACTGAAAATTAAAATAACAGCAAAATTTATAGGTATGTATTAGGTATTATAACATTTATGTTTGTTTTTTGATTTATAAATAACATTAATGATTAGTAAAACTATTGTACACTTACATTTTGAATAAAATAATGATTTAATTTCCATTTTGTTAAATATTATATTAAATATGAATATATAAATACCTAGTAAGTGCAAGAAATACTTACTCTCATTACTTATTGGGGCACAGTATCGTTCAACTGGACTCAGTGGACCATCAGATATCAATTCGCAAATGTATGGTAATTTCAATGTACAGTCTACTGTTTTCCAGTACCTGTTACTAGTGACAACTGTACAGTCTTTTTTTAACTTATTGGCCTTTGGGTGACCTGGGGCCCATGCTCTGAATGGTAAACAGTTCAATGGCTCTCCTGAAAAATAATATAATATAGATAATTTTTTTTAAATTATGTATAACAGTAGTTCTTAAACTTTTGGTGCGCACAGACCCTGTCTTTTAGAAATTGCCCCTACCAATAGTTTTTAACAAAATATCTCATGTTAACATAATCAATATTTATGAATAGAATTGCAGACCCTACATAAATATCACGGGCTCCCAGGATGCCGCAGACCACAGTTTAATAACCCCTGATGTATATAATTAAGTACACTTAAATAAGAACAAAGATTAAAGAGATGCTTGGTAACCATGGTTATGTTATAATATAATGATTTTTTTTTTTTTCATAATATTTAACATGGATTATTTGAAAAATATTTAAGAAAATGAAACCGAATATTATTTAAAATAATAATAAAAAAAAAATTTTAATGTGTTATAATATTTTAACTTAAATAGTTAAATCTCAAATAAGTCAGATCATCGTTTTTATTTTCACTTTTGTGCAATACAAGTGTAATTTCATTTTTAATATATAGATACACCTACTAACTATTTACAATATATAAGGTGTTCCAAAATGATTCATTCGATTTCATTACGCTTTTACTGTGTGTAATTTTTTCTTTGGAGTACATATAAGACAATGTCCCCTTACCTTTAAACTTACCACTTACCTCCCCTTTCAAAAGATATTGGTGAACTAAAAAACTGCATTACAGAAATGATAAACTTATATAATATGATTTATATGCTTCAACAGGTTAATAAAAAATTTGACTATCGTATAAATGTGTGCCATGCGAATAATGGAACTCATATTGAACATTATTATATTTTAACAAAAAATTAATGCAATATTATTTTTATTTTGTTAACCTTTAGTATTTATTTTAGCTTGTAATTAGGTACTAAATTTTCACAATAAATACAATTTTTTGAAATCTGATGAATCATTTTGAGATGCCCAGCATTTTTATCTATTTATAAATTATTAGTTATAATTATTTTAGTTCACATTTTTTTTTTCTTGCATATTTTTATTTTAAAGTTCATATTTTAATATTGTATAGAAATATAATGTAATTTTATAAGATACCGAGTGATCCATTTAAGTGGGTACACTCATTATCTTGGAAAGTATTAACTTTTTTCAGAATCTGTTTCCTAGAACATTTAAGAAACAATCTGCTCTACAATTTTATATTTATGTTATTTTTTGGTGGTAAAACCACTACATACTTTTAATTTTTAAATGGTAACCTATAAAAAAAAAAACCCTAAATAGATTGAGTATTAGTTAAAATAAATTTGAAATTTTTGATTTCTGTCAAGTCGTTGACGAAACATTCCGCTATTAAGTTTAGGTTGGAGGAAAGTTATGGAGTATCATTTGTGTACCACCATTTTCTTATTTAGGATTTCTTTAAGGAGGGAATTATTGAATTCAAAAATATTGTGTTTTATCCTTTATGAATTTCAAAAATGTACCTACTTCTCTGAATAGCGCACGAAATTTCGATAACCCAATCTATAGATAAACAAAATCAAATTAGTTTCAATAAAATGAAAAACAATTTAAGAGTCCACTTTTTTCACACCGCCAAACGTTTTTCATACTGTCACTGTAGAATTTTTTTTTATCGAAAATATACTTATCAGTTATCTTTTGTAGGTAAATAGGTAATACATAAATTGATAAATTAAACATAAAGTATTACATTTTTAGGTAATTAGGTACTTAATCATTCAACTTTTATTATTTTAACATATTCGTACTCACTTTATCTACGTTATAAAACCGATTAACATTAAAATTTGTTACTGTGATACCTATCAAACAAAAAGTAAAATACAAATTAAATGTTCAAAGCTGAATTTATGACTAAAGCATTCAGTAAAGAGTGCAGTGCAATAAATAATAAACAACTTGAAATAATATAATATTTTATTATTATAACGACCTTTATACTATTATATTAATAAATAATAGAATAATAGTTATAAATCCATGTATCATTTATATATCTATTAAATGAGTATATTATCGTCATTCATTACATAAGCATTAAAAAAGCATAGGTACTATTTAAGTAGGTATCGCCGTTGCTTCGTGTTTGAAAATACACCAACAGCTTTATGTAGATCTATGCATTTAGCTTCTTTTTCATTCAGCCAGTTATCTCCAATTGTAGTGCGTAAGTAAGTTTTAGCATTTTTAATGGACGAAAAGAATCGTTCGTTTGAAGCAGTGGAATATCGGAAGAGTGTTTATTATAGAAATGCAATTGTTAAAGTTCCAGAAAGAGCTGCCGGAAGCCGTGATAAAGAGGACAATAGAATCAAAATTTGGTTGAATAATTTTATTGTTTTTTAAATTGATTTAATCATAGAACACTAACGACAATTATTGATGCAATGAAAGACGATAACAACTTTACCACAGATAGTAAAGATCGTATTTATCTACCGCAATCTACCGGAAAAATGTTATCTACATCGTAGAACAATTTACCATTCACACGCCTGTGGACAAAGTGATATACCGATATCAAATCAAAGAACTCAATATTATAATATTATTTATGAATTTATGATTAACATTAAATAGCGGTGCAAGCACAATATTTTTAATAATAGGTTAGGTTAGGTACGGTTTAATATATTTGTAAAATTGCATACAAAGATGTTTCACTGTTTGCATGATATGGACGAAGTTCTGCTTCTTATAACAACGTTTTCATTATAGGGCAGTGACGGGAGAGAAGTAACACCATTTGTTTAAAGTTACCATTGTTTTATCACCATCGCCTTGGACTGATAACCCATGTTGTTCCAACGTGCATGTTACATCAAATAAAATTTTTATGACATCTTTATAGAATTTTTTTTCTGTTCACTAATTTTTATTGCTACTTGCCGATTTTCTTTATCAAGTAATTTGTCCATATTATTACCAAATTACAATAATTAAAAGTGAAGTTACTTAAATTTACTAATGCTGATTTATAGGTGTTGGATGAAAACTGTAGCCTGCAAGTAATTTCTAATTCCCCAGGTTTTCTTTTACCTCTAAACTTTATTTCAAACTAAGGTTCTAATCGTATCCAATATTCAACTTTCTTCAGACCATGCTCGGTTTGGTCCAATTGGAAATAACGAATATATGAAACAGAATGCTGAGTCACTAAAAATACCGTAATCCAAATGAGGATGCTCGATAAACCAACCTAAATAAATTGTCTTTGTTTTCCTATTCCTTTGCTCATATTATAATATATTGGCAATGCATAATCACGATGCTGAAAAGGTTCTAGGCTTAGTACGTAATAATATGTAATAGTATTATTATGGCCGGATTAAGGGGGGGGGTCTAGTCTAGACGGAAGCCCCGGGGCCCTCTCAATTACCAAAGTGATAGGATCCCAAATAATTTTAGGCTGATACACGTTTTCCTGTGACTTTAAAGAAATAAGTATTTTTCTACATTATTAAAAACTGTTTATTTTTTTTATTTTATCGACGAAAACTTAACTAAATACCTACAAAAGTTTAATAGTTGAAACGACGCATTTTATTGCTATATTTATTGATATCATTTATTATAATTGTTATTAATGTTATTTATACATTACGCCCTAAGGTATAACGTATAAATAACATAGATGCCAAATTATTATGAAAAAAAAAATAGCAAAAAGAGAAACTGGATACATTCCATTACTTCGGACATCGCGGAAACAAGTAACAGAACTTTATAACTAAACGTTTTTAAACGTAATCTCGTAACGTGATCAACTTATTAAAATTACTAAAGTCCTATGGTAAAAATTGGGAAAAACCTCGAAAAAAAAAGAAAAGAAAACGTACGAAATGTAGGTATTGGTAAGAAAATGTACACCTACAGTAGCCCTCACAAATACCTTGATTTATACCGATTTCTCCCGAAAACCGATCGTGAAAAATATACCAGTTGCCCTCGAAATATTGTATGTATAATGGTTCGGCTATTATTAATCAGAATTTATTTAGTTCGCACACGAGTTGGCGAGCGAAGTTGGTCAGACTCCGAGTCGTTTGAAATGTTTCCATTTGTGTTGCGCGCGTTACTGTATTTTATACGTTGACCGCGACCGGTACATTCTGGTCGAGGCCAACCGGTACGCATATTCTGGTCGCCGAAAATCGCCACTGAGGGCAACTGGTCGACACCGGTACATTGTATTATAATATTAGACACGCAGGTTACAATGTTACTTTGGTCCGTATTTTTCTCCGTTCCCCGGGCGAAAAAAAAAAAACTAACCTGTTACGGCGACGAAACCTCCGTCGGAAAATAAACCGACAAACGCCTTGCGGTACGACGCCGTGTGGTTGGCTAGGGCCGACGACACCAACGAGGCGAGAAACGACGTCCGCGAATCGGACCCGACGTTGGCCAGGTGGCCGCCGGCGTCTTCGCACGCGACCATCGCGTTCGAATAGTTCTGCGGGTCCGTAACGATGCGGAACACGCCGATGCCCGGCGCGCACGTGTAATTCTCGCCGGCTGTCCGTCAAAATTATAGTATCGAATTTTACACGTTTAGAGGCTTATTCGTGCCCAGGTTTACATCAGTGACGGGTCGAACCCCGATTTTTTAAACCGAACCGAACTTTTAATTATTTTTCCCAACCCGAACCGAACCAAGAACCATTTTAATTCGAATTCGAACTCGAACTCAACATTTTTCATCACGCACATTGAGCGTACAGATAAAATCAATTTATTAACATTGTATTCACTTTTATAGTTTGTTTGCCTTTTGTAGACTTAAGTTCAGAAAAATGATTAGGTATAATATTATTTATATTAAAACACTTTTAAACACAGTACCTTATCAAGCACGAACATTTCTGTTCTCTATGTGTATCTAATTATTAATAGGTAACTAAAAATAAGTAGAAAATATATTAAATTAAATCAAAATACGTACACCTAAATAATTGTTAATCATTCGGTAAATTGACAATTATAATCACATTTTTATTTGACAATTTAACGAAATAAACTGAATTATAATTTACGAATACCCGTACCTATAATTTAAAAAAAAATCTTCGCCTTGAGCTCAACAAAATCGCACTGACTCTAGTCAGTTACCTATCTAATGTCTTTTTTTTTTTTGTAGTTATAAATTATACCACTATAGCATTTATAATTTAAATACTAATGATTTGATCGACAACGATTTAAAATTAAAATATTATCTAACTGTGACGCGATTTTACGGTATTATATTAACATTAACATGCTATTGCAAAGATAATTAATAAAATCTGTTCAATATTTATTGAATGCATCAAATTCCTCTTACATTATATGAATTTATCAATAATAAATTCGGTTCGATTTTTTTCATACCGAGTTCGAATTTCGAACTGAACCGAACATCCAGTGTTCGGTTCGAGATTCGTACAGTTCGACCCATCACTAGTTTATATGGCAATATATTTCTGGGGCTTGTGTCAAAAAGGGCCAATCTCACTTTTAATCAATTTTGGGCCTTTTTGATATTGCAATAGTACTTAATTTTTTTATCAACATTGGTCTTCTCGACTCTCACGATAATGACTATTGAGTTACGCTCTTTTACCACTAGAAAAAGAATATAAAATGTCACACGATTGGCTGTATACCTAAGTTATTTTCACCAAAAAGTGACGTTGGCTCTTTTCGAACACTCAAGCTCCAGATTTGTACTCACGTAGAGGTTTTGAGTACATGCTGTAATAGTTGTATACAGAAGTGTTTTCGGTCAACAGAAACGAACGAAACTCTGGACACTCATATACATTACAATTAGCGGCGTTGTTCAATCCTATCAACGGGCAACGAGTTAAGAAAAAATTGTATAAGAAAAAAAAAATGGTCTAATTGGTATCAATAATAATAGACACAATAATAAAGAGTGATTATTTTATCATGACCAACCATTTTCCCGGAGGATTTTAAGTGAATTCGATATCTGTTTTTTTTTTCATTTATTATGACATCGTTTAAGTTTTAAATGTGTAAAAGTAAAAAAAGAGCTGATACTGAAGATGAGAGTGGCCACTGTTGTAGATGGGAAGTTAGGAAGGTAGGATACATAAGGTTATTTCATTTATATCTGTATTCAACGATAAACCATTGCTTGACGAAAGACGATTCCGAGCGCAGTTCGGTAATACATAATTTGAAATGCCGTAATTTTTTTTACGATTTTCGTTTGAATTTGATTTCAAAACGCTTATATAAAAAAAAAAAAGTCGTTCGATGATTTTGGAAATATCTCCACGTCTAGGTAAGTTCAATATAAGTATTATTACCAAGTTTCAAATTTTCACAAGTATTTATAATCGAATTACAGCAAAAAACCCCCAAAAATTAAAATTCCTTAGAAGCTCAAAAGTGGCTCAAAAGTTTTGGCAATGATACCGTAAGAAAGTAAATCAATAAGACAACAAAATAAGGTGTCTTGTAGTTTTTCGATTAAATCATTTTTTTCTGGTAGAAAACGTCGTCCGTGTTTTTATAAAATAATGAAATCGTAAAATTGTAAATTTTCCTACGTTTTTCTCCACTTAAGTGCTTTTATTTAAAAAATGGGGTCGAAAATCAAAAAAAAAAAAAGATTCGGTTAAAGTACCGTTTAGACAACTTTTAAAAAAGTCGCTACACGTAAAAATCGGAGCAAGTTTACTATGAAAAAAAAACGGGTCCACAGATTAGAAAGAATAATAAACATCTTAATAAACCAATAGCTCCTTCGCTACCCTCGGAATCTGAATAAAGGTCAACAGCAAATTGGGTCCGCCGTCATAATAAAACGTGATTAAAGTTAATATGATTATAGACGTACCTATATAGAGTCACTATTTATCTCATTAAAGAGTTCTTTTAATTGAATATTCAAAACATTTGTGTTTTCGTACAACAAAATGTGTGTAGTTAAAAAAAGATTTTTACCTTAATAAATTTTACAACATAAATTATTTATGTGATGTATTTATAATAAAATATGTATACAAACAGAATGTGATTGCCAAGTCGGAATTCAAATAATATAAAAATATATAAGAAAAAACTGTATTTCATAAAAAAATGTTCATGGTATCCCCATGAGGTCATCTGCCGTTGGTTCACAAAAAAAAAAAGGCCATGGGAAGAGGGTTCTGACCCAACCCTCCCCCTCATGGATACGCTACTGTACTTACTTACATATTATTATTTTATTTATAATAAACGTGATGAAAAACTATTCGGCTTTTATAAATTACATTTCAGTATTATTATTTTATACAAAATAGACCAACGAAAATAATTTTCACCGTATCGTTTTTATTAATTTTAGATTCTGAGTGGAGCGAGGAATATATTGGTTTAACAATGATGTTTAATTTTAAATTTTTTTTTTTTTTCTACACTGTGTCGAAAATTCTATCGGAAATCTTGCTGCGATGTATCATGTGTAGTACTTTTTCTGAAAGGAAATTTAATCTAGTTGGTACTTAAGTAAGGTCATTTTTTAATTTTTCAAATAGTTTTCATAGTAGTTGGGAACAATCGGGAAAAACCGTAGGAAAATAAGAAAAGTTTCTTTTGAGACAGTCCTAAGTGTTAACGAAGTGGGGAAGAATTTGCGTTGCCAAAAACGGCAGCCGTTTAGGAATAATTGACCATTTCGTAAAACGGGAGCCGAACGGGCTATAGCCGTTCCGTTAACGTCTCGTTTTTATTTCCGCCTATTTTTGCACCTCTGAGAGTACGGAAGTAAAACGCGAGAGCCGAAGGATAACCAAACCGTTGGCATACTGTCCGGCACGCACGCGGGCCGTTTATCGAACATGTAAAACATTAGTATTCTTATAGTTTCGGACCTTCGGACCGGTTCGCGTCGGCGTATGCAAAAGCGAACGCGTTTTTCGCCGCCGCCAGTTCCTCGCACGAGCCAATGTCCGTGGCGTTCGACGCGGCCACGGTCCGCATGCGGGATTCGGCGCATTCCTTGGTCAGGTGATAGCCGGGCTTCGGCCGGCGTAAATGCCGCGAACACGTCGGCGACCGGACGGTCTGTGCGGCGGACAGAACGAACAGCAAAACCGGCCAGAGACCGTCCATGGTCGGCGGAATACAGACGCGGGCGGTACTCCGGAAGCGAAACGATAGAAAAAAAAAAAATAAAACGACTCCGGTTTTGATTGAATGCACGATTGTTAACAGAGGAAAAAGTCTAAAAACGGCCGACGGATTTATAGCAGTAACCACCCGACGGCGGACGCATCCGTATCGATTAACACGGTGGATGATATTAAATGCCGGCACGGCGTGTTTCGCTGCTTTCGGCTCCCGGCACGTATATTCTCCGACCTTTCAAAACCGATACTCGCGGAGTCTGTTCTCTCGCGGACAATGTGCACGACAGCGCTGCTGCTGCTGCTGCGGTCTGTATTGTTTAACGTTACTCGAGTGTATCTGTACTTTCGTACGGCAGTAACTACCGGTAATTACGGGTAATTTATATCGCGTGACGAGTGCGACATACCTGTTGCGTCCGGAACGAGCGAAATTATGTAATTACCTTGTAAAGCGTGTCGAAATCGGGGCCGGGGGAGGAGAAATACGAGTAATACTGTGTGTATTAAAATACCCGAGGAATTGATAATATTGTAGTTCATTGAGGTTTTTTAGAGATTCTGAGTGTGGCGAAGAGAGCGTATTGGTTTTAAAAAGAAGTTTTTTTTTTTTTTTTTACGTGAACACATCCTACCAGAAATCTTACTCCGGATGTATGCGATGTAGTGGACCATTTTCTGAAAGGTAATTTTCTCGGAGTGGTACGTCGATTTTCCCGGCAGTTTTTTTTTTTTTTTCGAATTTTCAAATAAATATCCCTATATAATAATATACGTAGATCCATTTTTATTCCCCCCCTCCTCCTATTGTTTTGGACACTTCTAGCGGGCTCCCCGAACCGAACTCAAACTCGGGAATTACAGTCGTTTTGTACGCCCGGATTGAAGTCGTGTTGGATTTCATTCACGAATTTCGGCGTGTCGTTGTGGTGGGCGGGGAGGGTTCGTCGGTTTGTTGGCATTGCACGTGTTTCGCGTTCGCGGGTATCGCGGTAATACCGGGCGGCCGTCCGGCGTGGACGCCATGGACTCAATTAAACGTAAGTATCTAAAACTACAAGACGTGCGGACGAAAATACGTAGACGAAATTATAATGTTGGAAAAAAAAAGAAAAACGGACATCCGTAATTCGTATTATAAACACGTGGCAATATTACAAAGAATAAAAAAACGGCGCGGATGCTGTAAAACGGACGGCAATTTTGGTGCACATTCAACCCCGGACTTATCCAGCCGGTTTATCCCCGGAGGGTGTAGTGTTGGTGGGGACGGGACACGTTGAGGTTCCAGTTGGCGTCGAGCGGAATGGGCGACGCGGCAATGGCCCTTTCCACGGACGTTTCGTCTTTGAAAAACAGGAACGCGTAGTTGTGCAGCATTTTGGCACCGGTCTGTTTGTTGAAGCCCTCGTACACCTTGACGTACGTGACTTCGCCGAACTGTTCGAACAGCGACTTGAGCTGGCCGTACTTTACGTGCAACGGCACGCAACCGATAAACAACTGACGGGGGTTGAGCTTGGCGGGCGTGACGCACGGTTTCTGTTCGCCGGTATTTTGGGTCGTGGCGGCGCTCCGGGTCTTTCCCATGAGCGTCTGGGCCACGAGCCGCGTCCGGAGCGCGATCCTTTGGTCGGACGTCTGCGTGCTGGTGTCTTCCCACGCGGAACACAAGTCGTCCGTGGTGGACGAACAGAGATAGCTGCCGGACGTCATCGAAGACGACGACGACGACGACGACAGCTTGTGGCCGCCGAACGAAGAGGACGACAACGACAACAGCGACGGCGTTCGGGACAGCGAGGACCCGGACGCCGTTGTCGTCCGGGATCTGGACGTCGACGGCGACGACGAATAAACCTCGGACGACGATCTCGTCGTGGCGGATTTGACCACCGGAAATCCGAAACAGAGTACATCGTTGAGGATCTTTCGTTTCCGGTCGTCAATCACGAAGAACTGGACGAACTTGTGGACATCAGACCCGCAGCCGGGGCTTGTCATCAGCTGCGGCGCGGTGCCCACGGTGAGCACGAACGACCAGCGTTTGCGGTCGTCCGTGGGCACGGTCGACGAACAAGTTTCGATGGATTGGAGCTTCACGCGCTTGTAGTCGAGCGACAGCCGCCCGTATTTCCGCTGGATGGACTGAGGGCCGACGTGCACGCAACTGCCGCCGTTGCCGTTTTTCGAACACGTGAACCGAGCCTTGGCGTCGTACTGGCGCAACCGGGACCGACTGTCTACGGGACGTTTGGCCGGCGACGCGTAGTAGTTGCGTGTGATGGCCATCCCGATCCGGAACGACGTGCGGTACCGCTTGAGCGCGGCGCTGTCGAGCTCCGCGGCCCAGTTTGCAAAACGTTTCGGGAACGACGCTACGTAGTCGGCGTCGTCAACCGCAGCGCCGCCGTCCCCGGCGGCCGAGTAAAAGTGATTGAATACGACGGTCCGTGGCGACGGATCGCCGCCGCCGCCGCCGGTCACCTGGTCAACGACAAGTATTTGCCGAGTGCCGTCGTTGACGGACACCAGAACGGCCAACATTCCGCCGGTCTGCGTCCGCTGGCACGTTTCCATCGGCCATTCGTCGCCCGTCAAATTCAGCTCGGCCAGCCGGCCGACGATGTTTTGGACGCCGGCCGCGGGTTCCGTCCACCGTCCGTCACCGCTGGACTCGATGAACACGGACGCTGGGTCGTAGTACATGGACAACTGATCCGCCGATTTACTCCCGTAATCGGACATGAAGCGATCGCACCACATTTTTTTTTTTTCTTTTTTTTTATAAATTTCTGATTTCGCTTGTTTCAATTGAATTCAACGCGGAGAGACGGAGTGTTCGTTTTGTCGTTTCGATGCGCCGTTGTTTGTCGTTCAATCGTTACGTGTTTTCGGCGTAACCGCGGCGATACCGCGCGGCTGTGTGTCTATAACAACACGGTTTGTTCGTACCTATATATTTTATTTAAACAATCGAAACACACAATTATGATAGATTTATTATAGCGCGTTTAAACGGCGGTTTGAAATCATTTTTAAAACGTTTTAGCCGAATGTAGGTATCTATGATATCCGTTTGTACAGTATGCCCTGCAGTGTTCATAGACATGAAAACGGTTCGGTAAATCGATTTGGAATTTAATTGTGTTGCCTCGTTAAAACTGAATAAAATATCGTGTTTAGTATTAATCTAAGGATAAAAAAAAAAAAAAAAAAAGAAACCGAGAAGTATATTTAAAACAATATTTGATAATAATAATCGGCAAACAAAAACTGATAATGTGATTAGGTTTTAACAACGACAAACCGTTTAAAACGCTTGGCGTGGTTTACATTTTTTTACATCTACGTAGTACGAGCGTTTTAATTTAGAAAGAAGTATGATGTTTTCACACCGTTTTAGAGTGTTCTTGTCTTCTTTAGTTTCAAAACGATTTCATTTCAAATCGTTTTAACGCCATCATATGAACGTACTTTATTAGCACGTGTAGGTTACATGATATAGCTAATACACGACAAACTAATAAAATACTTATTGTTTAGAAAAATGACATCATATGTATTTTTTAAACGGATATTGTATGGTATAAGGTCGCGACTATTGAAAAACAGAACGAACTAAACGCGCAAACGATTAGAACGAATAATATCTGAGTTATCGCATTTTTTTAAAAAAATTTTACCACGCCTAGAAAGGCAAATATGAGTTGTCTGTCCAAATTTCAAATCTCTACGAATATTTTTAATTGAATTACAACGAAAAAAATAACTAAAAGCATAGTAAGGAGCATTATTTTTGTAAATTTTATCGTTTTATTCTAAGTTTTTATTCAATCACTATGAAAACTGCATAGAAAATGAATAAATGACTTTCCTAAATATCAACTAGATAAAATTTCCTTTCAGAAAAGATATTATACTTGATACATCAGAATAAGATTTCTGGTAAAAAAGTTGTTCAGTTACACCCTGTAGAGGAGAATTTTATTTATATCTGGACGCAATGATTAATCATTGCGAATAAAAAACAATTTTGAGTAGAGCTCGGTCAATAGTATTGCTTTTTTTAATAATGTGCGTTTTGACGACAGCAAAGATTGTTTAAAAAATATTGAATGGATTTTAAAATAATAAACACTTAATAATAACAAAAATGACGGGTAGGCTTCGTACGTGAGTGTAGCCACTGTTGTAGGAGGGAAGTTGGATACACACGGGCATTTAATGTATATCTGTAAGCAATGATAAACCATTGCTAACGAAAAAACGACTCTGAGCGGAGTTCAGTTGTTAGTGTTGCTTTGTCAACAATGTATATGTAATATTATCGTTAAATGATTAGAACAATATACGTTTCCATAACAGCAATGATTGTTTAAAAAAGATTAGAATACAAAAATTGAGTAGCCAAAAATACATAAAAACGATTGCTTGTTTTTTATCTTACAATCATTTATAACCTCAAGACGATGTTTTCTTCATTATCTTGAATGTTAATGATAATTTCAAAAAATTACTTTTTTAAAGTACCAACTAAAGCCAATATGCAACAAAAATGTTCTTTCGTTATGTTTTGATTAGAGCAAGATTTCTAGGGTAAAAGTTGTTTACAGATAGAAAAAAAAAAATACACATAGTAAAACCAATGGCTAAGCTCCAAATATAAAATGTAATTTAACATTTGTACACGATTTTATAGTAATTCACCTCGGGAGGGGGGATATGATGCTCTGGGCTTACTATCGTATTGTTTCTATTCTATTGTAAATTATCTTCATTGATATTTTTGATGCACGTGTTATTAGATTTATGTTATAGGTATCCTAGTTTCTTATCTTCCCAACTACAACAATGGCACACCCATCACCAGTATCAGTTCTTTTTTTTCAATTGTTAAATTGCCGATTTAATTAATATATTGTATACTAGGTATAATTGATTGTATATTGTACTCAATTTTCGCGAAAATTGTTTCACAGTGAATTTAATTAGTAATGAATAATTTTTACTTACCTTTTTTGATAATATAGCCAGTTCGAGGAACATTTTCCATTGCAGATTGCAATATTTTATATCATTCTCCTTGCCCTGTGTAAAATTTTAAACGGACAAACATAATCTGTGACGCGTATATAGACTATACCGGACTAAACAGACATTTGAAGTCTGTAATAAAGTTTGATCCGGAGTTACTGTCCACTTTTGAAGAAATTTGTTTAATATAATATTATCATCTTCAAAAAAATACTTATATTAATGAAAATATCCAAGCAAGCGGATAATCTATGGCATTGGAACCATAGATGTTTATTAAATAATGATTTTCTTTGTTTTAAATCGTTTTACAATTCGTTTTATACACAGTGTTTCCCTATGTTTTAGGGATTTTCGTGTATATATATATATGTCATGAAATATTAGTCTTTTTGCGAAAAGACTAGGCTCTTTGCAATGGGGTAGCCCGTTTACGAACTACTTATTATTCTGCCAAACAGTCTATTGTTTTTAGGCTAATTGCATACAGATTAAAAGCAGTTAGGCCCTTTAAGAACTACAATCATTGTATAGCAATAGTCATTTTATTTATTTTATTTTAAGGGTGTAAGCTCTATCAATGGCAAGTATCAATGCAGTTTAGATTAGTAAAATATTTACTTATTGTTACATGTAGCTTTTTTGTGTTACGTTTTTTTTTGTCTACAACTTTGTCAATTATATTTTGAATGTCTAATGATCCACGATCTACTTTTGAAATATTGACTAAAACATAACTTCTAACTTATAAACTGTATCGATTACGTATTTATAAAACCAATACATTTCAAGTTCTAGGTATTTACCAGCATTAGTACATTAAAACTGGCTGTTTTAAAGATTTAGATATGGATTGACGACACACGATGGAATCTACGAGATTGTAACTAATCAGTAGATTAGATTATAACTTTTCGCCGTACATATTTTTATCGGTATACTGTACATACTAGGCGTTAGTACACCGTACACCTAAACGTTATCGTTAGGTTAGGTAACAAAATAATTTTTTAACTAACGAAAATGTAACAGTAGAGAACAAATTTAACAATGAAGTAACCACCAGAAAATCACATGTTACAATTAGTAAATATTTTACATATTTAATATTATAATGTAATATTTTTTGTAATATTTAAATTAAATTAAATATTTTATATATTTTCTTTATTTTTAGTAATATGAAATGAAATCAGTAATACAATAGTCAACAATTTTAAAATAATCTTAACTTCACTGATATACTTGCCATTAATACAGGTTTTAAAAAAAAAAAAAAAAAAAATAAAATATATAATGCTATATGATAAGTAGGTATATCATACTTGTTCACTTTACATGCTATAATAATTCTATTGATCTTCTTTTTTTGTACAAGTAATAAATTACCCTTAAAATAAAATAAGTAAAATGGTTATTACTATATAATGATTGTAATTGTTAAAAGGCCTAACTGCTGTCAGTCTGTATGCAACAAGTCTGAAAAACAATAGACCGTTTGGAAAAATAATCAGTAGTTCGCAAATGGGCTACCTCATTACAAAGAACTTAGCCTTTTCGCAAAAAGACTAATTTTCCATATGGTCAATGACACACACATATATATATATATATATATATATATATATATATATATACATAGTTTAATATCATTATCAATTCAGAAAGACAGTAGGTAGGTAGTAGGTGATATTGTAGAAATATTGAATGTGTAACAACCTTTTCTGTTTTCATAAATTCTATTAATTATTGTCTTGATACCTACATAGAAAATACTTACATTTGAAGCTCAGTGACAAAATGAACATTGTTCTACGGTTTTTTTTATGCTGGACATCTATACAAAAAAGACCCGTTTCGCATAAATGTTTAAACACCTATGCCAGTTTAACACCTGATAAACTCACTTCTTTATCGTTGAATACGTCTTTCTAATTTAAAACTCAAAGTTTGGACAAAAAATTTTGCTACGAAATAAGTATGTTGTATTCCATTATTATTATTGTTACAACAATAGTAATGAATTATCGTCTATTCGGGTCTATGTGAAAATCGCGAAACGTTTCATCAGCTCAAATAAAAATAACGAAAATTCTTCTCTTGAATATGTAAGACTGTATTGAATATAGATAATATATAGGTATAGTAAGTAGATAACGCTGCTGTAAATCCGCGTCCGAGTTATGCCCAGCAACTATAAATTCTAATGCCAGTGCAAAATATTGCATAAAAGACCTAAAGCCGGAACCGATAATCAAAAAAAAAAAAGGTATTTCAAAAAGCCTCTCACCTGTTCAATAATGCCTCGGGCCCTCGTCTAAGTCACTACTAGGGGTCTCATCGGTTGTGGGCCCGTGGCGTTTTTCCACCTTGCTCACCCGGTATTTACTCCACTGGCTCTCTCATATCAAGATGATCCACATAAGATAGTTTCCGGAGCGTTAACATATTGTGTACATTGATCGGTGGTTCACACAAAAGTGGAAGAAAGAACCGTAGATTTTCTATTTCTTCTTGGAACTGCTATAGGTATACGTATTATATCTGGTTTGCCCAGAACAAATAATTCTGTTGAAGTGTGGCATAGAGACTTTAATAATATACTGAATACGTGTGTTTAAAAAATATGGGATTTTATCGAAGTGATTAAAAAAGAACAAAATTTGAACGAAATGAATACAAAACAGTTAATGGATAGCGGGTACAATCGAGCCGTCCGAGAAACGAAAAAAAGACACGAATTATTTCATACTAACTTGAATTATTCTTAAAGGGTATTGCCCATAATCTATCTTATAAAATTTAAATAATATAATATTAACTATGATCAATTTTTTTTTTAAAAACTATTGTTTAAAAATGAGGATAAAAAAAAAAAATATATTTAATTTATTTTTCGCTATATTTGTGTTTTCGCCGGTAAAACGTTTCGCGATTTCGACTGGCTTCCCGTCTATAAACCTAGATAACACGAAACGTAATTAATAATTTAAAAAACAATCTAATTTTGAAACATCAATAAGTTTATTTAGTTGAATAATAATTATATTATTAATATATAATGCATAACAAGTATATTATCTATAAATATCTAATAATAATATGTAAGTATATTGTTAAAATATGTCATAATTCATTAAAAAAAAAAAAAAGAAAAAACAAGGAATTTTAATAAAATAACAGTAACGATGCATAATAATAAAACTCGATAATAATAATATTATTATTATTATTGTTGTACTTCCACAAATTTTTGTTTTTTTTTTTTTTTCTTTCTTTTAAATCGCATATTTTCGAGATAACGCGACTTTTGTATAATTTAATAATATAATAATAAATTATGCGAAATAGTTTTTGAAAACGTTTTTACAAACGATTTAAACTTATGTTTATAATAATATTTGTATAGCACTTGGTAGTGTACATTTTTTTTTTTTCGTTTTAAAATATAATAGAATTAAAACAGAGGTATTAAATAGCCGTATAGGTACATACAAATGCATATAGTTAATGCACATAATACATATTATATGGTACGATGAAATGACAGTAATATTATATACGAGTAATACACAAACAAACGAAAACACACACGGGTAGTGGCATAATAATAGAGGACTCGTGGCTTAATTATAATTCCGTTATAAAATTGCGTGTATTTTTTTTTAAATTTTTTTTTTCGAAAATCGATTAAGTATATAGGTAAGTATAATAGATGATAATATTACCGTAACAGGTATAATATATAGGTGTAATTAATAATAATAATAATTAATAAACGAAAGGCCAATAATTGTTATCGAAAACGGATTCGAGACCGGACTGAGGGCGTCCCGCGGTGACGGGCCGAACTCGAAATACGGCCGGGCCGGGCCGACAAAACACGTTTGGACGACTAGACCGGACACTTAATTTCAGCGTTCGCGGGTCCCGTGCGGCAGCACCACTCAGTCCGGGCTTGTGTGTTCGTGTATAATGCATATAATTATGTTTAAATAGTAAATAATTCATAAAAAATGTATCTATTAGTAGGTATGAGTGGGTATACAGGTAGAGGCGGTTGTACATTGATAAAACAAAAAAAAAAAAAAACAAACCGACAACTAATCAAACGTACATTATGTAATGTTTTAATATTATAGAACTATAGACGTTAAGTCGGACGAATTTTTTAATCAATATAGTATATAGTTAACAACGATACTATGACGCGTTATTATAATAATATAGGGAACAGCGGGATTATAATAATAATAATAATAATAATAGTAATAATAATAATAATAATAATAATAATAATAACAATAATAATAATAATAATAATAATAATAAGAATAAGAATAATAATAATAAGGGGAAAAAACCGGAATGTTCACGTTATAGACAATAAAATATTATACGCCTAGTATTATTAATAATATTATAGTATATTGTATTACGATAATAAAGCCAATAATTTTTTATTTTTTTTTTTTGTTTAATATAAATATAATAATAAGTTAACAATACTCGCATAATGATAATGTAATAAGAGATTTTTTTTTAATAAATAACGTCCAACGAAACAATACGTAGATAATATATAATAATAAAGTATTTCTAATATTACAATAAACGCTACGGTAGGTAATAGTTAATATTTTTGTAGGAATTAAATTGCCCGTAAAAAAAAAAACAAAAAAAAAAAATATTAAATTGTTAATATCGTATTAATATAAATTATTCGAGACGGTGATAATATTATATTGTTATCATTATTACTCGGTGGAATATCGATAGAAAGTTACTCGCCCGAAAAAATTGTCAATATACATACCTATACATAATATTATATAGTTATACGCATGCGGAGGGTAAACCACTGATCGAGTGTTAATGTGGTGAGCACCGCATTCCAGATAATTATTAAGAATTTTCCCTATAAGATTTCCCGCGAAATCATACCAAAGGCTTCCACGGTTACCGGACGTTCGTATGAGCCAAGGTAGTTCCAAGTGTTCCCATTTGGTGATACACCCTAGTTCACACTGTGAATAGATATACGTAAATAACACTATTCGGTGTTAAAATTCGGAGATATATGAGATTTTTTATCACGAATTATTTAATACATCCATCTATAAAATTCTGCATAAGTTTCCGTGTGGTTTTCGAAACTCTAACCGTCTTGAACCATTCGTTAGTAATATTTACGAGGACGGGAATCTACGAATTAGGTTCGGAAATCCGTTTCACACACTTTATCGAAACCCCCCCCAATTTTACCACCATCTAGAAGAAGATTAGTGGCATAGCTAATCGTACAAAAAGGTTATATTGAATAAATAAAAAATTAATAAAACGCGATAATTAAATGTTGTTGTTATTAAATGTTAATAAGAAAACCAATGGTTTAAAAATGTCAATAATATCCACGCACGGCTACGCATTAAAATATTACTAATTTACTATATAGACGAGACGACGACTTTTTTCCAGTGGATACGGCAGATACGTGAGACGCTACCCACGACGTTCGAGATTTTTTAACACGTAATTTTATACGTCCTTCTACAATTTTGCATATTCATTCCCGTGTAGTTTTCGAACATCTACTAGTCATCAGCCATTCGTTAGTATCAATTTTCCTCTCCGAATCCTATTCGGAAATCCGATTCAATGCAAATCTCTTTATCCCCCCCCTTTGCCCCACTCGAACAGGTCGCGAAGCAACGCCGCCGCACGCCGGTAAAATATCCATACGAACATATATCCACGGGCGAAGATTCCGCGCGGAGGAATAGGAAGGGTTGAAATATTATTAGTAAACTGTTTTCAGGAGAAGGCCGATGTCTCCCCCGCACGGGCGCCCGCGGACATATTTTTTTTGTTCGAGATGTCAGTGCTTGAATTGGAATTGAAAAAAAAATGCACCTTTCGGGTTGGACTAAGTAAATTTTATGTGTTTGATTTTCTAAAGGGGGTTTTTTTTTTCTCAAAAATATCATCTAATTTGCTACTTTATCGTCGTCGTCGTCATCGTAACATATAACACGGCGNTATGTGTATGATCGTTTCTACAAAAATATATGTATATTGAAAATAAATTAAATTTTTAAAAAATTGCAAACGAGCACATCACATGTTACGAAAAATCGATATTGTTTAGGTACATACGATAAATTTACGAATATCGTATGGATTTGAAAACGAAAATTTCCTTTCCGAAAAAATTAGTTGCGTTTTGATATTAAAATAATGTTCTTCCGAGATCGAAAAATATACGCGACGCGAAACATGAGAATACTCCTGACTCGACGAAAAAGTCTTCCACTTTGCCATTTCTTATCCGATCCATTTTGACGCGACTTTTTTATTCATTTACAAAAAGTAACACGCCATCCGAGATCTTTCTCGTCGGAGCCGGCCATGTTGTTATAGTAGGCGTTTATTGTCATATTTCGACGGCTACGCATTAAAATATTACTAATTTACTATATGGACGAGACGACGACTTTTTTCCAGTGGATACGGCAGATACGTGAGACGCTACCCACGACGTTCGAGATTTTTTAACACGTAATTTTATACGTCCTTCTACAATTTTGCATATTCATTCCCGTGTAGTTTTCGAACATCTACTAGTCATCAGCCATTCGTTAGTATCAATTTTCCTCTCCGAATCCTATTCGGAAATCCGATTCAATGCAAATCTCTTTATCCCCCCCCTTTGCCCCACTCGAACAGGTCGCGAAGCAACGCCGCCGCACGCCGGTAAAATATCCATACGAACATATATCCACGGGCGAAGATTCCGCGCGGAGGAATAGGAAGGGTTGAAATATTATTAGTAAACTGTTTTCAGGAGAAGGCCGATGTCTCCCCCGCACGGGCGCCCGCGGACATATTTTTTTTGTTCGAGATGTCAGTGCTTGAATTGGAATTGAAAAAAAAATGCACCTTTCGGGTTGGACTAAGTAAATTTTATGTGTTTGATTTTCTAAAGGGGGTTTTTTTTTTCTCAAAAATATCATCTAATTTGCTACTTTATCGTCGTCGTCGTAGTCGTAAACATAAAATCCGGCTATGCATTCAGTTTTATGGTTTTGATGTATGCGTACATGCATGTACGTGTATGTGTGTAAGTATGTGTATGATCGTTTCTACAAAAATATATGTATATTGAAAATAAATTAAATTTTTAAAAAATTGCAAACGAGCACATCACATGTTACGAAAAATCGATATTGTTTAGGTACATACGATAAATTTACGAATATCGTATGGATTTGAAAACGAAAATTTCCTTTCCGAAAAAATTAGTTGCGTTTTGATATTAAAATAATGTTCTTCCGAGATCGAAAAATATACGCGACGCGAAACATGAGAATACTCCTGACTCGACGAAAAAGTCTTCCACTTTGCCATTTCTTATCCGATCCATTTTGACGCGACTTTTTTATTCATTTACAAAAAGTAACACGCCATCCGAGATCTTTCTCGTCGGAGCCGGCCATGTTGTTATAGTAGGCGTTTATTGTCATATTTCGACGGCTACGCATTAAAATATTACTAATTTACTATATGGACGAGACGACGACTTTTTTCCAGTGGATACGGCAGATACGTGAGACGCTACCCACGACGTTCGAGATTTTTTAACACGTAATTTTATACGTCCTTCTACAATTTTGCATATTCATTCCCGTGTAGTTTTCGAACATCTACTAGTCATCAGCCATTCGTTAGTATCAATTTTCCTCTCCGAATCCTATTCGGAAATCCGATTCAATGCAAATCTCTTTATCCCCCCCCTTTGCCCCACTCGAACAGGTCGCGAAGCAACCCCGCCGCACGCCGGTAAAATATCCATACGAACATATATCCACGGGCGAAGATTCCGCGCGGAGGAATAGGAAGGGTTGAAATATTATTAGTAAACTGTTTTCAGGAGAAGGCCGATGTCTCCCCCGCACGGGCGCCCGCGGACATATTTTTTTTGTTCGAGATGTCAGTGCTTGAATTGGAATTGAAAAAAAAATGCACCTTTCGGGTTGGACTAAGTAAATTTTATGTGTTTGATTTTCTAAAGGGGGTTTTTTTTTTCTCAAAAATATCATCTAATTTGCTACTTTATCGTCGTCGTCGTAGTCGTAAACATAAAATCCGGCTATGCATTCAGTTTTATGGTTTTGATGTATGCGTACATGCATGTACGTGTATGTGTGTAAGTATGTGTACGATCGTTTCTACAAAAATATATGTATATTGAAAATAAATTAAATTTTTAAAAAATTGCAAACGAGCACATCACATGTTACGAAAAATCGATATTGTTTAGGTACATACGATAAATTTACGAATATCGTATGGATTTGAAAACGAAAATTTCCTTTCCGAAAAAATTAGTTGCGTTTTGATATTAAAATAATGTTCTTCCGAGATCGAAAAATATACGCGACGCGAACATGAGACTACTCCTGACTCGACGAAAAAGTCTTCCACTTTGCCATTTCTTATCCGATCCATTTTGACGCGACTTTTTTATTCATTTACAAAAAGTAACACGCCATCCGAGATCTTTCTCGTCGGAGCCGGCCATGTTGTTATAGTAGGCGTTTATTGTCATATTTCGACGGCTACGCATTAAAATATTACTAATTTACTATATAGACGAGACGACGACTTTTTTCCAGTGGATACGGCAGATACGTGAGACGCTACCCACGACGTTCGAGATTTTTTAACACGTAATTTTATACGTCCTTCTACAATTTTGCATATTCATTCCCGTGTAGTTTTCGAACATCTACTAGTCATCAGCCATTCGTTAGTATCAATTTTCCTCTCCGAATCCTATTCGGAAATCCGATTCAATGCAAATCTCTTTATCCCCCCCCTTTGCCCCACTCGAACAGGTCGCGAAGCAACGCCGCCGCACGCCGGTAAAATATCCATACGAACATATATCCACGGGCGAAGATTCCGCGCGGAGGAATAGGAAGGGTTGAAATATTATTAGTAAACTGTTTTCAGGAGAAGGCCGATGTCTCCCCCGCACGGGCGCCCGCGGACATATTTTTTTTGTTCGAGATGTCAGTGCTTGAATTGGAATTGAAAAAAAAATGCACCTTTCGGGTTGGACTAAGTAAATTTTATGTGTTTGATTTTCTAAAGGGGGTTTTTTTTTTCTCAAAAATATCATCTAATTTGCTACTTTATCGTCGTCGTCGTAGTCGTAAACATAAAATCCGGCTATGCATTCAGTTTTATGGTTTTGATGTATGCGTACATGCATGTACGTGTATGTGTGTAAGTATGTGTACGATCGTTTCTACAAAAATATATGTATATTGAAAATAAATTATATTTTCGAATTAATGAAATTAATTCCTATCTATCATTTATCATTTACTAATCGTAATGGTTTAGCGGCTTGGTAATGTGTATCCAATAAAATGATTGTTTAAATTTTGTAAATATCTATATTTGTGTATAGTTTCAATTTGCTGTCATCATACAGTCATTTATAATGTGTGTGTATATTTAATCTAATGCCGATAATATGCTTATGTTACTTATTACTATTACTTCTGTAATCTAAAAAAAAAAAATCCTACAAGCGTATTTTATTTTATGGTATGTATGAAATAATGTATGTAAAGAATATTTCCGGAAGTCATTAATAATTTAAATTATATATTTAATACTATATATATATATATATATATATATTTATACATATGTCGACACATATATTTACCGAAAAATATTGTGTCCATCGATATCTTGTGGATATTGTTTTCTTTTTTTTTAAATTTGCATAATAAATTTCAGTTTTTTGACTTCAATTAACCTCCTATATGTATTTTTATATATGTATATATATATATTTATATGTATTTATATTATCTATCATATAAGCTCCCAAACCGATTTTTTTTCCTAGAATTTCCTGGTAGTACTTTTTTTTGATCACGTTGACATTTGCGCTCCGAATTCGTTATGTTATTCTTCTATCTTCCTGAAAGCAAAATTTTTATTTTTTTGTATTTTCAATCGTGTTTTGATTTCATTAAATTATTTTTTTTTTTTTTTATTCCACCAAGTAACAATTTAATAATGATTATTATCGTATACAATATATAATAATATCATCCGCTAGCTATTTTTATTTTAATTCGAGAGCGACTCCGTGTTAGAGGTCTTTGGGTCCGCCTCCCTTCCCGTGTTCGTATTTTTTGTCAAAAACAACTTTCCGAAAAAAAAAAAAAAAAGAAAAAATTGCATACTATCGACATAGACAACTAGTGTCGTGTAGTTAGTGCTGGTATCTCCATTATACTATGAATTACATACAAACTATAAAATATAAAATATGCTTTTTACAATTTTTTGAAAGACGGGACTTAGCCCTGCTCTCCACCACCGAGCCTCTGGAGCCGCCCCTGTCGTTTTATTAATACATAATAAATTTACGCTAAAATTCGCGTGTTTCGCGTTTTTATATATAAATTGACGTACAAATAATCATTACAAGAAATTATTGTACCGTGGACGTTTTCACTCCTGTATATGATTTACGAACGGACGTAAACACTGTTTGTACACACCCTTATGGATCGCGCACGACACTTTCGGACGAACAAATTATCATTATCGTATATTATATTCATACACGCGTAACAAATGTATGTTTAACGGACATTGCGTACGTGTCGAGAAATCGCGGTTTCGCGTTAACGATATTATTGTTATTAGTATTATAATGTGGTAACGAGATAACCGTGTATGTTAATACAACGAAAATGAAAAATACACAATATACAAAATACAAATGCCGTAATAATTATATATATTAGATAGGTAAATATTACTCGAAGAACAGAATAATGATCCTAATGGATAGATATGTGTTAAGGACTGTCTTTCGTTTATTTTTTTTATTTTTTTATTTTTTATTTTTTATTTTTTTATTGTTTTTTGATATTGATAAATTTACGTAACATTATAAATTAAAAATAAAACGAATTAGGTGATAATTATTCTAAATTTAACTTATTATAGTAATTTATCATGGCGATTGGTGCGCACTCGTCATACGCATTTATGCGAACAAATAACGTTGTTCGAAATCGATTATTCAACTTATATAATTAAAAAAAAACATTTTCCATTCATAAACCGGAAATAAGCGTCGAAATTGTATGCGATGATGAACCGTTTTATCAGTTTGCACGTAGGAAATTAATATGCAATTAATGCATGAATGTTACGTAAAACGCATATTTTTTTTTAACGTTTTGTTTTTCAATTCGATAAAATCGCACATTTATAAACGCTTTGAACTGCAATCGATTGAGATTAACGTCGATTGATTTTTCATAATGTATTCTTTTTTTTATTTTTCGAAACAATAATACCTATCGAGTCTGTGTTCGCCGGAATAATGCTTCGATACAGGTATATTTACGATAATATAGTAATAATTCACGTTACGTTTTGCTCTCTTCACTGGACAAATCAGTGACGGATCTGAAGCTCATTAAAGAAGGGGGAGGGATATCATAGATACCGAAAATAAATGATTTCAGGGCGGGGGGATCTAAAGTTTCTTTGATATTATAATGCTATGCACTGTACATTACACTCGCATCTTTTATGTTCAAAATTATACACCTGCACTGGTCCCCGCTCCCAGTTACTGGCCAACATATAATATTGGAGTAGTGATTTAAAGAAAAACCATACAAGGGATGGTGGTCCTCGTGTTTCCTTCCCCTCTCACTCAAATCCGCCACTGCGACTCGTCGTTAATAGGACGAATGACTTTACAACGATAATTCGCCCCGTTCTAAACGCGATGCAACTTTCCATTTATAATTTTTCTTACAACCCCAGCAATTATATGTTATACCACATTAATTTTACATTTTCAACACGGCAGTGTAATTCGATTGAATTATAGCGGCCATGTTGTAAAGCTATTTTCAAAGAAGATAAAATAAATGCAAGGTCTAGGACTATAAACAAAAAGAAATTCTTTATTTTAATAAAAGGAAACTCGCCTATTCTCAATAACACAACGCAAGTATTACGATTCCGTTTAAAACACGTATAATTTAAAATTAATCTCTATATAAACACACGTTTAGCTTAGTTATTGAATATATTATTATCTTATATTAATATAAACGTTTGACTTTCGGTCTATTCCTCACTTAAAATCAAACAAACATTGCATATTATTTTTAAATTCGACACAATACTAATACAATATAATATAATTATAATATAATTACATATACTTAATATAACTAATATAATAAAAAATTATAGATTGCCGACCGACATAGGGTATCTCGCTAATAATTTAAGTCAAAGCCGCGCGGCGTCGGATCAAATTTACCGGTTCGCGGTCCGATCGTAATTCAGGACTCAGCGACGGATTTTCAACATTTCCCTGGGAGAGGGGTCCCGAAAAGTATTATGTATTTAAAAGGTATCTGTTATTGTATTTCTCCTTTATCAGATGGCGTTTTATTGAAATTGTCATATCGGTGTCTAGGGAGGGGGATTCCGGACCCCTTGGACCCCTTCCTCCTTTAAATCCGCTTCTGATAGGACTCTTGTAAATCGCAACCACCGTCGAATGTTTACCACCGTGACAAACGCGTAAGATAAGTGTGTTATTTTTTTTTTGTTTTTAAAATTGGCCGCGTACGTGTTTCCGTCCTCCGAATAATTTCACACAGACGGTCGTGGCCCCCGGAGTTCTGGCGGTGGGCGTTGCTGAAATCGTATTTTGTCTTACTAACCCGCGGACTGTGCCGAAATATTCTAAACTGTACCATGTGCGAATTGGACGGCGAATTAACCGTCGATAAAAGACGACAGTAGAACGACACGAACGCAACGCATACGTTCGGTGGCAAACAAAAAAAAAAAAAAAAAAACACCCGATCCGAAAAAAATCGTATTGGGAATGCCCGGGGGAGGGGGGGGGAACACGCGCGACGCCGCGCGTCCTATATGGCCGCCGGTCGGCAACCCGTAGTTTCCGATAGCGACAGTAATAATAATAACAATAATAATAATAACATTATGAGATATTAGGTAACGGAATGCCGTGCCGTAAACAAACAATAGTAATAATATAATTAACGATATTGTCGTGAAAATCGATCCGTGAAATGCGGCTGACGCTGTTTCGCACGCAACACAGCGTAACGGCGTGGCGTCGCCGGACACGGCGCGCGACGCTATCGCAACAGTGACCCGCGCGTGGCGGTCTGGGTGTACATGGCGTTGCGTCGGCTCTGAGCGCGCAACGGTAACGTAAACGGGGAGGGGGGAGGGGGCGTTTCTCGACGTTTATCGCCCGCCTCCCGCGGGTCGTTTCCGGACGGGTTTCCCGCCGCGTACGGATCGCGTATGGACCGCGTGTGGAACCACGACGCGGTACAGAATTGGACGCGTCGCGATAAATGTCGGGTACCGAACGTTCGCGGCACCGGGCGGACAATTTCGAAAACGCCGGCGTGACGAGCGCGTCGCGATTTAGCGAACTGCTGTTATGGTACGGGTGCAGAATAATTGATTAATGATATCCGAATTGGAAAAAAAAAAAAAATTTCGATTACCTAAAAAATTCGTTGCGATTCGAAATATGTTATATTGTACGTAAATTACAGAAACTATATTATCCGTATGTGCGCACAACGGTGCGTTTGAATTATTACAAAAATTTAGTGTACCGCAATTATTATTAACTGTTTTGATAGTGATTTTAAAATTTCGGTAATATTCACGACGACGACGATATTCCGGTGGACACGGCAGATACGCGCGACGCTACCCACGACGTCCGAGATTTTTCAACACGTAATCTCATACGTCCTTCTACAATTTTGCGCATACATTCCCGTGTAGTTATCGAACGTCTACGAGTCTTCGGCCATTCGTTAGTATCGATTTTCCTCTCCGAATCCTATTCGGAAATGCGATTCAATGCAAATATCTTTATCCCCCCTCCCCTTTGCCCCACTCGAACAGGTCTCGGAGCAACGCCGCCGCACGCCGGTAAAATATCCATACGACCGTATATCCGCGGGCGAAAAGTCCGCGCGGTGGAATAGGAAGGGTTGAAATATTATTAGTGAACTGTTTTCAGGAGAAGGCCGATGTCTCACCCCGCACGGGCGCCCGCGGACATAATTTTTTTCGTTCGAGATGTCAGTGCTTGAATTGGAAGTGAAAAAAAAATGCGCCTTTCGGGTTGCACTATGTAAATTTTATGTGTACGTTTTTCTAAAGGGGGGTTTTGTTTTTCTCAAAAATATCATCTAATTTGCTACTTTATCGTCGTCGTCGTCATCGTAACATATAACACGGCGATGTATTCAGTTTTATGGTTCGACGTATGCGTACATGCGTGTACGTGTATGTGTGTAAGTATGCATATGATCGTTTCTACAAAAATATATATATATATTGAAAATAAATTAAATTTTTAACAAATTGCAAACGAGCACATCACAAGTTACGAAAAATTGATATTAAATAGGCACATACGACGAAAATTCCATTCCCAACAAATTTAGTGTCGTTTTGAAATTTAAATAATGTTTTTCTGAGATTTAAAATAAAAGTGATCACTAGTTCTCCTCCCGTGCCATTCGTATTCGAACGTCGTGTTGTTCTTATCACTGTTCTTATCAATTAATTTTTAATGTAGTACACAGTCGCGTAGCATTTGCACGGTGGTTTCGTCCGTCGGGAAGAAGGGCTCGAGTAGGGTTTTGTTTTTGGTTTTTTTTTTTTTTTTTTTGTTTTTTATTTTTTATAGTTTTCAATACGGGCGGAAAAATTTTCGAAAATTATATAATTTTTAAGCTCTTCGGCCCCGGGCGATTGTGCCCGTTCAATACAAACACGCGCACCCGGGTATTTCATCATTAACCGTCATTGTGTACCGACACCATAACCTCAATAATCCCGTGCTCGGTGTACCGTAATCGTCGTGCCCGGCAAATCGTTTTCCTCGCGCTTCGGTCATTTGATGTTTACACGCCATTACCGTTAAACTGCTATTACGATTGTTGTACGCGTCACCTAATGTACCGCAATCGCGGCAATGCTATTTCGCATTAATGTCGGTCTTGGGGACTTTTCGATCCGGGTAAACGTTCGGATGCGCACCGGATACACGCTCCGACGAAATTTCGCATCGGCCTAATGCCGTGAACCCGCGACGCTTGACATTCAACAATCGGTCCGTTGTTTTAGTTGACGTAGCGTCATGACATGACCTTTGCGTTTTGAGGCGAACGACTGGCGAGATGTCGGCCAAATACTCAATGTCTCGATTAAACGTCGACGTGCGCGATACGCGCGCGGCGCATAATAAGCCATCGAGTCCGTCGTGGCGGTGCGTATTCTCGCGCGCCACTCGAATACCGTACGGCTAATATGTACGGCTCGAAAAAAAAGAAGCGAACACTGTAACGCGTGCGAACCGTACGCGGAATAATGCGTGGGATTTGACGCGGCGAACAGAATCGCGCGTTCGCCTCTGCTCCGTTCGTGTGCGTTCAACGTCCTTCGCCAATGACATCGCGCGAACGCTAACCGTCCTCCGAGCCGACGCCGCGTTCATCGGGCACCCGATGCAATTACTGAAAGCGGGCCGCGCGCGTTCACCGTCGCCCGTTCCTCGACGGGCCGTTCCGACGCCCGAAAAACATCGCAAAGGGACAAATATCGCACGTCACCGTTGGAAAACGGTTTTTTTTTTTTTTGAAAACTAATTTGACCGTTACTATTCAAACCCGGACGATTGCCGTTTTACCCTTTGTTCGCCCGCCGCTTTTTAACACGGCCGATGTATATTAACAGACTATAATTAGGGATTAGTTTTTAATAACTTATCGTTATAAATTTTCTTTTTTTATATATATAAGAAAGAAACCCAAAACATCGGTAACGAGGTGGACAGACCGAAATATGTATACCTGAAGCTCGAACCGGGGTTTTTTTTCTCGTTTTAAAATAAATATAATACAATACATTATCATTACGCACAACACAAACATTTATCAAAAAAAAAAAAAGTAATTAACCCGGGCCGTGTTAAATGCAACGTAAACTCGGTTAAACCTGGGCGTTTCCGTTGTACGCACGTTATCCGCCGCACCGGTTATTAACACGGCCCCGAAATATAATCCGAATTTAATTAGATTTGTACATATTTAAATACGTTATGTATTCTCCTAATTATAATAATACGAATAAAATTAGAAGAGGCTTTTTTTTTTTAATATATTAATTATCCTTACAATTAAAATAATACTCCTTTAATTGAGTGTGTATTCGTGAATACATTTTGTATCCTTATATTTATTATAATACGAATTAAATTAGAAGATAATTTTTTTTGAATATTATTACTAGTCCTTACAATTATAATAATACGCCTTTAATTAGGTATGTATTTTTTGAATACATTTTGTATACTTATATTTATTTTAATACGAATTAAATTAGAAGATAATTTTTTTAATTATATTATTAATCCTTACAATTATTGTAATCCGAATTTAATTAGGTATTTATTTTTGAATACATTTTGTATCCTTACATTTAATATAATTCGCTTTAAACAAAATAGGTTTTTTTAAAGACATATTATATCCTTCTAATCACTATGATACAAATTTATTTTAAAAGGTTTTTTCATACATTATTTATCCTTACAATTATTATAATCCGAATTTAATTAGGTGTGTTTTTTCGAATAAAATATTATACTTATATCTTTATAGTTTTAATAATAGGGATTTTTAGACAGGCCCGTTTTTTGATAAATTTTGTATTTTTATAAGTGTTATAATACTAATTTAATTAAAAAGGTTTTTTTTTTTTTTTAAATAAATTATTTATCCTTACAATTATTATAATGTGTATTTAATTTGGTATATTTTTTTTTTTTTAATACACTTTGGACGCTTATAGTTTTTTTTAATACGAATTTAATTTGGAAGGTTGTGTTTTTAACACATTATTAGTCATCCTTATAGTTATTATAATACGGTTATTATAGAAAGGTAGTTTTTGTATGCATTATTTATCGTTATATTACAATACGGTTGTGTCGTTATTACGGATCGATATTATGTGCGCGCAATCAAATCGATGGTTGATCGGGAGATGTGCGACGTCGAACATTATGATGACGACGACGATGATGATGATGATGATGATGATGATGATGACGGCCGCACCGCCATGTCGTGTCCCGCCGCGAGCATTCACGACAGGACGTTGAGAAAGTTGACCGCCTTCTTGTGCTTTTGCTCGGCGTCGTACAGCAACACGGAATCCGTGATAGGTGTACTACCGAGATTCTCCAACAGCCTCCGGCTTCTGGTTGGCATATCTGGCAACAGCGGCATGGCGTGCGGCGGCATGTACTCGCCGACAATTGTCGAGCCCAATGAGCCCGGGCCGAAATCGTCGCCGTAAACGTACCCGCCGCCGCCACCGCCGCCGCCGCCACCGCCATCACCGCCGCCGCAGCCGCCGCCGCCGCCGCCGCCGCCGCTGCCACCGCCGCCACCGCCGACCGTCCGTCGCGCGTAACCCCCGGCAGCGGCCGCGGCCGCGGTCCGGAACGTGGACGCGATCCGCTCCATGGACCGTTCCTCGGCGATCTTTTCGGCCGCACGCGAAAACACCCGACACTCGTCTTCGGTCATCGGTCGCCGTCCCGCGTAACAGCCACCTGTATGATATGCACACACGCCGCCGTCACGCTACCGTACCATACTTATACGTATATAATATAATGCATAACATGTACACGCGCACGCGAGAGCGATGCGCGCGGATATAATAGTGTAGGCGGGTGCAATGTTATTACAACAACATTAACGTAACAATGACACGTCCCGCGTTACAATAATCAATCAATCATTGTTGACTGGACAATACATTACGGTAAATTATACAAGCGGTTTCACAACGAATACAACGGGCGCTCGCTTAAACGTGACGCCGTATTTCGGCACAACCACACGGGCACGGCGCGCCCGCCCGCCCCGTCGTCGTACACTGTGGCCACCACAGGTTTTCCGATCTCCCGCGCGGGGAATATTCGACTCTCCGGCGACGCGACGACGGTGACGACGACGTCCCGCGCGGCGCCCGTTACGAACGCGTTATAAAGACGAGGAGTCGCGTGTGTATGGTGCCGTACGAGCACGTGCGCCGGGAACGGAACGCGTATACGCCGCGCGTTCGCGCGAATCCGTTTTCGGGCCGGTTCGAGTAGAAATCGATTATTGACAGTCACACGTCGGCCAACGTAGCACGTATACGCGCACGTGTCAACGACACAAACACTGGCGGCCGCGCCCCGGGTTCTCGAAAAAACGGCCGTTGGCCACGGCGTGGAGCGTGCGGCCCGCCGGGTCGGCGCCGCGCGGACCAGTTCTTCCGGCATGATAAGAATTATAACCTCGAACGGTCCAAGCACACCAACTCACACAAAACGACACAAAATGTTCACCTAGTCGGGGAATCGTCTACGCAATTGCTCTTGCTTTATTGCATTTGGCGTGCGCTATCTTTGGCCTTTTATCTATCGCGAACGACACCAATTAGATTAAAACTACAGTATACGCAACAACGACGTCCGGATAGCTTATTGGCGCGTAAACGCGACGCAAACGTATTTTAAAGTAGGTACTCGTACCTGTTCACCGTTCAATTGGACCGTACAGAATTGAGTTCTGAAAATCTGTTTCTAACCAACGTACCCACCGGTTCGAATAAAATAAACCCCGGGCGTACGCACGAAACTACGGTCTACGTTACAACACGTCGAACAATAAATCTAACCATAAACGTTAGACCGGTCGGTCTGTTCATGCGCGTGAATACATTTTGAACGCTCGTGTCTCCGGGGCCGTCGACGCGTCGGCGTTAAATTCGCGCAGTCGCGAAATTTCAAATTTCGACGGTCGGTTATTTTTTTTTTTTTTTTTTTTCTCAACGTTATGTTTCCTTATCACGCCGGCAGTGCTGAGTGTATCCCCCGTTCCCCCACCCCTCCCGACCAGCCAACGAAAACAACCAATACCTCGTGCAAACATAATTCGACGGCAAACTGGCGTCCGGTTCGTTATTGTTAATCATTATCGTTATCGTCATCGTTTCCAGCGCGATGCGCGTTACCGTTCCAATTCAATTGTGTACTTACCGCCCAGGGGCCGGCGGCCGCCGCCGTTCCCACAGTGCTATCAATACACGAACCTTCAACCAACCAACCCGTTCGTAATATTTCCCGCCGGCCACCACGCATTGCACCTGTATTATTGTAATCCGCGGGCTAGGCCGTTTCGCTTATGACATTATCGTATTATTATGTATTGCGTATTCGCTACTATTATAAATATACGTATATTTTATCGTATTATATTTAAACGCGATTTATTGTCATTCACACGCGTAATGATGTAAAAATACAATTATAATCGCAATATACCTGCGGTGGACAGCGATGGCAACATGGACGTCGAATACTCGTGTTCCGCGTTCTCGCGCATCCTGGCCAAACGCAACAGCTCCTCGTGCAGCCGCACGTTGTCCTCGATCTGCCGGCGGCGCCGGGCGATTTCCGCCTTGATCCGGGCCTTCTTCTCCTCGCGCTGCAACTCCTCGTCGTGCTCTTCCTCCGCCGCCAGCGCCGCCATCGTGTCGTAATCGCAGCCGCCGCCGCCGCCGCCGCCGCCGCCGTACCCGTCCAACATGTAGTCGCCGTAACCGCCGTCGTCGACGTCCAGATACGGGTTGGAGGTGGGCGACGGCGACGGGTCCCAAGAACGCGACCGTCGGCCTCCCACGGCCGTCCCGTATTTCATCATGGACGTCATCATCGGCAGGTGATGTTGCATCTGGTAATCGTACGGCCGGCGCGGGTCCATGTCGCCGGCACCGCCGCCGTCGCTGTACCTCCGCTGCCGGCGGTTGTTTCGCCGCACGTCCCATCTGCAACGCGGTACACATCAGTTACGAACGAAACGCTGCTTGGCGATTATTGTTGCGCCCGCTCTGCTGCGCGGACGGCGAGCTTTACCTTTTTTGTTCGGCCGAGACAGAGTTCATCGCAGTGCCGCGCCGGTGTCCGTTGTGGTCGAAAATCGCGGCCGACGACCCGATCGCCGTCTCGCGCAACGCGCCGCCCAAATAGCCGGAACCGCCGCCTGTGTCCGGCCAGTTTCTCCAGGACGTCGTGGACGCCGGGTCCTCGCCACCGCCGTATGACCGAGACCGCGGTCTGGTCGGCAAAAAGTCCTGTTCCGAACGAACAAACGGGTCAGGTCGGGCGGACGGCCGCGGCGATAACGGAATACGACGGCCGATACTTACCACGTTCCTGCTCCCGTAACCTCCTCCCAAGACCCCGTCGTCCAGTAACAGCGCGGACACGGTGCCGTCGTCCTGCTGCAACCGGTGCATATAATCGTCGTCGTCGTACATGTCGGACATGTGTTTGTTGCCGCCTCCCAATCCTCTGATCATCCTCGATCCGCTGCTACCGCCGCCGACATGTCTCTGCTGCTGGTTCTGGTACCACCGCCTTTCCAGATTGTCCGGCCTGTGCGTAATACACGAGTATATTAAAATATCACGTCCTATTATACAGTGGGCTTTTTTTTTTTTTTTCTTTTTTTGATTTTCCCAAAGTCTCCTAAAACGGTGCACTTTCACTCGTTCAACACTTTTGCTCGGTCAAAACAGCTCTGTGCATACACGGCGATAAACGTAACGTATTGCGCCCGTTATTTCGGCAAGTTTAATTCGTCAATTGTTTTTTTTTTTTTAGAACATTTAAGAAAAACAAGTAGTTCTGAAATGTTACTTTTGTTTTTATCGCCTCTATTTCAGAGGGTTGAACCACTACCTACATTAGATTTTTAAACGGCACCTGTATTTTCAATTTTCCATAAACAGATACGGAGTACTAGTCTAAATCAATTTTACCGGTGAAACTGTTTAGTTTCTGTCGGTCCATGGACGAGTTAAGATTCGCCGGGGAGAGAATAGTCGTGTGCCATATGTGAGGTGGCCCGGCACGAGGTGCCGTAATAGTGTTCCGTCACTATACCTGAACTAAAAATATCTCGCCGAAAGATTGACGGAAATCAATAGTGTCAACAGCAAAATGCATTTAAACTAATACCTCCGTCTATATGTGAAATCTTTAGTGTGGATCGTCGTTTGAAAATCAGGTTGGCGGGTAGTGGTTTGGCAACTTATAAACAAGTGTCAAAAAAAAAAAAAAAAAAAACAAAACAAAATACCCGTTACGTTCTTAAATGTTCCGAAAAACGAATTCCGAGAAAATTCAACATTTTCCGAGACAATGCGTGTCTTGCGTTCTGTCGATCGCTCAGTATAGTTTCTTTCTTTTGTAAATCGATAATAGACGCACCCGTTCGCGTATCGCCGCAGAGTAGAATAGTTTTGTCGGGGCGCAAAAGAAACTTTCGTCATTGCTTTTTAACACCGTTTTCTCGTATACGGATAAGTCGCTGCGGGTACAAAGTTTCTAAAGTTTAATTTTCCCCGTTCTCCGCAACATGAAGATTGTGCGTTTCTCGGAGTACACCCGCCGGTTAATAATCCTCGTACGCAAAACCCCTTCCGCTTTTGCACGTACGGGTATAATAAAATATCAAACGCGAAAATAACGTTTTCCTTTCCTTTACACATTCTCGCGGCTCGTTCGATCGAACCGCTCCGGAACCCGCAACAGTTCGTCGGTAGCTCGAATCCGAAAACATCCGCGAACGAAAACATCTCGTCGACGGTTCGCACGCGACCATGTCTGGCGGACCGGAAAAAAAAACAACCCCTCACATCTTTCTGCGTGGCACACGCCCCGGTGTTCCCACAGGGTACACTACGTAATTATACTCTCAAAAAGTTTAAAAATCCGTCAAGATATAATATTATCATCGCCCGTACGTGCGCAGTTTTACCGCTAAAACCGAAAGAGTAATTTAAATACCTAATTTATTTCGGGTAACTAAAAAACCGCCTGCGATTTATTGTAACTTGTTTTTGAAAAAAATGTCGAGTGTTTCATTTCGGTAATCTCGATTGGTTTTTTTCGTATAGTTGATATCTATTTCCCGAAATAATCAGTATAGACCACGTAGAGAAGGTATGTATCAAATACTCCGTGCAAGACATAGGACGCTGTATAGTACACATTATATCGATGGCGACACGGCAAAGGGGTTTGATGTTCTAAGCGACACAATTCACAGATTTCAGAAGAATCAAAAACCATTTCAATTTTAACATTTTTTTTTTTGTCGTTTAGACCCTATACAAATTGAGAAGACGGAATGAAAAGTATCGTTTACGCCCCAAGCTTAAAATTCAAATTGTCGTTAGATAACGGTCACAGCTGTGTTCGCGCACGTGCGAATGGACGAAACGCGTATTTCTCCATCCAATTGTGTAGCCGTGTCGCTTAGACCCAAAGTGTCGCTTACGACCCTTTTGCCGTGTCACCCCACGGACGTACTGTCTCGAAAAAACCCGACGCGGTAACCGTACGGAGTCTGTAACAGTGGCGCGCACAGGAATTTCCAACGGAAGGGGATGTTCTACCCGGGTCTGCTCTACCCGACTTGGCTGTATGGGAATTTAAAAGCCTGAGAAAAAAAGCCGATTTCTACGATCGATACGTGACGCTTTATCTCGCGCCACTTGGCTGAAATATAGTATATCCGTTTCCATGTCCAGACTACTAAATGTAAGTGTATTTTTTGTGCGTTCAAGCCAACTGAGCGGGGGGGGGAAGGTGAGGGGACATAACCCCTCGCCTCCCTCCCCCCCACCGTCCCCGTGCGCACGCCACTGGTCCGCGGTATGCCGTTCGTCAGGCCCGACGACACGCGGGACCGCGCCACGGGAAGTCGGGATCGGCCACATACGACGCGCAATAATATTACTGGGTCCGCGCGCCGGCGCGAAGTTATAACTATTGCATACGGTACGCCGCACTTACACGTTGCTCGTCGAACAGCGGTACAACAGGCTGTTGCCGTCGTAAACGCCCAGCGATCTCGCCGTGGCCATCGTCCTGCCGGCGGTGCGGTAGTGCTGCTGGTCCAGCACGCTGCCCGTGCCCGTTCCGTAGAGCCCGGCCGTCTGTCTGCCCGTGGTGCCGATGCGACGGTCCATGGACGAAGGGTAACCGATGCCGGCGTCGTCGTGGTACGACCAAGACGACGTCCACTGTTTCCTGGCGCCTCCGACGCCGCCGCCGCCGCCGCCGCCGCCGCCGTACATGCCCAGCGAAGACGCAGTACTCTGCGACAAACCGTACCACGAGACGTTAGAGACGTGGGCGTACTATTATTATTATTTTTTTTTTTTTTCATTTAGATTCTGAGCGGATCGAGGAATGCGTTGGTTTTACAACGATTTTTATTTTATTTTTTTTTTTATTATTCTCTGTGAACAACTTTTCTACCTGAAATTTTGCTCCGATTTACAATAATAGCACTTTTTCTGAGAGCATTTTTCTACCGGGGTGGTACTTTGGGGAGATTATTTTTTTAATTTTACCAGCCGTTTTCATAATAAATGGGAACACCCCCGGAAAAATACGAGAAAAACAGCAGAAAAAAACGGGAAAATAGGATGATATAAACGGCGTTAGTTATCTAAAAAACCAGTTTATATCGTTATTTATTTTTTGTTTGGTTTGATTATCGATAATTTCTACACGCGGTAGAAAATGTTGTTGTCTTAACGATAATGGATAGTATTACTGATGCAGTATTGATAAGCTTAGTGGGGACTACTAGCGCAGGGCTTTCTGATGTATTTATATTATATTTGAATTACATACCGAAAATGGTTTTCTTAAACACAAGTATACGAGACATCAACTCGTGTCATGCAAAGAAATTTCGTTAAACCTCAAGACGCTTCTTGAATCATCGGGAGAAAAAGAGATAGCATTTCAAGAAGCTACAGGCTGTAATAGTGTTATGGGCACACACGGCTATCAAAGATGTCACTGTAATACGAAACGTGAAACGAATATATGTGCCTGTCGTATAGTTTGGAAATTATTCTAAATGCCACACTTCTTTATCGTGTGAAAATAAATAATTATCATATACAAATTTAAATATTATCTTTTTTTTTTTTTTTCTTATTAATCAACAAATATACAATAATTATCATAAAATTAAATTCTAATTGAATTGCAACTAACATACTTAACTAATATTGTTTGGAATCAACGTAATTAATGTTAAAAGCCTTGCAAATTATTAATTATTTTTCCATTAACGTTAATTACTAGATAACAAAGTTAATATGAATTTAACATCGTTTACTGATATATACATCATATTTATATAATACATTGCGTCTACGGGAAATCGTCGACGACCGTGCAAATCAAACATATTATTTTAGTTTCAATAAAATTGACAGTAAAAAAACAAACGGACATACTTCGCACAATAAGTGGGCGCACTGTTATAGTTAAGAAGTTGGGAAGGTAAAGGGTAAATATAACCTTATTATATTTTTTTAGCAATTATGCTCCAACTAATAATGATAGCAATTTTTCTGAAAGGAAATTGGCGAGAGTAGGTGCTTTAAGGAGGTCATTTTTAGATTTTCCCATGATTTTTCTCAGCTAATGTGAAAAACCGCGAAAAAACACGGGGAAACCAGAAAAAAACGGGAAAATCGGTACAACATTAAACACATTTTATTAAAGAAAATATATAAAGCCAATTTAATTTTTTTTTTCATAAAATGACATATATATATATAGTTGACAAAACATCACTATCAACTGAACTCCGCTCAGAATCATTTTTTCGTTAGCAGTAGTTTATCGTTGTTTACAAATATATATTAAAGTTCTTTCTGTATTACACCTTCTTAACTTCCCACCTACAACAGAGACTGCACCCGTCCCTATTATGCTAGGACAGCTTTTTACATATATTGTTAGAGAAGATTTTGTTGGTTTTGTAGATTTACATTAAAATAACTATTCACAAATTGATGAGTTTTCGGATATCGATTTAGATTTTAGTAAAGAACTACATAATACAAGTAAAGTTGAGCCAACCATTTGAGGGAAAGTTCTAGATTATTCAGTGGTTAAAAAATTTAAAAAATTATGATTAGATCTATTATTTTGTGTTATGATGTTTGTAGTGTTAATTTGTCTGTGCTGCATGTGTTGCATCAGAAACTGTTGCTAAAATTGCTATAATTTGTCCATGCTTAAACCATGCTACCATTATACTTGGAGAAAAACGTAATACCGCGCAAAATCCGTTTAAATAAATGTTTGTAAAAGCTTATAAAGTGATGGGAAAAATTAGATATAAAAATTAAAAGATCAAGAATTACAAAAACGATAAAAATATCGTGAAAATTTCGATTAATCTGATGATGACATTTATACATATTAGGGTCTATCTTTTTTATTCCCTTATTAGATAAAGTCATTCAAGATTTTGCTATAAGGTTTTCTGTTGACTATATGCAATGTTTTAATCTAAAAATTTTAATTATATCTAATCTAACTCAGCTAATTAATGACAGTAATCGATTTAATAATTTAATTAAAATGATTTCAAACCATTACAGCAGTTTATTAAACAGTACATTTTATATTGTTCGACTAAACTAGAAGAAGAACTTAAAATTATAGAAATGTCTTTAATATTAGAGTTGAAAAATATGAATTCTGCTCACCAAACATCGAATTATTTTGATCCGAACTAGGCACTATCCATTACTAACATCATTACTTAAAGATCTACACCGGTCGAGCGCTACACGACCACCGGTCGCTATACTCACGAGAGAATTGGCGGCAGCCGTCGCCGCGGTACTCCTCAAAAGCCCGTGCTGTTGTAGCCGTTGCGTGGTCGTGTGTCGTTGTTGGGACGGGGCCGTGGACGTGGTGGTCGACAAGAGGTGCCGGAGATCCGGCGGCAGGCATGCGGCCAACTCGTCACCGCCGTCCGAAGGATATTTCCTCGTCAAACTGCCGTATTGCCGGGCCGCCGACGGGTTCGGTTCTCCAGTGCTGCTCACCAGGCTCGAGCCTGTAAACAAGACGCCGGAAACGGTTACGGTACATGATATTGTTAATGGGGTTAGGAGGGACTCATTCCAATATATTTTGCATATAATTTTTGAACGACCAAAACAAAATAGCCAAGTCAAACATAGAAATATGTAAACGTCGTGTAAACTACTAATTCATAAGGAAATTCTCCTAGTGCCTATCTGGACTTATTGCATCCGGTTATGGGTTGCGGCCAAATTGACAAACTTAAACGGAATACGAAGATTCCGATCGATCGCTTTGCGCATGGTAACTAAGGTCCCTTTCTATGAATCCAATCTAAACCTTAAATTTTATTTTGCATACTTTTGTACGTTTTACGGTTTTCGATTTTTAGAGCATAATGTTTTAACTTTTAGTATAGCTTTTAAGTGCTACAAAAGAACAAAAACTCGTATCTTATCTTATTGTACACCGTGAATTATACCCGACTTTTTCGATTTACATTGTTCGAGTTCATACGCACTGAAGACACAAGGCATAGTCGAAATGACCATCGTAAAATAGTTGACTGGGTTAATATTGAGCTTCTCAATAACTTTCAAACTATTCATCTCAAAACACTAAAATTTTACGCACATACCATTAATAATAATAATAATAATAAATTAATTATATATCAAGTTTTTAGTATAAAATTTCATTAAAAAAAAAAAAAAAATGTTTTATAGCATATTTTAGTGCATATTTGCATGTCTCAATACGCTTAATTATTAAAGGCAGTCGTTGATAATAGAAAAACAGAAATTGAAATTATTATCACTCGAACCGGGCACCGCGAACGCAGAGAAAAAATATAATATTACAACAGTGCAGCTGTTTAGGATTTTGCCGAGGAGGGAGATATTGAATTTGGAAACTGTGTCACATGTTGCACGGCACAATGCAACTGCGTTGCAATGTTTAGCGTGTACCTGTACTTAGACCAATGTGCCTTAAAGGTTCAATTGAAATCAAATAAGTAAATTGAGTTGCACACGCAGGGTATTTGGGGTCGTGTCCTACCTCCAAATTGGATTTTTAACACGATAACCGTATGTATATTTGTTTAGTTGTTTAGTTAGTGTTTTGAACTTGAAATTTATATAATATTTCAGCCGAGTTACTTTCCATCGATCCGTTGACAAGATATTCCGTTTTTAAGTCTAGGTTGGAGGAGAGTAGCGATGCATTATTAACACGACGAATGCCGTGCCGCCACACAAATGATACTCCACGCTAACCAAAACTTAAAACTGGAATGTCTCGTCAACGGATAGACGGAAATCAAAAATGACTACACTAAAATGTATTTTAACTAATACTCTATTTATGTATGTACATTTTAATATAGTTTGCCATTTGAAAATCAAAAGTGGGCAGTGGTAGTAGGTAGTGGTGGTTTAACCCCCAAAAATAAGTGTGACAAAATAAGCATAAATGTAAAATTGTACAGTCGCTTGTTTCTTAAATGTTCTGGTAAACAAATTCCGGAAAAAGTCAATACTTTCCGAGATAATGAGTGTACCCGTTTAAATGGATCACCCGGTACCAGTTAGGTCATATCCGACGTGTAGGTGTATACCGGCCGTCTATATCGAGGATATCGGGTATCCGGGAAAAAAAAAAAATAAATAAATTATCAGATATCGGCTTGCGGCCGAACAATATTGTATTCGGAGGTACCCGTCACACGATCAATACGCCGTCTGTGACGCAATACCGTCGTGTGGGCGGCAAATATTTACGAGCAACGGAATAACCAATAATCTCCGAGTAATCGCGATGTGCGATTCGGCCGAGAAAATCGATTCGCGGCGAGTCGTTATTTGGGGCATCAGAATGTTTTCGGAACGACGCGGAGATTTAACGAACCCTCTACGCCAATCGTTGGTTTTTTGGTGGAGGGGATAGGGGGGAGGGGAGAAGGAGAGGGTATGATAGGAGGAAGGGATGAGGGAAGGGGAGAAGTAAAAGGAGGGGGAAGGGAAGAAGAATGGGAGGGGGAAGGCGAGATGAATGGGAGGGGAAAGGGAAGAAGAATGGGAGGGGGAAGGTAAGATGAATGGGAGGGGTAAGGGAAGAAGAATGGGAGGGGGAAGGGGAGAAAAAGGGGAGTGCTTAGCTCGAGCTCTTTGTTCGCTTAGGTGCGGACCGCGAATGGATCATGCGCGACGCCGTATGGCAACGGTTCGACAACGACACGTACGAGGAAATTCGGAGGAAGACGGGTGTGAGGAATCGCTGCGAACCCAGCTTCGGATCGATAACAGAGACAATAAGAGCAACGATTCGTTTATTGTCACGATGATACCCGATTTATTCGGTGACAGTATTTGTGAGCACTGCGAGCGCCTGAAACTCGTCCGTTGCCATTTATCATCGTCTGTATCCGGTTTTTTTTTTTTTTTAATTTGTATAAATCAATATGGTAAGTTCAGTTTTCAATACGGTAGGACAACGCCGGGAAAATATGCAATAACGTCGCATTAACACGGAAATTAAAAACCCGTCATCGTTTTGGTTTTCGCTTCGTATGATCCGTTTTTCGTGGCACGGGCTGGAGGAGTTCGATCGTGTTACATACCTGTGCCTGAATTACGCCCGTTCGATTAAATATTATATCAAGCTCGTGATTGACTTATAGGAAATCGTGAGAAACGAAAATGATTGTAATTGACGGCATTTAAAATATAAATATCGCATGCGAATTTTCGTGCGCGAGTACAATCGCGACACTATCGCGGACTTTCATCAAAGTGCTGTGGAAGAGGGTGGGGGTGGGGTGGAGGTGGTACGGGTGCGGTCGAAGGCAGGTGGGTGAGGGTGGAGTGTAAGGGTGGTGTGTTAGGGTGGGACGCGATGGTGGGGTATGAGGTGGGATGCGATGGTGGGGTGTGAGGTGGGATGCGAGGGTGGGGTATGAGGTGGGACGCGAGGGTGTGGTGTGAGGTGGAGTACGAAGGTGGAGGTGAAGGTGGGGGTGAGAGTGGCTGGTGATGGCGGAGGGGNGGGGGGGGGGGGGGGGGGGGGGGGGGGGGGGGGGTGAGGGTGAGGGTGGTCCATGGGCGTATACAACAAACCGTGCGGGCGACCGCAGGGCTTCGTAGCCAGACGGTGTATTCGCCCGGGCACGCGAATTGGGTCACAGGGATCGCGGGTGACGGGGAAGGAAAAATAGGGGAGGAGGGGTGTGCGGCACAACGGAAACGCAGCTAATCTCGACCGCCGTGCAGCTGCAGCTACGTACCAAACAATCCGTAACTGGCGGTCGCGCCACCGCTGCCAGACCGATGGTTCTGATTCTGCAACTGGTGCAGCTTTGCGGCGGCTGCCGAATAATGGGGCGTCACCATGGACCTGTCGGTCACCGCGTTATAGTGCATCATGTCCCGGTCGGTCGGCGTCAACGGTGCTCGAGGGGTGCTGCACACTCAACCGTGGCTGTGCAGCGCAGCACGGCGCCCGCCGAAACGATAGTGGCACCGCGGACGGCGAGGTCGAAACGATGGCGCGTCGACGCCGCCGGCCCCGCGTCCCGGACGAACGCATCGGCGTGGCGTCCGCAGTCGCGCCGCCGGCCCGACGGCGGCGGCGATATCACCGCCGCCTTTTACAGCGGCGAGCATGTGGGGAGTGTGGTGGTTAGGGGTCAGTCGGTCGTCGATGAAATGTAATTTACGGTGCGCGGGCGACACGGGCCCGCGGTTGCGGCGGCGATGGGTCGACGCGCGTACGCGACGCACCGCGATGGCGACGGGAAACGTAAACGCGCGACGACGATGGAAATATTACTAAAGACGACAGGACGACGCGAGTCGACCTGCGGCACACGAACGCTGTTTGCGAAATTGTCGGCGCGCGACTGCACGGCCGTGTGACGGCGGCGGCGGTAGCAGCGATACTGGCCCGTCGCCGCTCTGACGGTCACTAGTTCACTGCAGGAACGTAGGAGCTAACGATTTTATTATTCGCGAACGTCCCGCGGGGCGTTACGGACGGCACGGGCGCGTGCGCGACCGGCCGGGCTGCGCGTAACAATATAATGTATAGTACGCAAGGAGTACGCAATTACGCGACGCGTATGTACGTGTGCGCGGCAAACGTTGTGTAGCGCCTCCCGGCCCGTTGCCGCGGCGCCTTTCGCTAGCCTTTCTGCGCCGGGCTGCGTCGGCGGGGACGACGGCTACGACGACGCCGACGATGATGCCCGCGCTCCGCGACCTCGGCACGCGGTCCGCCGCCGCGCCGGCCCATCACCCGCATCGGATGATCAATACGCGCGCGCGGGACCTTTTGACCCCCATCGTCGTCCGCGCCGGCACGGTTTCGCGGCCGCGCGCCGTCACTTTCGTACGCGGCTCCCCTGGAAACCGTCACCGTTTGCCCGCCGCCGCAGCCGCCGCCGCAGCCGCCGACCGCGTACGACGTGTACGTACGCGCCACAATACACGCCGCCGACACGCACGCGCTGTGCGTAACGATGTTATGTACTACCCTTATAATATAATACAGGGTGTCTCGCGGACGAATGTGATTATAGTTTTCGTTTCGTTTTGTTATTTTATTTTGGGACCGTATATTTACTGGGAGCCTACAGCTTAGTTTTATGATCGTTGTGTTCAATAAATGTTGTTTTTTTTTTTTTTTAAATATAGAAATTTAAATTTGAATTTAAAAAAAATCAAAAATAACTTGCGGAATCCTATTTCTAAAATCATTTTGAAACAAAATGTTCACAAACGACGAATCGTTAATATTCTAATCGTTTTAGACGTTTCAAATTGCTAATTTAAATTGTTTTACACACACCGTTATCGCCGTTAGTGATTATTATTGTGATATCAATTTTATGAAAAATTAAAATTTGCATTTTTTAATTTAAAGCAAATTTTAAAAATTCTTACGAAAAAAACATAAAACTTAAAAATATCCAACAGTAAGTTCGTGCATTTGTCAGATCTCCGCGGAGACGCCCTGTATAATATTTTCTATACACACTGTATATAATAAATCTTTGTCATTTGCACACATTTGCGGCTCCACCATTTTCACGTGCGTCTCGCACGGACCTTTGGCGCACGATAAAGTCGTCAAAGCTCCCACCGCCCGCCTATTGTTATACGGTTTTTACGGGTGTTTACACGATCTTTTATGACAGCCGAAAGAAATGAATTTCCATCGTTTAGGCGAAAATACACGTAGGTCACGATCCCGTCGAGAGACCGTATTGCGGTTTTCTTCTATATATTCGAACGGGAAATATTACAGCGATGTGACACAAATCTGCGGATTATCCGAAAAATCCGGATTTCGGACTTTGGTCGCCGAAAATGCCGGTTTAGAATGTTGAAATTCAATTTCGATTCTTTAAAATTCAAAAATACTTTGAAATGGTTGATTTTCACAAAAAAAAAAAAAAAAAAAGTAATTCAAAATTAAAATTTAATTTTGGATTTCGAAAATCCGGTTAAACGAACTTCGGCTAATCCGAATTTTTATCATATCTAATTATTATCCCTGTTGCAGATCCGGTCTACACAGATAATTAAAATGTCTACGTGATTTTAACGTTTTGAACGAATTTCTAAGCGAACAGCGTATACAAAATGAATAATACACAATTTTAACACACCGAGTGTATTAAAAAATTCACCGAAAATTATCGCGTTCTTACAAACAGCTTACAAATGAAAATCCGTAATTTTACACAAATGATGAAGGAGAAAAACAAACGCATTTAAAAATTTAAAGTTAATCTGCGCGAGATACGGTTTTTTTTTGTGGTTTTTGTCTTCAAATTTACAGGATTTTCCGGATTACAATTATTGGGTACGCAACTGTAAACATATACGATTCGAAATACCCTGTATAATATTTCATTATTATTTTATACCGCGCGAAATATCTGACGGATACATATATTGCCATTTGAAAACCCCTTTGTCTAACGCCGAAAGATTGTCAACCGTCACATTTTTCTTTTATTTTGCAGGTCACCTTAAAACGTGTATTTTTTCGAATTTCACGCCGAAACGACGTCGTTATCGGTAATATTGCAGCTTTCTCTCAACGCTGACGACAGATATTTACGGAATTGCAATTTTCGTGTGCACACGAGCGAATATTATTGTATTTACGTACAGGTATTGGGTTTTATTGTGATAACGCACGTGAAATCCGTTCGAGCAACAGTTGTGTTGACGACATTGGCGAGAAAATAATATAAAACGTCATCATTAGAGTGGAAAGAAAACAAACAAACAATTTGTTTGCGTTTGAATCTCTGCGAAAAAAAAACGCCGGCACGCAATAATCCGTAATCCGGTGGCGCGGGAATAACGGGACCGATGGCCCCCGCGAGGCTACGGGAAAAAATTCCCCCGCCGGCTGCTCCCAAGGTCTCTAAAATACGAATAAATAGTAATTGTTTCAGTAGTCGGTTTTTTATGTCGAATATTAAATAATAAAAAAACACGGCGAAACAATATCGGTTTTTCTTTTTTTTTTTACACAGTAAACAGTATGGAACTATTATTTCAATAACTTTCCTGTAAAATAAAAATCTATCGAAATAAACTCATTGTCGATCTCCGACAAACAAATATTTGCTGTACGACAGTGAAGTTCAACAGGTTTCATTAGGGTATTTTTATTGATTTACACTATTTTCGATTGTTCAATATATATAAATATTATTCGGCCGTTCACTTGTCAAAAATATGTCCGAAACAATTTTCAGCTTGGATAAATGCCGTTGTTACTCCTTCAGTAATTCAAAAACCGTTTCTGCGACACCGTGTCACAATCGTAATCATAAAAATATAACAGTGATCGAAACGAACGGATTCAAAGGAACGATGAGTTCCTTTGATTTCGTTCGCTTTTCATGAATTTATCCATCATTTTTGGTATACTTTCTTGTGACGCCGGCCGGTTACTTTTCCTCCGAACACATTGCATGTATATACATAAATAAACGATTCTTATTATTTTTATTCGAGAAACGAAAAATGTCCATTTGTTCGGAACGAGAATATTAACCAGGGGCGGATCCGGGGCAATTTAACGGGCCGGGGTGATTTTGAAAAAGCATGTAAGGGACGCATTCATGACGAGCTCAATGATGAACCAAGCCAAGAGTATATTGGACAGTGAACTGGGCCGGCGATCGCTAATCCCCTGGATCCGCCACTGATATCAACTATGGTTTTTTTGTTTAACCCTGAAACGGTCCTATAATTAGTTCCATTTTTTCAAGATGAACATCACGTGAAATGATTTGACTTTTAATAGAAACATTCCGAGCGTAAATAGTAGCTGCGACCCGGGATATTGATTCGAGATTTTTATAGAAATTTAAATTTTTTGTTGAAATTTAGTTTAGAATATTCGTATTTTATGGACTTGAAATTTGAATACAAAGCTTACATTTGTCTTTTCTAAACGTGGTAAAACTGTAAAAACATTTAAGCTGTTTATAGAAATTTCCATTTTATGAGTAATTTTTATTTGATAGGTACTCTGTGGATAAAATCGTTAGACGAAACAAAAGTTCTTGAACATTGAATAGGAAGTCAATTATAAGTCGTACCTTTTGGTCAAAAGGTTTCATAGAGTAATTTTATTTTTTATACAAATTTTAATATCAAATTTTGACAAAAATCGATTTGGTAAAAAATTATGTGGAACAAATCTAGTTACTGTTTCATACAAATTATTTCAATATATATTTATTTTACTATGAAGCATATTATATTCTCTAATCTAATCTACAAAAATTATATAACATATTTTAGTGCCGATTTGGAATAACTACGCCAAAAATTCAAAAAATGTGGATGATGGATGAAAGGGGGTGCAAAAATGTCGGGGTTGCTGTTATGAATTTGTATAACAAATTTTGGTGTCGGCTTCGAATAGTATTTCTGACCTGCAGATGCCAGCGACATGCAGTTATAAATCGTTGCTAACGAAATGCAATTCCAAGCCAAGTTCGGTTAAACTATATGTTTTGAAATTCCGTGATTTTTACGATTTTTATTTAAATTTGAACTTTAAACTTGTATAAAAAATACCTTCTACATTACGCTACATTTTTTTCAAGCAGTGTCATCTCTCCTTATTTTATTTTTAGATTCTCTTACTAAAGAAGATATTATAGTTTTATTAAGATACGTTTTTTAATCGACAACCACTAAGCTTATTAAAAATATTCCGATATTTTCAATTAATGTCTTAAAAGTTGCAGACTTTGCATGATATATGTTGTATACTCTATTCGAAACATTTATCGACATTTTCAGAAATTCACCCCATATTGGACGTTTGTTTTGTTTTTTGAGACTACAAGTATATACCTCGTATCATATCGATGCATAAATATTATACTGGCGCTATATGATATCTACCGTCAATACTAACACAATACACACCGAATAAAAATGTATAAATCTGAATTAAAAAAAAAAAAAAAAAAAAATGTCTTGGGTAAAAGAGCCTCGCCTCGCTCAGACTTATGACCGTATGCCTTGCGCGAAACTGATTCGCTCGTCGTATAGTATTTCCCCATAGCATATTATAACCTAGTTACAACCTATTAGATCCCTCACCTATCCGGAGAACGTTTTGAATTTTATCAATTCAGTTTTTCTTTTTTCTTTTTCAAACCACTTTTTCATATTAGCGATTGAACGCCATGTTCATTCGGAATATACCAGAAAACCGTAAGAAAAAGCACTCATAAGCAGAGCAGTAATCCGTTATTAGAGCCGAAATTCCCCCTACCGTTTCGTCTAATATAGAATTATTCTTTGTAAAATATTAAATGTCCGAATATCAAAACCAATTTTACAATACCATATTAATTCAAGAAAATCTATATTAGGATAACAGGGATGGATGGAACCACTATTTTAGGTAGAAAGTTAGGAAGGTAGGATATAGACGGGAGTTTAATGTATATCTGTATGCAACGACACTAACTGTTGTTATCGAAAAAACGATTCTGAGCAGAGTTCGGTTGATATTGTTGTTTTCTCAACAATATATTATATTATATACGTCATATTATGGTAAAATAATTACATACGCATTAAATATTTTCTTTAAAAATATTTGTTAAATATTATACCTATTTTCCTGATTTTCCTAAGGTTTTTTCCAATTTCCCCCGTTTATCGGAAAAATTCTAGGAAAATCAAAAAAATGACCTCCCCAGTCAGATTTTCTTTTAAAAAAGTGCTATTATTGTAAATCCGAGCAAAATTGCTGGTAGAAAAAAATGTTTACAGCTAAAAAATAATAAAATTAACAACATTGTAAAAATGTACATTCCTCGCTCTACTCAAAATTGAATAGAAAAAAAAGTGGTGGAATGCTTGCATACAAATTGAGAGGGGGCCGGGGTTGAGATTAGAAAGAAACATCCTTAATGCTTTAACGCAATATATTTAGAAAACGTGTTCATCTAGCATAATTTGGTAGTTCTGTGGGATTATTCAAAATACAAAAAAAACACCTCACTTCCGCAACAAAAACATGTTTAAATTTAAAATTCGTGGTTTTATTAATCGGCCCACAGAAATTAACATTCTAATTTTCGAGTTTGACGTTATTCGGTTTAGAGAGAACCGCTATTGAACTGTCCGCCCAAAAGTATAACGCTCTAAAGTGATACAGCGGAATGATGTCTGTATTCAGGGAGTTAGGGGGAGGGAAATGTAGCCAAAAAATGACATTTTAACGGAAAGTCGCAAACGGTTTGACGGTTTTATCACAGTTCGTATTGATAGTCCGACTACGGGGCAAGGGTAAAAATAAACGATCAATATTTTTTACGATCTCCATTAATTGGCATACGTCTATATAAACTAACGAGTCAGGTTTTACATGGGTATTACGTGTAAATTACGGTGTTCGATCGAAAAAATTATCATTATGTCACATTAAACCGAACTGTTTTGAACCGTTTTAACTTAATTTATTTTTGTACACATCGATACACTCTCGGGAATTGCAGCGTTTGAATTTGCATTTGGTATCGGAGAACGCGTAAAACACAAGAACGTAACAATCGGGAAAATAATAATAACAATAAAAAACCATTGGTTGCCGAAAATGTTTGTTACTCGGTAAAATATTATAGACGTTTTCACGTCGTATTTTTTCCCCCGGTTACCCTATCCGACGTGGTTTTGCACAACGAATAGGGATTTGTTTTCGTTTAAAAATCCGACATGAGTTATTTGCACTCGAGTTGGCGACCACAATAATATGTTAGACGGGTTTTTATGATTCCGTGCCAATAACATTCCTGAATATTTTTTGTCCATGTATTATATTTATATTTATGCAATCCCATTTTGTATTTATTCTTTCTTTCTACAGCCGTTACACTTATTTTCATATAGGCGCCTACTTTATAATCCGCTCAAGTGGCCGGCTGGCCACGGAGATTAAAGATACAAGGATAGGACATGAGTGTGTTTTGAATGTGATCGAAGAGTATATTTCTTACCTATGTGGTTGTATTATGCATGTGGTCGTCAGAAGGATAACACAAAAATTCAATTTGAAACTTGTCATTTTGTTACCTATAAATAATTCAATGAAATAATATTTCCATAACACACGGTCGTTCTTTTTTTTTTTTTCAACCCGAAGGTTGGTTTACAACTCCAATTCTCCATTCTAACCGATCACTCGCCTTTTTTTTAAGTTCCTTAAAGGTTTTGACTCTTGCACCACATTTAATTTGTCCTATATAAGAGTTTCGGGGACGTCCTGTAGTTATCTTTCCTTCTATCATACCCTCTAAAATTATATTATACAACTTTTCTGGGTGTCTCAATGCATGCCTAACCATTTTCTAGCGTCTTGCTCTAATCGCGTCTATGAGTATACGTTTTTCTCCCACAGTTTTAAGTATTTATTCATTTGTTTTTCGCTCTATCCAACTTATCCTTTCCATATGCCTCCAACATCACATGTCGAAGGCTTCAAGTTTTTTTCTATTTGGCATCATTTATTACCCAAATTTCACATCCATATGTTGCAACATTCCATACACATGTTTTTATAAGTCTCTTCTTGATATTGAGATGTGACTTTTTTGAAGTGAGCAACTTCTGTTTTTTACTAAAGGCAGTTTTTGCTAATGCTATCTATGCGTTGTTTTAGCTCTCGGACGCTCTTACCATTTGATGTGATTTTGCTCTCTAGGTATATCATTTCTTATACTTACTCCAATTTTCGACTACCTATATAAACATCAGCTTTTATTTTCGGGTCTCTGGCGCAGACTAATATCTTCGTTTTTGTGCTCTTTATTTTTATTTCTGATGTTCTAAGCATGCCATCCATTTCTCCAACTGCACGTTGTATGTCACCTTCATTCTCTGCTCAATATCATCAGCAAATCGTATCATTGAAACAATTTCTCCACCAATTTTGATTCCTATGTTTAGTTTTGTTAGCTTTGTTTTCACTATATTTATAACTTTTCGATGTAGCAGCTAAAAAGTGATGGTGATAACGTACACTCTTGTCGGACTCCTTTTTTTTACTTGAATGTTAGTAGTGAATCCTCCTTTTTTAATGCAAGCTGTCTGATTCTTGCAAAGACTGTGGATGATTCTTACGTTTTATTGTTTTAACACCTATTTCTCGTAATGTGAGCAGTATTTTATTCCAATTAACTTTGTCAAAGACCTTTTCCAGGTTCACAAAGGCTAAATATGTAACTTCATTTCTATCGATCTATTTTTCAATTAGCACTCACAGTCCTAAAATTGCTTCTCGTGTTTACCTTTTTGTGTTCTAAATCCATATTGGTCATTTTGTAAGTACTGCTCCACTTTTCTTTCTATTCTTCGGTTCATTATTTTTGTTAGGAATTTTGAGACGTGTGTCAGTAAGCTCAATGTTCTAAACTGTTAACAGGAATTTGCTCCACTTTTCTTTGCTATAGTTACAATTATACTTTTACAGTAACCATCTGGCACATCTGTCTCATATATATCTCGAGTTAGTTTATATAAAGCGTCTTTTATCTTCTTACAAGCACACTGTAATAATTCTGCTGTTCTATTATCAGTCCCAGGTGATTTATTTTGTTTCAAGTCATGTAGCGCCAGCTCAAATTCTGGGTACAAAATAGGTAACTTCATTGCTTCCTCATTTGTTATCAAATCCTCCATCTTTCCTCCCTTATAAAGCTCTTCAATATACTCTTTCCATCGTTTTATTATGTTTTCATCATCAACTAATAATCGGTCATTTTTATGTCTTATATTTGTCTAATTTCGTTTTCTCTCTCCGAAAAATTGTTGGATATTGCGATACTCATATTCTATTTTGTTGACTTTGAATCGCCACACTACTGTTCTAACCATTCTTCTTTAGCTTTTCTGGCTTCTCGATTAACCTGGTTCTTTAGTTGTTTTGTTGTTCTTCTCTCGTGTTATTGTTTTTATTATTTTCGTCTTTCATCTATAAGTTTTACTGTTTCCTTGTCAATCCATGCTCTTCTTGGTTCTTTCTTTTCTTTTTATGTTAACACAGTATCCGCCGGTTTTTGATACCTGATTTTATGTCAGCTATCGTCGTTCTTAATAAATAAAATTTAATTTAGTATATAAAATAACATATTTATATATTTGAATAACATTTTACAATACTACATTGATAATCAATTAAAAAAAAACAATCGTATTGATGCATAAATAAAATGTATTTTGTGCATTTCGATCTAAATTTTGATTGTTAATTCATTTCTTTAATATCGTGAAGCATTCTATAAATATCCAAGTATTTTTATATTATTAAATGTATCAATTTATCTCGATGTGTATTTAAAACCGAGTAATATTTTTCACAAATATCAGTATTAAAAATATTCCATACTTAAAATATAATATTATTTCTTATTCCATTCCAAAGAAACGTTGATTTTTTTTGTAATTCCTGTTAATTGGATGGGCTTTAAATTTACAATCGTTATTACAGATAACAGATAGTTGATCTCAATCTTTATAAGCCACTTAACCACATAGTACACCTTGTATTTTAAGTATGTACAGATGTTCTATCTATGTTTGTATTATCTATTTGGAAATATATCTCCCTGAGCCGGTGGGTTGCATGGGCCGGTAGGTTGCTTTAGCCAATGGAATGCTTGAGTCGTTGGGTATGCGAAATACGTGTGTATTATCGATCAATTTAGTATGGTGATAATTTTCAATTTCATTAGTAAAACAAATTAAGAAATTCCACTCTCCGAGTATGTTAAGTTTCCGACTTCAAAACGTATTTTGAACAATCAACTATATTATATACAGTGTGTTCCACCATTTTCGACTGATTTTTCTTACACTGTTAATAATAAAGCGGCCTGACATTTTCACGAGCAGACCTACACAAAAGGATACACGTGTAATTATTATCGACACGCCGAAATCAAAGGAGTTTGCCCGGAAAACCGTGTGTGATGGGTCAGGTTTTATCGCTAATCCGCGTCCGGTCGAGTGCGTACGAACATCGTTTTACGGTACAGTGACGACCCTCGCTGTAAAATCACAGCCACAACGATAGCCGAAACTATAGCTCTATACACTCTAAGCCCTTTTAGGCCAGGACTTTTATTTAGTGTTATTTCTTTTTTCTCTTCACGAACCTCTTATCGCAAATCGCAATCGAAATGTATGCGACTTTTGTTATCGCGTTTCTCCGGACGACGTAAAACTAACAATTTATCATTTATAATCTATATCTTCAAAGACCCGGGAACCTCCAACAAAATTTGCCTCCGCGTCTATACACATGTTTGTTTCGGCTATTCTGTAGATCATTCCTTACCGCGCAATCTAGGCATCTTGGGGTGAGGTTTCACGGCCGGTTGTTTTCACTGACGACTCCCGTGTCCACCCCAACCGTTGCACACTTATCTCGTTTAAATTCTCTCAGTTAAACCCCGAGGATTTAAAACAGATCCACGAGTTGATGGTTATGTCGCTTTCCGTCGGTCTACCGGTTTGTGCTTCAATACGAATGACCCGAAAATCCTCTCAACACCTCAAACTTCGAACCTTATTCCTGTCTTCTTAGGCCGCCATATCTCTAAACCAGTGTTGCCCGACACGGGAGGCGTTAACACAGTGCTGGGAAGGCACAAGCAGTCATCACCAAGTGAAATTTGTATTTATTAATTATTTTAATTATACGATGTCGGGGAAAAATAGAATAATAATAACGATTGGTTATCTAATAGGTTTGTTTGCTTATCGGACTTTATACGAATATTACTTGTATCTTTTTGTTGAAAACCTTTTTTGATTGACTTTTTTTGTTGGGAGCGCGAGATTTTTGAAAATCTGCAAAGGATGTGTAGAATAACAGATATTAAGAATCAGTGCTTTAAACCGTACAGTCATAGATGCAACTTGACCAATATTTTTGGAGTTGCAAAAATGGTAAATATCTCATAGATCTATGAAGGCTTTGTATCCCCTTTAGACTACACAATATTATTTTAATTAAAGTAAAAATTACAAATGCATATTTACATGTTTTGTTTTAATATGGGTAATATCATTTAGTATAAATACTATTAATACTTAATAGTCATACAAATTCCTTGTTAAAAAAATAAAATAATCACACAACTATTTGTTTTTTGTTTTTTTTTTTAATTCGAGTTATATACATATTTAAAATGTGGTCACTTTTCAAACTTTTTGTTATATCCCTCTCGATACTTCATAATGATCAATTGGTAAATCTTTGTTGTGGTATACTTGTATGTAACCAATTTTTATATTGGCGCAGACTGGAGAAACTGCATTCGCAAGGAGCAGAACTTATATTGATAGGTATGATGATACCTACTAGAATAAGTTTGTCTATGTTACTTTTTGAATGTTGTTTTTTTTTTTTAACATCATCAAAACTGAAATTTGTAAGCAAGCAATTTTTAAAGACCATCATTTCAGCTTTGAATTCAGCGGTATAGTATAATATTTTTGTAATTATTGATAATATTTACTTTAAAATCAAAACAATCAAATCACAGTAGAAAAATGTTTTTATTTTTTGGGGGTGCATATTTTAAACTTGGATGGATAAGTTCCTGTGCACCTCCCTAGTTGCTTAAATGCGTACAGAACAAAACCAACAATAGTCATACAATTTCGTGCATGGACGTAACTGGATCAATTTGTTTAGATGAAGGAATACAGTATTATTATAATTATACATTTTAATGACGTGCATTTATTATAATATTTATAATGCGTGTGAGGTGAAAAATACGTCGGTAGGTAATAATAATATTACTTTAGTATTTTATGTTTGCACGCAATAAATAATGTATAATATTTTAATACTAATTTACAAATTATCAAGCTGGGAAATGCTCAATCATGAATTTGACAGTGTGGACAGTTTCATTTAAACGTCCTTTTCCTTCCCCACTTTACGCCTTCGGACGATAGTAGTATTTCAATATTGTACATTTCTCAAAATTGAACGACACATCTGTTATCATAATCTAAGAAGTGTTATAAATAGAGCAGACAACTTCTAGCATTTGTAGATTTATTTTGCATAGTCTTGCAAAAACATGCGGATTTAAAATTTATGAAATCATAAATGTTTATTAATAATGCTATTTTTTTAGTGTTGCAAGAAAAAAATGTCTATTTAAATATTAAAAAAATTTTAAAATAAATCAAGTAAAGAAATTAATCAATGTAATGTACTAATGTAAACTTAATTCGATCAACGAAAAGATTTTTTTCATTAATTTGGTCATGATATGTCATATATTATTAAATTAGGTAGATAACTATTTTTCTTATTTTAGATGTTTTTAAATAATTGATATTTTTTAAATTAAATCACTAGAAAAAGATGGATATACTTTGCAAATGGGTGGGTCATTATTGTAGGTGAGAAGTTGGGAAGGTAAAGGGAAAATTCAATGTATATCTGTACGCAAAAATCAACCATTGCTAACGGAAAACGATTCTGAGTTGAATTGTGTTGCTTTGTCAAAAATGTAATATATGTATGCCACATTATGGTAAAATAATTATTTACATATGCATTATGCTCGAATATTTTCTTTATTAATATTTATTTAAAGTTATATCTATTTTCTTGTTTTTACTCGGCTTATATTATATTATATTGTTTCTATTAAAAACCCCCGTGAAAATCAAAAAAATTACCTCATAAAGTACCATCCCAGTTAGATTTCCTTTCAAAAAAAGTACTATCATTAAAAACTGGAGCAAAATTACGAGTAGAAAAGTTTCTTATATGAATAAAAAGATCACAATATTATTTTACTAATAACTAGGGCTGTGAATTTAATGCAATGAAAAGCCTTAAAAAGCACAAAAAACGTACTACAAATTTCAAAACAAGCAATAAAATATGCACTTATAATGGTTTTTAACTTAATTTTTATACTTATTTTGATATTATAGATATTAGTATATTATACACAAATACATAAAAATGTATTTATTTATAAAACTAATTTCTTTAATAAAAATTATAAAAATGTTGATAGAATTTGAATGTTAAATAAGTTGATTTCTACAATATTGTCTTATTTTATCAAATCCTTATCTTTACATAACTCGGATACAGTTTATGTAAAATATTATTTTATAAAATATAAATTTTACATATATATAGCCTGTGTAAAACAAAAAAATATGTGCGTAAACATGTTAATTGGCAAAATTTGATTAAAAATACCGGAAAATGAACTTGAAAAGAAAATATGATTTTTTAGTCCAAAAAGAATGACATTAAAAATTAAAAATGTCAAAAAATACAAAATAAAAGTTTCATAAATTAATTTGTTGTTACATAATTCAAATTATGCACTTAGAAAGCTACGTTTCCTAATTAGCTACAAAAAAATGTACTCTCCTACACATTCACAGTACTACTAACTATACATTTTTTACATTTTTTCGTGTTTTCTTCGTTTTTTCCCCATTTATTAGGAAAACTCTTTGAAAAATAAAAAAATTGCCTCCCCTAAAGTACCGTTCCAGGAAAATTTTTTTTCAGAAATTTCGCTATATTTGATACTTCGGAGCAAAATTTTCGGAAGAATTTTTGTACACAGTATGAAAAAAAATATATAAATAAATAAACATCTTTGTAAAACCACACTTCGCCACGCTCAAAATCTAAAAAATGTGTAGAGACCTATTTTCAATGTATATTTTTTGGTTTTTTTAGAACTGCGTACTCTCTGCTTTAGTTACAAATAATGGTTACAATAAGTTAAACTTTGTGAAGTATACAATATTGTATTGTATTTCTCGTGGTTATTTTGTGCATGGTGTGGTACGTGACGGGAAAAAGTTCTCTAAAATTAAATCACTTTTTCGTAAGTCTTTAACGAAAACACCCAATTTCAAACGTGGGTAGAGGGGGCAGGTAAGTATATAAATTGTAGTCGTATATCAAACTCGCGCAGCTGCCTCGTTCGGAAAATGTCCCACAGCAGTTTTCTTTTTCTTTTACTTTTATACATATATCGCGTTATACGCGATGGCAGTGACTGATTCGTCGGGGCTTTTACTCGTACATAATATGTCCGTCATTCTGACGTAATAATCCCCCTACACATCAACGAGAGTTTTTTTTTGTCGAATTACTTTTCGCGTCGCCGGCATTTCGAAAATTCGATTATATAGGTGTGCCTCCTACATACACGTATCTACGTGTATTTGTACAAAATACAATCTCTCGTGGTAATCCGGTCGTAGCGACAATTCGAAATGATACCCGCCGTAATCCGACTCTTTTTTTTTTTTTTTTTTTTAATATAAGTACCCAGAATTCGATTGCACCTATCGTATAGACGAGTAATAAATTAATTAGCGCCGTTATTATTGTTTCCGGGATATTATATTAATGCGGCCCGCTACCGAATTGACACGTTAGATTATTATATACACCCTCTATAACAACGTATAATATGATATTTATACGTAATCCCGGCTTGCGTTTTAATTATGATTGAATATAGTGCGGAAGCAGGTACCTAACGATAAATTATAAGCTTCCCGTAATTCCGACAATGCCGACAGGAGACCCTCGGCATTTTAGCCGGTGCGTAAAAAGTGTCCATTATGATAATATACAGTTAACCTTTGTTATACCTATATATATTTACATAATAAAAAACAAACAACAAAAAATAATTTTGTAAATTGATACTCGAAAAACTAACTAAAAAAAAAATACGCCCGTGATCGGTATAAAGCTTCGTAACAAGAATATAATTTTTGCCCTATTTTATATTATACTGGACATATGTTTTATAAAACGATAAATAACCGAATCATATAATACTCGTATAGTAATTAATAACAATATAACGCTAAGTACTCTACGAATAAACTAGTTTAAACAAAATTATAATTGCACAATCTATGCATAGAAAGGGTAGGAGTGGAGGTTAAAAATTAAATCTCTCAAAGAGCACATCTTTAATGCATGCATATACGAAATTTCATCCTCTTTTTGGGGAATCTGTACGGGTATTCGAAACCTGAAAAACACCTTACTTCCGTTACAACACGCTGAAATTAATATCGAATTTAAATTAAACATTTATCACTTTAAACTGGCTATAAAACGATTCTAATTTCCGCGAGTTTGAGCGCATTCAGCACGGAAGAGACCGCTTCAAGTGTCCATAAGTAAAGGGAAACAGACATAACAATAAATTGCAATAGTCTTTGGTTTCGTCAAAAATTACGTACAAAAACAAACAAATACATAGAAAATAAAATATAAATAAATATCTGACAATAAATACTTTTTTTTTCGAATATTAATCACTAAAAAAATGTTTTTTTATACATATTATATAAATATTATCACACACCATCCGCAGCACGGAATCGCGTAGGTACGTACCTTGCAGAAGACCAAGCGCCGATTCCGGTCTGGCCGTCGATCCAGAAACGCCATCTTTTGGAGACCGATACTTGAGTAAATTCGTTTCGCTCATGCTGCCTGGTCGATTCGTGGAGAATTTGCTGGTACAGTAACCGTGACCGTTGCTGCTGTCAATGCTTGTAACGTTCCGTGTAGATGAGAACGGCCTGAGAATTACCAAACCAAAACGTTAAAATAGAATTTGGGGGTAGCACACGTGCTTGGCAGTCTGCCGCGCGTTTTCAAAAACAATAATTTTCCGTTCGGAAAGGCGCGCGTTCAAACGCCATTTTTACCGAGACGATACAAAGTTTATTGCGTTGCCAAAGTTTTGTTCGTCTCGATGATTCTCGCATTTCGGATGTCTAGGGTCACGAAAAAACCGCCCGTTCTCGCGCGATCGGACTGCGAACCGATATTTCCATTCCCTTTTTTAAATTTATTTTTGACTCATCGTCCCGCCGACAAACAGCGTCGAATACGAATGTACAATCGTAATGTCTGCGTCGTGGACCAACGGAGCTGTACCGAATCAAACCCAACGGTCGCACAAATCATACGCGCGTGTCCATAGCCCACAATGCGACAATTCACTAGCCTACTTGCGAGGAGTTTTACAAACGCACGCCTATAATTAATTAGCACAAACGCGATGAAACATACTTGAACTTGTCCATCATCACGCGCATTATGCGTTCGCGGCGCTTGGAGTTCGTGGCGCCCTGCAGCCACGGTAAGCTGTTCACGTCTATATCGGGCGGCGGTAAGTCGGGCAGTCGGCGTCGGGCGTCCCTGGCATCCCGACCGACGCTGCTTCGGAGCGACGAAGAGCGCATGGAGTCCGGTTCGCTGACCGTGTCCGACGGTGACGCCGTTAAATCTCTGAGCCCCGAATTGCCGCTGCTCAGGAGCTGTGCGCCTCTAGACGCAGTTGTAGGAATGTTTATTTGTGATGACGCGGCTGTAAAAAAAAAAAAAATTAAATGATGTCAGTTATACCGGATTCTTACTGCACAGACGCAAATCATGTACAAATATTCATGGTGCAACTTAAGTACCAGGTCCGGTATTATATATCAGGTGAAAACTCAATGGTCTCGTCGGTGTTGGTTTGTTAATAATTTTGGGATTCGTGGCGCTAGCCCAGAAAAGTCGGGCGCTAAGGACCATCCTGTGATTTGCGTTTATAATATAACTATAGTCCGATCCCCCCCTCCCCCAACATAATAAAACAAACAAAAGACGGGTTCATACTTCGCACGATTGGTGGTCCATTTTAGTGGGCGAGAAATTGGGAGGGCAGGATATCGAGCGGAATTAAATTTGTACCCGAACGCAAAAGTGCATCATTGCTAATAGAAAACGATTTTGAATGGAACTCGATCAATAGCATCGCATTTATACACAATTTGCGTTTTCAATAACGATTGTTTAAACAAATATTAAAAAATTAAATTAATAAAAACCTAATAATAATATAAAATAATTAAAAACGGGTGATGTCATTTTCCACCAAAAGTGTACCTGCCTCTTTTCCACCAAAACCATATTATTTAGCTCACTACTATTGGTTTAATAAATGTTCGGTAATTGCATAGTAAATTGTGCATGCAACCCGGCATAGGTATAACATGATAAAATATATATATTTTCAATGAAGAAAATATAATACTTTATTAAAAAAACATTGTGGAATTAAAAAAAAAAAAAAAAAAAAGTGATATAATATTATGGCATACCTTATCGCTATATATATTGTACTTATATATAATTAGTTGATATATTTTTTTTGAAAATTGTAAGATATACTTTTCACAAAATCGTAATTGAAATTCAAAACAACATTTCATTTTCATAAATATAGATATTTAGTATACTGTTTTATTAAACACAAAATGTCACCCTCGAATTATTCCATTTTTTTTAGTCCGTTATAATTTGGTCATTTTCCTATTGGCGGTTTCTTACTGTGTGGTTTTTTTTTGGATTATTCGATAAATAGGTATATCCGACAAATAAAATTTAATATTCACTATATTATATTGTATATTTTATTACTGTATTACAGTTTTTAACATAAGCGTCGTATAGAAATTGTTTTGTTGGAATCAAATATCGGTGTAAAAGAGAATCTACTATCAGTGGAAAGTTTCTACTGGAAACGTGTTACGCCCATAAAAATGGTTGTCTATGTCACATTTATTTTTAATATTTTCATTTTTTTTAACCTAAATAACCAGTTTTTCCTCATTATCACGAATATAATGAGAATTTCAAATAACTTTTCCAATGCACCAATATGCAATAAAAAAAGGTCTTGTCAAAACATGACAAGAGTGTCATGTTTTGATTGGACCAATATTCGTGGTAAAAAAGTTACTCACAGACACACAAAAATACATCAAAGTAAAACCAATACATTCCTCACTTGGCTCTAAATTTAAAATAATATAATATAATATTTTTTCGGGCGTCCTCGTCGGACGGATCTATCGTCATAGGTTCAAGCTCCATGCCGGAGGAAACCACAGCAATAATATAATATCGCTTACTGTGTAAATTCGTCTGCTGTTGTTGTGCCGTAGTGGTCTGATATTTGAGTGGCTCCGAAGTTGGCAAAGGTTTTCCACCGGTGTTCTGGTCCACGGCTGCTGGGGCGGCTGTGGAGTGATGCAACACAGATATTTTGGCTGCAGACATGCCTGGCCCCGTCAATGTGTTCAATTTTTGTTGCTGAATCTGACCCGAGTAATTATTCTCGTTGATATGTTGCAGTTGTTGTACTGCGGCTGCCGTTGGATTGTCGGTCCGCTAAAACGCAAAGTTCATAATAATTTGGGTTTTAATCGCCTATACCTACGCAATATTATGAGCGTGTAATTTAAATGATAGTTCAATATACGCGACATTATTATTTTAAATTAATAGGAACGTATTGTTTTTTAGTTAACGAAAACTGTAATACTTTAAGTTGTTACGAAGCATCTTTATCGAAGCCAATGACGCAACCAAGATTTGTTGAAGGAGGGGAGGGGGGTAAATGTTGTTTGCATTAAAAAAAAAAAAAACACGTTTTTTAATACATTTTAATACATTTGTAAACTTAAACATGGATGTAGGAAGCATTCAGACACCCAAAACACTCTTTTCTCCTGGTTGCGCCACTGCTGAACGCTTTCGGTTCATAGGTACTACATTCAGAAAAATAAATAAATAAATTAGCCACCATATTATACCATGTGTTCACATTATAAAATAGCACTTAAAATTTCAAGGATGACCTTGGATTGAAATAGGATTTTCGAGAGGTGATACAGGGAGTATCAAAATACACAGTTTCAAATTAATTGCAAATTGTTAACACTTTCGGTACACGCTTGTACAACTTAATTTTTTCAAATGACAACTCTGATTTTTTTCTACAGTTACAAGTAGAGTCTTTTTTTTTGAACAATTTTTCTATGAACATTTTTTTATTCTAATTATAAAATTGGCTAAGTTGCAGTATGTTGAAATTTAATCTATGTACAATATTATCAATATCGAGGATAGATTGATTATAAAATTATTATTGCTAACATTTTAAGATTATATTTATAGTACATTATTATATTATATTAGTACATCATATGAACACACGGTGTAAGACAGTTTTGCCTATTTACTGTTTTTTTTTATATACATACATCTATGAGTAAATAGGTACAAAGTACGATAATTTATAATTATTGGTTTTAAAACTTAATTAATATAAATTATCCGCAGGAACACATTTTAACAGTACATCATTATTATTTAAAATTGAAAATAACGATAAATTATTGTTATATTATTATCCGATTTGCTTTACTTACTTGACCCTGTAGCTGATTTAATGGTCTAAATCCGTTGGAAGAAGAGTCCACGGCCGTTGCATTGTTTACATTGTACTTTAAAATGCCACTAATGCCACTAATACCACTTATGCCATTCATGCTACTCATGCCACCAATGTTATTAATGCCACTTGTCAAGCCGGTGGCATTTTTCGAATAACTATTGTCTATTCTTTGTTGTTGATAATCAACACCGTACAATTGGTGAGAATTATCACTACTACCGATTAGCAGTTGCTGTTGTTTTTGATCTTGATTTGAATACCTCTGGTATTCCTGAGCCTGACCTTGTTGATATTGTTGGTGTTGCTGTAGTTGTTGGTGTGGCTGCTGTTGTTGCTGTAGTTGGTGGTGCAGCTGCTGTTGTTGCTGTAGTTGGTGGTGCGGCTGCTGTTGTTGCTGTAGTTGGTGGTGTAGCTGCTGTTGTTGCTGTAGTTGTTGGTGCGGCTGCTGTTGTTGCTGTAGTTGTTGGTGCGGCTGCTGTTGTTGCTGTAGTTGTTGGTGCGACTGCTGTTGTTGCTGTAGTTGTTGGTGCGGCTGCTGTTGTTGCAGTTGTGACTGTTGCTGTTGTTGCAGTTGTGACTGTTGCTGTTGTTGTAGTTGTGACTGTTGCTGTTGTTGTAGCAGCTGCTGTTGTTGCATCTGTGGCTGTTGCTGTTGTTGTAACTGTGCTTGTTGTTGAAACTGATACTGTTGCTGCTTTTGAAGTTGCTGTTGCTGCAGCTGATGTTGCTGCTGCTGGTTTTGTTGCTGGTGCTGCTGTTGTATCTGTTGCTGTTGCTGTATCTGTATCTGTTGCTGTTGTTGTTGCTGATGCTGCTGTATCTGCTGTTGTTGCTGTTGCTGCTGTATCTGTTGTTGCTGCTGTATGTGTTGTTGTTGTTGCTGCTGTACCTGTTGCTGTTGTTGATATGTGGCGTATTCCGGTTGGTAAGGTTGATACAAAAGTTCCTGTTGTTGTGGTTGATATGTTGGGTGTTGGTATAACTGTTGTACCACGGCAGTATTACTGCTAGCGTTGTTCGTTTGTTGTGTTTGTCTCGAAAGGTTTACCGGTCCACCTGTTTGATTACTGTTTCCGTAAAACGAGGAACCTTCTGCTGAAACGTAAGAGTTAGAGATGTTTTGTTGCTGCAATTGGTTGATCAAGGATTCTTCGTATTGTTGTTGTTGTTTTTGTGGTTGCAGCGGTTGTTGTTGTTGTTGTTGTGGTTGCAGCTGTTGCTGCTGTTGTTGTAGTTGTTGTGTATGCTGTTGTTGTTGTTGTTGTTGTTGTGTCTGTGCTTGCTGTTGAAGTGATATTGAATTCCCGGCACTGTATAACTGATATTGTTGATCACGGAGACTTTGACTGATTATGGACTGGGTTCGACGCAACTGCGACGTGCTACCGGATGATAAACCGGGTGATTGGTACGGTTGCTGTTCGTTCTGGAATGACTGATTTTGTTGCTGAAGCGACGCGCTTTCACTCGAAGCTGTAGAGGGTTTATTGTATTCATTGTTGTTTTCACCACCGTTCGGCAAAGAAGTTGAGGTCGATCCACTACTGCTGTTCATATTGGCTAAATCAAAAATAAACAAAAATCAGTTTTAAAATTATTATTATTATTATTATTATTATTATTATTACTAATACAAGTGACGAATATTAAACGACAGGCGAAATAGGATGCCTAATTCAGGAGAGGTGACAAGTTTTTATTTAAATAATCTGTTTTTTTTTTTTATTTGTTGCTAATAAAAATAATATGCAATACTATAAAATTAAAATGAAGCTAAAATGCTAAAATTTAATATTATTGAAAAAAGTAACCTGACTGATCCCCCGTACACTGTCCGCTGAACTTAAATCTGTTTTCACTTTTCAGAATTACAATTATCGTTTCATTATACCGACCTGGCAGGCAAAATATCTATCTAAATTCCTATACTGCAGGGTGTATGTTGGATACAGGAAAAATATCCGTTTTTGATCTCTTTAAAGGAGTGGTAAAACAAAATTAGCCTAGAATTGGCCTGAATGTGGCAAAAAACTAAACATACCACTGAAAAAAAATTGTAACTGCGTTTTAAAAAACCTTGGCGTGAGCGTTTTTGCGTGGCCACTATTGCTTATATCGCTTTTGTGTATGTCCGTTTTAACGTGTTCATATAATATTAATACAATTTGTGGATGAATTATGAAAGATATATTTTTACTTAAGTATATTATAGGTATACAAATAGTGTTTTAAAATGTTTTTAGTATTATAGAATAAACAAAATACTCATAATAATATTATAATTCAACTATGGCGAGTTATATTTTGAGCTTTGACACTCAAAAACCCATACGGTTTTACGATTGGTTTTATTCTTGATAAACAGTTGTTCAACATGTTTTTATTTGAACGTAGCTCATCATAATAATTTATTAGATGTAAACTAATGTTACAAACTTAACAGCATACGGTATGTTTGAATATTTCTAAAACGCCATTTTATACGCCGTGCTCGAGAACAAATATATATATTATTTTCCTTTTGATTATTATATTTATTACGATACTATTATTATTATTGTATATTTGATAAAATGGCCTCGCACCAAAACGGACGTACGTTAAAACGGTACACGTCAAAACGGACGTACGTTAAAGAGGCACACGTCAAAACGGCCACGCCGAGAGGTCCGCGTCTTTCCGAAAAGCAATTGATTCTTCATTTTTGGCAGGATAAATTTTATATATTTTATAAGAAGGCGTTCGGAATAGTCCCCGCCTACGTCAATCGGTTGGCCGTCCGTGTCGGGGGGATGGACACGGGGCTTGGTGTAAAAACTTTGTCCCGTGTAAAATAAAGAAAATTACATACCGACCGTGGTCGTGAAGTGCATTAAACAGCAATCGTTTAAATCGTTTTGTACATAAATGATTAAAACTTTCAACAATTCAATTACAATAAATAACTGATGGGTTTCGAAAAGTAAAGATATTTGTTACAATTCTATATAAACGAAAATAAACAGTTCCTATTGGGTAGGTATATTTGTACATAAAGGGTTAACATTTTTTTAATTGTTATTTTGCTCCTTAAATAATTATGATAAAATTCGATTTATAATTAAATAGTCTTGTATAATAATTGTAAAATAATATGGTATTTACAAATCATGTTAAAAAAAAAAAAAACACATTTCAAACACGTATAAAACGTACACGTATTTTTACAATTTAAAACATGTTTTTTGAAAATAGAAAAAACTATTTTTTTTTTCTTCACTACCCTGCTTTCGACGTTTGAACGCTAAACCTACAATCATCTGTGGGTAAATGGAAAAAAATATTACAAAGATCATAAATCGATTATGTTTGCGACGGGAATGATATATACAAGAGGGAATAAAATGCAATCGAAATAAAAAATACGTGAGTAAATAATATAGAATGTTTCGTTGTACGTTTCAAAATATATTCTCACAGTCCCGTCTGCTTTTTATATAGATAATGGTACTTATTAGATCAAACAACTGGCGTCTATCGTAGAAGAAATTCAGAACCCCGAGGGATTGAAAATATTTGTTTTTGCTAAGGTTAGGTATAAACCGAATGGCGTGGAAATTCGATTAAAAAAAAAAAAAAACAAAAACGATAACTCATACGTTGTGTATTGAATTGAAAAAAAAGCTGATATTGGGAACTGATACAGCAACCCTTGTAGATAGGTAGTTAGAAAGGTAAGATACATAAAGTTATTTAATTTATATCCGTACGCAAAGATAAACCATTGCTAATTGAAAACGATACAGAGAAACTCCGATAAAACATATCTCGAAATTTTTACGATTTTCGTCAAAATTTGATTTAAAAAAACTTATGAAAAAAAAACTGATGTATTACACTCAAATTTGTTTTTAGACCACAAGTACAACTTGGTTTTGTACTTTGTACTTTTTTAACAATTGTCAAGCATTTCTCTGAAGTCATATAATTTTACTAATAGATCCCTACCAATTAAAAATCCGAAATGTTAAATACCTTTAAATAGCCTAAACATAGTTAAATATTTTGAAAATTTTACCACGTCTACAAATAGCCAATATAAGTATTTTGTGAAAACAACGATAATTCTTAAAAAATAAAAAAAAATAAAAAATCAAATGCCAAACACTTTGTCGTATTCCCTAAGTTTATTCCCGGTTTTTCATAACTATTAGAAAAACTATACGAAAAATTAACCAATGGCCTCCTTATTCACAAAATAAACAACTTTTTTGTTTTAGAAAATTTACTATTCTTGATATTTGGACAAAGATTTTCGGGAGAAAAATATAATCTTGAACATTTTAAAAAATGAAATCATTGAGCCGTAATTTGAAAAAAAAGTCGTATTTTTGGTTTTCTCAATTTTTATGAAAACTATATTAGATATCGAAAAATGACTTTCTCGATCAATAATTAGATATAAATGGAAAAAATTCGATCTCTTTTGCAATTGGAGTAAAATATCCAGTAGAATACATCGATTACAAAAATTAAAATAATTAAACCGAGACGCCATAAATAAGTTACCATAAATATTGATCAATTTTAACTTTTCGGTTTTCCCCAATATTTATGAAAACTACTTTGAATACCAAAAAATGACTTTCTTTATCAGTGGCAATGTATTAAAAAGAACGAAAGAGATTGTTTATTATTTTTCGATTGGAGCAATACTTGTAGTAGAAAACATAGTTTGCAAAAATCAAAAACAATGAAGTCGGTAACCGTAAATATTTATTATATTATTAATAATTTTCTTTTATATTTTTCCTAATTATTTTAAAAATCCCCCGGAAAATTAAAAAATGATCTCATAACTCACTATCGAGAGAAAATTACCGTTCAGAAAAGATTCTACACTTTGTACATCAGAGCAAGATTGATGAAAGTTGTTTACAGACAGAAAAAAAAACGCATTATAGCGTACGACGCAACATTACGATTCAATAAAAATATAATATAAAGTGGCGTTGAATTAGAATATTAGGCATATTGGAACTTTAGGCAGAGCCGTGTTAAACCATTTGAAGCTCAAGGACATGCACTTTTAAATGCCCCCACCCCCTTTTTAAGGTCTTACTCCGAATAAGCTGGATTTGGTGGATTAATTCCCTAAACTAGCTCTTTTTTTCATAGTTCTATTTAATTCGCATTAAAATGTCAACATTTTACCTCCGCCGAAATAAGGTATTCTTCCTTACAACTGAATTTTATTTCTAAGTACCCATATTACAGTACTCAATTGTACTTAGGTTCTTTTAATTATCAAACGATATTCATTATCGCTCTAATCAAAGCGTTTCATCATAATAATAACAGTGATACCTATTGTTAATTTTACTTGTATATTGAGTTTTATACTGAGGTAGGTGCCCCGTAGTTTTAAAAAGGTTTGGCGCCAATGCTCCCATTACCCCCCCCCCTTGTATAACACGGCCATGACTTTATATATAGTTTTTTCTTGCGAAATTAAATTATTTTTTTTTTTACCAAATAATATTATTTATGCGACCTTTTTCTATAATTATTCAACTAATCCAGTATGTGTATTACGTATTTCAAAATAAAGTTTGTTTTACCGCTTAATTTTCGTGTATTTTAATACTTTAATTTACGGTTAAAGTGATAATACAGTAATATAATTTTAAATCCCTAACGCTGTAACAGAAGCACATCTTTCTAACTAACCATTTTTCTGCGATTAATTATTCGTTATAAAAAAGCATTTTTTTTTTTTTTTTTAAATTTAAATTTAATTTCGGCTTAAATATTTCTGGAAAACGAAAAAACATTTGTGCAGCGACCACCACCCAACCCGCGTTATATAAGTACAATATACAGAGTGTATCTGCGGGATTTGCCGATTTCCTAAAAACGTATGATATTGTAATAATTGCATAGGAAATATAGGAAATCGTCAAATCTCGAAGCTATATAGTACACCCTGTATAATATATTTAAATATAATTAATTTAAACTTTGTATATTATTATTAAGTTATTCGTATAATACGATCAAAAGATTGGGTATTATACGCTTTTATGTTCCGTTGCCTTTGACGAAAACGAATTTCGCGAGCGAGTCGTCCGGGGAAAAATTTCCGTGGGCGGTGGGAGGGGACGAGGAAAACAAGCGGACGATAAAATCCCTAACTCAAAGGAACAAGAGACGGAGCGTATTATTTTATTTCCGAACTCGCGTGGGACGAGATTACTTCGGAATACCCGGGGGCGCGCGCGATTTCCAACCGTCTGCCCACGCCATGGCACGGGATTTACCTATGGACCGACTGAAGTCTGCTAACATTCCGCTGATGGTGCCGCTGCTGTCCTTGCTGTCGACGGGCGTCGACGCCGTAGTGCTCGACCCCGCGAGCTTATTCCGTTGCTGCTGCTGATCTATTTGATTATCCTCGTCGAATTCGTCTTCTTCTTCGTACTGTCGGCGGCGACAGAGTAAAACAAAAAAAAAAAAAAGCACAGGAGTTTTAGGTATATAAATTAACATATTACAGAATTCGGGGCGGTGAAAAAGGTTTTTTTTTTTTTTGTGTGAGTTTGTGGGGGTAAGGGATTTATCTATACAAATTGCAGAATAATAATGTTTTTAAATACGAATAGATATATATATATATATATAGGTACTAGAAGTACGTAAAAAAAAACATAAATAATCAAAAGTCGTCTATAATATGATATATTTTATACCTACGATGAAAATATAATACGTAAATTGTACTAAGTCTACGGTTCTCACTGTGTGTAATATTATGCTATACTTTTTTCGCGTTTCTAAATACGATATATAATTCACTACGTTATTTATACACCTACGTATTATAAAAATATTATTAGACAGTGTTGAGACGTCTTGTCTCGATAAATCGATTTAGATAATAACGATATAATATATACCTTCGGTTCCTGGGAAAGTGAGTTTTTTTTTATAATTGCGCCTTATGTATTTTATTTTTCACCTTTGTTTGTTGGTTTACACCGCCCACGTGTATGCATATTAATTTACACGCTGTGTATACTAAAAAATTAAATTAAAAAAGACGTATATACTTCTCATGACAGGTGGGCCCCTGTTACTGTAGGTAAAAAGTCTGAAAAGTAGGAATTATGTATTTAATGTACTTTAGTATGCAACGATTAATCATTTCGAATGAATAACAATTCTGAAAGGAGTTCGGTTATAATACGTGTTTTAAAAGGTCGTAATAATTACGATTTTCATCGAAATTTGATATTAAAATTTTTATAAAAAAAAAATACTACATTAAACTCGAACTTTTCTTTTTTATCACTAAGTACAACTTATAATGGACCTCCTGTTAAATTGTTAAGCTTTTTTATTTGGTCTAACAATTTTATCCACAAAATACCTATCTTATAAAAAATGTAGTAAAAAACTTGCAAAATTAAAATGTCTGTAAATAGCTCAAAAATGGATAAAATATTTTGAAAATTTTACCATGTCTATAAAAGACAAATATAAAGATTTCTGTTCAAATTGAATATGATAAAAGCATCGTTTTCGTAAAATTTCCCGTAATTCCTACGTTTTTCCCAAATTATTTTTAAAACTGCTTGGAAAATCAAAAAATTACTCTCTTAATGAACCATCCCAGTCAAATTTCCTTTTAGAAAAAGTGCTACACTTGAAAATCGAAGCAAAATTCATGGTAGAAAAGTTCTTCACAGAAAAAAAAAATATAATAAAATACACATTATTTTAAAACCAATACTTTCCTCGCTCCACTCAGAATATAAATATAAAATTTTGTTTGACGAAAAAAGTATAATCCATTTGAAACTTCATTTAGGTTAGGCAGTCGGATAGTTTAGCCGTTCAGCAATAAATTATGTTATTATGTCATTTATGTCATTTTTCAAAATGTAATTTGCTTATATTGAAAACTTTATAAAATATTGACTTAACTACTTAAGCCATTTTTTCCCCGAAACCAAAGATTTATATATACACACTTATATTTTATTTTTTTTAAGAATCTCATCTAGATGCAAATTTTAATATCCATCCGAAAGTGTGGATATCTTTTGTTTTTATCTTTAAATTAACTCTACAGTTTTCTATTATTTTTCGTCTGAGATGATTTAAATACCCGTTGTTTATGAAATACGCATATAGACGATTTTTTGTCTACACCATATCTGCATAAATAATTATTGCACTAATCTGCGTCTCAACACATTTAGGCACAATAGGCAATACCGATTTATGATGATGGGTATGCACACGACATAAACAAATACATTTTATGCTTTCCAGACGATCCGGATGGGTTTTTTGTTTTTTCAAATTTAAAATGCTGCTTAATAATAATAATAATAAATTATGATTAATTGACGTGTCCTAATACACGTCTATTAATATTATTTTAGTCTGCAAAAAAAAAAAAGAAAAAAAAAAAGCGTTTATGTACACATATATAAATATATACATTAATAGTGGTGCGCGTCCAAAAGATTAATTACAGTATTATGCTCAACGATATATATATATATTATAAAACGGGGGGGGGGTGCTTTAGGTTCTATACACAAATAGGTAGCAAGACAGGCCGCTATAATAATATTATATTTTAACAAAATACATATATGTATACATATAAATATACGGTATAAATTCTCGTACCTCGAAGGTTCGACGTTTTCGGCAACACGAATACGAAAAAAAAAAAAAAAAAAAAAAAAAAAAAAAACTTAAAGCCGCCGGACAACGTTTATAATAAATCGTTTTGCTAGAGCCTGGGTACCGAGAAAACGAAACGGTTTTTTAGATGAATTACCTATAACGGGCAGTGGCGCATTAAAGGGGAGCGGGACATGCGGCGCTCACCCGTTGATAAATATTTACGGTCCTTTCACTATCTATTATAATTTGTACGACTACATTTTTTTTTTTTTTTCGAATTCAAATTTCCGTATATATATATATATAGTTCAAATATATCGAAAAAATAAAAATCTGATCCTATACATTTTCTCAATTAAACGAAACCCATCCCATCACCGTCACTATAATTTGAAGATTAAATTATTTAAATACAATTTGACAATTGCAGCTAATACCCGTACCGAGTTATTTGATTGCGTTGATAATTTTACAGTAGTCCGAATATTAGAAATCCATAAATTATTTCTTTTTCGCCTAAGTACGCAATTCAATATTTGTCATGTTTCTGACAAATCCTTAAATACTCCACTGCCTATAGGTATACGTATTTACAAATACGAAACGCGCGAATTTAAATTAAACTTTTCCTTTTTTTTTTTTTTAGCACATTCTATCTGATTCGGTTCGGATGGTTGAAATAGAAAGCAGCGACGATGCTGTGACATGTGGAGTTGCAAACATTGTTAATAAAAAAAATATATATATATATATATTCAAGAGGACCCTACGCCCGCGTCTGCATTGTCCATATAGAAATTAAAGTTTGAACACAAATGTTTTTCCAATATATTTTTAAACAAAAACGTTCGTGTTAGTTTTCGTTTTCGTTTTTGTTTTTATTATTATTTTTTTAATACTGTCACTTTACTTTTGTCTGTCGACAATTTAGAAAATATCAACGTGCGTCGAAAAACATTCTCCCGTATAAATGCGGTGATTCGTGTTTAAATTCTGATTTGAACTAAACTCTGTAATTTATGTTCTAAGTAATTTGATTTCGCTAAATCGCCTGTATTAGTTTTATTGACGGAGAACCGAGTAAATGGGGTGTACACTGCGATTTGTGTTTAAATAACTCCGATTTCAACCTAAACGCTATAATTTATATATGTTCTATGTAACGTGATTTCGCTGTGTTGCCGAGAGTAAGTTAGACCGAGACAATAAATGAGGGTGTATCGGGCGCGGGTTTGGGGTATAAAAAAAAAAAAAAAAAATAAAAATAAAAATGCAATAACGTTTACAAATATTGTTATTTACCCGTCGAAAAAAAGAACAACATAATAATCCACGTATTAAATGTATTATGCAAATTTGACATTGTAATACATATTATAATATTATTATGTACATACAAAAGAAGATTATATTTACATTTTACGTCAGGACTGTACATTTTCTTTATTCAATTTATATTTCTATGAAACGCGATTGTATACACGCTCGGAGATTTCTGAAGTCTGTCGGTTTTTATGAAAGCCAGCTTAAAAAGATTTTGGCCATTTTCGGTTTGTACGCCGTCAATTCTGTGTGAAATTTCGAACCGAGTCGAATGGGATAGGTACGACAAACTGTAATTTATACGGATGTGAAGAACTACAATTGGCATTAAAGCTTATTTGAATTATTTTCCTACGAGAAATAGGAAATAAGAAATATTATATTGCCAATACTATATGTTATATATTTACATTATATTTTCATGGATCGAGTAAAAAACGGTATAGAGTACTCGTACTGTCATAAGTACTATTTATCGGTTACTGTTTCTTCTATTTCTAAGCCTTGAGCAAGTTAAAACTGTTAAAAATAAATATCAATTAAATATATATACATATATACATAATGAATGTTATATTAATGAACACATTTAAAAAAAAAAAAAAACCCAGTCAGTAACAGAGCACCGTCGCTAGAGTCGAATTTTTCCCAAAATCCCATTATTATTAATTTTTTGTTTTTTTTTTTTTTTTTACGATTGATTCAGATAACCGTTATGTTTCTCAGAGTTGTATTGCATTAAAGTTTGTAGGGGTTTTTAAAACTGAGTATTTCCTGTGAAATTTGTGCGCGAAAACGGTTGGGCAAAAGTTTGAAACGTCGCCGCCTCGGCTTCACTCGGGGAGGTGTGTATCGAGGGCGGTACCGACAAAGCTAAAAAAAAAAAAAACCCACTCTCGTCCCGTGTAACAACACGGCGAAATTTATATTGAAATTCGAACGGCACGTTATTATCGTTATCGCGCTCCGATCCGCCTGTGAAACGTCTCCGAGCGCCGAGTTTGAGCTCGTCCGGTCCTGGGGGAGCCGCTAAAAGTGTTCGAAAGTAGCTGGGTGAAAACGTGTGCACCACAATATACAGCGCGCAGCACGCGATATTCTTCTATTCGGAAATTCGATAAAATATCTAAACAAACGCGGAATATTCGAAACCGGAAATGACGAAAAACCAATAGCGGTCGCTTTTTTTCTACGGGTATATATATAAAAAAAAAAAAATTAACCCCCCCACGCTCCCGTAAAATCCGCATTAGTTTGTTTTCAGCTCATGCTATTACAACCGTGCGTATATATACACACGCGGGTACCGCATAGTTCGGACGTTACGTTAACCGACGTTTTTCGGGGGCGTGGACGGCGGGACGCTCTCGGGCGGGCTGTTCATTTATTTTTATTAGCGGAAACGCATAGGCGTCGTCCGGTCCCGTGGGTATCGTGATAAGTTCTACCCCGTCCGCCGTCCGAAAACGACGGTACTGTTAACATTTTTCGCCGCGCGCGCGCGCGCCCGCCCCGCCGCGGTAATTAATGGATTACGCGCGTTCGCCGTCGTACCGTCACGGACACGGACGGCGGGCGACGCGACCGCGCGTGCTGCGGCGCAACATCGTGTAACAACCGTCCAAGTGCCGCGGCGACGGACGAGCCGTAACCCCCCCCCCCCCCCCCCCCCNCCCCCCCCGACGCGGATCGTCGCGAGCGGACGACCTTACCGCCGAGTGCGCTGCGACGTGCCGATACGGACGGCGCTGCGACGCGGTTTTATTGTCGGCGCAGCGTTTCGCCCGGGCGAGCAGCGTTCCCGGCGGCCGATCGGGCGCCCGACAGGGTTCAATTTTTCGAATATCGGTTGAAAATAAAAAAAAAAAAACCGAAAACAGTCTAACGGTTCTCCGTCGTCCGAGTTTTCGCGAAAACCGCACGGACATTCGCGTTCAACAAAATACGCGGGGCCGCCTTGTGACGGGCAAACGAAATTTCAAAGCCCGTTTCGCAGCGATCGCAAAGTGCGACGAGCCACGCGTTTGTTCGGGGCGACGATTGTTCGGCATCAGTTGTCCCGTGTGTTGTTTACACGCCTGGCTGGTTATAACGAGGTGCCCGAACTAAGAATGAAACGGCGTTCCGTCATTTCGACGCGGCAGTTACGACGCACGTCAAAATGGACGCGGCCATTTCGATGCGAGGCGATTGGGCGTACGGTTCGTTTGGGCGCACGTCGTTTTGACGCAACTACATTTGGACGCACGATAATTGGCGCGTTTCGATACATTTCGGATTCTGAGTGGAACGAGAAACGTATTGGTTTTACAATGGTGTTTAATTTTTTTTTTTACATTTTTATTTACGTGAACACTTTTTCTACCGGAAACCATACTCCGATTATCGAGTACAGCACGTTTTCCGAAAGGAAACGTACTCCGGGTGGTAATTTAAAGAGGCCATTTTTTTGAAATTTCCATTAATATTCGAGATAATGAGCAAGACCTCTGTGTTTTGGTTAAAAAAAAATTGAAACACTAAATATAAGGTTGTCGTTGGCAACAGTTTTTATTTATTTTTTGTTATTATTAAATTTTTATTATTTCAATCTTTTTTGAACAATCATTGTTGTCATGGAAACGCGCATTGTTACAAACATTTTGCAATGATATTACATAATACCATATATTTTATTGTTGACAAAGCAATACTATCGACCGAACTCCACTCAGAATCATTTTTTCGTTAGCAATGGTTTGTTATTACACATTAAATATAAATTAAATTCCCGACTGTATCCCACCTACAACAGTGGTTGCACCCACGTGCGAAGTTTGTCCGCCTTGTTTTTTTTTTTAATCATTATTATAAATATTATAAATATACTTAATAAATGAAACATGTAATTCTTGTGCATACAATTTAAATTGCGTGCAATCTCTGTTAGTATTATTAATCCCTGTTATTTTTCAAAATAAACGTATTTATAAAATGAAAATAAAATAAATGTACTTAATAAATGAAACACGTATTTTTTGTATTTGTGTACGATTTTAAATTGTGCGCAAATTCGTGTTAATATTATTAATCCCTGTTATTTTTCAAAATAAATGTATGTAGAAAATACAAAGAAAAAAAAAAAAAACGAATTATTATCGAATGTAAAATATACGATTCTTAGAAACGTCTAAAATATCATTACGTACATACACTTATTTTGAAAAATAAATCAATAATAATAATAATAATTAAACCGAAAAAAAACTCGTCGAAATGTATTTGCGTAAAAATGACGTTGGTCCGACCGTAACTCTAGACGGATCTTTTCAAATCGCAACGCGCGGTAAACACGGTCGATTTGTATTGCGATTATTACGGTTTAGTCGATCGATCAATCGTGTGTTAAGTCGCGGCCGATCACACGACGTGTACGCGAAATCCAAACGCGTACCGAATCGGATATTATTGTTATGCTTTCGCTACTTTCGGCGCTTTGTGTTTTACACTCGTGTGATTCGGGTAACGAACGAAATCATATTTTTCTTTTTTTTTTTCTTTTTTTTTTTTATCCATACGGATAGCATTATAAACGTTGCTCGTTATTTAGCTGGGTCGCAGTTTGATCGCGCTGTGCGTATTTTATCGTCGGGTACTCGTATTTCATCGGTACGTATGCGTACATTTTAAAATTGATTTCCGTACGAGAGCGCGGCGGAGGTAATTATACGAAACGATGTCCCGCGCGTATTTTGTCCTGTCGCGGTCAAAACGCATCGGGCGACGCTTTACGATTGTTTTGTCCGTCCGTTTACATTATTTACGCGAATATTATTCAAACGGATTTCGACATCCGAACGTTGGCGCGACCACCGGGCAGATTTTTCATCAATTGCCGCGGTAACCGCGGCCGGTCAACTATGTACAACCGTAAACGTGTTCTATCCGTCGATTAACGTGCCGCGGTGTGCTATCGCGGTATTCGTTTTATTGGCGCCGCCGTACCGCGTAAACGTGTGACTAAAACCGGGGGGGGGGGGGGGNTCGAGGGGGGGTGTGTGTGTGGGGTGGACGGCGGAACCGATGTGCATCCCAAGCAGCGGCCGCGCGGCGAAACGTTCGCGGTTATCGCTATCGGTTGGCGTCGGACATCGGCCCGTCAACCGGGGAAATTACCGCGGCGGCAAAAAGCGTTAAATCGAAAAACCGGCCGCGAAACGGAAACGGAACGGCGCGTCAAAAATGGCTGCGCGCAGACGTAATAATAACGCCACGGTGTCGGCACACCGTGGCGTTTCGGAAACATTACGTTCGAACCGTGCGGCCCGCGGCGCAAGTACGGGCCAGTGGTCACGTTTCGCGATCGTTTCGTGGGGAAAAACGGGCCCGGGTAACGCGCGTCTCCGTAACGGCTCTGCGCGTTTCGTTAAACGCAAGCGCTTGCGTGATGTTCGGTTTTCGCGAAAAACCCGCGACGGTTTTCTTTCTTTTTTATTTCGAACTGTAATCGACATCGGCCCCCGTCTCGCACCAAGCCACGCGATCTCGTTCAAACGCATTACAGTTGTCGCGCGCTCTACTTTTTTTTTTTTTATACCCGTCAATCGCTATACCGGGGGAAAAAAAAAAAAAAAAAAACCCCAAACAACCAGACCATACATGATGTATACGAGTCCGAATGTCCACAGCGGACATGTACGCGCGCGCGGGCGACGGGTTTGCCAGGACGCGTTCCGCAGGAGACGCCAACGTAATATTGTGCAAACGTACCGTACGCAATGCGCACGTACCGAGAAACCCGCGCGTCCGCCAAGACCGCGCACCGACGCGGTATTCAAACGCCGTCCGACGCGATCACAAGAGACGGCCCGTCGGAGACCGTGATTGCCGATAGTGGCGATAACGTGAACACCGTGAACCCGCGCGGTCGCGGTCCGGCCGATATTTTCTATTATCTACACCGTACACGTATACGTATACACACACGCGTGCGCCGCCAAACGCGCGGCGTTCGCGGACGCGGAACCGTTTCGCCGTACGCAAGACGCGGCACCCCCCCCCCCCCNCCCCGTTGATATTGTTTACAAACCCGTGAAAACGGTCCTGCACGCCGTCCGCGCGACGATGACGTTGCGACCTGTCGGTTCTGCGAGTGCTGTGCCGCCGTCGGACCGGTCGCGTGCGGTGCAAATCAACTCGCTCGCGTTACCCGGTCGGGTTACCCTCGTATACCGCGCGGAAAACATTGACGGCGTCTGCCGTAGCGGTTTTCGCGCGTAAAACGGATAAGACCGGCACCGGCGGTCGAGGTTCGGGCAAAGGGCCACGCGGTTTGCGGAACGCGAACCGTTTCCCGAGCCTCCGACAGGAGACCTTTACCGGCCGGTCCGCGAACCCGCCTCCCGGCGGTTAACCGACGTCTGAAAACCGCCGTCGCATTGACGCGTTCGTCCCGGCGGAACCGGCGTTTCGTGGGGTTTTTTTCTTTTTTTTTTTTTTTCGTGGCCCCGCTGATTACTATAACGTCCCGGGGAAAATCGAATTTCGTTTATGCGCGACAACAGAATTGCGCCTTCGAGCGTTTCGCAGGCGTGACCGCGGCTTTTCGGAAATTCGCGCCGAACCGAACGGCTTATCGATCCGGCGAACACTGCGCCGTTTTCGATTACGTTTATTCATTTTACAAGAACCGACAGCCGGCTGTTATCGGTTCTGTAGAGTTTCACGCGAATATTTTGTCGTACAATACCTACTACAAAAGCTGACTAAAAATATACGACGCTATGTAGCAATGTGTTATTTTGTGCATTGACAGATAGCATCTCCGACCACTACCACAACACTACTCGGAGACGGGTTTGTAGATATTACAATACATATTTTATAACGTATATACACAATACAGATAGGTACACTAAATATCCGTCTACGTCATCGTGTCACTGTCACTATAAATAATAATAATAATAGTAATAATAATAATAATAATAATATACTCGGACACACTATTCTATTATAACGACGACATCGGTGAACCCTCGTGAAGTCGATCGTATTTAGTCAGCGCCGCAATTACTCTCGAAAACCGTTCCGGCAAACTCTAGAACCGTATAATATATGCGTTTTCGAAATATTATAATATCTACGCAGCGGAATCTCGATAACTCGATAACGTATGTAGGTCGAATTTTCGACGACTCGAAGAATCGGCGCCTGGCGCGTTTCAATATGATGTATAGGATTTTGTTGGTGTACGTTTTCTCGAATTTCTCGATACGTCGAAGTAAAAGTTGACTTGTAGCTGATAAATCGAATTGTTCGACAGCGGAGCGAGATTGCTGGCGGATGAGTTGTTCACGGGAAAAAATAAAGCCGTGATATTTTACTATATGCATTCGTTAGTTTTCCCGTTTTTTCCCATTTATCGGGAAAACTCCTGGGGAAATCAAGAAAAAACCCCTCTAAAGTATGTATCACGCCAGTCGCATTTCCTTTCGGAAAACGTTAAACCAATACATTTCTCGCTCCACTCAGAATACTAAAACATTAAAAAAAAATGACCGACTTCTTCCGAAAATAGTACAATCTCAATTCTTGAATTGTTTAATACTTACATTTATCAATAGATCATTTATATATATATATATATATTTAGCATAATGTAAGTAAACAAACAAAATCAAAAATAAAGTCTGCGTGTTCTTTAATAAAATATTTCTATAACTCGAATTTCCTATTGGTCGCCGACCGATTCGAGTCATCGGGGTGTTGCGCTGTATGTCAGTCAGACACGCGACGCCGACCCGTGCCTACACAGAAACAACAACGACGTCTCCGTCTCATCGAGTAGAGTGACATTTAAATTGCCGTATATGCTAAAAAAAAAAAAAAAATGTTTCGTACCCATTAATTTCGAATCATTGTCGTATGAAGTTCGCATTGATCTACAGTTATTCGAATGCGTGTTGCGTACAAATCGTAATATATATATATTTTCTAACCAGACACTCAAAGACCAATATAACATTACGCTTTCAAAAAGAAGAAAAAAAAAAATCGTTAAATTGACTTTTCATTTTGTACGCGGTTTTTAATCGAGTTTCGGACACTATTGCACTCTCCTTTGAACGAGAATATACGACACGACGATCACGAAACCCACGTCCAATCAAAAGACGACGAGCGGATCGCGGTGATGCGGTAATCGTATAACATAACTTTGAACTTAGAACGTTGATAAAAATAAATTACGAAATAGATTACACTGCCGTCTAGAAAGCGCTAATAACACCGGGGTGAAACTTTAAAGGTCTCTGCAATTATTTCCGTCCGAATTACACAACAAAATCGAAATTTAACAGAAAACGTTATTGCGCGGTTATTATACCGTTTTTCAGACGGTTTTCTCGGTATTAAGAAACGGATAAATGATCCCGATGCGCCCCAACCAGGCACACTCGGCAACCGGAGACCACCCCTGATGATATTGGTGATCCAAGCGAGATTTCCGGTAGAAAATTGGCTAAATAAAGGGAAAAATAGAGTTACGTGTACGAATATTTAATTTACACGTCCGTACGGCAAATCATCGCGAAAAACGATTCCGAGCGGAGTTCGGTTGAACACGTTTGGAAATGCCGCGGTTTTTACAATGTTCATTTGAAAACGTCAACATTAAACTCTCGCGTTACGACGACATATTTCCACATTTTCGCCGCTTAGTACAACTTATCGACGCGTTTGAAAATCGAAAACGCGTCGGCCGTGCCCGGACAATTTTGTCCGCACGAACCTAAATCGAAATCCCGCGATAATTTCAAATACAGATTTGCGGACCGTCCGAATATTTCGTTGAAAATGTACGTCCGGAAAACGCTCGTACGGCGTACGCCGCGAACGTTTTTCCGCGTCCACGTGGTTATTTTCAAACCTTGTTGCAAACACCGACGAAAACAAAATAAAAACGGAATCCGTAATTGCGTAAACGTTGCCGGTTTCTCTCGCGTCGCGTCAAACGAACAAAAACAACAAAACGCACGCCACGCGCACGACACAGTAAAACCAAACGGACTGGCCGTCGTCGGTACGCTCGGAAACAGAAATAATATTGTCAAACTGTTTCGCTATTTTCACAGGCGCGCGAATTCCCACGGCAATGTTTTCGGGGTTTTTTTTTTTTTTCTTTCACTTTCGACCGAAAATCGTCTACAGAAAAAATGCTTTTCTATTCCCCGGGTCCGTTCGTTCGCCAGTCGACTGTTACGATAATTTATAAATACACAGACGCGCGAGTTTGTCGGAACGGTTTACAAAACGTTTCGCTAAATCCGCCATATTCACGATGGTCGGTACCGACCGCCGTCGCCGTGCCGCGACAACACACTGGCAGACGCTTACGCGAAACTTGCTCGTCCGGCGGATCGTGTTCGGCATCCCGTACGCGCTGTTGTTGTTGGCCGATCGGTTCTGCTGATGCGGCGGCTGTGCGCGGTCGCCGCGGCCCAGCGCGTTGTTGTACTGTTGCTGCTGGTACTGGTGGTGCTGCTGCTGCTGTTGCAGCAGCAGTTGGTTCTTCTGCTGTTGGTTTTTCTGCTGCTGCTGCTGCTTGAACTGCCGCTGCTGTTGCTTGAGCTGCTGGCCCGGCGTCAGGTTGCCGATCTGTTGCCGCTGCTGCGTGTGGGCCTGCAGCGACGACGCGACAACCGCGGTCGCCGCCGTCGAATCGCGGTAGCCGGCGCCGCGGATCGGCTGGTTCAACAGTTTGCAAATCCGTTCGTACTCCGGCGTTTTTTCCAGCTGTACAATAGTGAAAAAACACCCGTACAACACACCAGAATACGCGACGCGCCCGCGAATTTTATCGGCGAAACGTTATCGTCGGGTGTACGGAGTGCGTAAAAACAATAACGGCATTGGTGGGCAACTGTTGCTGCGGTGTACGCGGTCTGCGCGTTTCGCGATTCGAAATACTGCAGTCGAAGCGCGAATGAAGAAGAAGAAGAAGAAGAAGAAGAAGAAGAAGAAGAAGAAGAAAAAAAAAAGAAAATCGCAAATAACAGGTAACATGACCAAATAGATCCCGCGCGACATCGAGACCCCGGTAAATATTCTGATGGAAATTCGTACCGGGTCGGGAGACAAGATAATACGGTCCCGAGTCGTTGAGATCCGCGGCACGCTTTTAGATCACGGCCATGTATGGATCCGTTTGTTGCGGATATTGACTCGGATATTGTTCGGAATGTCGTGTTTATTCGTATTACACTTATATTTTACACTACGGGCGGGTGTAATTAATTTCGAATCACCTACCTACCAGCCTACCTACCTGCCTGTCTATCTATTGCGTTGGCCGTTTCCATTGGGCTATCTCAGCTTGTGGTTCACGAATAAAAATTCGATCAGTTCCCCGCATTTACGCGCAAATTCAAAAAGATAATGTTTTTCTGGACAATTGGAGGATATGCATACGATTAATATCCCATTCACCGTCCGTTTTATGATGCACTGTTCTTCTGACGTCACGGCAGTATAATACGCTGTGGCACTTAAACGAGGGGGTTCTGGCGAGTGCCAGGTTCGTGTCGTTGAAATTACCGTGAATGGGTATGCTATTCGAAAGTTCAAAAAAGTATTGACCTATGCGGCCCCACGACACACCGGCTATTGTTGATAACCGTTGTACATACAGATAGCATTCGGATATCCGGACTTTCGGTCGTTTGATCCCGAGACGACTAGACCCGCACAGTTACCGAAGACACGGTCGGGATCTGAATGGGCCGGGTCCTATTTGTTCATACACCGTAAATGATACCGCAGAAAGAAATAAGCCGTCGCGCTTCGACTCGTCGGCTACGGACGCGCCGTTATCGTATACATAGCGACATTTGTGCGCAAGGTCGTAGCATTTTTCCGCGATCCGGGGCCGGCGAGAAACCGTTCCGGATGGAAAACGTCCGCGTGACCGAACTCGAAAGCCTGCGTACACGATGTCCGATACGCGGCGTGTAACACGGCGCGGCGTTTGTAAAAAAAAATGACAATTCAATGCCGCCAACGGTAATATTAAACGTATCGTCACTCGGCGTTACGGGCCGCTTTGAAGCCGGCGAAAGAGTTTCGGTGCAGAGTTACGGGGCCCGCGGGCGCGTATTTAATCGCCTCGCCCCGGACGAAAAGGTCGATAGCTTTGAATACGAATCGCCACCCGGCGTACCCGGGACTTTATCGCAAACGAAAACGGCTCCACTACCAGTCGCCTCCCGCGATAGGCGCGTACCCGATGAACGTATAAGCGGTACGTAAACGATTCGAAAATGATCAAACAGTACGCGCAAACGTATAGAGGTCCGTTTAAATCGTTTCTCGCGCAGTAATATCATTTTGTACGTTGGTTGTTACTCTTATCAATTAACCTGTCGGCCGCCATTGGATTTTGGGGGTTATACATTCGGAGCCGTAGCCCGTGGCATTCGTGCGTTGATGAGATTGTACGACTAATATTCAAACATTATATCTCTTGTGCAATGACTACTCTGTCGTTAGTTGAGCTCGGACACTCGTCGTACGGTTTTATTTTCACGAATAGCGTCATTAAGTGATATTAAATTGTCCAATACGTTTTTTTTTTTTTTTTTTTTTTAGAACGGATCAAATTCGAATACGGGAAATGATCAGTGAAAGGAGCCGACCGGCAAACGTTAAATTTAGTTTTCAAAAAGAAATTTAGCCTACAACACAAAGGACGGTGGAATTGTATGGGAAAAATATGCTTTTTCAAAAGTAGACGAAAGTGATCAAGTAATATCGAACGAATATAAGTTCAACCGTAACAGACATTATCCGGACAAGTACCGGTCATGTATGCATGTATATTTTTTTTTTTTTTTTCGACCAATTATATTTTTATTTTGAACAAAACTATAAATATTCTATTGAATTCAGTTTGGTTTATGAACCACTACTGATTTATTCAACATGGCAGGCGACTGGTATATATAATTACGAACCGCCTAATCGCCCGAGGCGACCAGCGTACATACACGAACATTTTTATTTACGCGGTAATGATGGGCGGCGATTTCGAGAGGCGACTCGTGTGCGCCGGGGCCCGCGTAACGACTCCCGTCCCGTTTCCCGTGTGGGCATTATGGTATTTTAGGTGCACGGGGTCGCGGGCGTTCGTGTTCGGAAAAGTTTCGTTTCCGCCGTTCGTTATTGCGTTCGATATCGGGACGGGGTGTACGTGACCCACTTATTAAATTATACAATTAGACGGCGAACCGCGCGTGGGATGCGCGTGGGATATGCCGGCCGGAGATCCCGTGCAAAGTTATAGACGGGTAAGTACATAATTTATGTACAATCCATAGACTTCACGCCGAAGAACTCGGCGGATATTGGGTATAACGTTTTATTATCGTGTACGACGCGAGAAGATTGTTTTTCATTATAACAACGGTTATTATTATTATTAATTGATTTTTTCGTTTTTTTTTTTTTTTTTTGTTTCTTTCAGACCGGGTATAAAATAACGTTATGGCGCTCACCTCGTCTTGGAACGCGGAACTCTCCGCGAGCGGCGACACGTGATTGCTGTGGTCGCGGTCCATCCCCGGATATCTAAAAAAAAAAAAAATACGAAACTATTGTTCTCGGCGATTTCGAATGTACCTATACGTGCGTGCACTGTACGCATTATAACCGATGCATTTACGCTGCCGCCGTCGGAATCGTAGCCGATCCCCTACGCATGTTATTATACTTATCACGAACACTCGGCGGAGTCGGTCGAGTATTTCGGTTTGAACCGAGTCGAGTATGCGAAAACGCGCTGCCGACGGAGATCGTCGGCCGTTGTAATATCTCCGGAGATAACGGAGATAGTGCAATTCTGTTATTTTTTTTTCCGCACGTATTACTCACTGCGATAAGGACTACACATATTTATATTGCGACCGATTGTTTATGTGTTCGGGGAAAATTTTTAAAAAAATCACTTTTCATTTTATTATGTTTGAAAAATTTGACGTGCTGACACTTTGTTTTCATTGAATTCGTGATTTTTTTAATAATAATCGTTTCAAGTTCAGAGAAAAGTACCTATAGTTATGCAGCAACAAGCCGTAATGTAATTCTCTAATTGATTATTATTATTATTACGAGTATATGACTGTACACATTTTTTTCTCTAAAAATCACGAATTTAATGAAAATAAACAGTTAATGCATCAAAATGTTCAGAAAAATAAATAAACTCTAAATAAAATGGCTATCTTCAAATGTTTCCAAATTAATAAAATAAAAAGTTTAAATTTTTATCAAAGCGTAAAAACGAATCGTGATACAAATATTTCTATTCCTCATCCCAACGAATGGTATTAAAAAACAGAATTGTATCATCTTGATTATCTCCGGAGACGTTATACAGTGGGCATACCTCCGTTAGGACACCATGCATAGTACAATATATGCGGTATACATGTCACGGTTAGTGTTTAAAATTGCAGGATGATTGGAACTTATCGTTCAATAGAACCGATGTATTGCTGCTAGTATTGATATATCAGTGAATCGGCCTGATATCAAACTTAAAGATAGGAACATTATCATTGTGTGTGTGCGTTGATATTTTTTGGGTATTTTAATATTTCTAAGCGAAACACGATGATTTTTAAACTGTTATAGTTCACGTACTCGTATCTCGCTTGAAAACCAATATCTGTGTAACGAAAACACCAATACAAAAACGCGTACAATGTCATTCTTACCTTTAAGTCTGATAATGGGCCAATCCGCTCTAAAATTGAAACAAACGGCGCGAAAACGGTTCTACCGAACGAAAAGTCGACATTATCTAATTTTCGAAATTAGCCGTAACACAATTATAGTGATTGATGGACAGCGGGTGTTACTGGTGCGGTTACCCGGCACGGGAAATCAACGCGAAATATACTGAAAGAACAAAACTATTTATTTTTTTTTTTTTGTGAAACCGTCAACGCGGGGTTCCTAATCGGGAACTAATCGGGTTCGAAGTCGTTCTATATTCTGATTACCTATAGTGAAAAGACCGTTCGAGCCGAATATTCGAACTCGACTCGAGAATTTTTCCAAAGTCGAATACTCGCCCGACTCTATGCTCTGTTATATACTTCACCTGTTGCCAATGCCGGTGGTGTAGGGCGTAGGATTTTGAGCGTACGTCCCGACCTGTTTCTCTGTTCGGTATTTGTTACTCTGCAAGACGCCTGAAAAAATAAAGAAAATACATCGAGTCAACGTAAAACGTTCATTTCGTGCAGACATTTCGACCAATTTCGTGCGTTTAATAATAATAATAATAATAATAAAAAAAAACAACCAATAAAAGGGTATGAATATCAAACGTTCCTGGAAAATGTATAGGTTCTAAAATTGTACCAATCTAACCAATGCATATTCTACGGGCAATTTAAACGAACGAATTGAAAATGCCGTTTCGTTAATTTAAATCGAAAAACGTATTTTAATATCCGGTTTGCGCGGTCCCACACTGCGAATTATTTCATTGTACTTCCCGAATGATTGTTATTCTACGGTATGCAAAAAAAAAAAAAAAAAAAAAATAACCACTAGAATATATTGCTATAGGATATTATAGATTTCGAATCGATATGCGTTACGTTCGATTAAAATGCGTCGGGGAATGAAAAAAAAAAAAAACGAACATTCGTTATACGTCAAAACATTCGACGAATTTAATCCGACAAGGATTTTAACTTATTTTATTATTACCGATATCGCAAAAAGTATATAAAAAAAAGTATATTATTACCAACAATGTTACGCGAGGTATACAGGGTGTTTTCTACAATGTTATCCTTATGTTAATAATTCTGTCAATATTCATTTTTTTACCAATCGGGTTTTGTGCGAGGGGGACACGTTTGTGGAGAAAAATTTAATTTTTCTTTGATTTAACGTGTCCCCCTCGCACAAAACTCGATTGGAAACAAAAAAAATGTATATAAAAAAGCTCTCCTAGAATAATAGGGATGTTTTTCCCTGTTTTTCTCAGACATCACGAAAACCGTTTTGAAAATAAAATAACGACCTTCCTAAAGTACTATGTAGACAAAATTTTCTTTCAGAAATGGTGCCACGCGTACATATCGGAGCAAGATTTCCGGTCGAATTTTCGTACACAGTATAAAAATAGGAAAAAAAAGAAACATCATTGTAAAACCAATACATTCTTCGATACACTCAGAGTCCAAAATGAATATTGACCGAATTATTAGCACAACGATAACACTGCAGGACATTCCGTATAATATATGCGGAGTGATTCGTTTTACGTAAAAAACACTAGTTATTTCGCATAATATCGGTTTGTTTCGAAAGAAATTTTTAATTATTTTGGAAAATTTAAAACACGCGCGGCTCTATATAACATTACCGTTGTTTTGTTTTGTTTTTTTTTTTTTTTTTTATCGCCCTTATTTTCAGCGACGAAACGACTGCCTGCTTTCGGTTCTCAAACGGCGGAAGTCGAAAATGCCAACGCCGAAACGTATTCAATACTCCGAAAGTTCGTGGCACGCCGAATATTGGTTACCCCGCATGAAAACCATTAGTACACGGCCGTTTTACTCCTTCTCCCGTCCCCTCCGAAAAAAAAAAAAATAATAACGGTAATGTAACACGTTTTAAAGCCACTCTCGGTTTGTCACGAATGTTCAAACGGAAATGTTTTGAAAAAAAAAAAATAATTATAAATAAATAAAAAAATCGATACTATATTATTGCGAAATGACGACGAGCGTTTCGCGTTAAACGAATCGCTCTGCGCGCCGCACATAATTTAATTCCATCGTGTCGCAGCCCGACGCCGCCGTGTTTCGAAATGCGCAGGGGACCCGCAACGGCATCGATATTAATAATTTACAGAAAAACGCCCGTGGAGTAATAATAATGATCGTTTATCAGGGCCGCAGATCAAATTCGCGCCGAATTTATTATTCGGGCGACGTGTTTTAACGAAACGATAATAGCGTTGTCGTTTCGTCGCGCTGTGCCCATTTCCAACATGTTGAAAACCGCCGTAGACGACATCAAACACGCGTTCGGGTCGTGTATTTTTTTCCTTCCCCCTTTTTTTTTTCTGACCAATATTTACATTGAATAGCGGAGAGACTGACGCGAATGCGGCGTGCACAATATTATCGCGATTTACACCGTTATTGCTTTTTATTTTCGATCGCGTTCGCCGTTCAGGCGCGCATGACCCGAATATCATATTTTTCCTGGCCTCTGGGGACCCCGCCAACACGGGAACCGTCGAATATTCGACGCTCAGACGTACGAATTTAAATCCGTCTCTATTTTCCGTTTGCTTTATGTTCTGTAGAGAAAAAAATAAATAGGGGAAAAATAAAAAAGGTTATTATATTACGATAAAAAAACTCCGTGCCCGAAAAGTTGTCAACTACAAAGATTTCGTCTTACTTGTTTTGCATTTTTAGCTATAGAGAAACCGCTTCAAAGGTTCAAACGCCACACGGGATAATATATACCGGCTATGTATGAGATGCAATATTGTCTATCGATTGGAAATTGAAAAGGAAAAAATAAATACAATATTCCTTTAGTATATTTATTATACTCGTGGACATTTTGAACGGGAGAAAAATAAAAACCAATAATATTACAGTCGACTATATTAGGGCGGTCCTCGTTTTTTTTTTTATATATATATTTTTATCATTTGAAAAAAAAAAGAGACTAAGGACAAGTAGAAGTAAATCGGAGCATAAAAAACTCGAGTTTGGAGGAACGGGACAAGACGGTATCTATTCGACAACAAGCGGCCGACGTATAATAAGGGAAGTTCAGGTTCCTCCTGTACGGTCCAAGATATTTATGATCGGCAAAAAACGCGTGGATTTATAATGTATTTTTGATAAACTGTGAAGAACGCTTATGATTAGGGTGTGGATTATAAATGCGAATTTCGTTTTATTTCTGAATGTCCTCAAGCAATGCTTTCCAAGCACAAAATTCGTTTCACGTGTCAAAGAATTAAAATGTGAAACTTTCGTTTAGCATTTTTTGACATTGTAAGTGCTTTTGTACAAACTTTATAGTTTTATCGGAAAATTTGATGCAATTTATTTCGATTTCTTCCTAAATGAATAAAAAAAAAAAAATATTTCTGTTTTTAAAATGTATCAGACATAGATATACCGATTGTACCATAGATGCATCCGTTGCCTGCCACTATTGCGCTATTTGCACCGTTGTGTTCAATAAATGTATACACCTACGTTTAAAAAAAATGTTTAGTCTTTTCTTTTTTATTATTATTTTATTTTATTTTATATATTGAATTGTATTTATTCAAGGCGTTTCTTGTATTTTTTTTTTTTGTTTAAAGCGTGTTTGAATCCGCACCGTACTTACAATGTAATAATATTGAGCCGACGAAAAATCGAAAACGTTTCGCCGCCGTGCGCATACGACGACGACAGCCCCGCACGCGCGGGTTCGGGTTACAGCCGTACCGTAGCCGCGGGTGGAGGAATAACATTCGATATTATCGCGATTATTGGATTAGATCGGTACCCGTTTAAAACAAAAAAAAAAAAACAAAAAAAAAACGTCGTTTTACCGGTGGTCACCGAGCTGAGTTGTTTTTTCGGCTGACGGTTGTTTTGTTCGGCGACGGCGACTGCGACGACCGGCGATTCCGGAGAACCCGCGACGGTGGGCGTGGGGCTGCTGGCCGGATTGGCCTCCGCGTACCTCTGCATGAACCGTTCGTTGTCCACGATCTGGTGGTGCAGGTCGGCGGCCGCTTTGCACGTGCTTATCCCGGCCATGGCTAAACGCGAAAACGCGTACACGCGCAAACATGTTATTCGCATTGTCGGTACAGCGGGCGGTTTCGTTTCGCGCTTTCGTGCCGGGAGGGTACGGGGAACGAACAAAAAAAAAAAAAAAAAAAAAAAAACAACGTACACGGGTGCGCGCGGGCGGTCGAAAGGGGCCGGGGCGCACCCGGGACGCCGGGGAATCGTTACGTGTGTCGCGCGACAACAACTGCGTGCCTTTGCGCGACGCGACCGCGGCGGCGTATCGTGTAGGACAATGAGGACTCGGGCCGATGCGACAACGTGAACGTCCGCGGCCGTACCGGGCGGTGCGCGCATTACGACGGTATTGTTGTTGGCCGGCCGGCCGGCCGGAGAGGACGTTTTTTCGCGTCGGGTGAAAAAAGATGAAAAAAAAAAAATAAAACCCTGAAACGCGTTTGTTCGCTCTATGTCCGTACGGTATTACGACACTGCCGCGAAACGTTGTTTTTTAATTTTCGTTTTTCGCGTAACGTGTGCGCGCACGTATATGCGTTCGCAATGAAACGCTTTCGCTCCGTGCAGAAACCGTGACCCTTGTAATTTGTACGCAACTGTCCCGCGCGGAAAACGACGTGGGGGGGAGGGGGGAAACGCGCCGCGGTATGTCGTACGCGCTCACATATTGTATGCGTTTGCGCACACCTGCACAACTGTCCGCGTGATAACTAATTGACACATATCGCGAGCACGGTCTCAGAATCGACACGAAAGTCGCGAAGTCCACACCGCGGTAATTTGCTGGCCTCTCGCGCCCGCACCCGGGGGTTCGCGTTTTCCCCGCCGCAGGAGAGAGCGCGTCGACCACGAACTTTGTGCCGAGATCGCGGCCGAAACGGTCTAAACCGCGAATTGACCGGTCCGGATTCTTCCGGCGAGAATGCGGGTACGAGCCGAATGCCGACTGTACGCGGCGGGGTATGTGTGTGTGTATGGGGGGGAGGGGTAAATTTTAGATAGTTTTCGACCCCCCGCTAGATTTTCATCCGATTATGCGACCGATCTCGGTGATATCTATAAAGTGAAAATGCACCATCCGCTTGAACTGGGTTTTTAACGCCTTGACTTTGTTGTGTTTGCAATAAATTTCGAAAAACATGGGCAATGTCATTTTATCGGTAATCAAAAACACATTTCGACGGTTACGAATACCGCGATTCTCGTGCTGACTTATCTGGATATTTTCGGATTCGTTAATTTTGTTCATTTGTGTAATGATTTTGGATTCTGAGCGGAGCGAGAAACGTATTGGTTTTACAATGATGTTTATTTATTTATTTTTTTTTTTCTGTCAGCGGACTTTTCTATCGGCGATTTCGCTCCGATATTAAATTATAGCACTTTTTCCGAAAGGAAATCTGACTGGGGTGGTGCTTTAAGGAAGTAATTTTTTTTTATTTTCCCAGATGTTTTCATAATGATCGGGAAAAACCGATAAAAAAAACATGGGAAAAACGAGAAAATAAGTACAATATTAAACATCTATTGTTCAAGAAAATGTATAATGCATACGCAATTGTTTTACCGAAATACGGTGTACATTAAATTGTTGACAAAGCAACACTGTTAACTCAACTCCGCTCGGCATCGTTTTCCGTAAGCAACGGTTAACCGTCGCGTACAGATATGGTCCGTTTGATTTCCCCCGTGCCTTCCAAACTTCTCACCTACAACAATGCGCGGAGTATGTCCGTTTTTTTTTTTTTTTTGTTTTTTTTTATCGGTATTCGTTGTCGATAGTAAACCGTTTGGGAACTTGACACCGCGATAATACTTTTGTCCACCCCCACCCCCCATTCCCGCCGTTACCTCCTGAGACCGTGATCGCGAATGCCCGCACTGTACTTGTGTTACTATACTACTGACCGGACATGTTACGCCGTTTCCGGAGGCTGGTCACCCCGTCGGCGCCGGTCGGGCTGTACAGCTCGTTCTCGTCTTCGTATATGGTGTCGTAGTCCACGGGCAGGTTCGCGGGCGAACCGGTGAAATACATGGACTGCGCCGCGCAGTTGTTGTAAAAATATCCGTGTTCGCGCGAGCCGCCCGACCTCTCGTGATCGTCCACGAGCACCCGGCCGTTCTCGTCCAACAGCGGCATCGGCCGCAACTTTAGCTCGACGCCGCCGCTGGCCAGACACTCGGCCAGTGTCACGTCGTCACTGGAATCCGAACCGGACCGCTCGGCCTGCTGCTGTTGCATCATCAACTGGTGCTGCTGTTGCTGCAGCGTTTGCTGTTGCTGCTGGTATTGCTGCGCGCTGACGCCGCCGTCACTCCCGATGCCGTACGGCAGCGACACCTCGTTTTCCGGCGACACGGGCGAGTACTGTTCGTCGGGCGACATCGGCAGCCGGCTGTGATAATCGTTTTCGTATTCCTCCTGCTGCTGTATGTGCCGTCTGGCCGCCGCGGCCGCGGCCGAATTGTAACCGTCGTGCTGGTACCCGGACGCGTTGTTGGGCTGCGCGTACGCCGCCGTAGACTGGTTGGCCTGGTGCTGCTGTTGCTGGTAAACGTTATTGTGGTCTTGGTACGCAGCGTTCTGCTGCTGATTTTGTACACCGTTGTTGTAGTAAACGGAATCATGGCCGGACGACGACGAAGAATTATTCCCGTTGGCGGCGTACGACGGAACGTTAGCGTCTACAGACGTCCCGGTGTTATCGTGAGACATCATAGTGGTCCTTCGTGAAAAACAAAAAAAACTAGTCATATTTTTGGCTCGAAATACAATGGACCCGATAGCGAAACGAATTCGCGATCGAAAGCAAATGTACGGGGGGCGCTGCAACAGCCGCAGCACATAACGGGGCACGGATGAACGATAATGATAAAAAATTGGCGACGTGGGTATTCAATTTGTTGTCCATACGTTTTGGTTACACGTTATCTACGCAGGTTAAAGCGCGCGGTTATGCGTTCGCTTTGTCAAAGTGACGTTTACGTGAACTATGAGCGCTAGCGATCAATAATCCGATTTTAACATGTACATTGTACATCACAAGGAAAATTATGGTTTTTCATATATTTCATATAAATATAACTACGTGAACATAAAAATGCAATTATCTAAATTAAATATTAAATATTGAACAATTATATTGGAATTGCGTATAAAATCAAACTATTTCAGAATAAAAATCGGGTGGTTGACTGATAGCGCTCATAGCTCACACAGACGCCACTTCGACAGCGATAACACTCCGTATGGTAACGTGTGATATAAGAGATATATATATGAGATAATTATGATTTTGGCCCAGTCATAGAGTTTTTCGTCACCGTCACCGCCAGATTTCAGTTCGTTTGCTTTTTATGGTACCGTTTTCATTTTTCACGGTAATAGTATTCTACTTGATGTGCACAGATTGGAAATTTCGCCCGGTAGACTTTTATAACTTTCAACTCTGTACGGGATTTGTGAAAGGTAAATAGGTTATTGATGTAAATTAAATGTGTATAATGAACTTGACCAAAAGTTAATATTCTTACATTAACTTTGAAATCCCTTTTCAACCCCTCGGGGGTTGAATTTCCTAAATCAGCCAAAAACTATTTATTTGATAGCTTTGTTGTACGAAGTTTTGGGTTATTAAGTGAATTAAACTTTTTAATCTCATTTGACCCTTTAGCGGTAGTTGAATTTTGAAAAAAAACCTTTCGTAGGAGTTGCCAACATTGTATAAGGAACCTCTGTACAGATTTTCAAGTTTCTAGACCCAGCGTTAGTTTCCTACTAAATATATTAAAATATAAATCAGCAGTTGTAAAACTTTTTTGTTCATGGAGCCTGTATATTCCTAAAAATATTCTGCAGAACAACAGAAATCAAGAATGTCAAATTCGTTGTAAATTTTATCAAATTGTTCAATGTTTATCTTAACTGCTTCTAAATATTCTTTGAACAAAGTAAAACTGTCTATTACACGTCAGAAACCTGCAGACTCAATCCAATTAAATTCTATTTTTTTTAATTTTTTTTTTTTTAAAGTTCGAATTTTGTTATCCTCACTGAAAACTATAGGTTTAAAACTTAGTTTTTTCTTATATTGATACATTTACTTCATTTAATTTTGAAAACAATTTCTGCCACACAACCAAATTTTATCAGTAACCCTTGTTTGTAAACTAAACGAGTGATCATCAAACAGTAACGCATTCAGGGGAGCGGTAGGAATAATCGCTCCCTCCCCTGTTATCTTGTCCTCGATCCACTTCTGTCAGCAAATAAAGAAAAATTAATTAATTACATTAATTCAAATGTGTCCATGGTTTGACCTTTTTAAGACCTGCTTTGAATGTTCTGAATAATAGAAATTAAATAAACCGTACGATATTCGACTGTACCAATGATATATAAATATACATATATATATATATCTATATACAGGGTGAATTTTTTTATGATGAACCAGCAACTATCTCAGAGAATTTTAAGTGAATTTGATTTCTGTTTTTCTAATCTTTATGGGATTGTTTAACCTTTATTTTAAAACCATTTTTAATTTTTTACCCCTACTCCATATACCCTAAATAAGTGCATGCTTTTAAATTTTCGAAAAGGAATCCCCCCCTTTTTGAATAGTGATTTGAATAAACTATATTTGTCTAGACATTTTGATATGCATAACACTAATATCAGATTTACCTTTTATGAGTTATAACAGTTTAAAGTTTAGACCAGAGGAGTAGAGAAGGGTCTTAGATAGGCAATTTATTACTTGTCATAAGAGTGTTGTAAAATTACCAAAGGGGTAGTTTCCTTGATTTTTACTTTTTGTTTCAAAATCTATTACATTAATCACAAAAATGTGTTGAACCCTAATCATTATACATAGACATTTCTATAAAAAAAAAAAAAAATGTCCATTATTAATTTTCGTAAACCCATTATATTTAAAGAGAAAATTAACAAATTGTAAACTATTTTATTTATTTCAACGAATCTATTCTATATATTAAGTCCTCTCTTATATTAAAGCCATTTTCATACAATTTTTATATTTTTACTATTTTATATTTTATCATAGTTTTATAATAATATGTTCTTTGTTATTTACAATCGAATATTATACTCCGATAATAGATGATAGATGGACTCTATTCTTGAATTTAAGTGTTAATAACGTTTCTTCTAAAAAGCATTTTCCTCCCCCTGACTAAAACTTCCCATGTTCACCCTCGTAAGATTTTAGTTTCGTTTGAATGCATTTATTACTTTTAAAATAAAAGGATGCGCAGCATGTAGGAGTGAATATAAAGTATTTTGCCATCCTTCAACACCATTATTTGTTCGAGGGAGGTCTGCTAACACATTATTAAAACAATTCCAAATATAAAGAGAAAACAGTGGACTGCGCCGCCGTCTACGCCTATCTTGAATCTTCATTCAAGTATCTTCGAAGTAATTAAGGAGAGAAGCAAATTCTGGCTCATATTTTTATAGAATTCACTCTCAAACAAAGTTTGGAACGCCTTCTTCGCACTATCCTCCGGAATAAACTAATTTAAGAGCTTTTTTTTAATTTTTTTTAGCAAAATATACAAATTTATTTTAAATATAAACATTTGTAGTTCGTATCTCTACAAGTAATAAAACAAAAACAGAATTTGATTATCTTTATTATCTCAGGAGATATTGCAATGTGTTTATCTTCATGAAACACCCTGTATGTAATTAAAATACAATTAAGATACATTTTTAGTTTGTTACGTCTGCTTTATTTGTTTGTTTTATATTTGGAGCGTAGCGAGGGATGTATTTGTAAAATACTGTGGTGTGTGTTTTATTTATTTATTTACTTATTTATTTTATTGCGGGATTTCGTCCTGGTGAGATTTTGTCCCGTGGGATTTTGTCCGGACAACCTCTAGTACCAAATTGTACGAGGTAGGTATGTTATTTATTCGTTGCATAAGCAATGACATCAGTCCAACACCACGGTGTAATATTGATACGAATTACGGTGATTTTTTTTTTATTGGTTTTATTCGACGATCCAGTTATTATCAATGATATAAGCTTTTATATTACTTTTAGATATTACTTCACGCTTTTTTGAATTTTCTCATCACTTGTACCTACATCTACGTATATATTATTTACTAGCCAGTCACCAATATATGCAATGTTATGCAGCAAGTCCCAAAAGACTTCAAAAGTATCCCCCTTAACAGTACCTTCGTGAAAAAAATCAATATATTTAAATTCCGGTTTTTCTTTTTTAAGTTAGTTTAGGCTAGCATAAGTTTAAACATGTTTTGATGCAATTCAGTTTTTATATTTTCAAATAGTCATTTTTTTTTTTTTTTGATCATATTTATTTTAAATAGTTTTCAACAAATATATAATACAGCTATCTATTATACATTCAATTTGTGTACATATATATATATATATATATATATATATATTTTATATACTCTTATAGGTATATATTACAATTGGGTGAAAATCGACGAAGTTAAACCATATTAAGTTTTTGATTTTTTAAAAATAATATAGTTACATTAGGAAAACACGAATCGTACTCTTTAATCATTCTCGATTGGATCACAGAATTGTTTATATTAAACTTAATATAATTTAATTTTGTCGATTTTCAGTAAATTTTAATATTTTGTTTGTTAAATTATTTTAAAAAATATAGTGAAAAAAAAAAATGTTTATCTTGAAGTTTTTAAAAATTTAATTGCGTTCTAATTAATTAAAAAAAAAAAAAAAAAAGAAACTTATGCGTAATGATTTATGGCATCCAATTAGAATTATTTTCTTATTAATTACTTAAAAAAAAAAAAAAATTATATTGATTTGCCTCCGAGATACCAAGGATGATGCGGGACTCTTGGGATATTATGCTGTATAGAACGGAGTTTCTGTTTTAATTAGTCGTATGACGCTACACGAAGGTATTTACGGGATATAATTCTGTGTAACTTCTAATTTCAAATATTTTACTTTACTAACCCATGTGTGCCTTTTCGATTGACTCGAATATGTTCAATTGGAACTCCGAGATACGACTGGCGGCGGTGCGGCATCGTCATTAAATAACCGTTGAACGTTATATAACGGCGCGAGAGATGAATTTCCTACGTATCGAGGAATTCACGTAGGGGCTCATCGAAACCACGAAGATCAATATACTATAGGCAGTGTAATATTTAATACCCGGGTGAAGAAAATCTTGAAACGGATTAATAATTTCCAAGATAACGACAGTGTCATGCGGAGGTGAAAAAATCACCTTTGGCTTTCAATGGTTGGGCATTTATCATATTATTAATCGCACACGTAATGACATGATGACGAAGGAAAAAAATAAATTAATTCTTCGCGAACCCCGCTGTGGCGGCGCGACGGTGACGGAGTGAGTTTCGAGTAGGTAGTAGTAGATTTTTGTGTAACGTTTTATACGTTTGACGGGAATTTATTTCAAGTCCTTTGGGTTTAATTTAATTTAATCCGAGTTTTTTGAACAAACAAAAGCGCGAACACAAAATACTTTTTCCCGAAAATTCACCGCCACTCAAAATTCGTTTATACAACTATAAACAAAAATTAATTGATTATAATTCAATTTAAACGGTATGGCAAATTAAATAAGTTTGCCACTCTGCTATCACCGTCCTAATTTCTGTTCAAACACAAGTTCCCGTCTACGCTAGCTTGTTTGCTCGAGATCTCGAATGCGCATCTTGTATGATTGACACTTTTTATTAAACGAAAAGAAAAAAAAAAAACTTTTATTACCCCGTCGCCGGTTGTGATCCCATGGTTACCGGACCGCTGGCCTCTTTTTTCGCCTTGGCCATCACGTTCTGAATCAGGGCCCGTTCCTCGGCGCTCAGGTGGCTCAAGTCCAGACTCAACGGGTCAGGGTCGATTACTGTGGGTTCCGGCAAACCTGTAAAACACGTGCGATAATCGATTATTATTACACACAACGCAACCGTCACTAAAAAAAAAATATTATATCGTTAGCGCGGATAATATATGAGCGCCCATAGGGGGAGGAGGTCAAGAGGTGGGCCTGTCCCTCACTCGAAAAACATTAAAACCAACGAAACGTTTTTATTTTAACCTTGACGCTATGACGCACTGCCTAGATAATTAATTATTGATTCACCCTCTTGTAATGGACCTATCATTATCAGAGCCTCTCAACAAATGGTGCCCCAGACAAATGTCGGAATTCTAAATTGTCTGCAATTTTTTCATTAATAATAATACAACTCAAATAATTACAATTTTGAAAAATGTTGACAGGTGTATCGATATTGTAGAATGTGAGAACTTTAGAAGGTAGGATTAATACGCAGTTATCTAAAACGTATATCTGTGTGTAACGATAAATCATTGCTAATGGAATACAATTACGAGCAAAGTTCGGTTGAATACGTTTTGAAATATCGGGATTTTACGAATTTCATAAAAAGAAATAACTTAATTACGCTCAATTTGTATTTTATCTCTAAGTACAACTTATGATGAACCGTAAAATGTTCAAATATTGTATCGAAACAATAATTTTTACCACATAAAACTAAATAAAAACTAAGAAAAACCTCTATAACGTCAGATATTTATGAATAACTAAAAATTACAAGAATTTTTTAAAAAATTTGACATCTAGAATAGGTCACTATTAATATTTTTTGAAAATTTCATATTTCTATGATTTTCCCATTTTACATGCTTTTTTCCTGGTTTTCTCAAATAATTAAGAAAACTATTTCGGAAATCTAAAAATGACTTCCTATTGCACCAACTAGACATAATGTTTTTTTGAATAGATGCTATAATTGAAAACCTGAACAAATTTTCTAATAAAAATGTTGTTTATATTAAAAAAAAAAAAATAAAACGATAATACAGTTTTTACAAAATTAATATAAATATCTACAATATTTAAAAACGACTAAATATAAATAAACATATATGGTATAAGGTATTAATGAAAATTGTATTTAATTTTTATAAACAATTTGGGGCTCCCGAAAATGAGTTAACCCTGGGCCAGTAATCGCATTAATATTTTATAGGCTCTGCGTATCAAGGACTCCGTACTATTGCACCTCGATAACATATTTGGCAGTTATAATGTTATCGTATCCGTATATCTATCTACACATTAGTCTTGAAATTGTTTGTTTGGCAACCCGGTTCGACACTTCCAGTTTGTTCTACTTCTAAAAATACCCGCTGTAAAACCTTTTATGGTCGAGATATATAATTGATAATAATATCCACTTCGTCGACGTTGCAGTGTGGTGAAATTATACACTCAGAAAAGTTACGCGGTGTCTATATGGGGTTAAAGCAGATCAAAAGGAGAAGGATGTATAAACGCATGGCACACGAGTGCATAAGTGTATTAAAATGTGATACATGTTCGTCATAAAGTGTGGACATAATAATATATTATAGGACACCATCGTATGAACTTGTACCCTTTTCAATTGTCACAGCGCAAACGATCAAATTATAAGTATGTATCTGCTCGGCACAATAAGGATGCGAACTAAATTTTATAACGTTTATCTTACCTTTCTCTAGAATTGAAACTGCACAATCGAGTTAGCGAGAGTTATAAACACAAACTTAATTTAAAGTTTTAAATGACATTTATGTTTATTTTAACTTCGACGGGGAAAAAATAAAGTACGAACACGACTTAATTAAGAGCTGACATCAATTATGTTTTCTAATTATTGGCGTGTACAAAACTATAGCATTTAAAGTGCGGAAATAAGAGCTTTTATTTTCAAGCCCAAAACTATAATACGGTCGGTAGTTAGTTTGAAATAACAATAAATAAAAAAAAAAAATATAGGTATTTATTATTTCAGCACTTCGTATATCGTTTCACCTGTCAACTTATATTTAAAGGCTCGAACCCTCGACTCGTTTCAAATGTAAATACTTCACACTCTAAACAAACACCAATTTATAACATCATAGCAATTATTTTTTTTTTATTTTCCTGCTTTCACAGCTACCGAATAATACTGTACATTATATATTGAATAATATTGATTTTTACAATTATTTCCATAATCGTTTGAGTTGTGTCAAAGTTTAAGGACTTAAACGAAAAAGAAAAATATAACGTATAATATGATGAACACGTTAATCAAACTGTACCGCAATGTCCATAATGGCATATACAAACTAAATATCTAATTGGACATTGCAAAATTAGAAAATAAACGAGGACCCCTCTCCTAAAATTGTCATTCTATACGTTGGCCTATAGCGGAGATGACGTAAATTCGCTATTGGTGTAAAATTTATATCAGTATATTCAACACACACAATTTTTATTTGCATCTCCTAAAGACAAAAATAATAATAATTTTATCTATTCACTTGAAAAAATTTTCAAAATAAACATTTTGTAAAAAATATTATTCAAACAATTTTAACGTATCACATATTCATATTTGATAAATATTTTCTTAGTTATAACCGTTTTAATTGTTTTCACGCTTATTTTCTACAAATTAAAACGGCCATAGTTGAGAAAATATTAATCAGATATGAATGTATGATGCATTCAAATTTTTATAATAATATTTTTTACAAAATGGTTATTTTGAAAATTTTCTAAAGTGAATAAATAAAAAGTTATTTTTGTCATGTTTTTTTTTTTAAATTTTGTCTAATGCAATTTGTTTTCCTTTATTTGTCGGCCTAAATTATTACATAAGTGTATGTATTTTCATAATCATTATATTATGTTGTGTATTGGCGTATAAGTTTATATACACTTATATATATATTTTCAAAATTGAATGTGTTTGAATAGAAAACTATACAGAATATTGTCATAAGCCCTGTAGTTTCCTGGGACCAAAGATTTAACCGTGAATTATTTTTTTCTTCAGTGCGACGAGAAATGTATTGGTTTTTTCTATGATGTTTTTTTTTTTTTTTTTCAATTATTTATACGCCTAATTAATAATCGTAATTTTGTCAGTTCACTTTTAAAAATGTACAATACTATTATTTTTAAATGAATAACAATGTTGAATACATGTTCTATAACGCTATATTAAAAATGCTACAACGGTAAAATCTATTTTATAACGATGAATTGTAATTTAGTTCATTTATAATAGTTACATCGTATCTCACGGCACTATAACGAGCAGGTATACGCAAGTGTATAATTTGATAGAATTTAGTTTTACAGATTTCATTCTCAAAGTTCTACAAAGTTCAAAGTTCATACCTGTATGCATATACAGCACACCTCATTATAAAGTAATTCAATAATAGAAGTCGGCCGCCTTTTATACATAGTTATTATAATATTATACTGATAACAACAACAAAACTGAGTTGCCCGTAAGTTGTTTGAAATAGTTACGCCTAACAAAAAAAATATCCCTGCTATCGTACGCTCGGAGAAAATTATAATTATTATGCGCATGCGTGTATATAATATATACGAGTACCTACTTCTATGTAAAAATGTACCTACATGATAATAAACAGTGTGTCTCGCCGTGTTCAACGGACTTTTATATCTCTCTGTTAATTTTGAATTTATTTTTATTTTTCCAGACGGATTTTGTGACTGGGGAACACGTAAAAAGAGAACCCTAACAGAAGATCGTGGCAAGTTTTCAAAGATCTCCGAATTTTCAAAAGTTTCGGTAGAAAGGATATCCAAAGTAATTTAATTTATATTTGTTTGCAAACGATGATTATTGATCATTAATGAATTACGACTCTGGACGAAATTCGGCCAGCCGCTAAAAGTGTCTAAAAGTAACAGGAAAAATAAATACGTACACATTTGTATACGTGTATAACATATAGAAATCAGACACGGTACAGTACAATAGTCTGTATTTTCGAGGAAAATTCGACAAAAAACAAAACCGAAAATAACGGAAACCGGCTATTACGTAAATTTTCCGGTTTTCTCGATTATTTAAAAAACTAAAAAAATATTCGAAATAAGAGCACTGCGCCAATTATAACGGTTTGGAAAAAATATTCGTGCCACGAAGAGACGATCGGAACGAGATTACCCGTTAGAAACGTTATCAACAGACCGGAAGGGGGGGGGGGGGGGGGGGGAAATGGAAGCAAAATAAAAAAACCGCACGTCATAAAGTGAGAAACCGAATGTATATTGAGTTCTCTAGACATTCGCAATATTCGCAAACGCGCGTTTCGCTGCCAGCGCTCCGGTCTTGCCGCACATTATAACGCGGTAAATATCATCTTACTTTTGTCGCCCGAACCGCGAGAGAGTCCGAAGTGTGCGCGCGCGCGCGTGTGTGTGCGTGTGTTTGCGTGTGTGTGCGTGTGTGTGTGTGTGCGCGCGTATAATACACGTATCAAATACTCCCGAGAGAGCACACGGCTCGACTAAGCAAATGAAAATCGATATTTTTTAACCCAGTTTCGTGGACACGAATCGCGCCGTACCCCCGTTTATATGAACCCCTTATAGATCCGCCTTATATATATATATATAAGGCGTAATGAATATACCTATACGTGTATAGATACGCGTACAATACACGCGGCACAGCATATTGTTATATTATACGCCTTTATATTAACAATAATAATAATAATAATAATAACGTACTGTGTACATTATTGCATGCAATATGCATATGCTGTTATATACATACAGTTTATAGCGGGAAGCAAACAATAGGATAGATTCTCTCGTAGATAAATAATATTATACATAATATATTGCTTCGGTAGCGGACGAGGCGTCTGATGCGAGGTGATTTTTTTTTTTTCTGTCTCTCTCTCTCTCTCGTTTCAAACTATAATGTACACCCACACTTTGTATAACGCGTACTTATAAAACGTATATCGTGTAATATACGAGATCGCTAAAACCACCGCGAGAACGCTCGTTTAAACGCGTATAATCCGTCTGGAAAAAACGGATAACGCCCGTATTGCGTAGGATGTATACCTATTATGTCGCCGTGCGCACTATTCTTCAGCGCGCTTATTTTTACAAAATATCATAACTATTATTGTAATAAATAATAATGTTACGTCACAGGGTAATAACGGTAACAATAGTAATAATAACCGACGGGGCAATCACACGCGCATAACCTACCCGCTCCGAAAATGGGATTCTATTACCGACCAAGGATACATCCGAGGTGATGGACCTAACGGGCTCGAGTATTCCTGAACAGTTGACTCCCGGCGACATTTTTGTCATTTTATCAAGTCCTGTATTTACATTTTCATATCGAAAAAACTATCAACTATTACCGCGGTTGCGTGCACGGCTAAAACCGTTTCGACTCAATTCGCATTAGTTAACACTCCTGGGGTTAGATGCACGTAAACGGCTGTTAAAACGGTTTCATTTCAATTCGGTTTGACCGAAACGGTTTAGTTATTCGCATTTTAAATGCGCGTTGGAAATGACTACGAGAGTACAAAATGCGTGTAAACGGATACACACTACGACAACCGAATCGGGATTGCGGCGGGTACTCGCGATAAGGTGTAACAATAAACGTTATCAGTTATTGAAGAATTGAAATCGTAATAATATTATATTGTTTTTATTATTTTGCGACATTATAAATTCGAATGAAGGTGAATCGATTTAAACCGTGCACGTAAACGTTGCAACTCAAATTGGTTTGGTGGAAGTGTATTATACTTGTTTTAGACGTGCATGTATGCTTGCGTACCAATTCGAATTGATTCAATATACGAATAAAGTTGATTGGATTTAATGGATGCATATAAATAAGGTTTATATGGAAACCGGAGCGTACCAGCCGTAATGGGTTACCTTAACCAATATGACAATGGTATGTCATCGTAGTATAACAAAGATGTCATTAAAAGTTTCAAACGTCTCCTGTATCAACTGCAAATATTTCTAATCGAGTATGGCGTTTAAACGGCTTGAAATTAAAACTTATTCTAATCGCGGAATATCAGGAGATACTTAAAACTTTTAGAGTTGCATAAAAATTATTCAATGTAACATTGTATTAATGCTGCAGCGGTCGAGTTTGATTTGCGGTACCTTCCCGAAAATTCCGTCGCTATAGTCGCCTCATTACTATGGACCGTATTATATTGTGATCGTTGTAATACTCTTAGCGTTACATTATCGACTAATACGTCGGAAAGATAATTTCCCACTTTAAAATGGATAAAGGCACACTTAAGAAACACAATGAGTCAGAATTTTAATTTCTCTTTATATTTATTATGCAAGATTACAGTAGATTAATATTATTTTTAAGTATTCAATTAAGTATTATTGACTTCAGTTATTATTTTTTTTTTTTTTCCATAAAGACGAGTGAGCGAAACCTCAGACACGGGCGTACTTTCGGGTTTCTATACACATTTTTAAACAATTTCATTTACCATTCTTCCCATCCGAAATAATCCTATTTAACCCTTGGTTTCCGAATTCTGCTTAATACGCGTACGCATCCGCGCACTACAATGCGGTGTTTAATAATGTGTTTTGTTCCCGACAACCGGTTCGGAAATACATTTGGAATTCATAACCCGGAAATTAATCTCGGTCGCGCCACTGATAATATAATATGATTATTATTGCAGGTCTCGCATAAATGTCTCGTCGGAAATATAGCGATACAATAAAATAAATATTATATTATATTATTTTCTTACAGCCGGGGTGGAAAAAAAAAAGAGGAAATACGCGTATACTTTCTTAATATAATATATTATTTCACTGAACAAGGAAATGACTGGCTGGTATACGGTATTTAATAACCCGGCAAAGGGAAATATTTAATATCTCGGAAAAGGAAATGTTTATAATATCATACAATATCCTGTGAAATCTTTATAAATGCGAGTTCGAAAGTATACTGCATTTCAGAGTTGTAAAACCGTAGCAGTTCCGCCCCGGTTTTCATTTGATGATATATTTATATTTTGATTAAATTCGAAAATACGCATAACGGAAGCGCGGCGGTATTTTCATTATTTTCCGAAAAAAAAAAAAAAAAAAACGAGAAGAAACTATACATATATTATAAAATGAAATTCTGTATAATGTTTGTGAACTTTTGCACTTTTCCGTTCGCTATTTTTTTGTAACCGTTTTTAAACAAATAATTTAAATTGACAATTAAGTTTTATTTTAATTACTATACTGTGTAATTATACAAAAGCACGGAGAATTGAATAAAACTGGCGAAATTCCATTACCGTTTTCGATAGAATTGCTAATTAAAATTCGTCATAAACCGACGGAAAAATAATCTATAATTATTATATTATATAATACAGAAATGGTATCTCATAATCGATAGCCAAGGGGTTTTCTTTTCTTTTCTTTTCGTTTTTTTCTTTTTTTTTTTTTAACTAATCCTTAACGTTTTAAAAACGACAGTGGTTTTTTTTTTAAAAATTTAAATTAACCGTTATTGATTTAATAGGCAAATACCTGAAATATTAAATATTTCAAGCGGACAGTGAGACTAGTATTTTAATTTTTAATCCGTTGAATTTCGTTGCTTTAAACTGAAACTGAATCGATATTGTATTCGTAAACACGTACAGGGTACACACGTACATCCATTTAGTTTTAATTACCATATTATTAATATTTATTCGAAAATTGGCCAAGCCGAATGTACAAAGTAAATAATAATTACGCCAACCTGCGCCTCTTTAAAGGAGCAGAGTTTCCCACGCAGAAACATTTAACTGCACTTGTTTATATTCGTTTACATTCGTTATTAAAAATTAAAAATTTACATAATAAACATATATAACGTAATTTGCTGCACTTTTAGAACTAAATTGAATCATGTTTCATTATTATTTTCTAATAAATAAAACAATATAATATTATCATTAATGAAGTGCAAAAGTGTAAAGTAAAATATTTGTATTTATGCTATTTCACGTTATTGTAATATAAATTTGAAATTACGCAAATATTATATAAATTTGTAGTCTCTCCTCTTTTAGTCTTCCTGGTCAAATCATGTAAATTAATACAAATCTAAACAAATAGAATATGCAGGCCAACAATCCCCAAACGACAATTTGATCATTTTTACACTGCGCCGCTAAAAAATACTACATACATAAAATTATCTCGAGTAGAAACTTTTCAGAATTGTCTTATAGTTATTCCTTTTTTGTACTCAAAAAGGCGTCGCAAAATGCGGTTACGAATTGAAAATAATATTTTTCACGTTGATAACAAAAAACCGTCTTTATTATCACGCTATAATACATTATGACGATAAAAAATGATACACACACTAAAATATCAGTATAGTACAACACGTGTCTCCAACATAAAAACTCAAGTATTAAATTCGACTAGGTCAACTTACTTATATATAGCTAACTAACTATGCCCCGCAATACCTTAATGCGCCTATTTTATGCGATAAGGATAAAAATATTATTTTATTAACCATAAATAGGATCGTTTTATTACCTATACATACTGTCATACTCGTGTATTATAAAGTTATTTCAGCTTTAATAAACTCGCTAAATTTTAAATAAAACTATTAACTTTGGTATAAAGAAATATTTTATTATATTGTGTTGTAATATGTAACATTTATTTGTGAATACAATTCATTCTTTTTGATTAGTTTTTATTTATTTTCCATACTAAAATACTGTCGACATTTTCGTCATAGAGTCTATAAATATTCAATTTTTAAACAGGAATATTCGTGTTTATGTCAGAAGTTCGAAAATTACCGAAAAAATACACGTAACCAATCTACCGACCTTGCATTAATAACACGCTCTTTGAGATTTTCACTTTTTCGTTAATACGTTGACCGTAATAATAATGCCGTGTTATTTTATGCGCACGAGGAACGAAAACTCGGGAAACAATTCTCTGAATCCCCGTCCTATGCATTCGTACGAAACCGTCTCTTTTAGTTCAAATCTCCGATGTAAATGAACAATAATAATAAACAGCGGTCTAAATAAACATTATACGGAATAATAATGGTATTATTCTGTGTTATACCGTATCTGTAGTGCTTTATGTGTTGGATTTACGTATTATAAACGTAAAGATGAATATTGCAGTAATGCGAATTTTCTCGCTGAAAATATTATATATTTATATGCTTTCGTGTACGTCGGGTTTTATCTCATTGTCTAATAGAATATTAAAATTTCGATTGAAATTTTTTTTTTTTTCGAGTTTTCCTCACGTAAAAGTTTATTGTAGAAAGGTAATGATTAGGAGAGTACAATTTGTTTGCTTCAAAAGCCTTCTCTAAACTTCTCCGTCGTGACTGTCTTCAAATGAAACCTCTAATCTTATAATGATCCGCCAAACGCTCTTATGTCTTGTTTCACTCTATATCTAGTATAGCGTTTATAAATTATAAAATAAATCGTACATATTTTACATTATGTCTTTGACGTTTATGTTATATTTCTATGATTCCCCCCTCCCTCACGGGCAAACCTTTAAAGGCCACGCACGGTGTGAACTGCATAATGTAACACAATAATATTGTCTCTTAGGCTTGTTGCTCTTTTATTAACACATTTTCAGCTGCACACATAACTCCATATACACAACCAGTGTTGTGTTTTAACTGAATGAACTAAGTATATGTTTTTTATCTTTCATTCTCTCTAGATAAATGAGCATTACATTATCCGATTCAAATAATTGAATCGTTAAGATAATCCTAATTTATGTAATAATATCATAATATATATTTATTAATATGCTTTAATAAATATTAAATGCTGTTCGGTTATACATGAATGCAGGAGCAGACTGGTCTGTCATCTGTCAGCAAAACAAACGTAAAAGGGTGCATGGTACGGGAGATCCTTTCTTTATGAGTCCCTGTGTTATGGATTTTTCGAAACTACTACGTGACCATGCAATTTCAGTGAGTTATAATTGTCATTAAAATGTAAACAATTTGTTTAAATAATTTGAACTTTTGGCACTTATACTTCAATTTTGTGTTACCTCTTTGATTATCTGAAGCTTTTTCAATGCAGCGGCAGAGACCTGTCAATCACATTTATTTAATATTATAACGGGGCTTTAGCGGCTATGATTTGCTGTAGTTATTTACTTATCTAAATGTTATTTGTTTTATCATATATAGATAATACTAATATTTTTTTTATGAAAAATTTATTTTGCTATTTTCATTAATAGTTTTGGTAAAAGTTGACTCTCGGCTTAAAATTATAAACTGCGGACTGGCCTGTGTCCTAGTCAGTCCGCCTCTACATAAATCGCATACAATTTTCGCAATGACTTTTTCTACTATTAACGCTTAGTTTTATGATAGGTATAACGAACACAATTTTTTCTTTTGTTTTATTTATATTAGATAAAAAGGCACCGATTAAAATACTATTCTAGTAATTTATTTATCTTATTATCATAGGCTTCATATTAATAGAAGAGTCAAATACAGATGACGCTTTTTAGTGGCTGAACGATCGTAAAATTACATATCCTATCACATTATTTTATCCAGTGTGTAATAAATTATCATATATTTTATAAATGAATGTTGGTTTTAGTAATCATTAACAATATCTAAAAAAATTTTTAACAATAAAAATGAAACACAAATTGTGGGGTTTGTTTCAGTATTTCGGAACTGATCAACATGTTTGAAATCATACAAGAATGTTAATATAGATAATATCAAAAATGCAGATGCATTCAACATTTTAGAAAAATCGTAACAACCTTAAAAACATAAAAACCGTATTACAGTTGTCAACAAATTCTTGATCACGTGCAACGCGATTATATCGTACAGTACCTAATAACAATCGTACGGAGTGGCGTACCTAACGTCGAGCTTTACTGCATCACTGTCCTGTGTCCGACCGCTGCTCGTATTGCACGCAATATATACACAAAGCTCGTTAATTAGTATACGGTCTGCGCTTAATATGTAGGTGATATTATCATGTTTGCACGTTGATAACTTTTTTCGTATATTTATCTTTACGTGTGTACGTATGTAGAACTGCACCGTGTTTGGGCGGCGTGTAACCTCTACGACAATGCGTAGGTATATCTGTAAGCAAGTTGACCGTGTTCTCGGTAATATTACGTGTGTAAATCTCGTAAAAAAAAAAAAAAAAAATGAAATGCGCCTTTAATAATAATAATAGTAAAAAAAAATACCTTTAATACGCTCGGTTAGTCCCACGCGCGCTTGCCGCCCATACATTTTTCAATAATATTATAACGGATTTCATTACCGTAACGGCGGCGTAATCCGCGTGTACTACCGCATTCGGTATATTTCCCCGTGTAAAAATATTATATATATATATACAATAGGTATATATACCTGTACCTGTGTATACTTGTATATATATATACCTATGGTAATAATATTATAAATTAGAAATGTAGTGATTTTACAGTGATGTTTATTTCTTTTTTTTCTGCGGACAACTTTTCTATACCAGTAATTTTGCTCGGATTTACAACGATAGCGCTTTTTCTAAAAGTAAATCTGACTAGGGAGGTACTTTAGAGGGGCCGTTTTATAATTTCCCCGGGAATTTTCCTGATAAATGGGAAAAAAAACGGGAAAATATTATTGTTAAAGAGAATATAGAACGCATAGTATGCAATTATTTTACCGTAATGCAACATAATATTGTATATCGTCGACAAAGCAACACTATGAACCGAACTTCGCTCAGAACCGTTTTTCGTTGGCAATGGTCAATAATCGCAGCGCACAGATGTTCATTGAGTTTTCCCCCAACTCTCCCCAACTCCTCCTCGCCCGAAACAGTGGCCCGCTCACGTGCGAATACGTCCGTCTCTTTTTTTTTTTTACTTGCCTTTTTTCGCCGTGAAATATAATTATTATTATTCTGTACCTGTAATACCGTACACTCGGCCGTGCGCGTAAAAATAATAATAATAATAATACTTCGCCCCGTAGCGAAATGCATTAAAGTCGGTTATTATTATTTTAGACTGCGGCTCACGCGCCGCCGCATTACGTCCGTCCGCCCGCGGCTGCAGCGGGCGCGCACATAATGGAAAAAAAAAAAATGAAAATATATTAAATAAAAGCACAAATGCGCACTCGGATTTTTGCCGGTCGCTTTTCGAAACGACAACGGAACGCGCTCAGACGATAACGTACCGTGTGTGTGTACATAATACCACGGGGGTTTACTGCGAAAAAAAACCAACAATACATTTTTCGCTGCTCTCGTTGTACGCGCGTAGGCGTAAAATGTCATATTATTAATAATATTTGTACATAATCGGTATAATGCATACCGATACGTATACGTGTGTTACGTACGTATCGAACAAACGTGTCCGCGGTGCCCGCGCGTTGGATAGTATTTTATTCATGAAACGAACGTGCGACGTTCGTGCGTAACATTATCTGTATACCTAAATCACACGCAGAGTGATTTTTTATGTTATCATGCACCGGCAACAATCCCGGAGGATTTTAAGTGAATTCGGTTCTGGGACTGGAACCGTACCGAAAACAACCGGTTTTGGAACCGGAACCATAATGCAGATGCACTTTAATCGGTATTAAATTCATTTAAAAACCAGAACTTAACCGCAATCCATGCCTTTTTATTTTTGATTAGAAAATCCCAACAAAAATAAAAATCATTATTTTCTGCATTTTATGTACCTATAGGCCCGTTACACACGAGCGATATTTCATCATACGATACTATGTGATTTTGACATTTGTCAAATTCTACATTTATACAAGACACACGTCTGCAAATACAGTGATTGTGGTACAGGATTTTTTATTTTTTTAATAATTCAATATACATCTAAATATACACTACAATGGATAACATTGTCACTCTATATATGGATTATAATTTACTAATAAAAAAAATAAAATAAACAGAAAAATCAAAAATGTTTGGTTCATTCCTTATTAAGTACTCGCTTATCAGAAGGCGCATTTACAATAAATTTTCACGGTCTCAGGAGAGATCAGAGGAAATTTTTTAATTATTTCCGAATGACAGTATCTGCATTTGATGAACTAATTACAACATTCTTTGGATAAAAAATGACACAAATAAGCGAAAATCTGTCACTCCCGCGGAAAAATTGGTAATCACTTTGAGGTAAATATAATATTTTTAGTAACAAATTTTATCATTTTAAAAAAATTCACAAATTTTCAGCGATGGCGAATTCGCTCCGTCAGAGCGGTTGCACTCGTTGGAAGATAGCATGGTACTGAATTTGTTTTTTTGGTTTATTGAACGATAATTATCGTTTGTTGGTATTCTAATCAAATTTATTTTTGTACATTTTCATTGAAATATTTTAGTCGTACGATATTCTTATCGTCTGGAATATTAAAGTGCATCCGACAGTTTTCGAGGTGTCGTACGAAAGATAATCGTACGAAATTTTATCGTGATCGTGTGAACAGCTCTATTTATAAACATCGTATGATAATATTTTCGTACGATGAAATATCGCTCGTGTATAACGGGCCATAGATTTTCTAGTTGCCACAATAACAAGCAATAAAATTCTGAAAATATGGTTATTTTAAATATATAACTAGGCATGTTATGATTGTGTACATTATAATATTATCGTTATCTGACGTTATCTAACGTACTGCACGCAGTAGAAAATTGTTATTGACCCACCCGAATTGACGCCAACGAAATGTAACCAAAATATCTTACACAAGTATAAAACCAAAATAGAAAACAGTTTTCATTTTTTAAGAACCGAAAAGAAACTGAAACCTAAATTTTTATTATTTTAAAAACTGGCACCGAAATTTTGGTTTTTTTGAAACCAAAACCGAAATTCTAATTTTTTAAAAACCGAAAAGAAACCGATACCGAAATTTCAGATTTTTCAAAACCGGCATCAAAGCGGAACCCCCTTTTTATTTTTACCTACACTCCATGCACCTTAAAAAAGTGCACGATTTTAGTTTTTTGAATAGGAAAACCACTTTTTGAACACAAATTCGAATAGAGAACATTTATTTTACGGTACACCATTCACATTCGTCAACATTTTAAATCAAATTTGAAATTATTTCATATTTCCCCTTTTGCTAACCTTCCTTATTGGCTATTATAACTGATTATATGCCTACTTTTATTATACAGAATGATTATAGCTATATGTAGGTATAATTCGTATAAAGACTACGAATTCTATAAATTTACTTTGTAAATTATTAAAGAGCTTTTTTGGGGGCGGGGGATGGTATTCATTAAAATGTATTGCAAATTTTGGTATTCTGACATACATTGAATTCATTTCTTAAAAATAAAATGAATGCAGTTCCTTAAACCAATGAAATCCAATGAATAAGTTCCTATATGAATGAATTATTTTCAAACACTGGGTATTATGTGAATATCGAAAGCAATTGTTATGCTTCGTTTATAATAATAATAATAATAAATAATAACAACTATCATATTAATACTATATAGTACTAACTATTACTATTATCAATAAAGATTACAAATTTATAAACTAGCGATTATAATAGGTATCTACCACCTATCGTGGTATCTACGAAAGTTCCATGTAAATTGTACTAAAAATAAAATTTCGTGAAATTTTTCATTCAGTCATTATATAATTATATATTGTCATATTATGTATGTTATCATTATATATTAATCGTTCAATGGTCATATTTATGATGCCGATATTTTTTAAATTGTACCCTAATTCCGTGTATCACATACTGTCAACACATGATGTGTGTTTTGCCACTTATGGTGTATGCGAAATAAGTGTACCATTTAAAAATATAACTAAAATTAAACATTTCGTTTTTTCACATTCTTACTTTTTATGTTACAAAGTCCGTGTTATTGAAAATGACGACGAGCAAAAATGCATAGGCCCCGATTATGTGTAAAAAAAAAAAAAAACAGGGACGAACGACGAGTAGAGTAAACCTCATCGGATAGAAAAATACAAGCGTAGTATGCAACTTCCTCCGATAGACGTTTAAAAAACCAAATTAAAAACAAATCTAATAATAAAAGCCATTATACGCATCATAAGATCTATTCTTGAGACTAGATAATTACATTCCGTAATGTTTAAGTCGCGTGTATGTCCCTGTAACCACGAAATAAATAAATATAACATCAAAAACTTACAACTTGAGAATATAATATTATAATTTAAATATTTAAAACACTACATCAAAATGTAAAAAGAGGACCAAAAAGGATATTACGTGGTTAGATACGATCGAGAGTTAATTTGAAGTCTACTGATGGGGTAGGAAAAAGGATGTGGAAGACCACGATGGATAGAGATTTATAGATCTGAGTCGCCGATTTGACCTTAAATAATTGGGAAAAGAGGCAACGAAGCATGAAAAACGCTATTCATAGACTTCTATATTTTAAGAGAAGCGAATGATGTATTGGTTTCATAATATACTTTTTTAGGTATCATGATACACATACATTTTTTCGTATAAAAATAATGAACCAAAAGTAATACTACAAAATATGATCGATCGCAAACAGTATACATGCACTACCTACAAACTTATTTACCTATACGTTGAAAAGGTTATTTTCGGTTTTTTTAGTAGGTAATCAATTTTGGAGGAAAATATCTCGCTATACTTTTTTTTTTTTTTTTTAAAACGCGTAAAAGGCGATGGCAAAAAAAAAGAGAGATATTATTTGTGGTTTATCAGAAAGTATGATTACTTACAATTTATTCATGAAAAAAAAAATATATATTTATTTTATTATTTTAAATTGGTTATGTTCAATAGAAATGCTCCTGCGGATCCTTCTAAACGGTTTGTAGCAGTTGAATTAAGAAAACGCAAGTAGGATTAATACAATCGTTTAATTTAATATTCAAAAGATTTTCCTGCGTTTAATAATAAAGGTACTCAGTAACTTAATATTACTAAGCTCATTTAATTATAGTGTTTCTCGGACCCCACATTATTTGGTTGTTATATAATAATGACGGTGGAAATCTCATTTCGTGTTCTTCCGCTAAATATGATTCAATGGTCCGATCTCTAACGTTAAATTTTAACCATAAAGATTTCAAACGTTGACAGTTCGGATTTAAATTTATTATTATTTCCACTGACAATAGATTTTAGTTAAACAACTTAACAACGTGCCATTTTTGTATGTATTTTACACGAACCATAGGTTGTTCTAAACTTTGAATAATATTGTTTAAACATTTAAAAACCAACAAAATAATTAAATCATTTTTGTAAAAAGTTCGGTACAATTTCGATACCTGATTATATAGCATGACTTTTGAAAAATTACAATAATAATTTTATTATACGTATGAAATACAATAAATTCATCATATCGTATTAACATCATATTTTTAGAACACGCCCGTCAAATCTGGGACAGAATTAATTTTAAGTCGTTTTTGGATACATAAACAAGTTTAATATTTTAAATTTTATGTTAAAATACTAATACAATTTATCATATAACCGTATGTTCAAAACAAAAATAATCATTATAATTTATATTAAATCAATATAAATTCAATTTAAAGTTAACAAATATTTCTAAATCCGATAATTTCACGTTTCAATTGAAACTTAATATCACAAAATACAATCAAACCACAGCTAGTTTAATACGCCGCACAATCACCAAATTAGCAGCAGTACGGTCTGGGTTGTGAGAACAAAAAAAAAAAAAAACTGCGGTGGGTATTATGTTATGCTCACACATAAGCCATAACATCCTCTAATATTGAACGAAAACCCACATCACACACGCAAATTACTTTTACTAACTGGAATTAAACTAATAAAATATCCTGAATAGAAATCATATGGTTTTCATGAACTACTACTTAGTACTAACTATAAGTTAAAAATACTTATTCCTTAGCCACATAATAGTACTATACATTCACTAAAATTATTATTATTAAATTGTGAGAAAATTGAACAACATATTCCTGTGGGAGGAGATTAAATACTCCCACGGTACCTTTGCCTTTCATATGAGGCGATGCATAAAGTTTCGTTAAGTTGACAGCCGGTGTAAACATTTTGTCAAATAGTTTGAGAAGTCCTAAACAAGGTTTGGGTGAATTTTCCCATTTCGGTTGTGTACGGGAACAAAAAAAAGAATATGTATAAGATATAGACTAAAATGCATCATTAAATAACAGGATCATATTTTTATAAATAAACCTAAAAACTACTGACATAGACCACTGACCGACACTGAAAAATAAATGACACAAAAAATTGACAGACAATATTAACCAACAACCAAAATATCAGATCAAATTATTATTTCGAAAAAAAATTGGTGGAGGTAAAATGTTGAAATTTTAATATGAATTTAATACAATTGTAAAAAAAAAAAAACCAATTCCGGACAAAGTATAAAATTTGGGCGTTTTCAACAACGTATAAACGCCCGTTATATATTAAGTAATATGAATTATTAATTTACTAGATTTATTTATACAGTAATTATATATTATGTATTTACTATGCTGGATATTATTAAACAATATCAAAATACTAACATGAAAAATTGACTTAATTACCAAAGCACCTACCCAATTATTTAATATTACGAGGAAAATTTATAACTAGCTATAGCAGTCTATAGTAAAATAATAAATTATCAGACTATATTATTGATTTTATTAAACCGGTAAATGTGTACATGCAATGGCGAAACTGAAATGTCACTGAAAATCGCTTTTGTGGATATAGCGTATAATTATAATTTATAATGAACCTACCAGCGTCGCTGCGAGTTGTTATTTTTTAAAATACTGACGATTGATGGCACCGGTTTTTGATAGGAGGACTATAATTTGTTGAAAAATATTCGTATTGATTTTCACAACTTTTGTGATTTTCATCTATTGTGCCACTCCTTTATTAAAAAAGGGGCGTTTGGTTGCCAAGCCTAGGTATGTGTATTAGAAATACTTATACAATAGTTTAGTTTTTCATAGATTATTGTTTATCAATTAACCTTTACTTAATTATTAACAGCATAATTATAGGTACTTAGTTAATAGTTCATTAGTTTAATTGTTATTTTATGTATTAGTTCCCATTGTTTAGTTTATTTTATCTAAGAATGGAATACGACATAAATACTAAATAGGTACTTTACTTACAAAATTCTACGAGTAGGAGTAATATTTACAGGAAGTAAATATTATAACCAACATATCGACAAACAATATGAAATAAACATACGAAAATAAAGAATACTGCTGGTATACGATTCGAAGTAGTCATACAAAACCGTGAGTATATGATTTTTAGATAAACCTATAGGTATATTTTGATATTATGATTCTGCACCGCCTGTCACCACCAGGCTGATGGACGCCTAGTAGTTTAACCCGGTAGCCAGATGATGTTTATTGGAAGGAAAAAAATGTATACGTCATGAACGATTTCATCAAAAAGCAATAACAAAAATATAATATACCTAAAAAAATCTATTATATTTGTTTAAATTCTGAGTGCAGCGATGTAGGCTTTTTTCCTTTTTTTTTTCCTTTGTGTTTGTGAACAACAAAAGAGTTTTTTTGTATCGTTTCGGGTCTAATTAATACATTTTAGGAAGTAATTGCTTAATTTTCTTTATAGTTTTCATAATCATTATGAAAAAACCGTATAGGGAACGGACAAATTTACGGTAATAAAAGTTTAAATAAATTCGGTTTTGTATTTTCTGTGTAATCCAGTGAAAAATAATTTTAGAGACCCAAAAATCGTATAAAATACAAACTCTGTATATTAGCCTTTTTAGATGAAGTTACATTTTCGAAATTCTAACGGTTTTTGAGTTATTTCTAGGTATTTTCAGTTTTTTTAATTTTTCTTTGGTTTTATGTGAACAGAATTGTTTTTTTGGTGAAACAGAAATACTTCAAACTTTATAATATAACACAAAGTTTATTATAAGTTTTACTTAACGGTAACAAAAAAAGTTAGGCGTAGTATTGTAGTTTTTTTATAAGCACTTTAAGTTCATATTTTAACAAAAATCGTAAAAATGATGGAATTTCAACATTATAATCATATTATAATAAAACCAACAAATGCCTCGCTCCACTCAGAATCTGAAATCAATCATAGTTATTATAAATCGATACACATATTTTATGTTTCTGGTAGTTTTTTAATTAATATATTATATTGTCTTCAATTGAAAATGACTAATTCGTGTTGATATAAAACACTGTCGTGTCTAGTATGCGTGGACGCATTGTACCGGGGGCTGAAGGGCTTATGAGGTTTATACGATGGGGCCCCTATAGTTTTTATTTAAAAAGCATTCGTATCTATCACGTACGTCCGAAAAATATTTATTTTAATTTAAACGTGAAAAATCGCTCACATGCTCCCCGACCCCCTTTTATGCACACCTGAAATAGTGAACCCCCACGATATTTTAAAAACTTGGCGCCTATGCTGTAATTTACCTGAAATTTAATCAACGGTAATTGATGATGTATATAAACATAATTGTACATATATTTCGCAGTGTACGCTTATCGCAGCAATGACAGATCGATTATATTCGTTTTTTTAGTTGAATAAACGTTGAAAACAAACTATAGGTTTAATTATACACAAATACACTATGAAAAACATGTATTGTTAATTTTCCCTTATATGTGTATTTAACATTATACACATACATAATACTATACGTATACAAATAGGTACCTATATAATTATATGGTTAAATATTATGCAAAACAATAATATGCAAAGTACCCGCGTATACCTGTGCGCGACTTTGATACTGCAGGGTCCCTAGGTGCTTATATATATATAGGCTATACCTACCTACTTGAAATTAGAATAATTATTTGCAAAGGACATTAACATAAATCCAAAAAATTATGAAAATACGGAATAATAAATATTATATTATAATAATACTGTAGTGTTCTACTTTCGAAGTAGGCTCGCGTTTTTTTGTTTTAATATTGTTGTTATTATTTTATTTCGCGCGCATGTGTTGAAATCATTGTAAAGTTTTTCGTAAAATGATTTTTATTCGAATAGTTGAATGTGATATTATCTGCGAAAACGACGATTGTCGGCCGCACGTGAAAAGAGCGTCGAAATAAAGTTTATAATACGGTATATAGGTACGTAGTAAACTTCTTATTGTTATATCCGTCGCCGTGAATGTTCGGCGCGCAAACTACTAAACTCGTGTTCGAATCCAACTTCAAAACTAATACAATTATTATACTTTTTGTACCTGTACAATATGGTATATATATATATATATTAATAATATACTCGTATAGATATGTTTTTTCTCGCCCGAGCCCATATAACAAAGTGCATTACCGAAGTCGACGAAATACATTTCGAAATTAAATAAAGAGTATATTATTAAAGTGGAAGCCGCGCCGCGGATAAGAAAAGCGGTCGTCTATAAAGCATTTTTCGATTAAATTGTCCATGGAAAGGTTTTCGGTTTATTTCGTCGACACGGTAAACAACCGAGGAATTCGCGTGTACCCCGCAGGTCGCGTTTTGAATAATTATTACATTCCGAAATGCGTTTTTACAAGCATTATAAGCTCGAAAACGGTGTAAAACCGTCTAATATAATATACCTGCAATAGTGGGTTTAAAAACCCTGCAAAATTATCAACCGCAGTTTGTATATTCGTCGCACGACGTTATATTGATTTGATCGATTATAGATAATAATTGAAAATTTGAAGAAAAAAAAAAACAAGCAAACAACACAAATATTACATTAAATTATAATATGCCGTTCGGAATAATAATAATACCACAAGACGGAAAGTAGACGCAATAATTATAATATTATAATCAGGGTTGCAAAAAAACTATAAAAAACCGTTTTTTAACGCGTCAATTTTCTTTAAAACGTGTGTTTTTTCTTTTGTTTTAAACATTATTTATTTGTAAATATCATAGTATACAATAATAATTAATATTATTATTATAACTTGCATCGCAATTATATGAAAAAAAAATGTAACATATATACCGACTTGTTTATCAAAAAAAAAAAATATATATATGTATGTATATTAAGTATATAACTTTGTATAACTATAAGTATAATATTATTATTATGTTGGAACTGTTTATTTTAATTTATATTTCGAGAACGAATAGAAACTGTGTTATGAAACAGTATGTTCGCTCTTCGTGGAACACAGAATAGTGTAACACTAGTTATTTTAATTTAATTTTTAAACGTTTTAAAACACTCACGGATAAAACGTTTGGAACATAGGTGCTATTTTTTAAAACGTTTTAAACGAGTGTTAACATTTAAAAAAAAAAAGCCGGGCAACTTTGCGCTTGGGTGGGCCACTTTTGTAGGTGAGGAAAATAGTAGAGGGGAAATTGAATTTATATCTGTAAACAACGATAAGCCATTGTTAACAACGTATAAAAAACGATTCTGAGCGGAGTTCAGTTGACAGTGTTGCTTTGTCAACAATATATATATGTCATATTATTGTAAAATAATTACATACGCATTATATATTTTCCTAATTTTTTCCCGGTTTTCCCGTGTTTTTCCCGTTTATTGGGAAAACTCCTGAAAAAAATGACCTCGGTAAAGTACCTTCCCGGTTAGATTTTGGAAAAGTGCTGTCATTGTGAATCAGAGCAAAATTGCCGGCAGAAAAGTTGTCCGCAGAAAAAATAAATAAAAACACCTTTGTAAATCCATGAGCTTCTTCGCGCCACTCGATATCTAAAATTGTTTAAAAAAAAACATTTCGCAACGCTGAATATTACTAATAATACTATAATATCGTAGATGAAAACTGCAAGCGAGTAATTATTTAATTCTATACTGACGGTTCGGCATAATGTTATTAGGTTAGGATAGTTATGTATACTGTGTACCCGTATAATAATATAATGGTCAGTCTATTAATATACGCTACACTGCGCCACACCGAAAGCGAGCTTGTCTACACGTTTTACTTCGGCTTTGGTGGTGTTCGCGTCATTCAAAGTGGCGGCAGTAAAATCCGGGAAAACGAAAAAGCAATAAAAACACTCAAATAGTATTCGACTTGAGTTATAATAAAAAAAAAAAAAAAAAAAAAAAAAAACGAAAAATAAAACTCAGGTAAGTATACTATTATGATAATTTAAAAATGTTAAACTACCCATTTTTACGTATATCGGGCGGAACTCTACAACACGCCAATTTGCTATATTCGTAAAAAAAAAAAAAAAAAACTAGCCGTGTATTTCTTCGCGATCGGAGGCCGAATTCCGAGGGGACGGTTTAAATCGATATAATATATACTGAATGGAAATAAAAAAAAAAGGCTTAACGAAAGGCGTTTTTTTTTTTTGTGAGCGTAACAAACGATAAAATATCGCCACGTTCGGTGAGTAATAGGTAACGACAAAACGACAATCGTGTACGTCACATGTTTATATACGTATATCGGAATATCGCGTTTTATATATTTATTTATTTATTTTTTTTTTATTACTATAATAAAATAACGGATAAGAAAACAGAAACGACCGTTAAAAATGCCCGTAATAAAGAATCGGAAAATCGTTGGAAAATAAAAAAAAAATCGCCTTACTCGACGACGGGAGACGACGGGCCGTTTTCGAAATTTAAATCGAAAATGTTTAACGGGGGTTTCCCTCCACAACCCCTCGCGAACGGTCAGCTAATTTCGTTTCGGTATTTCGGGATAACAGCTGGGCGAAAAATTCCGAAAAGGGTTTCATTACAATATAGATACTTGTAATATCTATGCTGATATAGACGTGGCTCGGCATCTAAAGCTAACGGATAGCCGCGAAATCGGAAACCGAAAACAGCTAGGGAACCGCGAAATCTATAGGATAATTTTCGACATTTTTCGAACAGTGTTAAATTAACACTCGATAAATTCCTGACGGAAAATTACCCGATGTTTTATTAAAATAAAACCGCATAATGTCGTTGTTATTACAGTATACTATATTACCGACGTCGGAAAAATGTTTCTACATCCCCCCCACCTTTCCCCCGAATGAAAACGCTTTCGGTTTATTCGTTTACGCGAAATTAAAGAGGGCAAAAGGAAAATGACGAGGTTAATTACTATTGTCACTTCTGGTCGGAGAGCGCAAGCGAGCGGCTAAACGCATACCGAAAATCACGGTTCGAGAGTAAAGTTGTTTTACCCGACAATTTATGGATGACAGATCCTGCGAAAGACTATTTTTAATCGTGATTTATGTGAGACCCTATTTTCTGCGAACGTACCGCTGAATAATTCATGCACACCGAATTCAAAGTTTATAGAGCGTTTATATTTATTTTATATGTACTTATAACGAAGCCGCAAAGCCGTCCCTTTTGAAATTTCGAATCAACATTGGCGAACGGATAAATATGAACGGGATCTAAATGGAACCGCAGTTGACAAAATATTACGGGCGTATGTTAAAGATAAATAATAATACGTTCCGGGCGTCGCGCTAAAACGTTATAAATGGAATACACATTTTCAACGAACATTGCCCGGATAACAATATTGGTTTTGTTTTTTTTGAACATTTTGTATGAAAAATAATTATACAATATTGTAATCACTTCGCGGTATCAGTATGTGTATTTTTACCATTTATACCGGGACCAAGTTGACCAAGCCGATTTAATCCGATCGGGGTAATCGGATTGAAACAGCTCAATATTACTGCGAATATTTCGAAAAAAAAATAAAATAAATCAATAATTATTAATGATGTGAAATACTTTTTCAACTGTCGCAGAAGCGAAGAAAAATCGATCAATCAATGTGTAAGACAATAAAAGGGTAACGAATTTAAATTGAAACTGACATGTGGTAAAAAAAAAAAAAAAAAAAAAAAAACGATAAAAGGAAGACGCGCATAATATATACATTATTTACATAACTTTTAACAATGTAGACGTTAATTTATATTTGAATTTGAAAACATCAACACATCATTAATTTTTCAATGTTATTTCCCTGTTACATAGCGCCGCGTAAAATATTTTTTTTTTTATTTTATACCAATAAAAGGAGACCGATTAACGACAATATTCACAGCTCTCTTTCCCCCTCCTCCTTCGTCTCATGCAAATGGAGTCAGCTATGTATTTTATTATTCTCGCTTACCCCTCTCCACATCTCCTTTGGCCATTATCATTTTTTCATCCACTCCACATACCCTCATTATATTATCTCTCCTGAAAACGTCTAGTCACTTTTTCTGTGGCCCACCTCCTTCCCGGCTTCCAATATATTTACATCCATCTCTATGTTTTAACGGCCAACACTCATACATGAACGATCGCTGTACGGCTCACAATAGTTTTATAACAATATACATTTTATTTTTAATGGCTGCCCTTTTTTCATCTCATAACACTCCTGTGTTGCTCCACTCCACTTCACCCAGCCACGCCTAATTGTACTAGCCAAATTGTCAACAATTAATTCTCCGTTCTCTCGCACCGCTGAATCGAAATATTTGGACTTTTTGATACAATTTGACCTCGTGCTGCAGAGGCCCACGGTGACTTCAATTCACACCGTAACGTCTTTACCATCGTGTTTTTGTTTTTTGTTAATTTATTACAGTGAAGCAGATATTCGTTTTAAATATTATTACCTGTATACAAAAAAAATGTATAAGTATTCATTTTTTTTGGATATTGTATATATATCTCGATTGTATAACAATTAAAAATAATTATTACTAAATACTATATGTTACAAAAAACACGTGACGCTATTATTTGAAAATTATTGTATTATACGCTATTATTGTAACTAAATGTTGCGTAGTATTTATTAATTCTCGTCAATAGACCAACTGAAAGCTTACAGTATAACGAAACCGTATTTTCGCGTACACGATTCACGATGTCACGAAGGATAGTTTAACAAAACTAGATTTTCGAAGCGAATATGAATAATTAATTATGACATTACTCGTTTCCCAGAACAAAAACTACAACGATACCTATGTTACATTTGAAAACTCGGAGAGCATGAGTGGCGAAGTCGAGCGGATACGAGTGTTAAAAGGTATTCACTCCTTAACGGTACCTAAGAGTTTAATGAAATTTGAATTTCGGGATGTCTCGTGTCGCACCGGTATACGATTTTTTTTTTTTCTTTTTTAACTTGATCGCCTATAAAATTAACAATTATGATTTACCTGCTGACAGTGCCGATGCCGGTGTCATGGCTGATTTACCATAAAGCTGCTGCTGCTGCTGTGACTGTTGCGACTGTTGCGAGTGCGACAACAATGGTTGGGACGACATCGGCCTGCCGGTGTTGTACGAGGACGTCGACGACGGCTGTTGTCGATAAAAAGACGGTTGCTGGAGTTGCCCAGTCGATTGTTGAGGATACCCACCGACGCCGGATGTTGCGGTCCGTTGCTGCTGCAGTTGCTGCTGTTGCTGCTGCGGATGATTTATGCCGTACTGTCTGGTGACGGTCGCGGACGTGATGCCCGCGGGTTTTCCGGCACCGAAGTTCTGTTGCTGATTGCCGTATTGCTGCTGCTGTTGTTGTTGGCGCGACGGCGGCAGTTGTCCGCGGACTGGGTTGTTTTGTGACGGCTGCATGGTCTGCGGATCGGCCCCGGTGACCATTTCGTCACCCGCGGCCATCAGGCTGTTTATCATCTTGCTGGCAAAGTTAAACATGGCCAGAAAAAAAACAAAAAAAATGGGAAAAAAAAACAAAAAAAACAAAAAAAAAAAAAAAAAAAAACAAAATTATAACAACAATAAAATAATAAAAACACTAATCCATTGGTACTGGTGAACGGTACATGGTAATAACAGTAATAACAATGCGATGTGGCGATAGCGGCCGGAAACAGGACGCGCACACCCCGACCGATCGCGCACGGACTGTGCGAACACACCGACACACGCTTGTACTCGGCGGGGGCGCGGCGCGAACAGAGTCGATCGCGAGTTCGGCAGCGGTCGGGCGCGTGCCCGTACGATCATCGCCGAGACCAACCCTCGGCGGAGGACGCTGGCGGCATCAAACGGCAGCGCACGCGATCTCCGCCGCCTGCCCGCGAAAGTCGCTTCCGTTGTCGCGTTTCGTGCGGCGTGCCGCGCGCGCGCCCGGCGGTCCGGCCGTCCCGCCGTAGAAATCGATATCTCCGCCGGCACCGCCGTCGCCAGCGCTGCATTACCACCCCGCGGCCAAGAAAACGGGTGGGGAGCGCGACGTCTACCGCGGTTCCCGGTAACATTAATGCGGCATCGGTGACGTTAATAGGATACGTACGACCGGCCGTCCGACCATTAAGAAGGTTATTGCCGCGACGGGAGGGGGGGGGGAACGATGACGGACGGCGAAATATCCGGAAACTATAACCGAGGAGGAATGCGAAAAACAAGCTATTAATATAACTGTTATATTGTAATCACGGCCCGGCCGACCGTACGGAATAATAGCTTTACCGTTCTGCGCAACTGTTAGCCCCGCGCGTTATTTCCGAACACCGAGATTTGATGGAAAACGGCGAACCCACGTGATTTCCCTATACCTATATATCATACGATGTATAGGTGACAGTGTTGGATGTAATTTTTCTATTCGGGTAATACTATCTTGCGAGAGGTGTAACTCTCCTAAGAGAAAAAAGAAAAAAAGAAAAACTTTTTTTTTTTTTTTTTTACGATGCAACCGAATGAATACGCAACAATACACGTCATAATGTCTATCGTACGGAATCCATATATTTTTTCCAATATTATAATGGTACTCCTCACGACTTACTTGACAAAATATTACAAAACTCAGGAGGTCTAGCTCCAATATATACGAGGCATAGTGTATTTTAGACTGATAACGATACGGGGGATAGAGGAGAGGGAAATGAAAAACATGGTTTGTGGTTCTAAAATATTTATAACGCCATTTTTTTTTTTTACTGATTTTCAGTAAACTATTAAGTTAGAAAGTCAACAGTGGGAAATCAACGTGTTAATCTATACACGCGTGTAAAAATTGTAATTTATATTTTCTATTGTGTCTATATCCAAAAGGGGGAAGGTGATATTAACCCCTAGTCATCTCCCGAAAAAGCCGAGAAATGTATATTTAGTATACTATATGATTTTTGTTGGGCCTGTAAAGAACTTTTTCACCAGAAATCTTGTCCTAATCAAAAACTTTATATTAGGCACTTTATTGTGAGATTTCGCATTTAGTTTGTGAATTAAGGAGGTAATTTTTAATTGGGTTCTTAATAATTGAGAATAACGGGAAAATGTACGCCTAAGAGTTTTCGTTATTTTCGATTTTGTGTTTTTACTATAATTCAGTTTAAATTATTGATATTAGCAGAGTCTAGATGTTCAAATAATTCTGGTGATTTTTGATTTGAAATGTTCAAGTTTTTATTTAGTTTTAAGTGGATAAAATTGTTTTAGCCAAGTTAAAATTCCCGATAATTTAATAAGATGTTCTTCATAACATTTACTTAAGGATCAAAAAAAATAAAGTTCAACTTAATGTATTATTTTTCATTTTTTTATGCGATCAAATTTCAAATTTTAAAAAATTCGTAAAAATCACGATATTTTAAAAATATGGCACCTATCTATTGAGAAAAAATTAATTTTATGAACGTTACAGTTTTGCCTAAACGAGGTTGATCACTGCAACTAGGTTTGTCCTGGCAAAAGCTGAAATATTACGTTTTATGACGTTTCGCACAAGTATCGTAGACACTTTGTGTTTTGCCCGGCTATTTTTGAGATTAGCCCGATTTCGGCTTCTGGCCGTAACATATTTTATAAATTATATTATATACCTAAACATAATTTTTTTTTTTTTGTATAATATTTATAGTTTATATAAAAATCATCTACCATTAACCTTTTTTTTTTTTTTTAATTGGCAAGAAAGAATTATAAAAAGAAAAAAATTATAACTGTTGCTTTTTTGGGATGGAAGAAACCCTCGCGATATTTTGTAGTGTATTACAATTTTTAAACCGGCTCCCCTTTGATTGAGCTCCAGATACACCACTATCCTCGCTATACGCTCCGAATCTAAAATTATATTAATTTGTAACTAAATAATAATTTACGATCGTTCGTGATTTTTGTACCAAACTTTTGAACATATTTATAAAGCCAAAAATGTATTTGATTGAAATACCATTTATGGTGGAAAAGTTGTTTACTACTGCAGTCACGCAAAAAAAAAAAAACACATAGTAAAATCAATACCATTGTTCGGTGCGTTCAAAATCGAATACAAATCATGATATTTAAATGCTTCTGTTTTAATTAATTAATTAATTCGTGTAGATAAAATTTAATGACTTCACTTTGTTTAAAATTATTTATGCGGCAAAATGATTTGAAATCGGTACTTATCGGTGTACCTACCGTGACGAAAACCTGTCGGTTGAGGCCACGGCTATCAATTATTTTCGATAAGACAGACAATCATTATCTTGGAAAGTAATTATTTTCTTCAGAATTTTTGGTTTGCGTAAATTACAAGGAGCTTTGAAATCGTATCTTATTTTTTTTCACCTTTATTTTTGATGGCGAAACCAATACGTATTTTTGATTTTCAAATAGAAACCTATTGTATTGACAATTCCATAAATATATGAATATTTAGTTTAAATACAGTTAATATTCATCAACTCGTTGACGAAATACTTACACATTTATGTTTTTAGTAAGAAGACAGTTGTAGTGGAGCACTCAATATGTTTATTGAATTTTTATTATAGGTTGCTATTTAAAAATCAAAAGTAACGAGTTGGCTCACCCCAAAAATAAGAGTGATAAAAAATAACGGTAATATAATATTTTAGAACTGCTCACGAGCGTGCCAGACGTGCCTGCGCACTACCCCGAAATTGTTCACAGGATTTTTACCAAAATACATAGAAAATATTTCAGTTGTGTTCACTATTTATTTTATCAGTTTTTATTTCAATATAATTTATGCCTACATAAAATAATATATTAAAATGATAGAATGCAATAAATTGAGAATACCCGACTAGGTACTCAAGTTATAAAATACAGATTATACATTGTAATTATAGATTTTGAGTGGAGCGAGGAATGAATTGGTTTTACAATGATGTTTATTTTAGCATAGTAATATTTAATTAATATTGAATTAGTAAATAATACAGTACTTAATTGTATTTTACTATCTTAGATGTATAAAAATTAACATAATTTTATTAACAATTTAATAAAAATTATAACGGTCATGCCATGGTTTTAAAATAAACAGATCCTAATATGATATTATTCTAATAATTATTAATATATTGAGTAAAAGGTATTGGACCAATTACAACAAAATGTTGTTAAAAGAATAAATTAGTCAAAAATAATGATAAATAATCGTAACTTCTGAATATTGTAGACAATTTTTTTTTAGTTTTCTCATAATAGTGTTTTTGTGTCCGGGCGTCGTCCAAATTGTAACCGATTTTGTAGGGATTTTCAATAAGAAAGGCTAAATAGATTTATTTTGGCATCGTTCACAATGGCGTCCATTGTTTATTATTTATAAAATTATAACATATTTGGTCTTCGAGGCCACAGGTAGCATATTAAGTGCAAATAAATGTACACTCTTACTTTTACAAAACTACGGCGCCCGAAGGTAATTGCCTCCTTTGCCCCTCCCCCCTTAACACGGCTCTGTGTGTAGGTGCTCTGTGTATAGGTATAAGTTAAATTTTTCACGAACACGCCCCGAACTTTAAGTCTGCGCACTTTATGGAGCTACTTGTTTCATAAATTATGCAAAACAAAAATACTGTGAAAAAAAAATTAATACTCTCTTATGATAACTGATGTCTTATCAATTATCGAGGATGGTTTACTTTGTGGTTGTTGTGTAATGATCGCGCCACCACAAAAAACATATGTGTACACGATAAGCGTTAACACAGATTGTTTTCGTCGACGCCTATCGAATGTCAAAGTAATGTAATATTATTATAATACCTTTTACTATATTATATTTGATTTTCGTCCGGTGGTACTATTTTTTTTTGTTTTTCAACCTACGTGCCATATTTGTATTTTATAGTAGGCACTAACAAACGACAGACAGTCTACGATAATTTTTAATTTTCAACTAACAGTGTAGTACATATTTTACTACATACCTACATACTATTTTATTCTGTCGTCGGCCATGTAAATATAATAGTTTTACTTTCTTTTTTTTTATGGGTAATTCAAAATTACTTAATTCATTTTCATTCTTTTACATTTCAGCCGTATTCGAGATTTTTAAAAATGGGTATTACCAAGAGACCAACCTCCTCCAACTCCGAGAAATTACCCCAGGTCGAATTTGTGGAACTGTAAGTTTTTAATTTAAATTAATTAATAGAGTTAATCAAATTGTTAATTTGGTTACTGAGTTTGATGCTTAAATTACATTTCATATTGTATATAGTACACATATTTATTTATTTTACATCATATTGATATTAAATATTCATAAATATTTTTCTTATATTATAACTAATTTATTTCTGATGAACAACTAAAACATTTATATTTTATTATCTAAATAAAAGTTGCTGCTAACATGATATTATGTTTTACATTTACAGATTGGATATCGTTCACAATGATGAATACAGTAGTGACAGTGATCATTACATCAATGACAGGGATGATTACAACGATGAACCTTTAGTCAGTAATCTTCAATTCGATAGTGGTCATCAAAACGACTATCACGTTCTTTCTGTCTTTGACGAGGACGAATTACGAGAAATTACTGAATACTTAGGTAGTTTTCCAAGATGGGACACTCCAATTAAATCGGCCACTAAGAAAAAATCGGTTAATGTTGGAATGGGACGTAGAAAAACGAACCGTGCACAAAATGGTACACCAATAAACTTATAATTTATAAGTTACTTATATTATTTATATCTATTTATTTGATAGAATATATCAGACATAGGTAATTAAAAATATTTTTGACAACTAAACTTATCTATCTTAACATTCTAATCTCCAACATTTTAACCCATTTATTGATTGTAATAATCAGGGCTTGAGACTTAGAACACTAAAATGTATAAAATATACACTATAATAAACATTTAAAAATTTTAAAATATGCGCGTAGTTTTAAAATTTACATAATATGCTACTGGAAAACTATTGAATTCTTCAATGTCTGTAGTATCTTATATCATATGAAAAATTTGTTCTAAAACATTTTTTAGTTTAAACTATATTATTGATCCAATTTTACTTTGTAGTATTTTAAATGATTTTTCTGTGTCATCAATTATTTTGATTGAGTCAGATAATAACACGTCCTGGACTTATAATGATTTTTAAAAATAATAAGAGAAAAAATAAAAAAGTGCTGTAGTAGATTTTATCATATCCTACTTATCATTAAAACTGCTTTAGTTTAAAATAGTAATACAAGAAAAAATATTCATTGTTGTGAGTGTCTTTTCAAACTTAGGTTTAGGTTTACTTATGACCGAAGTCAGAAATATTGTACTTAGTAATTTTTTATAAGTATATTTATTATTGAAAAATAATCAAACACTTTTATTTAATTTTATAAGTTGATGTGGGGTGAAGGTGCCTGCAGTTCATATATCAAGAATGAAAAGGCGTTTTCTGCAACCGGTATATATGGACCTCAGCCAGATATGCTAACTGAGTCCTTTCTGACAATAACATGTTGTGCCATTGGTCACAAAAGGATTTATATCTGTATGTACACATGCGGTCTACGATTATGCTGATGCATTTAATATACATTATATTTTATATCTGGTATGCATATGGCCCTCATGAGGTCTATTTGTTTAAAAGTACAAGTTCCCAGGACCGCCCTACTAGAAATGTATCCATATTTCCTACTAATAGAATAATATTTTATTTTTCAGTTTTTCTGAATTTATTAAAAATCTGGTTGATCTATTTCTAAAATGCTCAAAATTTTCATTCGCCCCTCTATGTCTGTTGTAGTCTTGTCAGTGTTAACCCAAATCATTTTGTTAGATATTTTCAATTTTATTTTAACTAGTTTCAATATATAAATCACCAATATATATTTATCTTAATGTAAGTTATATTTTAATTTCTTTTCTAGTATACATTTTCAAAAAATTACAAACATCATTATTTAAAATGGTATTTTATGGTATATCGGGAAATATTTGAGTATAACACAAATCTTTATTAACAGAAAACTTTAACTAGAATTTATAAGAAGCTTATGTTGTGTTCTTACAGGTTTTTCTTGTTGAAATTTAGTTACTTTTGTATGCTTTTTATTATATTTATTATATTATATGTTTTATTATATTTAATCTTTTTTCACAATTATCAGATTTCAAATTATTTATTTAAAAGCATTGATGAATCATATGAAAATGCATTCTCGTCAAATATATGCATATAGCTTCTTTTTACATGTCAAATTTAATGAGACTTTTGTTTAGGTTTGGTAAAAAAATTATATAAAATCAAAGAAACAATTAATAAATTGACAGCACTAATGATGTAGTATTTTTCCCTTCAAAAATTAAAAAATAAGAGATTCTATAAACACAATTTGGTATATTATATTTGAATTAAAACATAGAACTGATTTATATTTATCCTTAAACAACTAATAGACTTAGCTGTGAGGGGCAATGTGGCACATAATACAGTGGCTATCAGGAAGGTAGTGTATACTGCATAAATAAATGTTAAAAGTCTTGAGTCCTGGTAATAATGATATAGATAATTCAGATAAATACAAGCTGTAGTTTCATATACTAGAATGACAGAAAAACACTATTTTAATGCAACAATTATTATAATTATATTGTTTCTTATTTTTCAAATTAATTAGCTAATTATTCGTCTACCACATAAATGTAGAAAACAATTATTTATTTTCACTTTGAATAATACCATTTTTAATTGAAATTGTTACTTATTACAGTATATTATATTGTTGTTAGTCTATATTTAAATGAAAATTTACTACTATGTTGGTAAAAATAGGTTTTGCATAGAGTATATGATAAAATGTTCATAGGTATTTAATGTATTCTTTTAGAATGACAGCTTTCAAAATATTGAATATTTTATGAATTATCTTTTTAATAAATTTGTATTAACCACAATCAAAGTACAGTATTATAAAATATATTATAATTACCTATTTATTTTTAGAAAAATTTCTTTTGTCACTGGGTGATACAGAACAATATAATCCAAAAGATGAAATATTTTTCAATGAAAACAAATATGGCTTTACCAAAGTAATGAACATATTGTGTACCCAGCCTGAAGTATGTATTACTTTTACCTGCTTTTAACATGGCTAATTAAATAAATCTTTTGATTTTTTTTTTATTAACCTAATATAATATATCAACTATAATTTAAACAGGTTATGTCCTTATTTGAATTATATTTAATACAATGACTCATTAAAAATATTTTTACTTTTAGTTTTACATTTTTTTGAATTGGAATTGAAAGACAACTCAACTATTTAATCAAAACCAGTAAAACCCAAGCTTTATCTGAATGAATGTCAACCAATCATAAAGTTATGAAAAATTATACAAAAATATCAATAATTTCTCAAAAATTTAAAATCAATAGTATATAGTCAGTTTATATCTAAAACAAAATTTGAAGGCTATTTTTTGGATTTACAAATTAGATGTAAAATTAATAAACACAATACATTTAAGCCAAACCTTCCTAGGTTCTTCTGTATGTCAACAATCACATGTTTTAAATGTTCATATTCAAATAATAATGACAATGATTTAAAAAAGAAGTAACCGTTTAATTTTTACATTAATTGTGTATTATGCAGGTAAAGGAATCATTTATTGAAGGAAATGAGGACCTCCTGTTGAAGAAGAAGAATAAAAATAAAAATTTTGCTACAGGATCAAAACGCAACAAATTAAACCGAAATAGAAGTCCTGAAATAGCATTCAAAAATCTAACCTCCTCACAAAAATCACTCTTTAAACAAAAAAGTTTACCTTTTGTAAGTTGTTATTGTGTTTTTTTTTTTTTACAATTTATTTTGATTAATATGTTTTAACCTTTCTAGATCATTCTGGATATGTATACACAGAAATTTATTCTAATAGAAAATATATAATTTTGAATCACCTAATTTAAAAAATGTATACATCTTTATAATATTTAAATTATAAATAATAAAAACTACTCAGTTTTACAGTTTTATTTAATATATTAATAATATACATGAATTTTATTATTTTAGACCATCATAAATGAGTTAGAATCTAAAATTGTTGAGTATTTTTCATTAACTCCAAATGGAATTTACACATCAGCGCCATTATCAAATTACCATCGTATATTGTTACATGGTATTGTACGCTACTATTCATTGGACGCTAAAAGTAAAAATCTAATATCTACCTATGTAATTATTTTATGCATTAAAATGAAAATATTTGTTATATTTTACATACATTTTTATTATTTTATTTTTAGCAAATATGTTAATAAATAAGTGTATAAATAATAAATATATTTTTTGAATTATACTTATTAATTTCATTTTAAGATTAAAAATAATAATAATAATTAAATTTTTTAGGTATGAACAGTCGAGGTCGAGGTCATCGTTCTCAGAAAATTGTACAAGTCCGCAATAATCTTTATGAAGATTTCCAACCACCACATGTAAGCTTATTAAAATTTGTTACTCGTCCCATTTCTGCTTCCATTAATTAAACAAATCATAGCCTTTGATTTTGTAAAATACAAATTTCTTGATTACAATTTTTTTATTAATTATATTGTCCTATTTTCAATTATTTTAGGTTGAATTTCTTAAATTATATAATAACAATACTTATCTAATAATGCTTTTGTTTTTAATGTTAAATGTTTTTATAGTATAACTATTATTTAAGTTAAATATTAATACTTTATTTATTAAACAAATTTAATCTTACCTAGTATATGAAATAGTATTTATGACTTTTAATGTACATTATACATGTATAATATGTTCAACTTTAAAAAAAACTAATATCTAGTTTTATATAGTTTTGTTTAAAATATATTAAGCATCTTATAAAATGTACTATATTTTATATATTTAAGTATATTTAAATTGTATTCAAGCTATAGTTGTTTAACTATCATCATTAGTTTATAATTCAAGTTAGTTCACTAATTGTTAGTTAATGATTGTTTTAAATATTTATATTATGTTTAAAAAAATTACTATTACTTAATTCAAATTCAATTAAAAATTGCTTTTTATTTTGATTGCATGCTATTTTTTCTGTCTATTTACTATGCCAATTGGGTTTCTATAACAATATTATTGGCTATATATCAATAGATGTATAATTTATTAGTGTATTATACAAAAAATTATTATTTTTATTATTATTGCAATAAATCATTTTAACAAAATATAGTGTTAAAGCTCTAGTTAAAAGTCTTTAAAAGTTGATAGCTTCATAAATATTTATATTATTATTAATATTTTAATCCTGTAATGTTAATTCAAAAGTTAAAAATCTGAAAATCAATTTATTTGTATTTTCTACATTATAAAAAAAATGAGTTTTAAATTGTTTTTAAATTTAAGGTCAAATGCTATTTAATTGTTGATTACAATTATGTATGTATAAGTAATAAAGATATGAGAGGTTTAATTTAAAAATAAGCAATCTCCAATTGTTAGCTTCATACTATACAATTTCCAAACAAAATCTTGTTTTTTTAACCAAAAAAACTGGTAAATCATCTGTGCATAACTATATGAATAGCTAGGTGAAAATATCAGTTAATAATATTTAAGTAAGTAATATTTTGTTTTAAATAACCATTTGTATGTAAATAATAAGAAAGAAAATAGAATTCATAGTCTATTATAATAATTATTATATACATTATACATTGTTAAAATAATGATTTTCTGTTCATATTTTTATTTGTTTTATAAGTGACTTCTACTCAAGCAATAGTAGTAAGAAATAATTAAATTTACTTATTATAATACCTAGCTATGTAGATGTATTATCAAACAAAATTAATGTATGTTTAATATTTTAGGCGCTCAATTAATATATAAAATGGTATTTAGGAATTATGTTTGATGATGCCAAATCAGAAGTATATTTATAATATTGAAGTTATATAAACACATTACTAAACTTGAATGTATGCCCAAGGCCTACAAAATACTAGGAGTCAAAATATTGTATTTTATCTTATCTTATACAATTGTATCTATGTACTATATTATTGTTTGTCTACCACAATTTATAACACTATTTAGTTCACATGTTCAAGTACATAACACTATCTCCCATTTAATCAAAAATCATGTTTCATTGTCCAAAGATTCATAATCTCCTTGATGATATTTTATATTGTAATTATAACCTTGAATAAATCTTTAAAATTAAGAAAAAGTAGGTGATAGAATACAAATAATTATCATTTTAAATATCAAAACTTTGATAGTCTGCAAATATGTAAACAAATAATTGTATCCACATTAATCAATGAGCGAGTGGTCCATAGTTGGATTAAGGACTAAGGAGTCTATGATTCATTGATAATAAAAGTTCAAAATTAATGCAATATAATTACATAGAAAATGACAAAGAACTAATCCATTCTAATATTAAAGATTCCATACAATTATAATTTTTGGACCATTACATTTATCCCAAAAACTAATACATACAATAAATTAATATATACTATATGGCTAAATAAACAGAACAGAATGTTATAAAACAATTTAATTAAAAATACGTATGAAACAACAGGTTAAATAAAAACACAATTTATTTACTATATTGTATTATATATACCGATTATGATACATTTATTAATATAATATTATGTTAGGCTAAATATACACAAGAAAATAACATGTTTTGAATATAAAAATACAATATTTAATACCTTAACTAGGTATATTAGAAACCAGGTATATTTATGAGTTATTTTTTTAAAAAAAAGTACCTTTGATACATATAGTGTAACATCTACACCAAAAAAAAACAAAATTCTTAATATAAAAATAAAATTATGAATATTATAGGTTTATTGTATAATAAAATTAACTAATTGATATGAAATACTAAATAAAAAAATATGAAATGTTTATAAGTATGCTCAGTAATAATTCACTGTTACCTTATTGATTTATTCTATTGAAAACAATTATCAATCAAGCACTACCCAATCGAATAGGCTATTTAACAATAATAATATATAATTAATACATAATAAAGAATACAAGTACAAATAAAAATAATGTACAAAGTAAATTAAAACAGGAACAGAGATCAGTATTCAATATAGTTACATCTCACAAAAAATATTATACAGTCAGAATTAAAAATTAATTTAAGAGCCCTCAGTAAAATACTTGTATAAATAACATACAATTATTCATATAATAAATTAATTCAACACAAATTATAAAAGATTTTGAATAGAACACCAAATTATAAATTTAAATTAAACTCAATCACAATAAGCCTTGACAACAAATAATTGTATTAAATAAATTTGATTTCGTTATAATTTTAGAAATAGGTAAAAAAAAATAAATGATATTAGGTATAATATGCATTTTACATAATATTTACAGTAAATTTATTTGTAAGTTTTGTGATGAAACTATAGTTTCTTTTTGAACAATGGTTTTGATTTGGATTTAAATACTTTTTAGTGACATTCTTAGTCATGAAATATTGGTTTTAATTTGGCATATACTTGAATTATATATAATAATCATCTCGTTTAAAGTGAAATAAACAAATTATATAACATCATCATTGTGCAATATTGAAAATTTAGAACAAATTTAATTGTGTATTTCTTAAGAATCCGAAATGCAATTATATGAATCATAACAAAATATTTTGTAATATAGTTGATAATTAGTTTTAGTCAAGTTGTGTTAGGTACCCATGTACTTGTAAGTCAAAAATTCAGTTGTTTATTGGGTCCCAATTCCTTGGTATTGGAATGTACCGACTGTCAAGATTAACAAAATGTTCTCTTATTTTTTCCACGTCCTCATTGGTAATTGGATTATAATCCATAACTAATATGTTTAAATTCTTTAAACAAAATATGCCATTTATATTATTGATTTCGTTCATAAACAAATCCAGATGTTCTATAAGTGTGTTGTATTGTAAGTTTTCTATAGTTTCTATATTATTATAACACATGCGTAGTTTTTTAAGTTTAGGACATTCGTGTAAATTTTGTATAGTTTCTATTTTATTAACAGACAGGTCTAAGTAATTTAATTCAGGAAGCTTAAGGTTTTCGATTTTTGTTATTCGGTTACCGATTAGAATTAATTCCTTGAGATTGATTAATTTGTCTAAGCATTGTAATTTGGTTATTTTATTGTTTGATAAAATTAATTTTCTGAGATTTATCAAATTGTCAAGTCCTTTGATAGATCTTATACAATTATCGGACAAGTTGATCTCTGCGAGGTTGGTCAAATTGTCAAGGTTGTTTATTTCAGCTAGGTCTATGTTGTAAGTAAGATCTAATTTAACGAGTTTAGATAAATTGTCAAGGTTTTTAATCTCACTTAAAATATTGAATGATAAATCCAAATACTGTATATTTGGTGGTAATTTTTTGGGAATTGTGGTAAAATGGCTGCATGTTAATTCTAAGCGTTGCAAATTGGGAAGTTTGTTAAATTGGGGGAATTTTTCAAAATAGTTTGATTTCAGTTTGATGTACTTCACAGTTTTATTAAAATTTAAATTATGTGATTTAAGTCTAAAATTAGACATAACTATCCCGGAATAGTTAAAGTGTTTTTTATTATTTTTTAAATATTTTTCTTGGTATTGACTGTTTATTACTATTGTATCGTAATTAAATTTAATATTTTTAATATTCAGTGCAGCTATTAAGCTTATTATGTCTTTAAAGTCTAGATATTGTACTACGTGGTTGTAAACCACATTGATGGTTTGTTCAAATGTTCTTTCACTTTGCTGCATTGTGTACACTGTTGAGAAAAAAGAAACAAAAATTACTAACATATTTTTATAATCAATCAAAAATTACAGATTATTTTTGTACAAATAATGTAGAATAATTGAATGATTATTATTTTTTATTTAAATTTTTGACTGTTTTGGATCAAATTTTCTCCAAAATTAAAATTAAAATCAATCAAAATAATAATATATATTTTTCCCGGTACATTTGGATACTTTTGGAAACTCAGAACAAATAAGTTCAACTCAGCAGCAGTGGGGGTTATGCGCCTGTGTACGTGCACATGAAGGCAATACACGTCGCTACGCACTAACTACACAGAAAACTAAAATTTCTAAAAATGCCTTAATATAAATCAATTTTTAGAAAGAAACCTTGCTACGAAAATGTAGCTTCTTCTCTGAAAGTAAATTTTATCTTGTTGGTGCATTGGAGAGATTATCTTTTGATTTTCAAAATAATTAGGAAAAACCGAAAACAAAGTTATTGGTAAAACTGTAAATATTTACGGAATGGCGTCGCGTTACCGAATTCAATTTTTAATTTTCGTAAACTATGTTTTACACCAGAGTCCAGAATTATAACTACTACCAATCTTTTTTGCATTTTAGATGCTCAGAAGTCAGTTTTCGATATCACAAATAGTTTTCTTGCTAATTAGGAAAAATTGGAAAAAGACGAAAAATGAAAATTGATAAATTTACGGTGCTATGATTCCTTTATTTCACATTTTTACAGCTCATGTTTACTAAAAGTATTATTGCTCCAATAGAAAAACAATAAGATATCTTTTATGCTGAAATTTTAATCTTGATGGTACGTATGAAAATCATTTTTTGATTTTACCTGTATTTTTTTTAATAATTGAGAAAAACCGAAAGAAAGAAACGTAGAAAAAACGGGAGAATTTACTAAAATAGCGATATTATTATTTTTATTTGGTAGGTACTTTGTAGATTAAATCGTTAGACTAAAACAGAAATGCCTGATAATTCGACAGGAGGTTTGTTATAAGTCGTACTTAGTGCTACAAAAAAAATTCTATGTATTATTATTATTTTTTTTTATTAGTGTTTTAAAATAACTTTTTAACGAAAATCGTAAATATTATACAAAGCATATCTAACCGTACTCCGTTCAGAATCGTTTTTTGTTAGCGACGGTTAATCGATAATTACGGATATACATTAAATTTCATCTATAAATTCCTAACTTTTAACTTACAACAATGATACACTCGGCCACTCATCGTGCGAAGTATGTCCATCTCCATTTATATTTATATTTATATTTTTTCGTTTAAATAAAAATGGTCTGTTTCATGTTATGGATATTATCACAAAAATAGAAATCATGATTTAAACATACTTTGAATTTTAATTAAAGTGGATTAGGATAACGAATGCCACGGAATTGTAAGAGTTCTGTTCTATCGATAATTTTCACTGAAGCATAATATACGTCTTCTACACTTGTGTACGGCTATTGCTGGAGCATCTCTTCTCTTTAATTGAACCACATACAGTGGTGGGATCCAGAGTTAAATTTTTGGGCAGACGGCTCCGAAAAAAAAATTACAATTAAGCGAAAAAAACAGTGTTGATACTTGGAATGGGTGTAGCCTATGTGCCGAAGTCTTAAAAATGTAGTTCGGCAATATTTATTTTATCACTTTAGAGGCACCAATAACTAAAATCACTCAATTTCATGTCAAGTTATGGTTAACGTAGGTTTGTATAGTATTCATTCTGTTTGATAATCAAATTACCTTTCAAAAAAAGGGACCCTATGCTTAATTTTTTAAAATAAAGGTTACTTAGTTTATATCTGCCAGCACCGATAAACCATCGAAAAATTATTTTTTAATTGGAGTAAGATTTCTTGTAAAAAATTTGTTACTCCGCTTTTTTTTCCTTGAAAATCTTGTGTTATATTATATGCGTTACACAATTAATTATTTGTGTGAAGTAAAAATGTTTGTAGTCTATTACAGTATTTTCTGGATTCGTCATCACTGACCACGTCATGTAATGTAGTAATTTCTAAAACACACAATTAAGGTTGATTGTGGGTAATAATATTCGGCTCGTGATTTCTAGGTTTATCAGTTATCAAATACTATCTACTATACTATTATTGAAATTATTTACTACGTACTAGGTACTGTCATAACGCGCGATGCGCAAACAACTAACCATTAGATTATATTCTTTCGGCACTGACGTGTCGGCCAAAGGAACCTCAAATACTTGAGGACCCGAATATTTTGTACAATCGAAACAATTTAATAAGGAACAAATAAAATATAAATCTAGGACATCGGTCAGCTTTTTCATGACAACACCGCCATCACAGTCCAACACAAAATACCTTTAGAAATTTCAATAAACTATTTTAAAAAATTTTATTTTATTTTTAACGGACAATCTACAAAAAACACCNTTAAACTATAATTTAGATAGGTAGATGGAAATAGATTTGGCGGAAACGAAAATCAAACCCATTTCTACGAAAACTACGACCACCCGCTTTCGCATCGGTGGCGTCGGCGGCGTGTTCAAGAGAAACAAAGGTTTTTTTACCCTCATTTTTTAATTTAATTTATCAATAGTCGGTATTGGCGTATGATAAACAAATAATACAATACAATTTCGATTCTGTATTACATGAAATTTCGAGAAACGGGAAAAGGGGATCATAAATCGTTTCGACAATGTATTCGAACAGTGGTGTACGGCGCCGTGGTGGCGGTGTTGTTTTTTTTTTCTAGTTTGTAAAGGGGCGAATCAAAGGAAAAAGGTAGGTATTGTCTAACTATTATAGTAAACGTTTATCGTGTCCCTTTGTACGGATATTCCATAGAACGACAACCGGCACGCCGCCGGTATGATATTGTTTATTATTTAATCCGAAGTTGCAATGATACAATGAATCTATTATACAGTAAAGAAATATCAAAACCTTTTTGGCCGGCCAGTAAAATCTTTGATAACATGAAAAGGCATGCGATAAATGATTCGGTTTTTTCTTCGTCTATGTATTGAATATTTATATGATTTGCGCAACAGCAATGATACATTTTTTTCCCTTTTTGAAATGTGTACCGGAACCGCATTGTAAGTAAATATATATATTTTTTTTTAGTTAATTTATTCAATTTTTTTTCATTATCTTCGATTTTTATTTATTAAAATTCGATTAAAAATAGAGGCCGAAAAAGAGTTTGGGTATCGCTACTGTGACTACAAAACGATCGAGTATAAAAAATTTGTTTACGGCACAATTGATCAAATTTGTCGGCGTATCAAACGTTATAGAAATACAAAAGAAAACCTACACAATTGAGCATAAAAGACTGTGCAATATTGCTATTTTAAATTTTAAACTACGATAAACAAAACAAATAACATGGTTTCATATTCAATAGTAGTCCGATTTCATAGATATTTTTGATAATTAAAATAATAGAATATCCATACTTGTCGGTTACTAGGCCTATATCGTGAAGTTAATAATAAAATAATTGATAATAACAATGAATTAATTTGATATACCTTGATATAGGCTTTCAAGAATATCGTTCGTACACTTTTATATTAATTTCCTAATGTACCTCACAAGCGGAATTCTCCACTAGAAATATCGTTATCATTAAAAGTTGGAGCAAAATTGCTAGTAAAAATGTTGTCCACGGAAAAATAAATTGTAATTTATATTTATATTTATATTATATTTTCCCATTTTTTTTTTCGGTTTTCCGCATTTGATGAGAAAATAAAAAAATGTCCTTCTTAAAGTACCTCTCCACGAAGATTTCCATTCGGAAAAGTGCTACACGTAGAAATCGGAGCAAGTTTTCTAAAAGAAAAGTTGCGCTCGGTTGAAAAAAAAAATTAAACATCATTACAAGACCATAATCTTCTTCACTCCACTCAGAATCTAAAATAAAACCTGAAACTTTTTTAACGCACTTTACGTGACACGATACACGTGACTTTGGGTGATCGAACACTACATAAAATGAATTATTTCTTTAATAATTTTGGAATAAATACTTATCTTCTATAACCCTCCATAACGGCCGGTATCTATATCATGGATGAAACAAATGTTTACTGTTATCGATAACACATTTGTCAATAAAACTGAAGTCGGCCCTAATACGTGAAAATATAAAAATTTCGGCAATTTGAATGTGGAAATGTCGCATAAAATATACAAATAAAGTTATTATGTAAACAATGATAAACGAATGCTAATTGATTTTTTTAATGCGGATAGATATAAATTTAAAAAGTTTAAGTATCTTAACTTCCTTACTTCTAACCTATAAAAATGTCTGGACTCATCTATCCTCATCATACTGATTCATCATTAGTATCAGATTTTTTTTTTTTCGTGAACAACTTGTCAACCGGAAAACTTTCTCTGATCATCCTAGTAGCAAATGTTTACTATAGTCGGTGCGTAGAAAAAGACGTTTTTAATTTCTTTTCTATTTTTATCAATAATTAGAAAAACGTCGGTAAACGGAGAATGTATTTTAAAAAAAATAACCGCCAATAAAGATTCCTGTAATTTTCGATTTTGCATTTTTGTTACAATTATAAGTAATCATCTACATACCCAAAAAATATCAAAACCGGTGGACACAAAATACAAAGCCAAGAAATTATTTAAATCCCGCTAATTTGTATTGGTGCGGCGGGGTGTTCAAAAGAAACCCCTCCGAAAGTTTTTTTTTTCACTCACGTTTGTAATTTAATTTACCAATGGCCGGTATAATTATATAGTAAAAAAATTATACAATATAATTTCGAATAAATATGATATGAGATTTCGAGAAACAGGAAACGGGGATTGTAAATCGTTTCGACAATGTATTCGAACAGAGGTGTACGGCGCCGTGGTGGCGGGGGTCGCTGTAAATTGCGTCCCATTTGTAATTTTGTATGTAAATTGCGGCCTGGGCATATTTTGTACATACGTAAATTGCGGCCCGAGTGTATTTTGTACATACGTAAATTGCGGCCCGAGTGTATTTTGTACATATGTAAATTGCGGCCCGAGTGCCNACTTTCAAAGTTTTATTATTTTCGCTTTTCATAACGTCCATTTTTATTAAATTTAATTTAACTGTATTAAACTGTAGAGCAACGTAATACCTTCGACTTTCACGATTCGATCTACTATCTGCTAGTAATATTATATTAGTGAACATATTATTATCAATCAGAGATTAATACTTATCTCCAAATTGTACAACCGAACGGAAATCGGAATTTAATTTATTTTAAATCGGAGTTTACGTACATTCCAAATATACCCGGGACGCAATTTACGTACATTTCAAATATACCCGGGACGCAATTTACGTATGTTTTAAAAGTACATGGGCCGCAATTTACATAGTATATGACTATGACCTTTTTTTGGGGACGCAATTTACCGACTCCGGGTGGCGGTGTTGTTTTTTTTTCTAGTTTGTAAAGGGGCGAATCAAAGGAAAAAGGTAGGTATTATCTAATTATTATAGTAAACTTTTATCGTGTCCCTTTGTATGGATATTTCATAGAACGACAACCGGCACGCCGCCGGTATGATATTGTTTATTATTTAATCCGAAGTTGCAATGATACAATGACTCTATTATACAGTAAAGAAATGTCAAAACCTTTTTGGCCGGCTAGTAAAATCTTTGATAACATGAAAAGGCATGCGATAAACGATTCGGTTTTTTTTTTCTATTTACAATGTACATAATAATATATAATGTGTATAGATCAGGGGTGGCTAAACCGCGGCCCGCATGCGGCTCGCGTTATAGACTTTTGCGGCTCGCATCTTATCGTAACATTTTTACAAAAAATTTGAAAATATGAATTTATGTATTTGAAAAAATATAATATTTTATTAAATTACAGTGTATAGAAAAAAATGTGTAAAAATAAAGTGTTCCTGATATCATTTTTCTTTATAGACTATTTTCTTATTTGTTGCGTGTTTATTTTGCTTGTAAGCTTTTTAAAATCAGGACTATATGTTGTTAACGCAGTTTTAAGTTACTAACCTTAAATTGTGATAGTTGGGATTGACAGATAAGACAAAATGGTTTATTGTTTCGTTCTATGAAAAATAACTCTTCTTCCCATTGTAATTTGAATTCTCTGTGTTCTTCATACTTGCGTTTCTTAGACACAATAATTGTTTTATTAATGTTGTGTTGTTACACGCACAACGTCAAAAAGCACTATGAGGACATAATATCCATTATCCATGTGTGTCTATGTCTATATGATATTTTTAAAAATTTAATTTGAGATTATTGTACAATTATTTTTATCGTATTCTTCACATTTTATTAAATACGATACCTTATCTTATTTACAATATCACATATATATACAAATTATATAATAATATGACCTTTTTTTTTTACATTTTGGCTCTTCCATATTTATTAATATATTTGGTGGCTCGCGAGTCTCTTCTCGCTGGCCACCTCTGGTATAGATTATTAATATGATTTGTGCAACAGCGATGAATTGCCGGCGATAAACTTTCTTTACTTTTTGAAATGTGTATGGGAATCGCACGGAAAATAAATATAATTTTGTAGTTGAATCATTCAATTTAGTTTCATTATTTTCGGTTTTGTATTTGTTGAAATTCGATTAAAAATAGAAGTAAAAAAGAGCTTGGGTGTTGCCACTGTTTTAGGTTGAATTCTGGAAGGTAGTGTACCGAAGCTAGGTAGCGTAAAGAAAGTTATTTTGTAAGCACCGATAAACCATATTGCTAATGAAAAAATTTATCTTTATTTTATCTTATATATAGTTTCATAAATGTGGTCCAATTAATTAACTATTTTAAGTACTGTGACATAAATTTCCAGTAATGATAATTATGGTTATTGACAATTACATTATATTGAAACAGTGTGTACCAGTCATAATAAGGGCTCGGATTTCTATGCTCTAAAACCCATAAAAATATGCACTGTAAACTAAGCATTATTCTCTTATTTTGTAGAATTATACCCTTTAAAATAAAACACATGCACAAAGAAAATCGATTTTCAGAAGAATAAAAACGGTTTTTAATTTTAATTATTTTTATTTTTATTTTTAAGCAGGTACAAATGATTGATTTGTAACGGTATTTTCGATATTTTTCAATCTGAAAAGCAATATAATTCGTATATTTTTTGTTATGTAAAATTTATACTATGATTAAATGATAGTCCTTATCATTAGATTTTTAGTAACCGAAAATAGTAAACGTATTTTTTAATTGTTTGCTATTTCCGACAACCTGGTTGCCGAAAAGTACATTCGGCTATCAAACATTTACAGTACACTATGTCGTGAAAACAGTTAGTTCACTTAACTAGTAACCAGGTTGCCTAAAACTGCATCGCCAAAACACGCCTAATTGTGGTCTTATTATTGTTTTGTGTAGTCTTACTTATGTATCTCTTGAGAGGGTTTCAGATCTAAAGAGTTTTGCCAGTGCGCAAAATGCTTTTTCTGCTTTACTTATCTGAATACCTATTTCCTTGACCCAGTCATTTTTTAGAGTCACACCTAAGTACTTAAAGTCTTCTAATCTAACCTAACCTACCAATTAAATATGACAAACTAAATGAGGGACATACTTCATACGTGGGTGCAGTCACTGTTTTAGGAAGGAAGCTGGAAAGGTAAGATACAGAAAGGAGTTTCTTGTATATCTATAAGCAACGATAAACCATTGCTAATAAAAAAACGATTCTGTGCGGAATTCAGTTGAGAACTATGCTTTGTCAATAATATATGTGTCACATAATGGTATAATAATTAAATATTCACTTTATATTTTCTTTAATTATATTTGTTTAATATTGTACAAATTGTCTCGGTTTTCACATTTGTTGGGAAAACTTTTGGAAAATCTAAAAATCACGGAAATTAAAAATACCGCTATTTAGCCAGTTGCGTGTCTTCGTCGATAATAAAGGCTAGTAAAAAATTATACGTCATATAAAATAATCCTAATTTTTTATATGATATGTTTTTTAAACTATTCTCATGGTGATTAGACAACATAACTTTTGAAAATAATATATGAAAAATACCACTAAATAAATAATAATAAGTAGTACAATTTGTCTGGACTACATATACACTATACTCGACTACGACCACGAGTGTTCTGTGCAGTATTCATTTCGTCTGTTGGTCGGTGCGACATTAATAAACAAGTAGCCTCGTTTTTGGGAAAAACGATATATAAATGATTTCTGCGGCCAAATCCGGGAGGCGAGATAGTAATCAATCAGGTGATGGCGTGGTGAAGAAACCCGAGGAATCAGCTCAAGAAAAGCTAGAGAAGTGTGCACAATGGTCGAAAAAGATGGGCATGGCAATGCCCTCGGTGCCGGGTAAAGTTGTGCTGGACCAGTCCACGATTGAGAGGCTTAGACACAAAGGTGTAGTAAAGACTGCAGATGAAAAGCTCGCGGCCACTGCGCTCTACGCGGCCAACGAGGAACGGTTAAAAAACGAGAGTGAGGCAAGAAAGTTAGAACTGAAACAACAGAACATGTACAGGACGAAAGGGCCGAAACTAGCTCAGGTTAGCTTATAGACAGCAAAATTTACTTGAAATACACTTATACAAATGCTAAAATTCACAGCCCTAGTGATGACTAAATTTTTCTGAGTAATTTTGAGAAATCTTGTTTTAATTAAAAACTTTGTAGAAACTTTCTTGTGCAATTTTTGAGATAGTTAAATTTACGAAACGAAATGAGTTTTGTTGATTTTGATTGAAATTCTACTATTACGACGGAGCTCTATAAGAGCTAAGGGTAAAAATTTAAAGATAGTGTTTAAATAAATATTTAATGTCACAATGATTGAAAAAAAATTAGCAACCGAAGCAATTGAATTCACTTAAATCCACCTGAAAATGAATCACTCTATATACTTACATCACGTACCTATATGTTTTAAACGAAGATATTTGAAAATTTAAAAACTATAATAAACTTGTTTGGTTTTGATAGTTGTTGTTTAAGTCCGTTACATTGTATAACATTTAAAAATATGGGTTTGTATTTTTTTTTATTAGTTGGACGGCGATGCACACAAGACCAGTCATCTATTGGCTAAAGCGTTTGAGATGAGGCAAAATCGAGAACCTGAGATACAATACTGTAATTCGTTGATATTGAGTACCAAATGCCACGCTATCAGATGTGCACAGCTTGAAGAAAAGGAACGCAATCAGTGAGTTTTTTATTTTTATTTTATTTTACAATTTAATTGCCTTTATTTCTCTAATTTACGATTTTCGTCAAAATTTGAAGTTAACACGCTTAGAAAAAGAAAAGAAAAAAAAAACGACTGACCATCTAGCATAATTTATTAAGTACCTCTCGCTACCATATTCATTTTTCAAGCATATCTGTTCGACCAAACAATTTTATCAATATAAAACCAAATAAAAACTAACTAGAAAATGTAAAATACCTATAAATAGCTCTAAATTCGAAAAACTGTTTTAAAATTTTTTTGACGTCTAGAGAGGAGTATGTTATAACCAAATTTTAAGTCTCTACAGTTATTTTTAATCGAAGTATAACAAAAAAACAAAATTAAAAATAATAAAAAAAAACATTTAATGCCGTAAACTTTTTTCATTTTTCATAAACTTTTTTTCCATTTATTAGGAAAACTACTTGGAAAACTAAAAAAATACATCCTCAATGCAATAACTAGGTATACGAGGTGTGGCTATTAAATAACGAGACTGATCGCCTAGAGGGCGCCCTAGATGGGTAGTAAAAAGAACGAGTAATGCGTTGCGTATCTAGATATCTTATCTATGCACGTACAAAAACACGTTTTCGTCACTATTATAATAATTGTGCAGTAGTGGTTTGAAACGAACGTGTTTTTTTCTCGTGCCGACAACCATGTGTGACGAAAAACAGGAGCAACTTATCAATCTCAAATTTCTCGTTAAATTGAAAAAAAACTCCAACCGAGTGCTATAAATTTTCGCAAGAGGCCTATGGAGGCAATTTTCTATCTCGTATACGTGTTTTTGAGTGATTCAGCGAGGGCCGAGAGAGCACTGAAGATGATCAGCGCCCAGGGCGCCCTGTCACTGTTTCAACTCCGGAAACAGTGACCAAAATCAACCAAATTGTGCTTGCAGATCGTCGAATGAGCATTCGGATGATTGCCGAGGCTATAAACGCCGATAAAGAAACGGTTAGAAAAATTTTACATAAGGAATTACATATGACAAAAGTCAGTGCGAAGTTGGTGCTAAAAAACCTGACTCCTGACCAAAAGTTCTTGCGTCAACAGGTCTGCTCAGATTTCCTTGAAAAGTTAAAAGAAGATCCCGGACTGATGAAAAACATTATAACTTGCCACAAAACATGGATTTTTCAATACGATTTTGAAACAAAGCGACAATCGATGCATTGGAAGACACCTGAATCGCCCAGAATCAAAAAAGCAAGGATGTCCAAATAAAAATTTAAGGCAATGTTGATCGTTTTTTTTGACATTAACGGTATCGTGATGACTAAATGGGTTCCAGAGGGTCAGACTGTCAACCAGATTTACTATTAATCAGTTTTGACAACACTGCGAGAAAAAGTTCGTAAGAAACGGCCCGAGTTGTGGAGGAACAACTCGTGGATTTTGCACCAGCACAACGCATCTGCCCATAACGCGCTATCCGTGAAACAGTATTTGGCCGGTAAGCGCACTCCAGTGCTCGAACACGCGCCGTATTCGCCGGATTTGGCACCTTGCGACTTTTTTTTGTTTCCAAAGATAAAATCTGTTTTGAAAGGGACCCGATTTGAGTCGATGGAAGCAGTAAAGCAAAAAACGGCAGAGCTCCTAAAGGCCCTCACCAAAGAAGACTTCCACCTCTGCTATAATCAATGGAAAAAACGTATGGAAAGGTGTGTGGCGAGGGGAGGGGAGTATATTGAAGGGGAGCATTTGAATGTAGAATAATTTTTATAATAAAACACTTTTTCGTAACCAGTCTCGTTATTTAATAGCCACACTTCGTACTCTATTAAACCAAAGAGTACACCCATTCACACGCATACGCAACCAAGCTCTGAAATTTGCCGGACTCCTTAATTAATTGATCGGAAACAATCGTTACGGATCGTACGCCGTCGTCATACAATCCTGTACGCCAGGGTGGTCCAACCTTTTGTGGTTATCGGGCCAATTTACACTTTCATAAAAACACTGGGGGCCACAAAAAAAAAAAAAATTCAGTGATATTATTATTTATATTTTATTAGGTTTATTGCCATGTTCAATACATAAATATATTCGTTCCCATTTCGAATTAAATACTTTTTTTTTTTTTCAGACACGGTAAAAACTAAAACATAATAGGTCATATTATATACGGTTAAAATCATATACTGATTACATTTAGTTTAGAGAAATAGAAAATGCTCGCGATTGTAAATGGTATTCAGGCCGTCAATCGCGTCTTATCGCGATATGACCTACTCCTCCATATTCCTACGTTTTAAAGTATAAACCATAAATATAAAACTATAAAACGTAAAATTTATACGATTATATTAAGATTTTATTATAAAATATTATTGTCACTTTAATGTTTAATTAATAAAAAAAAAAAAATTAATTTGATTGTGGAGGATGGCCAAAATAAAAGGCTTCGAGGGCCGCGAGTCGAACCGTCTTGCTGTACGCCGTACACCGTGTATACAGCGAGTCATAATATCATCAAAATACCTACCGCCAAATAAATCATCGTAATACACATGCATAATATACTGTTTCAATCAAACTAATGGAAACATGTAATTTACGTAAATTGTAACGTCCGTTCAAATTAAAACGGAGCATTTGTGCGAGAAAATACGTGTAGGTACGCGTTAAGGCTGTTAAATCAAAATTGTAGCGAAATTTTGTTCTCTACAAATGTCGTATACCATGTGTATCGGCGGCAGCTAGATCGATAGGCGGGTGAGTGGACGAAGCGGTGTCAATAACGAGGAGTGGGAACGCAATGCGTGAAAACGGACATGGTGTACTCATCGGTTGAATAGAATAAAGATCCGAAATGCTTCAAAAGAGCTATCTTGTCGCTTTTTCATTAAAGCAAGATTTCTTGTAGAAAAATGATTTACAGACAAAAAAAATAAATAAAAAAATAAATCGCATATCTCACAGTAAAACTATAGTATACCCCTTGCTACGCTAAAAATTAAATATATATATATAATATATAAGTATTTTCTAAATCCTCTTCAAATTCAATCATTTTTGTATAATCTACGTCATAAATTAATAAGTCGTTACAAGTAGTTAAACATGTTTATATGATCTTATAGAAAACGTATGAAAGAAGAAAAACGTCGAATGGTGGAAATGGTGGAACAACAGCGTATATTAGCGTCTAAAAAATACGATCAAGACATGGAAATTGAGCGGCTTAAGAAAAAGAAGCAAGCAGACGAGATTGTAAACCAAATGAAAGAAAACGAGAATACAAGAGAATTCGAGGCCGCTAGAGATGCACAAGTACGTACTAATACTGATAATATATAATTTATTTGAATTTTTGTTGAAAAAAAACATCATCATTTAGGATGCAAAAATTCGTATGGAAGCTGCAATGGAAGCTCAGCGTGCTGTAATCAGAGATCACCATGCAAAATTGTTAAAACAAGCAGAAATGAGACAAGAAGCTTTACAAATTAATACCCAATTAAAAGATATGAAAAAAATGGAAAAAGACCTAATAAATTTGGAAATAAAACAAGTACACGGGAGTAAAATTATGTTAAATTTAGAGTCATAAAAATATTACAACAAAATGCTGTAATATTCAATAACTGTCCAGTTTGAGAATATAAAACTAAAATTATTGAATTTTTATTTTGTCGGTCGTGTCGTTTTCTTTAGATACAAGAATATAACCGGAAGAAGGCCGAACGAGAAAAGGCATATGAAGATTTGATGTTGAAACAAAAGAGGGAGAAAGAAATAGAAATCGCTAAGATCCAAGCGAGCCAATTGGCATCGCAGGACCTGCAAGCCGCAAAAGACGAGCTCAATATGCTTCGAATCCAAGACCAAGTAATTTTTTTGATATTTCCATATACTCGATGGGATTTATAATCTCTTACGGTGGGGCGAATATAGGTAGAAAAAGAATGGCGCCGAAAGGAACGCGAAACGGCATTAAAAAAAATACAAATAAACGACGATTTAAGAGAAGCTCGACGTCTACAGATCGAAGGGCAGAGAGAATACCAAGCGTTTGAAATACAAAGGGAAAACGAAGAATTTAATCGGATTATCAGACTCAACGTGGAGGATATGGAAAAAACAAAGGAACAGGATAGGCAGACTAAATTAGTATGCAATGTTGTCATAATAATAATAAAATATATATTTGCAACAATAATATGTAATACATTTTAAGTTATGCGTGTGCTAGGAGCTTGTGCCGGGGGATTCATTCTTATCAATTTTCAAAATACATAAGAAATCAATTAAACAAAATTGTCAATCATATAATTATACAATAATATCGAGAGAAAAATTTAACTCTAAATTACAACAATCAAGATTTGTATTTGAACTAAAATTTAAATATTAGATAGATCTGGGTGTTTCACATATAATCTAAACGAATATGAGCGACATAAACTTAATCTTGTGATCAAAACACTATTTTTGCCAAATAATTTTTTAAAATGTGGTAAATTTATATTAATATTTTTCTTGTATCTAGTGCTGTGACATTGACGAAAAAGTAACGTAGTTCGTTGCAAAAATCTGTTTTAGATTCTGTAATGACATCGTTTTTATTTAATAACTTGTTTATTTTATTTTAATTTTTATCCGGTTTCCCAATGACCTAGTTGATTATTCTCCAAATTTTTTTCGTATCTGACTTAGCAAGATTTAATCTGTTATGATTATATAATTGTCTAATTTTCTAACTAATTGATTTAAAATATTTCTACACGAATTATAGGATTTCTCCAAAATAATACCAAAAGAAATTTTTTAAATAATTTCTTTCTATTCCTAATTGATTTTATAATTCCAGTAGTAATCCATTCTTTTAGTTTGCATATCGATGTTCTAGAATGACTAGTAACTCTAGTAAAACTGTTAATGCATGATGAGTACCCATTTGCAGCCATAATATTCAAAGAATCATTGCTATTTAATGAATTTCTTATTATATAAATGTTCGAGTCTTAATTATCAGAGAGTAAAAACGTGTAGGAAAATTTCGTTTCTCGTTTTCATTGCGTTTTAGTATATTAAATCTAGATTGTTAACTCGTTTTTTTTTTATGCTGGTAATTTTTGGACTATTGGAAACAATTTTATTTCATTTTGGTTACAATATAATGTTTTACATATTGTGTAATTAAATTAAGTACTGTTACAAAATTATGTATTTTAGAGCGTTTAACTAGATTCTGTAATAAAAATAGATGTATTATTACTTGATGATTTAAACTCAAGAAGTGCATTGACGGCCACTCTGAGTCCGTCTCTTTTCAATACATTAAAATAAAATAATTTACGAAAATAATAATAATAATAGGTAAATAAAATACAAATTGTTTGTATACATATGTAAAGACTTGCAAAAATGTGAATTATACTTAAAATGTTTGTTGGTTGGAAGTTTGATTTTATAACAAATAGTAAAACCGCGAAAGGAAATTTTGTTTTGCGTCTACGTATCGAAAAATGTTATCGGTTTTTTCCATATAATACATTTATACAAAACGTAATCGGAGATGTTTTTACTCCCTGTAATTATACAGTGTATTCATTATGATAAAGTTATGATTTGGTATGCTAATAATTTGATGATAAATTAGGCAATCGACGAACACCGGAAAAATTTACTAAAGCAGATCAATGCGAAAGAATGGGAAAAAATACAAGAAAGGAAAGATTTCTTCCAGGAAGGAGTTGCGTACCAAGAAGGAGAAATCGCCAGGAACAAATCGTTACATGAAACGATGTTAAAGAAAGTCGAAGAGATCAGGTAAAACGGACAAACAATACATAGTTTATCTGACGAAAAATTATAAAATGTTTGTGACGTTAATGTTTTGTATAGGCTGCATAATTTACCGACAAAGTACATACAAGGAATCGAGAGACAGTTGAAATTGAAAGAATGAAGACGATCATAATACAGTTAACGATGAATAATGGAAATATTTTTAAAATTTTAATATTGCAGTTGTCATTTTCATGGTATTATACGAATAGACGAAATGCAACAAAAATGATATTGCACTGTATTATTGAGTAGGTAGGTACATGACTGAAATGTACGTGTGGCCAACTATCATTTTCCCGGTAAAATGCCAGGTACAAAGCTTTGTTTTTATTAGGAATACTTATCTGCATAACCAAATTAAATTATTTTCTCGAAAATAATTAGGCTTAACCTGTAAGCAACGTTAAACCATTAATAACGAAAAACGCTTCTCACCGAAAATCGAGTCTAATCGCAGTAAAAAAAAAAAAAAACAATTGAAAATAATAAAATAATATTTTCGTAAATTTTCCCGTGTTTATTTGTTCAGTTTTGTTCAATTATTAAGAAAACTACAAAGAATATCAAAAAACTAATTTCTTACCCGCCGACTAGGTATGATATTTTCGCTAAAAACAAGTATCCTTGGAGTTAATATCTCGGTTTATACTGGTTGTACGAAAAAAAGTTTCATACAAAAATTATAGAGGACAAAATTATCAACAAGATGGTTATATATATATATATCCAATCACACATGCGGTTTACGATTTTTAACGTTTACCATACAAAATTACGGTAATGTATAATATAATAACATAATAAGAATGTATTCGTTTCCACACCGCCATTGAGGTAGACACACGGTGCGTTTTTTTATTTTTTTTATGGTTTCCCCGGTAGGCTTAGTCCACGTAGTCAACAATTTTATCATAGTTATCTAATCGTCAAAACAAAGTAAACAATGTTACATTTTAATTATTATGAATCATCAACATCGCTCTCGTCTTCTAACGTTTCTTCTTCTTCATCTTTTTCATCATATTCATTTTTTTCTACATTATGTGTATTGCCTTCTTCTGATATATCCACTGACAAAACGACAAGCGGGTCTATGTTGCCATCTAAAACATTGTCGGAACTTGAACTGAAGCATGGTTGCCCACGACAATATCCACAAATAATCGAACATCTGACACAAATTTTTTTGCAACTGCAGTTAGTACCACAGCCTTTTTTACAGTTACAAAAAATCATATCCACCAATTCATCGAGTGCGGGTGGTAACAATGTCCTTATAAGCTCCAGAACATTGTTATTCATCGCCCACCCCCACTGTTCCGGGTTTAATTTATTACCCAACCAAATTTGTATTTGATGATAAACTCGAAGCAAATGCTGTTGGGCGACGCTGTTTGTTGGTGGTAAAGATGATAATTTCACGGGTTTATTATTTCTGGTCAGTTTAGCAAAAGTTATGTATCTGTAATTATCGATGGAGACCACTTATTTTTAAGCACCATACATTGTTAAAATAAACTTAATTCCATGTTTGAGAATGCCTTGAATGGACGGAGCAATTTTCTTTTGTGAATATTACTGCTGTACTTTGAAGGTCTGGAAATAGCTTTCTAATAGCTTTATAACTTTCACCTTTCCTTTATTAAAAAATACAGACGTTGTATCACATCTTGTATGGGAGTGTGAAGGGAGAGGTAGGGATTTTTATTTGGACGTACAAATACATACCAATGACATTCTAAATATTGAAATGAAAAAAACGATATTTTTCAATTGGGGGGAGGCTGATGAGACGTACGTAAACCGCTTGCCGGTTTCGTTATTTTAATGTGTTCAACTTGTGTTTTCTTCCAGAAATATTAATCAAATTGAAAACTTACAAGAAATCAATTTTTTTACTTTTAACATATAATCACTAATAGAGAAAGTTGTTTTTCATAATAATTGGAAAAAAACCATAAAAATTCGTCTTTTTCAAATTACGGTATTACGATTTAAATATTTTAAAGTTTTAAGGCGTAAGTTTCTATTAGAAATATTGCTCTAATAGATAAACGACACGAGCCCTTTTTTTTTTGAATTTCCAATGCAGTTTATGAGTAGGTTATAAGTTTTTCGATTTTTTCTGTGGTTCTATTATTAATTGAGAGCATTACCGAAAAAATTTAGAAATAACGGGAAATGTTCCGAAAAGAATATTTGTATTTCGTGGAGACTTAAAATTTTGACAGAAAATGTATATTCATTTTTTCCATACGTAATACAATTTTCAAAACAGTTTATTTTAATTTTTCAAGTTTTTTGCATAATTTTTATTTGGTAGGTATTCTGTAGATAAATTTTTAGATTATTAATACTTGAAAATTTTAAAGAAGGTTCATTATTATAGGTTCAGAAAATTAATTTGTTTGTAAGTTGATAAATGAAAATACTTGACAAAGTTAAAAATAGGACAAATAAGGTATACCTTTAAATGATCTAGTATAGTTTAAATATTATATATAGTACGAGCATAGCGAGGGATCTATTAGATTTGCTATAATGTGTATTTATTTATTTTTTTTTTTTTTTTTTTTTTTTTTTGTATCTATAAACAACTTTTCTACCACAAATATTGCTTTGATATATAGATGTATAGTATCTTTTCTGAAAGATAATTTTCCTTTTTGGGAGGTAATTCTTTGTTTTTCTAAGGTGTTTTCAAAATAATTTGGAATAAACCTAGGATAAAATTTTAGGTAAAATGGTAAATATTGACGGCATGCCATGTCATTAACGATTCCATTGTTTGTAATTTTTGCAAACTATGTTTTCTACCAGAAATATTGCTCTAATCGAAAAATTATAAGACATCGACTTCTTTTTCATTTAATATCTACTGAGACCGATTTAATATCGCTGACAGAAATATCTAAAGTATTTTTTATAAATAACAACATTCCATCTACACGAGTGGCTGTACCTGTCTCCAGTATCAGCCTTTTACATATTATTAATGTAATATTTTGCCTCCCGATTTACTCGAAAACGATTTAGTTTGATGCATACTTTTAGACTACGGAATTTTCGGTTTCTTACGAGCACTCAACGTGACAACAACAGAAAGTAAAACTTTAAAGTATGTTTATGATATTTTCGTCAAAATGTGTACGTTGTGAAATGAGATCACCTTTCAACATTCGCATTTTATACGATAACACACGCTCTTACCTTGCAAATTAAAAAAAAAATAAACAATTTCCGCTGCGATGAATTTTAATTAAAAGTCCAACGAAAATGTATGGAATTCACTGCCGTACGAAAAATAACATTTACGAAGAATGTCATGTTTACTATATAATACAATATAAGCTTTTATGATGTGAGAACTTTCAAGTTTTGTTGAGCGTGGATATAAAATATTTCGTTTAAACTTTGTAGACAAAACTGATTAATTTATTAAAATATATCATTTTCCAAGTCACTGTCAAAAAGGTGTCCTACCGTATTATAATAATTTAATATGGTATATTATTTCAAACAGTTTCTTTCAACGTGAAAAAAAAAAAATACCAAAGAAAAAAGAAGCGAATATACCTCATACTGTGTTTATGTTTAGCAGGTGGTGTTTTTCTAAAATATTGAAAATACTGCGTATCTATACAATTAAAAATATGGTGGCGCAGAGCTTAAAAATTAAGGAGATTTTTGTATTCGTTTTTTTTTTTTTTAATCAGCTTATGGATCCGAAAAAAACGGAAATGTCACTGACAAACATCTGCAATAATATTATTTTCTTAATACGAGGATGAAAGTATTTTATCAATTTTTTTAGATTTTGCACAGTTATTGAACTGTAATAAGTGCGCTGCAGGAATATAAGTACAGAAATTTGAAAACATTGTTAATGCGAATAAGTAATAAATGCCCGGAAATTATATTTTGCATAATACGATTATTTTCATCTGCCTGAATAAAAAAAAAAAAGTTGATAATGCTCACGGTTAGTAAACTGTTGAAGATGGGTAGTTTGCCAGGAGAGTACAATAAAAATGATGATTTAGTTTATACTCTGTAATCAACGATAGATCATGCGAATAACGAAAAACCGATTCTGAGCGTAGTATTAACGGGATTTTTTCCCCTTTTGACAAGGTAATCCACGGATCAATAAAAATCAAACAACAACAAACAATATCAGATCGATGAACTTCTAACAGTTTCGATGAATGGTTCAGTTAAAGAATTACCGGACAAAAATTATGTACGCATCTTTCAATGCAGCGGTTCCCAACTTTTTTAGTTGTGTGGACCACCAATTTTTTGAAAAACTCTGATGTCCACTAAACTAATATACAGGTAAAAATAAAAACAAATATATATCCATATACGTCTGACCAATATATAATGTGCAAAATTCGCACACGTCATTAATTAGGAAAACATACCGTACAAGTAAATTAAAAAAATAATTTTTTATAAAAAAAAGCAGTTCATTATTGTGATTTAATTTATTAACAACTGATTAAAGTTAAAATAATATCAATGCGATTTTTGACATTGTTTTTCTCCTACGAGAGAATCAATATCGGTATAAGTATATTACAATGTACCCCCCATACTCCACGCCGAGCATGATAAAATACGATGAAAATGACAAAAATATTCTAGAATACTACATATATGTAAAAAAAAAAAAAAAAAAGAGACAATTAATAAAATTGTATGATTGTGATAATTGTGGGATTATTACTAAATCTCGATCGAAATGTAGACGTTTATATTAAAATAATATACATTTTTTTTAAATTTTCCGACCCTTGGCAAATGTCCTCGACCAACGTCTGCGGCCTAATACCACTTTGACCGCAGCCCATGGGCTGGGAACCGCTTTTTTAATGTATGACTGCACGGAGCATTTTTACTAACCGTAAAAGTGTTTTCCGAGAGAAAAAAAAACTATCTATATAAAACCAATAGCTTCTTCGCAAACACTCAAATTCTAAAAGCATATATTTCGTGATTTTTATTCATAATAGTAGAATGTATATAAACCTGTGTACAAGGAATGGCATGCCATTATTTTTATTGATTTCGTTTTTAAACTGAATGAATATATTTATATTATTCTTTTTAGAAAAATTATTATTTACATTCCGTACGCATATATGTAATGGAATTTTGTTTGGTTTTTTTCTCCGAGTTCTGAATCTATTATTTTCGATTGTATCCATAAATGTGTAGTTAAGTATATTATTATTTTCGGTATAACTATAAGTCAGGTACTCGATAGTCTATGGTAATAACTTATCGCAAACATATTCAGCGTTTGGATTTATGTTATCGGCGTGATTTTATTATCAATAAAGATGAAATCAAAGTATTTAATCGTTTTTCAAAAAAAAAAAAAACAAATCTGATAATTTGGAAGTGCCAGATGAAGATTGACAATCTTGTCGATTCACAGCCTATACCTCTAGTTAAGCAACAGTGAGTATAACATTGATGAAATGGCGAGACACTCTACTCGAAGAATTGATCTTAGACTGTAGATTATTATTATTATTATACTATGACTTATGAGTAAAGTATATTGAAATACATAATCAATACGAGTCTAAATAATTGTTTTCCAAAAACGCGTTGTCTATAAATGAAAGTTAAACAGTTTAAAGCTTTTATTCAAAAAACCTAATTTAATCTTATCCCCCTCCACCCCACCAAACACCAACTGAAATTTAATTTTTTTCAAATCTATAACCTCCCCTCCCCCGAAAATAAATCCGGGTTTCGCCGCCGTTAAATCTAAAATGATTAAATATCTAATTACAAATATTTAAAAAACCATTTTCGTTATACAGTAGAACACAATGTTTCTCTCCGCAAAAGTATAAAATATATTATAATTATTTATGAAATAAAAATTTAATTTTGAAATCGTAATTAAATAATATTAAAATGTTTTACCATTGCAGGGAAACGTCGTGTGGGATTATTATTGTCGAGTATCGGGCCAGTAAACGTTTGTGTTCGCGTTCGTATTACTTTGTGCATCTACACGCGGTAACCGATGAGCAAATTAACAATTATTTTCGTTAGGTATATTATAACATCATGAATTATAATCGATCGCGGCCGCGGGGTACAATACAGAATCCGTTGTTTATTATATAGGTGTGGGGGGACCACCACACCGACGCGGCCAGGCGCGAGGAGGAGTTTGCAGCGCTAAGAAGACGAGCCGGGTGATGTTTTCCACCCTTCGTTCGCTGTCGGTTTGCTTATAAAAGCTCAGACCATCGTATACCATCGTTCAGAATCTGCGCAGGAGAGTTTGAGTACCAACACACCTACGGCACCAACGTTTTCCACGTCGTCTCCGAACGCGCACAACATACAAGTAAGTTTTATTTCATTTTGAATATTATAACATATTATTATAAACTATACACATTTGTTATTACAAATTAATGAAGAAAAAAAAAAATAATAATAATAATAATATTTATATAGGTATATTGTTTCTTTGGTCCCGGGAACAAAGGGAAAGTTCAATTTTTTTTTATGGTTGTTAATACTTTTAATCCGATGATATTTAGCAAACGGCTAATAATTGTAATAAACTATTTTTTCTCGAAATTTTCACCATAACAAGTATCGCCCGGAAATTGCGAAAAAAACGAACACAATTATTTTTTAAATTAGGATAAATATTTTACTCAAGCTTTTTAAATTTGATTCTGAACGTATTGTGCCGTAGTCCTTGTATGGGCGGTAAAAAAACACGCCTTGTAATAAGTTTTTTATTACTGTAAATGGTAAAACGTTTAGAAACGCAAATAATTTCGGTTTCAGGTGGAAAAAAAAAAAAAAAAAATTTGAACAGTGTGTTAATATAAATTGGTACTTACATTATTGTGCGGGTAAACTTGGCAATACAATCGTTTTAAATCCGGTTGTAATAACATAACATTTTTGATTAAAAATAATATTTATTATTTTTACTGCTAATATAAAATAAATAACAAACGTTTTTGTTGTTATTTTTTTGTTTTTTTTTTTTGTTCGTACTTGTCATTTTTATTTTATTCTATATTTATAAGCTCGATACATTATATTTGTTAACATTTTTATGTACCTATGCATATTATGTATACAACTATATTATGCATTTACTTGTTGTTCATCATAATTATAAGTTATAATTTTATGAAATTGTCGAAAGTGCTGTATATAGAGATCTGAAAGTAATTTCCGTTCTGTTCAACGTCCTTAAGTTTTTTTTTTTTCATCCAAAAAATGACTTAAGCCTTACGCTTTGGTTTTGTAATAAATGAAAACGATACGTTGTCAAATCATTTACTGCTTCTTACGGTAACCGTAAATAAATATGAAATGCAAATGGTATAACGATATTCTTACCTATCCTGGATGGAATTTCTTCGGCAACGGTATTTTTATAATGGCGATGTCGAATCAAAACACGAGCGAATTCACGGTAATTTATTCACGCAGAGAAAACGCACAGAGGAAAAAAGAGCAACGTACTTCTCGGCGCGAGAAAAGGCTCCGGGCGGCTAGACGATTAGGCCGGGAAGTATGGAAGATTGGTGCGCGTTCTCATCCGGTCGTAAATATCATAAATATATATATGTGTATATATATATTTATATTATAATTAAGACATTAAATATTAATTATCAAATATATATTATCTTAATGACTGGATAGTAAATTTATTACTATAGCAAAAATGAGTTCTGACAATACACTTATATGGGTACGTATAAATGAAATAAATAAATGAATGGATGCGTCGCCTGATAAAACATTATAACGTTACATCGCTAGTATCATACCAACATAATATAACTCGCTAATACCTACTAAAATTATGACACATAAAATATCATATACATCGTTACAGATTGTCTATTTTTAATTTTTTTTTTTTTTTCTTAAATTAAATATAAAATATTTAAATCGTTTAAAAAGTCGTTTTTTTTTTTTTTTTTTTTGAAGTTTACGAAAATCATTTTCAGCGGTGGCGCGATGAAAACAATTTAAATTATCTTAAAATTCAAACCAATTATATAAAATTAACTGCTCATCATTAGTAAACAATTTGTAACATCAACATTTTGTTTCAAACTAAATGTATAAAATACTATTTTAGATTCCGGAAAACAATTTTTTCTTTTTTTAATTAAAAAAAAATATATATGTATAAAAGATATAAATTACAAGTCATATAGCGCAGGGCTCTAGTAAATATTATAAATACTGAACCAAGCAAACGTAATTGCGTTTGTCATGTATCTCCGTGCCGTACCCTTTATAGATTTGTTATTGGTGGTGGGAGGGGGGTGGGGAGGGGAGATAATTATTTTCACTCCTTGCGTTGCTATTGATCAAAATAAATTATTATTCCTTTCAACAAACATTTGCCAGATACTTGATAATAATTATAGCGAACTGCTGTCGGTTCGAATTATTTATTATTGGAGTATGCGCGATAAAACTTATTGTTCTATGTACGTATTCAATTTTTCAAAAAACAAAATCAAAATTGAATTAAAACAAATTTAATCATTACTAAACAATAATAATCAATCAATATTAATATTCTTGTTAACGTTTGCTTATTAATTACAAATTAAAAATGTCCGCGACGATATACTGAAATTATTATTCATTCTACTCTGTTCGATTCCTCTTGATTTTACAAAACAATACACCTACTATAGTTTATTTATTATATTATTGCGTTTTATTATTTCACCGACGTCCGCGTTTAATAATATTATACATTATTCAATTAAACATTAATTTCGGTTAAGGGTTCGCAGTGTTCTGGACAAATGACATCCAATCAATTTTACGGGGGTGGTGTCCATTCCAAATGTATAACGTAACTCATCCGGACTCCCGCTCTCAAGACAAAACTGTAATGCATATACGTAATTCCGGAACACCAGTGTTGTAATTTATTTGAAAACGATTAAAACCGTCCGTTTCGAATATTTTATTTGTGTGGCCGGTTTGAAAAATGATGAGGCCTCGTGAAGTCAATTTTGAGGGAACTCGATCAGCTGGTTTTACATTTTTTTTTTTGGCAATTTCGTTTTCTAATAACAAAGTGCAGATTAATGTCTACGATTCTTCTTCTTTGTGTTTTACTTTTAATTTATACTTTCCAAAATAATTATGTGAAATTATGAGTTATGATTGAAAAAACACTTGGATAATTCATTCTCGGAGTAGATGTAAAATGATATTAATATTATTCTAATAAATTAGTCTAATAATGTTAACAATCATTCGGGCGGGTGCAACATTAAATGCATACACCATAATAATGCTTAGAGATTTTACTCAATAGATCCGTTTTTCCGTCAAAGTTAATTTCTTCTTTAAACGCATATAATAGGTACCTATATTTATTATTCGAATATAAGGATATTGTGTGTGTGTGTGTGTGTTTTATAACTGTGACGTGTTTCGAAATTATTTAATTTATTAAATATCTTAAGTCTCAGGGGAGAATAACGAATTTAAGTCTAGTTCATAAAAAAAAAAAAATACTAACAAACAAACAAACTAAAATACGCTCCGAATTTAAATTACAAAATAATATAAAACCGGGAAAAAATAACGGAAGTTATGAAATTGTTGAAAAATGATGAAAATAAAAAGTGCTTAAAAGAAACTTAGCCTTTCTTCTTTGTGGAAGCCATAGATATATAATACATAATATTATTAGAATATTTGTTTGGCGAATATTAACTACACAAAAGTGTAAAGAAAAAAAAAAAAAAAAACAAGAACCAACTAACGAATTTGTAAAACAAACCCGTACGAATATAATAATTACCAGTACGACAACGTGAAAAATGACGTCGTTCTTTATATTTTATTCCCTTCTAACTCCCCCGGCTTAAGCAGGTAGTTATATAATTATTATAATTAATATTATTTTTCTTTTTCACGCACTCGTGATTTGGTTTTGTTTACTACTACTGCTACAGCGGTATTAACAGGATATTCCGCTTTTAAGTTTTTCATTTTGAGGGTAGGGGGTGTAGCAGTGGGGTACTATTCAAACGCCGCGCCGTCACACAAATGTCGCTCCACCCTATAATATAAGCACGTAACAACAAACTTAAAAGTGGAATATTTCGTTGAAGCCAAATTCATTTCAACTATGATACCCACTTCAAAACTTTCGCTAAAATAAGGGTGTTAAAAAATAACGGTAACATATTTAATTTTATTTTATTTGTCCTTGTTTCTTAAACGTTCCTAAAAAAACAGATAACGAACAAAAACAAAAAATGTCCGCGATAATCAGACGTGTTACGTTATGTTGATCACTCTGTATAACCGTATAGTAACTCGGGTAAATTTCGATTTATATTAACGCAAACGGCAATTGGCACTTTGAGACGTGAAAAAAATTACCACCCACTCGAAAATATTTTTCATTTCATAAAAAATGTAGTATTTTATTTTATTTTTGTTTTTGCAATTCTTTTCGATTATAATTCTTTTAACTAAACCGATACAATTATTATCGGACCCATAGATCTTCTGTCAATTCGTATTATTTCAAATAATTCCAAAACGAATGAAAAGGACAATGGACCGACCGACTGCTGCATTACTAAGTTTAAATCGACATTGATTTAACGTCAAAGTCCGCCTCCGTTGTTATAGGAGCTTTAAAACGTCGGATTGTAATAATATTGTTTTTAGGGAATAAAAAACCGTTTTAATAACGGCAGAAAGTGTATTTTTTATTTGTATTTACCGAGACTTTAATATAATACGACTCGCGGCCCGTTGACTGCGGCTGTCAGGCAAAGCATCTCCAACGCAGGACAAATCGTTTGGAAATAAAACTTTGATAAAAAAGAAATCTTTCAGTAATCACGGATAATATTCCGATCTAAACATACATGTATTTTATTTATAATTATTATTATTTAATTTTACGTGATGTACGGGTATACTCAATATTATTAGAAATATCTCAACAAATATTAACATTTATATTATTCTATAAAAAAAATCTATTTAAATAATAATAATAATTTAGATTTGATTTTTTTTTTTAAGTGGTCTTTTTTATTGTCAAGATGATTGTATAACGTTGACGCATAGGTAGGTATAATGTAGCAGTTTAATCGATAGTACCGGTGAAGTATAGGTGTAGTATAGGTAATATGATTGAAGTGTTGAATAGAAATTTTCGTATTTTGTATCGAAAAATATTTTACCTAATATTGTACTTGCGTAAAATTAAAATTATAATTGTACAATAATTAACCGGGACTATTTTTATTTTTTTTTTCAAATCTGTGAAATATTTAAAAAACTATGAACTTTATAAAATTAGTCAACCGTGCGCTGAGCGCGGGTATTGAACGACGATATTTTACAAACAAATTTAAAACTTTTCAAAAAAAATATAGGCACAGTTCTAATTATTACCATTCGTGGATGATTTACGATTTCGGGTGAACGTTCCGAATAATATGATTGGGCATTACCCGAGAGAAGCGGGAGAAAAATAATCAAAAAAAAAAAACATTTTGAGTTTATAATATACGACGCGAACAATTTAACGTCAGTTATAATAATACGTTCGCGGTATATAATGACGACGTAAAAGGATTTTATTTGCGCGGGACGATGCTTTTTCATTGGTCGTACTTTATATTACTAATATTATTATTGTCGTCCTTTTGATTATTATTATTATTATTATCGTCGTTTATTTTTTTTTAGGTCGTATTTGTTTGAATAAAATCGCACCATAACGACGACGGTCTATATGTTTGAAAACTATACGTATGACTCGCGTGACGTATTGCAATATACTGTTTATACGGCCCGCGAACAGTTTCCAATCAGTATAACAAACAGGCGAAAGTTTATCGAACATTTTAGCGCGTGTACACGCGGCGTAATAACGATGATAATAATAATAATAATAATAACAGTATAGAATACCGATTTTCCGTCCACGGACGAAAATTACAGGGGAAAAAAAAAATAGAAATAAGTTCTATAGCCGTATATTTTTATTACTATAAGTTTACCAGCGCTCGTAACTTTGGTACAAATCGCTTTTCGCGTAAACGTTCGACAAGATCGGCGTGTACGAACGGAACGTTACGGTGAATAAGCATCATTTCGGGTTTTATCTGCAATAACGTGTAACCGCAATATTTATTCGATACTATGATTAAAAGGACGTTATACCCGTCCCGGTCCAACTAACGGGTAACGTACTGAGTGATTTTTTTTTTGATCACGAACCAGCAATCATCTCAGAGGATTTTAAGAGAATTTGATTTCTGTTTTTTGTAATCGTCAAAGTTTTATTTTAAAACCGTTTTTAATTTTTTACCCCTACTCCACCCCACGTACCTTAAATAAATACATACTTTTGATTTTCCAATAGGAACCCCCACCTCTTTTTGGACGCAGGTTTAAATAGCGAATATTATTCTAGACATTTTGATGTGCATAACACCAATATCAGATTTACTGTTTACGAGTTATAACGGTTTAAAGTTTAGTCCGGAAGAGTATGGAAGGGTTAAAGATAGGCAATTTATTTACCCTTAAAACGTTAAACTGTTATAACACGTAAACGGTAAATCTGATATGAGTGTTATGTATATCAGAATGTCTTGAAAAATATTCTCTATTTATATCTGTGTTCAAAAAGAGGCGGAGGTTCCCGTTTGAACCTTGAAAAGTATGTGTTTATTTAAGGTATGTGGGTGGAGTGGAGGTAAAAATTAAAAACGATTTTAAAATAAATCATTAATGATTAGAAAAAACGGAAATCGAATTCGTTAAAATCCTTTTGAGATAATTGCTGTTTAATGATAAAAAAAAAAAAAATCACCCTGTATAACTGCAAAATCTATACCTCGCGCAGACTACGCAGAACTCGTTTAATTTTGGTGTTTTTGACATATTACTGCTGTCGTATGCAGAAACGACGAGTAGGTCGTTATTTCTAAACGATGTATCAAACGTTACATACGGAATAATAATTAAAATTATAGGGAAAATGCTTTGTCTCGCCCTCCGGAAAACGTTTTTTTTTTTTTTTTTTAATTTCATAATAGACGATATTACTCCAAAACCAAAATATCAAACGAGTTTTACGCGGTCTGCATAAGATAGATTTCGCTGTATTGCCCGTTAGTGGGACTGAGAATGCACAGTGCGCGGGTATGACGTCCTATTAATTCGTATTTCAATTATTATTCGTTTTGTATTCGATCAATATTAATAATTCCAATTTCGTTCCGTACCGCGTGCAATAATATATTCCGTGTTACACGCGCTGGTAAACACAATAATAATTATTATTTTCTTTTACGTGCGATATAATATTACGGGTATAGGAATAATAATTATTATCCCGTCGTAATAATATTTATGGACGCGAAGAACAACAATACTATTTTGTACACACACATTCGAAACCTGAATGATGTTATTGATTAAGTTTAATTTTAAATACGCATTTTGTCGTTGTTTTATCTTATTCGGTATATCTATTGTTTACTCGACTTCACGTTTTCGAATTCAAATTTCTTTACATTTCACTCGGCAAAATTTTGATTTTCCAAATGGTTTTCATAACAATTATGAAAAACAGAAAAAAAGAGCCGATAATGGGGACGGGCAAAGCCAACAGGTGTTGTAGGTGGGGAGTTGGGAGTGTAACATACATATTTGATTTATAACCGGACGCAACAATAAACCAATCCTAATGAAAAAAAGATTCAGAGCGAAGTTCGGTAAGACATATTTTAAAATACCGTAATATATAGGATTTTGGATAAAATTTGTTTTTAAGATGAGTATGAAAAAACAATTGCTAATGCATAACGTCTCAGAACGAATTTGTACCTAGTGATCTATAAAAAAAATCTGAGTTTAAAACATAAGAATTTTTTTTCATACTCATCTTAAAAATAAATTTTATCCAAAATCCTATATATTACGGTATTTTGCGTTCAGATATAAATTAAATAAGTTTAAGTATCTTTACTTCCCAACTTCCAAAAATGTCTGGACTCATCTATCCAGTATCAGATTTTTTTCTTTTTCCTGAACAACTTTTTAACCAGAAAACTTTCTCTGGTCATCATAGTAGCAAATGTTTACTATAGTCGGTGCGTAGAAAAAGACGTTTTTAATTGCTTTTCTATTTTTCTCAATAATTAGGAAAAACGTCGGTAAACGGAGAATATATTTTAAAAACAATAACCGTCAATAACGATTCCGGTTTTTTTCCGATTTTTCATTTTTGTTACAATAATGAGTAGTCACCAACATACTCGAAAAATATCCAAACCGGTGAACATAAAATACAAAGCCGAGAGATTATTTTAATCCCGGAAACTTGTACTGGTGCGGCGGGGTGTTCAAAAGAAACCCCTCCGAAAGTTTTTTTTTTCACTCACGTTTGTAATTTAATTTACCAATGGCCGGTATTATCATATAGTAAAAAAATTATACAATATTATTTCGATTAAATATGATATGAGATTTCGCGAAACAGGAAACGGGGATCGTAAATCGTTTCGACAATGTATTCGAACAGAGGTGTACGGCGGTGTTTTTTTTTTTTCTAGTTTGTAAAGGGGCGAATCAAAGGAATAAGGTAGGTATTGTCTAACTATTATAGTAAACGTTTATCGTGTCCCTTTGTACGGATATTCCATAGAACGACGACCGGCACGCCGCCGATATGATATTGTTTATTATTTAATCCGAAGTTGCAATGACTATTATAGAATAAAGATAATCTTCTAGTAGATAGTTTGCGCACAGATGAAAAAAAAAATTAAACATCACTGTAAAACCATAATCGTTTTCATTCCTCTCAGAATCTTAAATAAAACCTGAAACTTTTTTTAAACGATTGCTAACGAAAAACGATTCGGAACGAAGTTCGGATATATATATATGTTGAAAGGCTGTAGTTTTTACAATTTTCGATAAAATTTGATTTTAAACTCTTAAAATAAATAATCCATGCGTATATTGTAAATATATAAATATATTAATATCTATATATAATGAAAATAGTGGTATTTTCGATTAAAAATTAAATCTCGAAAACTACTTGACCTATGAAGCTGACATTTTGTACGTAGGCAGTAAATCGTTAAGAAATATCTACTAAAAACGGGTTTCGTGAAATTCAACCGTCAACGGGGTTAAAAGAGGTAATTTTTTGGTCGGATTTTTACCTATGTATACCATATTAGAAGAAAGTATTTTATTTCCCCGGAAACTGAAACCGTCGGTGTTTTTAGCGTCGGTGTACCTTCCCAACTTCCTTCCTACAACACAGCGGCGCATCCGTCTCTAGTATTAGTTCTCTCTCTTTTTTTTTTTAACCTGGGTACATACATTACACAATGTGACACTTATTGCAAAGTCAATATGTCCCTACACGCTTATATACGCTGCTGCGTTGTTGATCCGACACAGATATATTATAATATTGTAATGAACAATAGATTGCTAACTGCTGTACATCAGACTCGTGTTTGTTTTTTGACAAACAGAGACGGAACTTAATCGTTTAAGTCCAAGCCCCGTGGGCATTATATTATTAATTTATCATATACATTTATGTTGTCTTACGTATCAGTTAGATACCATAGACTCAAGAATATTTTTATAATGTTACCTACCCATTTCTAAACTCTAATAGCACTCAATTATCCAGCTATTACTACGTTTATATGGTCCAGTTAAAACGTATGATTCAAAACTTTTTTTTTTATGATGCTTTGTGGTCGGAAAATATTCCACTAATTTTACATAAAAATTGGACAATTATTTTTTATCATTTAATGACTATATTAATGATAAAACTTTTCCACTAATCTACTGTCCGATAGCCATTTATAATAGGGCTACGGCCATTTTCATGGGCTAATATATACGCCTCAGACCAATAAGCTGTGGAAAATATGTCTAATATTTCCTACCGTACACTGATCTAAAACGTATAGTGAATGTAGGTATGTTTCAACCCATCATTAAGTGTTCATATTATAAATTTACATTTATAAATGTTAAAGCTGTTCTGTACTACTTAAAATGTTAAAATAATCGATACCTAACTTATCGTAACAAAATATTCGGGGGTTGATTTAATAAAGTTAATTTTGTGAACAAAAAAGCTTTTAGCTTATACGAGTTTATACAATATAACGTTCGTTTTCTTCAATATTAATATTTTAGTAGCTGTATCATATTGTATTGATGTAGGATTGCAATAGGTGAACATAATAATTTATTTTGTTAGGTCGTTATCATACTCGCACAAGCCATACATGTCTATATTCTTATCTAAATTATATTTACGACGAATGGGTATCGTGATTATTAAATATTCCTAATGGATTCGGTAAAGCTATTACGTATAAACCGACCTTAATAAAATGAACTCCGAAATATCAACCTGTTGCCCCGTGTATGTACTCGTATAGTCAAATTTAGTGGCATAGCGGAGGTGTTTTCAATACTTCTAGACGCCATGGTAGAAATTTGGTTGGTAAGAAAAACGTGAAAAATCGGTAATAATCAACATCAACAAACGGATGAATACTAATTGTTCGACCATCAAGCATTATGTGCGCATAAATATATATAAAGACTTTTCTACGAGATAACCATTATAGATCCGCCCAACTTCTGTTGCCACTTTTTTTTGTTAACAATCGCATACTGGGTACGGGTGCGGTCGCGGTCGTAGGTTTTTAATTGAGAAGATGGGATATATTTAGTTATTCAATTTATAACTGTAAAACAACGATAAACTATTGCTAATGAAAAACGATTTTGAGCGGAGTTCGGTTATAAATGTTTTGAAAGGCAGTAATATTTACGATTTACGTCAAAATTTGATTTTAACTCATTTAAAAAAAAATACTATATTACACTCAATAATTTTTTTGACAACAAAGTACGACTTAAAATGAACCTGCAGTCAAATTATTAAGCATTTCAGTTTAACAATTTTATTCACAGATTACCTATTATATATCCACCCAACTTTTCAAGCAATTTTTTTTTTTTTTTGCTAACAATCGACCAAACTACCATAAATATTTATAACAATACATACTATTATTAAAACGGTTGAATAGTGTTGATTTATATGAAAAAATAACTAAAAGTTGGGTATTCATGCATAAGTCAGTCCTAAGGACAATTAAAATCAATTATATTTAGATCTTTATTATTGAATTGAATTAATCCAGACGACGGATATCAAACTTTACCATTGCTTTTAAAATTGATAGTTTAATATTTTGTGCCCAATTTTTTTACACCACTAGACGCGTGAAATGTACAAACAGGGTTAGAACTAGACTGGGGCGTTTGAAACCCAACACCTTCGGTTTAAATAACATTGGCACTTCATTGAGTAGATAAGTATATAAATATTTCCCATTAATTGGCTTTTAAAGATATTATTTGTCAAGGTAGATAACAATAATAATTGAACAAAAAATACAAGAGGGGTATTTTACGAAGGGGTGGGTACTGAAATATATAATTTTCGTGCCCATTTTTGTTCATACATGTTTGCCACACCACTGGATTCCGTTCTTAACAACCGTTTTTAAACAATCAAAACGGTTTGAAAACCTTAAACTGTGTATACATCTAGTAAAACTATGAGGTTCTGTCTTTCAAAACGTTTTTACTGCGCCGCATAAACGCGCGTAGCTGCAATATAATATCGACTATCCAGTTTAAGACTGCAACAAGTAAATAATAATCAAAAATCAGTTGACTACGTCATTTTTTCTCTTTTTCAAAACAATTTCAATTTAAGAACGCAATAAAAATTGGTCAAATTATTGAGCACTAAAGAACTCAAATTTCGTTTTAGAATAACGAATTTGGATTAACATAATATACAGTTCTAAAGTGGACCATGTAGATTTATTGCAATTAATTCGCGTATTGATATAATATTAGTAGGTCCGAGATAGGTTAGGCAAGAATTTTGTTCATACGTAATTTATTTCGTGTTTTGTATTTGACTAAATATTCGTTAAAGTTTTAAATTACTCCCCTGAAAAAAAAAAAAAAATCAAATCATATTTCGAGTTGTTGCAGTCTTAAGCCGTATTAAGTCGATACATATTATGATGACCGTTTTATCAAATCTACTAGTATCACACAAGTATAACAATAAATTATAACATAATACGATAGGCCTCGAATAAAATGACCGACCGTAATAATTTTGGGCAGTAGTATACGTCTTATCACCTCGTTAACAATCTGCACAGTCTATTATAGATAACTCGTACTACCGTATCGCATTCGTGTACCGCGCTAGCGTTCAAACCGAAACCGAATAAAACGCGATTATTGCGTTCTCGTAGACACAACACTAGATACGGATTAAATGTACGGCGTGTTCGCATTGACTCGAGAACGGATCACGGTAATATTGTATTATATTCGTTGCAATATTATCCCGCGCACAAATCGTTCCTATCGATCGGACCCGGCGGCGGCGGCGGCGGCGGCACACGCACACACGACCGTCTTGCACATTCAATATTAGTCACGTATAATGTGGCCGTGCGTGTACCTACGCGACAACACAAATAAAATATTATTATTATCACTGTCGTTACTATCATTGAAGTACAATTGAACAATATCGTACGCGCACAATACGACCAAATTGGCCGATACTTAAACGGCACAATAATAATAATCTATTGCGACACATCGCCGCCGCGAACATCGCAGCGTTTATGATGTACGACATTTTTGAACGGCAATATATGTGTACTGTAAAAGGGGGGGGGGACGGAAACCGGGGTGCCTAGCTGTGTGTCCGCTGCGAAAACGTAGGAAAGGCGCGGAAACCGAACGGTGCGTACACGGGTGCGCGACGACAGCGCGTTTTTTGTGCTCGAAAACGCCGGGATGCCTCCCGTGCCTCGTTGAACCGTCCGATTCGATTACGGTCGTTTTCGTGATTTTTATATTTTCGTTTCAAACTCAATTAGGTATATTTTTAAATCGAACGAAAGCACGGATTTCAATCCGGTCCGTAGAAATTGGAATGCAGTTTTTTAACAAATAAAAAAATATAGCTGACACTGGTGACGGGCGCGGTCGCGGGCGTAGGTGTTAAGTTGGGAAGGTGGGATATATTGAGTTATTAATTTATACCTGTAACCAACGATAAGCCATTGTAAACGAAAAACGGTTCTGAGCGGAGTTCGGTTATATATATTTTGAAAGGCCGTAGTATTTACGATTTTCGTCAAAATTTGATTTTAACTCATATAAAAAAAAAAAAAAAACTACATTTTACACTCGACATTTTTTTTTTTGACAGCACGACTTATAATGAAACTCCAGTTAAATTATCAAGTATTTCTGTTTAACAATTTTATTCACAGAGTACCTATCGAATAAAAATCACGTAAAAAATTCGAAAAATAAAAATGTCTATAAATAGTTCAAAACTGACTCAAATGTTTTGAAAATTTAACCACGACTAGAAATGCCCTTAGAAATACGTTTAACTGCTTTATAACAAAAAACAAAATTAAAAATAATAAATGATTTTTTTTTCGTACATGTTCCCATGTTTGTTAAGTATTTTTCGGTTTTGTTCAAACAAATATTTAAAAAATTACAAAGAAAATCAAATACTTTCTTGGTCACAAACTAGATTAAAATTCCAAACGAAAAAGTCTTTTGTTGTTTTTCTATTAGAACAATATTTTTGAAAGGAAACATGGATCGGTAACGTCGCGGCCCGCCGTAAATATTTGTCGTTTTACCAATAATTTTCGTGCGGGTTTTACCCAATTATTTCGAAAACCACTCGGAAAATCAAAAAATGATCTCCCTTATACACAAATTAGACAAAATTTAAGTACCTAATATATTCTGTACACAGGAGCAAGATTTATTTTCGAAAAATCGTTTACAGGAAAGAAAAAAAAAACACACATCATTGTCAAATCAATAAGTCCCTCGCCACACACTCCGAATCTAAAAAATATATTATTACGTTGACAACGCGCGAGTCATAATATTCCGTATTCCCGCGAAGTAATTTCTGCCTGTGAAAATGCTCCAAGTGGGTATCGGGGCAGCAGTGTACGGAGTGTAAACATTCAAATTTTACAGGATCGGAGAAAATTTTGGAAAACCGGCACCGGGTCCCTTAACGAACACACTGCGATTATAACTGAAACTTTGTGACGTGCGCCTTTTCCAATTGAAATTCAAACGCGCGAGTACATTAAAAACGGGGAAAAAAAAAACAACTCATGCACGTCCTTGATTGCTCGTATTGTTTGAATGCGGTGATATGCGTCCGGGTCGCAATAATAATTTATACACATACCAATGTGCGACCGAAACTATTATCCGGATGACTTACTACTAGGTATTATAATAGCTCATAATACGCGTTTGTCGTCGCGTTATTCTGTACGTACTGTGCAGACAGATTATTACGAATAGGTATTATATTCAAGGAAGCCATGTACAATGGGGCTCTAAGGACTGCAGCTCCTCATGACTCGATAAGACGGAGTTCGGCCTCATACGGTTCCAATATTATGAAAAAAAAAAAAATCAATATTTATCATACAAATCCTTAAAATATTAATTTTATTTATAGTAAATTAATTGAGAAAAATAAACGGTTTTGTTTTTTTTTTTTTTTTTTTTTTTTTTTTTTTTTTTTTTTTTTTTTTTTTTTTTTTTTTTTTTTTGATATTTATAGCAGTGAAAAAGTATGGATTTTCATAATCAACCTACAGGTTCTTGGTTAACCGGTAGTTTTTAATTTTTCTCTTGTGATTTTTAATGATGCTGCTACCATGTTAAAATGTTATTGCGTATTGCATATAAAAACAACAAATAACTACTATATATTTTGGTAACATTGTTTAACGAACAATTTAAGGAAATATATGGTAAGATTTAGGTGAAACTGTACATGTGTTTGTGAAGTAGTGACTCCACCCCCCCCCACCCCCCAATGACATTTTCAAAACCGCCTAACCGCCTCTGATAATATTGATAGCAGTATACGAATAGCACTCCGAACTTCTTTTTTCCGTTGTAACGTGACGACGACGTTTTATATTATTATTACTATTATCATCGTCGTCTTTCTGGTCGCGCGTCAAACACATAATAATAATAATAATAATAATGTATTCGTAACGCTGTGGGCTATTAAGTATAACGCACGTACAGGGTATTGTGTTGTACGCGATGCAGTTAACGACACCTATTGTTGTTCTAATAAAACGCCAACCGCCCCGCAGGAATGTGCAGTTGTGCACTGCTGCAGCTCCGAGATGGATTTCACAAATAAAATGCAATTATACTATTATAACGTCGACTAGTATCCGCGAGCACTATCGTATTTTATCGGCCGTTTAAATCGTAGCAAACGCATTGTAATGGACGCGGCGGCGACGGCGCCTGCGACTATCATTGCCGCCGATCGATTCCTGTATGATATCCGTGCGAAAACCTCATAATATTGATAGGTGGTCACCGGCCAAGCAACATTACGTGTATAGGTTACGGATCCGCGGAAAATAGACCAAAGTATTTTATTTTTTCTTGTTTCACTTGTTTATCCTTAGCAATGATTTATCATTGCGTGCAGACGTATACATTAAATATGCCCGCCTTTTCAGCTTGCCACCCACAACGGCGGCACACTCGTTCCCAGCGTTCGCGCTAGTTTTGAATTTTCGTCCCGATTCGGCGGTTCGCAGTCCCGTCGGTGCTTTCGCTACGCACCTCCGTGCATCCCTGTCCGTTCTCCGTCTCTTATTCCCCGGGGCCCGAGGCCTTCTCGGGTACACGATCATTTCGCCATCTAACGTATTCGTTCGGGTTTTCAGAACTTCAATCATATCTGCAAACTCAAACGACAATGTTTGAAAGGGATTCGCGTATGCACTCTTTTCAAAATATCAATCAGAAAAATAACCGTGTTTACAGATTTATGAAAATAAAAATACGAGATTGCGTTTGAAGTATTCCTTCGGAAATATTATTGCCTTCTATCTATTTTATATTATAGGCGTTTGAAATCTCTTTGAATAACTTCAAAAGATAGGTATTTTTTTCTGTTTTGAATAACATAATGTGTTTTTGGACGAAATTTAAATATTATGTACCTACTTATAAATTTATTCGGAAGTTCGGAAGTGAATTCGATTATTTTTGAGTTGACGATTTTTTTTTTCTCTAAAAAATATTGTCTATACGCAACTCTTTGAATATACTTAATTATAATGTAATACTATTCTTAACTATACGCTCAATATTAATCTGGAAACAATATTTTTTTAATCTTTTTTATTTTATCGCTATTGTTATAGTTAAAAAATAATTTTCAACAATTAGATTAATAAGCCGATAAACAAAAGTTTATTTACGAATTATATAGGTATTCAGTTTCGTGTATCGATATCGGTGTCACGCAAACACATATTGTTTATATAGAATTCATTAATCAATTAATTGATATCAAATAAGTAATAATAGGTTTTCATGAAAATGTGAAGTTTGATTGCTTATATTATGACGTATTACAATAAAGGGCAAAAACAACTGTAGTAGTCATTAGTCAATAATAATTATTTGCGAATTTTTTTTTTTTTTATTCAGCAATATAAATTTCGAACAGTTATACTCACAGTATAAAAAATGAATTACAAATAAAAAATACACAGTTAAATTGAATGTTAACGAGCGAACAATTAAATGTTATGCTATGCGACAATTAAAATCGAAAAGAAAAATGTTTCTTGGTTTAAATGTCGGTTGATTTTATGATAATATTTATGTATGTAACGTTGAAGTTTTACTGTCAATAAAATATATACCCACCTAATAAATTACGGGGATTGTTCGTATATTTTTAGAAAATAAAAATGAAGAACTTCATCACTATGTTGACGATGCTGCTCGTGTCTCTCGTTTTACTGCAGGGAAATGTACCAACGGCAGAGGCAGATTCCGAAGTCAAAGATTATGTTGAAAACGATTATGACGGTAAGTGAAACAATAATATCACTTTTCGCTCCTTTTTTTTTTTTTTTTTTTTTATAATGGATTAAAATATCTAAATATAGTCCAAAACAAATATTTTACAACCGCTAACAGATTAGCATGCTACGATTAAACTCACAATAAGTAGCGCTTGTAAGTCTGTATAATAATATGCACAGTTATATAATATAATATGATATGTATAATATATAATCTCATAAAAGATTTAAAATAAATAATCATTTTTCGGGGTGACATTACATTACAACATATAAACATTTTGTACAATATTCTCCGCGATTTCCGCGTGGAAACCACTAAAACAAAGGTGTCTGATATTCTTATAGTGAAATTATTGTGTGAGAGAGTGACGTGTACGAACCCAATTTTTAAATTTAACTAATATTATATGATTTACAAAAAAAAAAACGCATTTTCCTCATCATTTAACGTATTTTGACGTTTTGTACTATACTTACCGTAATTATTACCAGTCACCTACGGTCACATGTGCGATTATTGATGAAAATCAGACATTATCGTCAGAGAATAATTTCATCAGTAATATACTCTTTATAAGAAAAAAAAAATTCAATGGGTTAAATCACATCGGTACGTGTTCTCGTCCGATACAGCATACCATGCCCAGCTATCTACTGCATTGTACTGTACTGTATTATTAAAAACAAATTGATAATGTCTATACTCTACAGTTAACAGCTAGTATTTAGTCTTGACAAATAGTTCAATAAATTTTAATTTTTAGCATTATAGATGTATTTTGTTGATTATTTACACTGATAACTCTTGGTTATTAATGTTTATATATTTTATTCTTAGCAAAAAAAAATGCATACAATGTATTTTTGAACTGATTTCAATTCTGTAAAATTTGTATAGTTGTTCAAAATTTCCTTATTCTTTAATAATAATTTTTTTATCACGTAAAAACGTAATTTATAGTTTTTAATAATTTCTATGTAATTATTTATACCAATATATACATATATATGCATACATTCATGCAGGGTCTTTTAAATTTCATGTTATAGTCATATTTTCCATGAAATTTGGAAGACTAAATATTTCGTATAAAATTTGAAGCAACACATAATTTAAATCATTTTTACTTATAACCACGGCTAATAACAAAGTAAATTGTTTTATGACATTCGTATTCAAATAATGAAATACATAAGTTCATTTCATGAAACGCAATCTGTTCAATAGCCGTTATACAGAATTTATATAGTTTTTCAAACCAACAGTTAACAGAACTGTTTTCATGCAAACTAGAGTTGAATATTTTATATTTTAAAGCATTTTATTTTTTCTTAAATTTCAATTATTACTACGGTACTTGATTTGAGGGGGGGGAGGTATGCGGAAGGACTGAGTACCTCAACTAATTTTTTGGATATTCTAGCGTACCCTTACTTTTTTTTAAAAGAGAACACATGGGACGGATTGTTATTTAAGCATTCCTAATTTATAAAATCGCTCAATTTAAATATTTGTGTTAAGAGGACGTTATACCCGCATGTATTGTCTCAGTCTCAGAGTAATACTAGGATAAATGCAACGTCTTACTCTCCAAAGTACTGTTTTCTTTAATATTATAATAGTTAATTTTACTATAAAACTAAAATAAACTACAATAAAGCTAATTTTACGCAGTCTGCGTAAGGTAAATTTTGCAATATTTTCCGTTAGATGGATTGAGACGACACATACGAGTATGACGTCATTTTAACACAAAAATCTAAGTAGATTAATTTTATAAAAAGAGGTAATGCGAGCGATATCAAAATGTTAGAGATGCTACATTTTTGGCTAGAGTGCCTCTACTACTTTATTCCCAAGTCAAACATTAATTATTAGACATTATAAACTGTATCTAATAAATAATAGACAATATATTTTCAATACACTGAAACACACCGATTGTATACAAAATTATCGACTTAAAAAACATAGGTAAATAGCATATTTTTAACGGACGATTATGGGATTTTAATTTTACAGACGGAGATGGTGAAACAGACGTCCAATACACATCGTTCGCAGGTCTGAATGAATACAAGGAGAGCCATGAACCCCCGAAAAAAGAAAAAAAGCTAGTCCTTGCTTTTCCGCTTGTACAAAAGAGGTTAAACATATTTTAAAATACGTACAGCTAAAATTTCAAAATTCACGCAAAATAGATTTCCTACATTTAGTTTAGTTTAGTTTTTTTTTTTTGTGATATTCTTGATGTTTTAAGTGCCTTTTTTTCTCGATAATATAAGGAACGCGGCTACTAGGAAATATCACTTTAAGTTTTGCGTGCCGAGAGGACGAAATTGCGACCACAGACCTAAGAAATGCTGCAACGGCGGTTCTTGTCGTTGCAATTTGTGGGGTGTGAATTGCAAATGTCAAAGAAGGGGATTCTTTCAGAAATGGGGAAAATAAACGCGCAACGTTTCTGGTATTAATACGTTTTCTTATTTATAAAAAAAAAAATTCTATTTCGTTTTCTAGAATACGTTATAAATAAGAGTAGTCGTAACTCGTAGGTAATTATTAGTCAAATGTAAATTGTATTGTCTTTTAGCATAAGTACATACTTTGCATTAGTTGTTAGTAAAAATAAATAGAAATTTCATCGTAAATTTTGTTTCTTTTATATAAAATAATGTTAACATATAAACATGATATGTTCCTTCATAAAAAATATACACTCAGTATACCCAGGGTTGGACTAGCTCACCGAGACACTAGAAAATCTCCTGGTAAGGCGACGATACAAATGCGTTAAAAAAATCTAGTGAGGTTGGTTGAGGTAAATTGAATAACCGGAAGAAGTGACTTAACGATTATAGTATAACACAAGATACGATTTAGTTGTTCGGTTAAGCATCAGTAAAATATAGTGTTCAAAGGGCTGGCATTAGGCTATCATACGCTATCGAGGGGTCTATTAATATAAGCCATCAAGAATAAAATTACATTAGACTATATTATGGAAATGCAAGTTAACAGTTAAGGCTACAGTAGGAAGTAGGTTATCGGTTGGCAATAATGAACTGTCGGCAAGAACAATTTCAAGCAAAAGTACTGGTAAATAATGTAATTTTTGGCCGGGTAAATTAAATATTTTCCAGGCTGTTTTTATATGGTAGTTGGACTACCATATCGGTACTTCGACTTTTCGATTTTAGCACGGGGACAAATAAAAAACTTAAACTACTGTACATGGTATTTTTTTTATACGCAAAAGCAAAATACTATATTTACGTTTTACCTCCGTTATAATTGAAGTACTAAAGCGATCGCCCCCGTTGCCCACGTGAAGTCAGCGCCTATGTCGGTACCTAATATTACTGAATCAAATGGTTAAAAAATAATTCAACATCTCTAAACCAAACGAGATAATAATAAAAAAAAAAAACCGACGGATGTATTTCGCAACACATGTGGGCCACTGTTGTAGGTGAAAAGTTGGAAAGGTAAGATATAGAGAGTAATTAAATTTATATATGTATGCAACAATTAAATATTGTTAACGAAAAACGATTCAGAGCGGAGCTCGGTTAATAGTACTGCTTTTTCAACAATGTGCGTTTTCACGACAATAACGGCTGTTTAAAAAAAGATTAAAAAATTGAAACAATAAAAACTTAATAATAATAAAAATACATAAAAATAGTTGCCAATATGACAACCTTGTTTTTAATCGGTTAATCATTTTTAATCTAAAGAACCAATTTTTCCTCATTATCTCGAATATTAATNAACGACATCATTGTAACATTCCTCGCTTCGCTTGTTATCTTGTTCATTTAATAAGATTGTGTTTTATTTTGATCACTTTGCCGAAACAAAATTGTTTAACGGAAGCAGCACGAACAAAATGTTTTATTTTACAAAATAAATACGCCATTGTTTTTTTCCCGTGTAAAATAGTGCAACGACAAATTATTGTTCTCACGTTTCGGCAATATAGCTTGGTATGTAACGGTGCATATTTATTAAAAAAAAAAAGAACTAATATTATTGATGTGAGTGCCATAGTTGACACATTCAACTTTAGGTTGCAAATTAGGAAGGTAGGATACGTAGAGTTATTCGATTTATTTTTAAAGACTAATCGTTGTCAGCAAAATACATGTATATGGATAAGGTTATTTCACACGTTTAAACATGTTTTTATTTGCCATTATTTTTACGATTTTCGTTAAAATTTGATCTTAAACGTTTATAAAAAAAAAACCTGATTTACTGAAAACGTAAAATGTACGTCATATTAAATTGTCAAGCACATATCTGTTCGGAGAAACAGTTTTGTCTGCATAAAATCAAAGAAAATCTAAAATACCTGGAAAATATGAAATGCTTTTAAATAGCTCAGTGGCGTTATACGTAGTGGTAGTGGTGGAGTGGTGGTGATGGTGTTGTACTATAATACAAAACAGGTCACAGGAAAAACCGTTACGCAAAAAATGTGTAATATTCGTAGAAAAAACAAATAAATGTTAAAATATACCTTTATCGCTACCGCATCTGCATACTGTGCGAATTTCTGATCTTAAACCGGACTACGACTTAAGTGTAAAACCAAATTTTAATGAAACCGTACATATTCCCTATGTTCTTTTTTTCGTTTTCCCCAATTATTAGGAAAAATACAAGCAAAACGAGGTCTCATATGATTTTTTGATTGGAAAGAAATTTCTGGGGTAGAGAATTTGTTCACAGACAAAAATGAATTTACGACGCACTACCGAGTACAGCGGCAACGGGTCGCGTAGCTCAATGACCAAACGGTTGTTCATTTGTATTTGTATTTTCGCCTTTAAATAATAAATAATATGCAAACGTAATAGTAAAACCAATATATCTCTCGCTACGCTCAGAATCGAATACACCATATATTTGCGTGTAAATCGACCGAAATTGTCGGATACTGACGTAAGTAAATAAACATAATTGTTAATAATTACTTTAAAAAACAAACAAATACATACGAACATGATGATATTATACGAGTATTTGCATAAATGTATACGTATCAGCAAAATTTACTGAATATATATATATAGGTATAGTAAATATTATTTTATTTGCTTTCAAATGTTCAAATGAATCAAATATACGTCTCATAATTAAAACTGTTAGCAAACGCCCACTTGTAGAATCTGCAAATATTTTGTATAGTGTATGTAGTTTATGTAATACTGTATATTATATTCGTTACAAAACAAATAACCTGAATGCGTCTATCCGTTGTAATACTCCACAGGTTTGTGAGTGTTTACATGAGTTAAGCACAGCAGTTGTAACACAAATAGTCGAGTCTTTCATGTCTATAATCAAAATCGCAATATTGCAAACAATATTATTTGAATAAATATTATATAATATGCATATAGTAGTCAATATGGCGCGTTGTATCGCTGCTTATAGGATGTGCCATAAAAAAAAGGGGGGCTTTTATTCGTTAAATGAGGCCTTGCACTCTCCCCCTTTTCCTAAAAAGATAGTGAATACAAAATATCAATTTATCTAAAATCTTTACTGCCTATATTTTACAAAAATATATTATAATAAATTTCAGCATATAGATAACCACAGAAAAAAAAAAAAAAATCAATATCTTTTTATAATAAATTATCAAATCATTAAAAGTTTAAAAAAAAAATAATAATAATATTATTACTAATAAGATAAACCACGAACCCAATGCAGTGATAAGTATCGTCACAGTTAATGGTTGCCGATTGGTTTGATTTATTGTTTAGACACTTAATGACAATTTTTCATACATCATGGGTTTGCGTTTAATTAAATAAAGCCCCGAGTGAGTAAATTTCGTTTTCAGACCACTGGCCACTGGTGTATCACGGCACACCCGGTACACACATGGCGCACGCCTAACCTGGTGTTTTAATTTTACAATTTTAATTCGCAGTTTTAATGATCGACTGGGTTCACAATTCTCAGGTGGTGTGGACGTGTGAAATTAGATATATATTTATGCAATTTGAGTTTGGATGTGTATTTAAGATTTTGGCGTGAACTGCAGGATAACATTAACATAGTACTGTATTTAATTTTTAATAATAAATGGTTTTTAAAATTATAACACATACAAATATTTAAGAAATATGTGTTAAATATTGCAAACAAATGGAAATAATCAATTTTAATTATAAAATAACAAGTAGCCTAACGTTTTTAATAATATTACCGAAGCCAGTTTAGTGCCGGATCGCTGTGCGCTGATTATCCGGACAGCTGCAATGTGATGGAAGTGCATATTTTTAGTTCGGATGTACTTTTGTTCTGGAATTTTAGTCTGTACGTCAATTTTCAGTTTAAAACCATTTTGTAACAAGTTGAATATAACACAGCTAGGAGCAGGCAAGATATTTCAAAATGTGTATCTAGATAAAATATATTAGATACTTACCAAGTATTGCGATGCAAGATGTTCGATACTTATATTTTATGTTTTTTAATACTTGATAGGTATTCGATACACTCGAATATAAAACTAACTTTTTTACGTGTGAAATATCTTAAAAAATATGGTGTTGATTATTGGAAACATTTGTTGGCATTTCTAATATTTCCTTCGGTTTTTGTATAATATCTTTCAATTTTGAATGTATTTAAAATTGTCTCGAAAAACCAAGGATGAAAATTATCCAGTTTGTTCCTCCACTCCCCCTTGGGTACACATATGAGCATTTAGATACTCGATACCAAATACACTGATTTTAGTATCGCAATACAAGATGTACAGTACAATTATATTGTACAAAAATAAATTTGTTTTTAAGAAACTAATAAAAAATACTGTCCAACCCTAGTATACTATCCACCCACCAAATTACACTAAAATATCATTACCTAGATTAGATAATTTATTCTTTATTTATAATACCTATAAATGTATAAAATTGATTTCTTTATGATTTCGAACATTATATATGTACGTATACAAGCATTTTTAGACTACTACCACTATCAATACCACCCACCTAAAATTCTGGGATAGCAGCTGATATTAACACAGAAATTTATAGTTTGTGCTAATGGATGGTGGAAAAAACGAAGGTTAGAGGATAGGGTATTACAAGCATTCGATTTTCCGCAAGCAACAGAATATTATAACACCAGCTGTTTCACACAACAGCTAGTATTATAATAAACGTGGATAAAAGGTTAATATTTAAAATTTACATTGCTGAATATATTTTGTTTAAACAAATATGATTTTTACATCCTATATTAAATGTTTAAAATTGTCATTGAAGTGGAGGATAACATTTACAATTAATTTTACAGAATGTAATTACAGTGTACACAAACATCGTTTTTAGATCGAATATTATACTTTCACAATCGTTTTTCAATATATGTGACTTAATAATTATAGTATAACACAAGATACGATTTAGTTGTTC